AAAAGACCTAAGACCTAAAAACCTAAGACCTAAGACCTAAGACCTAAGACCTAAGACCTAACGGGCAGGCGCGAAACACCCGGCGCGCGTCGTCTTAGGCGCGCCACGGCCCGCCAAAGTCAAAGTAGAGGCAGTAGAGACATCCGTAATACATTAGACCAGCGCGAAAGAGCCAGCAGGAGCACGCGCCTCTCAGGGTAAATAATTAAGAATAGTAAAGAGGACACAACGTCGCGAATCGGCCCGCCGAGCGCTGCACCGCGTCCACAGCACGCACCAGTACGCAGCGCAAGCGTCGAGCGGCTCGAAAAGCGGTGCAGCGCCGCGCGCAGCGCGGCCAGCACAGGAAGCACAACAACACACGACAGCCGCGCTGGCGGCCGGTCGGAGGGTCCGCCGTGCGCGCCGAGCGGCACTCCGCGGCGCGTCACGACGCACGGCAGGTGCTGCGGGCTGCAGCGGACCCAGCAACGCCCGCAAGAGACGACAACATGTGCACAACACAGCACACGCGACACTCGCCCCGGACAGCTGGTCCCGCTTCCGTGGTGGTACGTCGCTAAAACCTAACGTTATTAGTCCTAATTGTCAGTCGCTAGGCGGGCAATCCTCGGACGATTGCCAGTCAGACGCCACTCCGTCCTCGGACGCCGCGCGGCGATTGAGGCAGCGGCCGGCCTGTTGCGAGCAGACTTAGACCGAGCAGGGCGTGGGAGCGGTGGGGTCCTAGTCTTAGGTGGGGTCCGACTCGAGTCAGAGCCACCTCGATTGCGGGCAGAGCTCTGCCTTGTTCGAGCCGCGCCCGCTCGAGTCGACGCCGCTGCTCCGTCGCTCGCACTCGCGCCGCTGGCAGGTGCGGGCGGGCTCCGCGCAGGACCTGCGGGCTCGCAACATCACGGATCCGGAAGCGCAAACTGACACACACACGACCGGCCTCGCATGGCAGGTCCTGCTACGGAGGCGGCCAGACGTGTGGCCCTCTCGCAGAGCCATGCAGAGCGGCACGTGAACGCGATTACGCCCTCGACCCTGCGACGTGAGCCAGGCTTGCAGCATGCACTTGATTCAGGAAGGCAGCACCTCGCGACGCCGCTCCCCCCCGGAGCACCGCTCGCTGCCCGCCCCGCCCTTCACGTACCCCCGGCGACGCTCTCTAGGCCACGCGGCGATCAGAGACTCACACGCACGCCCTCGGGCACCCGGCGAAGCGCAACGCGGCCGTCCGTCCGCTCAGCGGTAGAACGCGGAGACGACGAAGCACAGCAGGGCCGAGCAGGTCACGATGTACATCCACTGCGCGCGGGTCACCGCCGCGGGCAGGATCCCGAGCGCGTCCGGCACGGTGTAGAACAGCGCCATCCCCGACACCGCGGACCCCGCGGAGAGCCCCGCGGACCGCACGAGGTTCCGCAAGATGACCTTGCGCTGCTCGGGGTTCGCGCCGTAGCTCGCCGCGGGCGCGGGGAAGAGGTTGCTGAGCTTGAAGTAGTTGGCCACGGAGAAGGCCAGGATGGTGGCGATGAACGCGTAGCTGCCGCTCGTCGCGATCGAAGCGGTGTACGCGATGCAGCCCAGCGCTAGCGCGGCGCGCGCCGCGATGCCCGACCGCTCGCACGGCTGCAGCCGCGGCCGCCACGGGAAGAGAACCTGCGCGGGTCGCATCACGCAGGGGCGGCGGCACGCGTGTGGGACGCGGAGCAAGCGCAGCCACCTCGACTCCGAGGCCCTGTCGGCGTGCGTGCAGGCGCGCGCGCCCACAGCACGACGGCGGCGCGGCGCCCACCGGGAGCGCCACCTCCGCGTCGTCAACGGTGCGTGCGTTGGCTGCCGACGGGGGCGCTGGCGGCGGGGTGGACGACGCGGGCGGCCGTACCTGGCGGTCCGCCTTCGCGATCTCCTTGGGCACCGTGACCTTGCCGGCGGACCGGTTCATGAGCGAGCGCATCATCAGCGTGGAGTGCGCTGCCTCGATCCGCGACTTCAGCTCCTCGTTGCCGTCGCGGTTCGCCTCGTACAGCTTCTGCGGAGGCGGCGGACGAGAACACGCGCAGGTGGGGGCGCGTCCGAGCCGCGGGAGGCACGCGTGCTGCTCAGGCCGCGGCGGATCGCAGCGACGAGGAGCGTGGTCGACCCGCTGCGCGGCGTGTCCGCGGCGCGCGGGCGGCGTGCGCACCTGCTTGTACACCCTGGACACCGTCTCGAAGTCCGTGCCCTCCGAAAGCCCGAGAACCTGCACCGAGGGAGCTTCGCGGGCGCTTCTTTGCCCCGCCTAGATGCAAGCCACCCGGCGGCGGACAGACCGGGCATTGCAGCCTCCGAGCCGCGACGCGGTGCCACGAGATCGAGGTACGCCATCGAGCACGCAGCATCGCTCGACGACGGCCCGGCCGCGCGCGAGGCGGGCCAGGATGAGCGCGGGTGCGGGTGCCGCTCACCGCGTACGGGTCGTCCTCCCCGGCCATCCTGGTCAGCACGCGCATCCGCCTCGGTCCGACGGGCGCGCAGCGGCCGAACGGTCGCACGGCGGGGGCCGCGCGCCCCGCGCCGTGCGCCCGTGCACCCACTCTGCTGGTAGGAGGCGCTGTCCCCGCGAACATGCCGGACCGATGCCACCTCTCCGTCGCCGGAACGAATGTACGGCGCAGCCGCGAGCCCGCGGGCGCATCGCGGCGCCGCCTGGGGCCGCGGCGGTGTCCGACGGGCGCGGGGAGCCCCCACCCGCCGCCGGTGCGGCAGGACCGTCTGGCGGCCGGGCACGCACGGGCGCGACGGGCCAATGCGCCCGCGGAACCGCGGCGCGCGACACTCCGCGTACGCAAGACGTGCAGTTGACCATGCGCACTGGGACGACGAGCTGCAGGTGGGTGCCGCGCCGGGCATGCTGCAAGGCTGCCTCCCTCCGCCCGCCAGCGCCCGCACGGGGACTTACGCGCGCTCCCGACGAGATCCGTCTGGCCCTCGGGTCCTCGAGACGACGTGTCGGCGAAGTAGCCGAGGGCGGAGGCCCGGTCGAGCCACGGCGCCCCCGCGCCGACCTTGGGGTGCTGGATGGGCGCGATGGCCGGCCCCCCCGCGGGGCACGGCGCGATGCGGCACCTTGGAGGCCTCTGAGGGGCTCCCTCGAGGCCTCACGTGCGCTCGCTTCGAGCGCTGGATCCGCACCTGTCGCGTGGGACCCGTTGATGGCACGCGGCACCCCACCAGGGAGCTTTGGCGGGCCCCGGGGCGACCGCCTCGCGTCCCCACGCGCCCCGAGGGCAATGCCCGTCGGTACATACGGTCGCGACCTTGTCTGCGTGGAAACACGGCCCGGTCAGCCCGCACGGGCGCTCGTTCCCGCGCCTCAGCAACCGTCCCGCAAGCACCGCGGGCCCCGGCCGCCTGGGAGGCCGGAACGGCGGCGGCGACACGCGCGCACCATCCTTCCGCTGCTCTGCAGGTTCGCCAGCGGGCGGGCTATCGCCCGGGCGCCCGTCGCGGCCAGGCGTGCCTGCCGTTCTGCGGTGGTGGTGCGCGCCGAGGTGCCCGAGGGCTTGAACAAGTACAGCAGCCGCATCACGCAGCCCAAGGCCCAGGGCGCCTCGCAGGCCATGCTGTACGCCACCGGCCTGACCGAGAAGGACATGAACAAGCCGCAGGTGCGACGCTCCCTGCCTGCGACGCTCCCCACTCGCTGGGCGCGCGTGCCACGGGGTGCGGCGCGCGCGGGACGCCAGCACGCGCCCCGCGCCGCCGCCCGAGCCTCGAGCGCTCTCGAGGCCAGCGCCGTCGTGCGCGCGCGGGCTCCCCGACCGACCCGGCGCGCGCGCTGGTGCCTGTGCTGCGGCGCAGGTGGGCGTGTCGTCGGTGTGGTACGAGGGCAACCCGTGCAACATGCACCTCATGGACCTCGCCGCGGAGGTCAAGAAGGGCGTGGAGGACTCGGAGATGGTGTGCTACCGGTTCAACACCATCGGCGTGTCGGACGGCATCTCCATGGGCACCGAGGGCATGTCCTACTCCCTGCAGTCCCGAGACATCATCGCCGACTCCATCGAGACCGTCATGTCCGCCCAGTGGTGCGTGTCGCCCCGCGCCGCCCTCGCTCGCCCGCACCGCGCTGCACGCACGCACGCACTCGCTGCAGTCGCGCCTGGGGGCCCACGCCCGCCCCAGCGCACCCGCTGCCCGGCCCACCCCGCTTCGGCCACGCCCGCGCAGGTACGACGCGAACATCTCCATCCCCGGGTGCGACAAGAACATGCCCGGGACGCTGATGGCCATGGGCCGCCTGAACCGCCCCGCGCTGATGATCTACGGCGGCACCATCCGCCCCGGGACGTCGGCGAGCGGCGAGCCCCTGGACATCGTGTCGGCGTTCCAGTCGTACGGCGCGTTCGCCGCGGGCATCATGTCGGAGGAGGAGCGCTTCGACACCGTGCGCAACTCGTGCCCGGGGGCCGGCGCGTGCGGCGGCATGTACACCGCCAACACCATGGCGTCCGCCATCGAAGCGCTGGGCATGACGCTGCCCTACTCTTCCTCGATCCCCGCCGAGGTGCGATGCTCCCGCCCGCTGCTCGCCGCCGCCGACGCGCACGGCACCAGCCCGCTGCCGGTCGCCCGCCGCGCACACGCACGCACGCACGACGCCCTCGCCCCCGCGCGGCGCCTGGCCCCCGCGCAGGACCCTCTCAAGCGGGACGAGTGCCGCATGGCCGGGCGCGCGGTGCTCAAGCTGCTGGAGATGGACCTCAAGCCGCGCGACATCATGACGCGCGCGGCGTTCGAGAACGCGATGACGACCGTCATGGCCCTCGGCGGCTCCACGAACGCCGTCCTGCACCTCATCGCCATGGCCAAGTCCGTGGGCGTCGAACTCACCCTCGACGACTTCCAGAAGTGCTCCGACAGGTGCGACGACGCACGGCGCCGCGCGCGCGCCCGCACGCTCCCGCGCCCGCCGCGTCGCCGCACGACGCGAGACGTGTCGCGCCGCTCCCGCATCCCGCCGCGCAGGGTGCCGTTCATCGCCGACCTGAAGCCGTCCGGGCGCTTCGTGATGGAGGACCTGCACAAGGTGGGCGGGACGCCGGGCGTGCTCAAGTACCTCCTCGAGAAGGGCTTCATCGACGGGTCGTGCATGACGGTGACGGGCAAGACGCTCGCGGAGAACCTGGCCTCGTGCCCGCCGCTCGCGGACGGCCAGGAGGTGATCCTGCCGATCGAGAAGCCGCTCAAGTCCACCGGACACATTCAGGTGCGCCGGGGGCGCGCACTGACGACGCAACACTGCGCGCGCGTGTGCTGCCGACGCGTGTGCACCTCATCACTTTCTCCGCGCGCCGGGCCTGGCCCGACTGCCGTGGCGCGCGGAGCATTTAAGGGTGCTAGATAGACCCCATCCGGCCGTTCCGGCCCCCGGGGAGGGTGTGCAGAGTGGCTCGCAGAGGGTTCCCGACCCTGCGCTGCCTTAGTTACACGCCACGCATCCCGCTCGACGCGGCGCGCTCACAGACAGACCCGCGCCGGCCGCGCCTCGCGCAGATCCTGTACGGCAACCTCGCCCAGGAGGGCTCCGTCGCGAAGATCACCGGCAAGGAGGGCCTGCGCTTCGAGGGGGAGGCCATCTGCTTCGACTGCGAGGAGGACATGCTGCAGGCGCTGTCGGAGAACCAGGACCAGTTCAGGTGCGAGGCCGTGCGGACGTGCGGCACGGAACCGCGCCGCCGGGACCGCCGCTGGTCGCTGATGCCCACGCGCGCGCCCCCCCGCGACGGATGTGCGCAGGAAGAAGGTCGTGGTCATCCGCGGGGAGGGGCCCAAGGGCGGTCCGGGCATGCCGGAGATGCTGACGCCGACGTCGGCGATCATGGGCGCGGGGCTGGGCAAGGAGTGCGCCCTCATCACCGACGGCCGCTTCTCGGGGGGGTCGCACGGGTTCGTCATCGGGCACGTGGCCCCCGAGGCACAGGTGCGCGAGCGGCCCGCGGACGACGCTGCGGCCGCCTCGGAGACGCGCAGGAACGTGACCTCCGCCGCCAGTGACCTCTCGCGTGCAGGTGGGCGGGAACATCGGCCTCCTGCGCAACGGGGACCGGATCGTGCTGGACGCGGAGAAGCGGACCATGGACGCGGTGGACGTCACCGACGCGGAGTGGGAGGAGCGGCGCAAGAGCTGGACGCCGCCACCGCTCAAGGCCACGCAGGGCACGTTGTACAAGTGAGCAGGGCCCGCTCGCGCCGCGCGCTTGCACGTCTTGCGGTGCGCGGCCGCCTCAGCCTGCAGTCCTCTCACCGAGCCGCTCCCGCCCCCGCTGCGCAGGTACATCAAGAACGTCGCGTCCGCGGCGCAGGGCTGCATCACCGACGCGTGATGGCGCTGCACGGCGCAGCGACGCGGCCGAAACTAACTGTGACCAGGACATGACCGCCTCGGACGGCCTCGCGCGCCAGCACCGTGCCTCACACGCCGTCGTCGTCCGCGTCCTCGAACGTGGCCACCTGCCGCCGCTGCCCGTGCTCCTGCTGCTGCTTCCTCGCGCTCCCGTTGGCGGCGTCGGCCGCAGCCGCCCAGCTGTACGCGCGCTCGATCTCGGACGCGAACATGCGCCGCGCGGCCTCCCGCCTGAGCTTGAACGTCGGCGTCAGCACCCCGCTGGACACGTTGAACGGGTGCAGCACGATGGCCAGGCCCCGGATCTGCTCGAACTTCCGCAGCCCTGCGCGCTCGCCCTCCTCGATCATCTGGTCCATGAGCGCCTGCAGCACCCGCGGGTCCTCGATCAGCTCCTCCAGCCGCCGCCGCCCGGACTGCGGCCCCCCGTCGTCCGCGCGCCCGTCCAGCTCCACGTCCGCGACGATCTTCTCCAGCTCGGCGAGGTTCGGCACGACCACGGCCACGGGGTGCCGGTGCGCGGGGTCCCCCGCAACGAAGCACTGCATCACCGCCGGCGCGCGCAGGTACGCGGCCTCCAGCACCTCGGGCGAGACGTACTCCCCGCGCGACAGCTTGAACAGCGCGCCGATGCGGTCGATCACGCGCAGCCGCCCGCCCTCGATCCACTCGCCGATGTCGCGCGTCCGCAGCCACCCGTCGGCCTGCAGCACCTCCCTGGTCATGCCCTCCTGCTTGTAGTACCCCTTGAAGACCGACGGGCCGCGGACGAGGATCTCGCCGCGCGGGTACGGCCGGTCCGTGGTCATGTAGCCCAGGTCCGGCCGGCTCGCGAGCTTCACCTCGCAGCACGGCACCGGGGGCCCCACGTGCCCGTTGAGGCCGTCGTAGGGCTCCGCGAGCGCCACCGTGCACCCCGCCTCGGTCGTTCCGTACCCCTGGCACAGCGCGGGGCACAGCGTGACGCGCAGGAACTCGGCCACGTCCTCGCGCAGCGGCGCGCTGCCGCAGGTGATGAAGCGCAGGCGGCCCCCGAACTTCTCGCGCAGGCGCTGCATGACCAGGTCCTGGAACGCGGCCATGATCGGCCGCGGGGTGCCCGGCGGGGGCCGCGCGGCCTGCCCGCGGAGGAGCTGGTGGCGGCCGAACTCGTATGCCGCGCGGAAGAGCAGCTGCGCGGGGCGCGCGGAGTGGTCGATGGCCGCGACGATCGACGAGTGCATGCGCGACAGCACGCGTGGCACCGACGCCAGGATGGTCGGCTTCAGCTCCAGCATGTCCTCGAACAGGCGGAGAGCCTCGCCTGCGCGGGAAGCAGCAGTGCCGGGGGGGCGGTCGAGCACAGGCGGCCCAGGGCGTCCGGGAGCGCGGCGCGGAGGCAGGCACGGAGCGACGCGAGCGCGGGGGTGCGGTCCGCGGGGCGGTTCGTTCGCGAGCGACTTGCCAGGGAGGCACGTCGTTGCGCACCGGAGTAGAAGCCGATCGCGGTCCCCTTGATGGCGAGGTTGATGTGCACCACGCGCTCGAAGATGTGGGCGAGCGGGAGGTACGAGAGGTACACGTCGTTCTCGGTGTTGGGGCGCAGGTTCCAGGTCCCCGCGCTGTTGGCAATGAGCGACGCGTGCGTGTGCATCACGCCCTTGGGCTCGCCCGTGGTGCCGCTCGTGTACACGATCGTCGCGAGGTCCGACGGCTTCGGCGGGTGCGACCTGTGCGGGTGCGGCGACGACCGCCCCACGCGCGCCAGGCTGTCCAGCGACAGAATCCGCAGCCCGCGGTTCCCCGCCTGCGCGCCAGGACCGGCCGGGCGCCGTCGGCGTGCGCGCGCCGCAGCAGGGGCGAGCGGCGAGGGGCGCGGCGCGGGCGGGCGCACCTCGGGCCAGGCGTCGGTGGGGTCGGGTCCCTCGAGCATCACCAGGAGCTTGACCGAGGGCGGGAGCTGCGAGTCGAGGAGGACCTTGGCGCCCTCCTGGCTGCACGCGATCGCCTGGAGGTCCGCGTCCTTGAGGATGAACCGCAGCGCCTGCGCGCCGACGCCCTCGTAGATCGGGACCGTGCACACCGAGATGGCGTGGCACGCGGCCTCCATGAGGCACCACTCGGGGGAGTTGCGGCCCATGACGGCGACGTGGTGGTGCCCGGGGCCCGGGAGCACGCCCGCGTGCAGGAGCCCCGACGCGATGTCCGACCGCAGCGCCGCCGCCTCGGCGTATGTCGTCCACTTGTAGCCCCCCAGCCCGCCGTCGGCGAGCTTCTCGCGGCTGCCGAGGAACGGCCGGCCGCCGAACCGGGTGGCCGCGCTCTCCCACACGGCGTGCAGGGTCCTGCGGGGGCGTCGCGTCGCGTGGGGCGCTCGCTCTCTCATGGTCGGGGACGGGGCTGCTTCGGGTCGCCGCGGGGGCGCGGGGGCGGGCGTGCGGAGCGCACCTGACCCCTCGGAGCGGGGGCGGGAAGGTGTCGACGAGGTGCGCGGGGCAGCGCGCCGACCTCCGGGGCGCCGAGCCCACGTGCGAGGGGTCGTCGGGCGCGCCGTCGGCGGAGCTGTGCGGCATGGTGGGCGGCGACAGCGCGGCCCACTCCTCGACGACCGCGACGCCCCCGGACGAGTGCGATATCGGCACGCTCTGCATCTTGTGCAGGCCCGTCGGCGGCGTCGCCCAGGGCCGCGGGTTCAGTGGCTGCTCCGCATCCAGGCGGTCGGCCACCGTCCCGAGGCCGGGCCTCGGACGGCTGCTCTTCCTGCTCGGAATGGTGCCGGAGCTGATCGGGCCGCGCCAGACAGGCGCTCAGACGGGCCGTGTCGCCCTCGGCGAGGCCGCACAGAGGACACGGTGGATGGCGCCGACCCTGTTGCTCCCTGCTACGGCGTGGAAGGGGATCAAGCGCCCGACGGCGACGCGCTTCTCGCTAACTGAGTGTTCGACGTGCTGGGAACGCGAACAACGGGGTGTCCAGCGGCACCCCGGGGGCGCGTGACCGCCCAACAGACCGAGGACTTGCGTGCCCCCCGGAAATCGCCGCCAACGCGCCCTCCGAGCGCCGATACAAGACACCGGCGATGACCGCAGTAGCCTCCGCAATACGGTCGCGGCGACGCGTTGGCCGGCACGGTGCTCGCGCAGGCTCGCGCCCACCCGGTGCCGTGGCAGCGCTGCTCGACGGCCTGATGAACCGCCGAGTCGGGGTGCCAGGGCGTCGCAACGATGCTGATGGAGCAAGCTGTGCAGGCGACCGCCAGCGGCGGCCCAACGTCGCACGGGCGGCCCGCGGCGGGCCCGGGCGCACGGGGGCGTGGGGTGAAATCCCCCCCCGCGGCTCAGCTGCGCGGTGGGGCGGTGCGACGACGTGAGGGCCCCGGGGCGCGCACCTGCACCACACGCAGACCCCGTGCAGCCGGGCACGCTCGACACAACGCGCAGGTCTGGCTCGGCGCCAAGCGAGGTGCACGCCACCAGCGCGGAACCTTCGTAGCCACGCGCCAGCGAGCGACGCTCGACAGGCGCACGTCCCCCGCGTCACCTCGAGTGTCCGTCCGCGAGTGGACCCGAAACGCCCCCGCACGGAAGCGCTCTTGCGACACGCACCAGCTGGGAGCAGGCCGCAGGAGTGCGCCGTCCCTGGCCGGCCCGCGCCGCGCCGTCCGCACGCGCCGCGCCTGCATGCAGTCGCTTCAGTGAGGGGCCATGTCAGCGCGTCGCGGCGGCAAGCCGTCCCTCGCGGACGACCTGGGCGACCTCCTCACTCCCACGGCGGCTCCCGAGAGGGACCCGCTGAACGACGAGACGGGCGGGGGCGCCGGGCTGCTCGGCGACGTCGACGATGCGGACATCAGCTTCGGGCCGATGGGCGCCGCTCGCCTGCGCGCCGACGTGCACATGGAGGGCGAGGCCTACCGCGGGAGGCGCTCCAGCAGGGCGGCCGTGTTCGGCGAAGAACCGGACGGACGCGGGCCCGCGGCGCCGGGGGGCGCGAGCGGGAGCGACGGGGGCGCCTCCGACGACACCGGCGGGAGCGATGGCGCGGCGGAGAGCTCGGGAGACGATGCCGAGGTGCGGGGTGGGCGTGTGTGTGCTTGCGGGGGCGTACGTGCACGCACTCGCGCCGACGACGACGGTCTCGTCACGGCATGGCTTGCGCGGCTCTGGCGTCGTGCAGGACGGCGACCAGGCGGCGTCGATGAGCGAAGACGAGGACGCGGGTGCTGCGTCGTCGCCGCGCTCCTCCGATGAAGACGACGGCGGCGGCGCGAGCGACGACGACTCCGACGAGGACGTGCGCGACCTGGGCGGCGCCGGGGCGGGCGGGGACCTCGACGACGAGCTGGACGCGCAGGTGCGTGACGCCCTGCAGCCTCCGTTGCCCGCAACGTCGTGTCGTGCCCTCGGCCGACGGGACCGACGCACGCGCGCTCGCGAGAGGCCAGCACGCGCTGACCGGAGCATCGCGCGCCGTTCGCTGTGTTTGCGGCGCCCGCAGGAGCTGAGCGAGCGCGCCCACGTGGAGCAGATGCGGGAGCGGCGGCAGCGGGAGCAGAGCAAGGGCCGCGCCGTGCGCAACCAGCGCAGGCTGTACGAGAAGGCCCTGGGGTGTCGGATCCTGCTGCAGGTGCGCATCGCCCGCCGCCCGCGGCGCGCACGCCACGCCGGTTGCGCGCACGGCATTTGACGGCAGCGTGCGACGCGACGCGACGCGACGCCGCTCCGCTGGCCTCCCCGGCACGGCTGTACTCATCCCGCGGGCGTCGTCGCGCTGGTCTTTGCAGAAGCCCTTGGTCGGGGCGTACCGCCTCCCCTCGCGGCGCGTGGCGGCCCAGATCCCGCAGGTCGCGCCAGAGGCGGGCGAGGCGCTGGAGGCGGTGCGGCGGGAGGCGCGGGACACCGTGGCGACGATCGTGGCGGTCATGGACGCGCTGATGGAGCGCAACCCCGCCATCGAGGTGCGCAGCGTCACGGTCGCGCACTCCAGTACAGCTCTGCCCGCCGCGCCGACGCGGCCCCCGCACGTCCCGTGCGCCGACTGACTCCCCCCTCCGCTGCGCGTGTGCCGGCGCAGGACCGCGCGGGCGTGCTGGGGCGCGGGGACCTGTCGGCGCTGTCGTCGAGCAAGCTCTGGCGGGCGGTCGAGGCGCGGGACGGCGTGCTCGCGCCGTTCCGGGACGCGGCCGTGGACCGGTGGCACCGCCGGACCATCCTCACGTCCGGGAAGGCCGCCCTGAAGATGCAGGGGCTGCAGGCGCTGAGCCAGAGCGTGTCGCAGCAGGTGTCGGGCATGATGGCCGAGCTGCCGCGCAGCCTCGAGCGGTCGCGGCTCGCGTACGACGCCCGCCCCGCGGTCCTGTGCGGCGGCCCCGCGCCGGAGCGCCCCGCGGCGGCGCGCGACCCCGAGACGTACGACGACGGGGAGTTCTACCGCCTGACGCTGCGGGAGTTCCTGGAGAGCGAGGGCGGCAAGGGCGCGCCGGCGCCGCACGCCAAGAAGGCGCGGAAGGACGTCGACCGCCGCGCGAGCAAGGGCAGGAAGCTGCGCTACCACGTGCAGGTGCGCGGGCGGTGGCGCGCGCGCAACCGGCCCCACCGCACGCGCCGCGCCTCGCGGGGCGCCCGCAGCGCACTGACGCGCGTCCGCGCCGTGGGTGTGCGTGCGTGCAGGAGAAGCTGGTGGCCTTTACGGCGCCGGTGCACGAGGCGCACCACGCGCTGAGCAGCCAGATCTTCAACAACCTGTTCGGGTCGAGCTCGTGACAGGGGTCCGCGGGACGGGGCGCGGACGCGGGCGGGAGGCGGCCGGGCGCGTGGCGCGTGCGCGTGCTGCGGCACAGCGCACGGGGAGGGCCAGGGCGGGGGCCGTCGCCGCGCCGGTGGGCGCGCCCGCGGTGGGTGGCTGGCGGGGTCGGGGTCGCTGTGACGAGACCGGGGCGGCTGCGCGGGGTCACGGCGCGGCGGGGGGCCGGGGGAGCGCGCGCGGGCGGGGGCAGGCGGAGGTTGTTGCGTCCGGGCACTGCGTCGCTGCACGGGCGCGTCGAGGCGCGAACGGATCTGGCGCTCGGTACGCCGCGTCGTGGGGCCGCGGTTTCACATCTGGCGGCAGCGCGCGCCCCCGGAGGCGCCGCGGACGGCGGGGCGCCATCGGCGAGCCTGGTTGGGGCGCTGGGCGCTGCGCGGGGCCTCGGCCGCGGCGGGGGCGGTCAGGTCCCGAAGGGGAACTGCGAGTCGTTGAAGTCCTTGCTGTTGAGTTGTTCCTCCGTCCACTCGAGCGTGATGGAGCTGTCCTGCGCGCGGTAGCTGCCCCCCGCTCCCGCCAGGCTGGCACGCGCGCCCGGGCGCACGCGCTTCACGGGGACGTTGACCGAGTAGACCGTCCCCATGCTGTCGTCGCTCGACACCTTCACGTCGATCTCCTCGTGGTCCTCGACGTCCACGTACTCCTTGATCGCCTCGACGATGCTCGCCTTCATGGCCGTCAAGCTCCCCGGGTTGATCCCGCACCGGTCCGCCACGAGGATCATCCGCAGCCGCTGCTTCACCTCCTCCTTCGACGACATCGGCTTCGGCCCGCCGGGGAAGAAAATGCGGTACGCGGCCTTGAGTTTGAGCGTGAACAGCTCGAGCCCGCCCTTGCCCTCGAACTCCGGGTACTTCTCGCCGCCCGCGCGGACCAGCACGCGCCCGCACCGCCGCCCCGCGCCCGGACAGCGCGCGGGCGCCGCGAACGCCCGCCGCGGGGCGCGCGCCCGCCCCCGCCCGCCCGCCCGCGCCGTGGCCGTGCACCGCCCGGCCCGGGGCGCGCGTCGTCGCCGCCTGCGAGTGCCACATCGTTCCGACGTGCCTGGGTGCCCGCGCGCGCACGCCCCGACGCGCGCCCGCGCCCCCCGCGCGCGGGTCCCCGGGCGGTCGCGCGGCCGGTACGACACGACGCGGGGGGCGCCAGGGGCCGGGCGCGCGCGGGGCTCTGGGAGGCGCCGCGGGGGGCGCCGCGGGCACGAAGCGAGCGCGGAAGTGTCCGTTGGCAGCGGGGCGCGGCGAGCGGCGAAGCGAGCGGAGGGCGCATCGACGGTGGACGCACCACGCGCCCGCTGGTGTGTGGCTGGATCGCACAGCGGCGCGGGTGACGGCGCCGGAGACGGACGCGGACGGGTGCGTGGCGTGCTGTGGACGCGGGCCTGCGCTCGGACGCCCGGTTGCGTGGGCCGCGTGCGGCGGAGCGTCGTCGCCTCACCGCGGGAGCACCATCCTGCGCGGACGGCCCCCACGGGGAGCCACTAGAAGCGGACCGAGGTGAGCACGAGCGTTTCAGCGTGTGTCGTGCCAGGGTCGGCGCCCGAGCGCGCCCCCCGGCCCTGCATCGCCCCCGCGCGTGAGGTCAAGCGACCCGCCGAGGCCCAGGCCGCTCGCGCGCCGGGCTGTGCGCGACCCTGGAGCGGAACGCCCCCGTCCGCGGTTGCGACCGCGTCACACGTGCACGCAGCTGCCCGAGTCGTGCATGACACCCCGGGCCTACGCATGCCGGGGACGTGTTGCACCCGATGAGGCGCTGTCCGGGTGCCGCTGCGCGTCTCCCCACGCGCGCGTCGCCCGGGCGCGGCGGTCCGACGAGGGACGGAATTACCTCGGCGCCGGTGGTGCCGCGGCGGGCCCTCGCGCGCTCGCCGCCGCCCCGGACTGCCGAAGCCGTTCCTCGCCAGCTGCACACCGAGCCCCCGCGGGGGTCCGAGCTGCAGCGGCGACGTTTCGGATCCCGAACCGCCCCACAGATTTCCCTCAATCGCCGCAAGACGCTCGTGCCCGCGCCCGGCCCCGGCGCTGCGAAGGAGCGACGAGTCGCCCGGGGCACCCCCACTCGCACGCCGTGTGCGCTCGTCCGGCGGTCCGCGCCGCCGCCCGTCCCCCCGCGAGCGCGTCTCAGAGCTGACGGTGCCGTCGTCGCCGCGCTGCAGGTCAGCACCGCGCGGGGGACCGGCGCAGAAGGGATCACACCCATCCACCCGCGCCTGCAGCAGCGGCGCGCCGTCGTGCCCGCGGCCCGCCGCGGCCGGTGCCCGTACGCCTCCGTTGAAGCGCGAGCCTGGTCTGGGGCAAGGGGGGCTGGCACCTTGACGGCCCGCGCGCACGGTTCGGAACGCGCGCCCGCGGGGGTTGGCCCAGAGGCGGACAGCTGCTGGGGCCGGGAGCTCGCGTCTGGCCGGAGCAGGCGGCGCGATAGAAGGGAGATAGCATCATGAGGTCGGCAGCGCTGCCCGTGCGGCGCGCGGCGCAGGCGCACGCCGCGCCCGCGACGCCACACGGCACGGCGCTGGCGCCCCGGGCGACGACGGCATGCCTCGCGTGCGGGCGCAGGCCGCAGCCCGCGCCGCTCGGAGGCCGCGCGCGGCCGATGTGGGAGGCGCGCATCGCGGGCGGGCTCCGGCGCGGCCACCGCGCGCACAGCAGCGGCAACGGGGCGGGGCGGGACGACGACGGGCGCCGGGACGGCGCGGAGCGCAACGGCGCGCGGAACGTGGACGACCTCGAGGAGGAGAGCCGCAACATCCGCCACACGCACTGGGCGACCTACCGCAAAGAACTCCTCGAGGCGCGTGCGCCCACCCACACACGCACACGCACACGCACACGCACACGCACACGCACACGCACACGCACACGCACACGCACACGCACACGCCGCTCGCGGGACCCGCGCCCACGGCCTCGCTCCGTCGCTCGCGTTCGCAGCGGACGCGCACGCTGATCTACAAGTCGAGCGAGCACGAGCTCGAGGTGCTGTTCAAGCTCATGCGGGCGTACGCGCGGACGAACTTCGCGTTCCTGACCAAGCGGCACCGCTCGCGGTGGTGGCGCTCCCAGGCGGTCGACCTCCGCGTCCCGTCGCCCAGCAAGAACGACCTCAGCGAGTCCCCCTGGGCCCTGTTGCGGAAAGTGCTCTCCCTCGGGGCCATCTTCTTCGGCGCGTCGTACAACCTCACGCTGCTCCAGGTGCGGCCGCCCGCGCCGCCCGCCGCCCTGCTGCGCCCCCTGCCCCCGCGCCGGCGCCGCTCGACGCCTCGCGGCAGCTCTCCCGCTCACGCCCGCCCGCCGCGCGCGCCCCGCCGCAGAACCTGAAGGACTCGCTGGTCGTGACGACGGGCGGCGCGGAGGTCCTCCCGTACCTCGCGTCGTTCTTCGTCCTCCCGGCCTCGATCGGCTTCTTCATGCTGTACAACAAACTGCTGGCCACCGTGCCGCACCAGCGCGTGTTCTACCTCTCCATCGGCGCCCTCCTCACCACCTACCAGGTCTTCTGCTGGATCCTCTTCCCGCTCCACCAGAAGCTGCACCTCTACGCCCTCGGCGACTTCCTGCGCTCCGCGCTCCCTGCGGGGCTCAGCGGACTCGCCACCGTGCTCCAGGTCCGCGGCACGCGCACGCCGAGCGACCCCGCGCGCCGCGCCACGTCCCGCCGCCCGCCCGCCGACCCCGCCCGCCCGCCGACCCCGCCCGCCTGGCGTGTGTGTGTGTGTTGTGCAGAACTGGACCTTCTCGCTGTTCTTCTGCTTCGCGGAGATCTGGGGCTCCGTGGTCATCTCCGTGCTGTTCTGGTCGCTCGCGAACGAGGTGTGCACCATCGACGAGGCCAAGTCGATCTACCCGCTCATGGGCATCACCGCCAACCTGGGCGTGGTGGCCGCCGGCAAGTTCACCAAGTTCACCAACCGCGTGCTCGTGCCGGACGGCAGCATCCAGGGCTCCATGCAGTGGACCATCACCGCCATCACGCTCTGCTCCGTCTGCATGTTCGCCGCCAAGGTCCGCCCGCCCGCCGCGTGCGCGCTCACACACGCACCAGCCCGGCCTGCCACCCACCGCGCGCGCGGGGCCCGCACCACCAGCGCGCCGCGGTCCGTCCCGCACGTCCCCGTCCGCGCACCCCCACCCCCACCTCCCGACTCCCCCCTGACTCCCCCCCTGCAGTACTACATTGACCGACGCATCCCCAAGCCCTCGGGGGACTCGGACTCGGACGGCGGGAAGGACGAGTCGAAGGAGGAGTCGGAGAAGGACGAGGGGCAGGGCGGGAGCAGCATGGGCCAGGCGCTGCAGGTCCTGCGGAACTCCTCCAAGGTGATGGGGCTGGGCATGGTGGTGCTGTGCTACAGCATCTCGCACCGCCTGTTCGAGTTCTCGTGGAAGGGGCAGCTGCGCGAGCTGTACCCCACGTCCGCGGCGTACCAGGGCGCGCTCGCGGACGTGTCCATCGCGACGGGCTTCACCACCATCGTCATGATGTTCCTCGGGCGCTTCCTCTTCCAGGTGCGCACACACACACCCGTGCCGCACCCGCGACGCGCGCCTGCGTGTGCGCAGATGTGCACCGCGTCCTCACGGGTCGGCGGCGCGCGTGCGTGCGTGCGTGTGCGCAGATGTTTGGGTGGGGGACGGCAGCGGCGACCCCGCCGACGATGATGTTCTTCTTCGGGACCGTCTTCTTCGTCATGTCGGCGGCGCCGCGCGCGGTCTCCGAGATCGCCGCGCAGTGGTCGATCCCGATCAACGCAGCGGCGATCGGCTGCCAGGCCGGCGCGGTCACGCAGGTGTTTGCGCGCGCGTCCAAGTTCTCCCTGTTCGACCCCGCGAAGGAGATGGTCTACATCGAGATGACCAAGGAGGAGAAGCTGCGCGGGAAGGCCGCCGTCGACCTCATCGGGTCCACCATGGGCAAGTCGGGCGCGTCGTGGATCATCCAGGCAAGCACGCCGCGCGCGCACCCCGCGCCGAGCGACCTGGACCCAACCGCCCCCGCACGCCCCGCCGCCCGCACCAGCCCGCGCCAACCCCTCCACCCGCCGCTCCGGCCCCGCAGGCGCTGCTCCTGGTGTTTGGGAGCTTGGCGGCGTCGATGCCCATGGTGGGCGTGTCGTTCGTGGCCATCGTGTCCACGTGGCTGTACGCCGTGCAGCGGCTCAAGGTCGAGATGCGCGAGACCGAGCTGGCGCGGGCCCGCGAGCGGGAGGAGCGGAAGAGGAGGGAGGCCGAGGAGCGCGGCGAGGGCGCCGGCGGGGCCTCCTCGGGCGGCGCGGAGAGCAGGCCGGCGCCCGCGGTGTAGGGCTGGCCGCATCGCACGCGGCGCTGTTACTGGTGGCACCGCGGGAACCGTGCCCGGTGCGTCAAGCAACCAGACTGCTGCACGCAATTGTGGCCGACCGCTGCCGCGGCGCGACGGCCGCGCGCGGCCATTGGGCAACGCAGCGGGTGGCCTCCGTCCTGCGCTCGCGACCGTCGGGCCGCGGCAGCCTGTTGGCCATGTGGGCGCCCAGCGCGTGCAGTTGGGGTCCGGCGCAGCTGTCCACGCACGGCGCGGCGAAGCGCGGCGGCCCGCTGCGACGCGCTGGGCATGCTGGCGCCGCCGACCGCCGCATCGGCGTGTGCGGCGGTGACGGCGGAGGGTGGGCGGGGCGGGGGACGCCGCGGCAATGTTCCCCCCGCCGGAATCGGCGCACGCGCCGCGGGAGCGAGCGAATCGCGTGGCGTATCACACACTCCGCTCGCTCTCGTCCGCGGCGCGCCCCGCGGCAGGTTGTCTACGTGCCGCGCGCGTTCCTGCGCGGCGATGATATGTCTGGCAGGCATGCATCCCGTGAACGACGCCAAGGCGTTTCGCGCCGAGGGGGCGCTCGGTGTTTTCGCCGGCGTACAACATGTGACGCAATGACGTCGACGGGCCGCGCGGTAGGACGGGCCCCGTGCCCGGCAGCGGGACAGTACTACGAGCAGGGAGTAAAAGGGAGGACCCTGCGGCGGCGGACCCGGGGCCCGCGGCTCTTGGGCGCCGGCCCTCCCGCGGCGCCACCACTCCCAGTTGTACTCCAAGCCCATTCACGGATGGAGGAAGTCCCTGAACAGGGCGTCCCCCTCCTGATACCTTTCGGCGCCTTCCCGCTCCGTGTGCGGTGGCCCCGGCGCAGTTGAAGATCCCTCGCTCCGGCACCATCTTTCTCATTCCTCGGTTTCCGAGCGCAGGCAAGCATTTCGCGCCCCGCGTACGCCCCTGCTGCGATAGTAATCTGTGCCTCACGACGCCCGCATCTGCGGGAGGCGTCTGGGCCCGCGCTGTGCCCCCGCGGGTAGCCCTCGCGGCTTTACGCCAGCCCGCCGCGCTCACGCGCGGTTCCCGGCACGGACCGACGCGGTCCGTTCGCCGGGCCTCTCGAGCAGAGGCACGGCCAGCCCGCGCCGCGGCGGCGCGAGCGCCCGTCGTCGCCGGCGCTTCCGCATCCGTGCGTCTGCCCCTCATCGCTCCGCGCGCCTCGCGGCCAGTGAAACCGCCGCAGAGGCGGGAGCCCCGGCTGGCCTGCTCGTCCCAACTTCTCCCGGCCGGCCGGGTCGCCGGGCCGCGGAGCGCGCATGTCCACCGCATTGGCGGCTAACTTCGCTCTTTTTACGACGCTGCTGCAGGTCATAGCTTTGTTCGTGGAGCGGCTCGCCCAGGGCGTCGCTGCGCCAAGTTCCACTCGTCGGCCCCGTAGGCTTCGCGCGCATTCCAGCGTCGCCTCGACGCGTCGGCTCGGTTTCACGATGCTGCCCAACCAACCACAGCAGGGCTACGCGGCGAACACCAAGGCCGGGAGCCGCGCGCCGCAGCAGACGGACGCTCCGTACGCAGGTCACACGCAGGCGCCTCCCTCGAGCGAGGCGCAGCCGCAGCAGCAGGCACAGCCGTCGCAGGGCCACCTCGACGCCGCGCAGTTCGCGCACCAGCAGCTCCTGCTGCTGGAGCAGCTCTCGCACGCGCAGGCGCAGGGGGGGCAGTTGAACGAAGCGCTGCTCCACGTCATGGCCGGCCGCATGCCGCCCGCGGGCCACGGCGCGGCCGGGGCGTGGCAGCCGCAGCGGCTCGACGCGCAGCGCGGCGCGGGCGCGTCGTTCTACCCGGGCGGGCAGGCGTACGGCGGGCCGCCCCAGAGCGCCGCCATGATGCCCCCCCACATGCTGGCCCAGCAGCAGTGGCAGGACGCGCAGCAGCGGCACGCGGCGCAGCAGGCGCAGCAGGACTACCAGCAGATCCAGAGCCTGATGGCGCAGCAGGGCGTGCGCCACGACGTGGCGGGCGGCCAGACGTACACCCTGGCCGACGCGGGCGACTACCTCAGCCAGCAGGCCATCTCCCGGCTCTTCGAGGAGCAGGACGGCGGGTCGGACGCCATGACCACGCAGCGCCGCCGCCGCATGCGCCTCGCGCAGCTCGTGTCGGACATCGGCGCGCTGCTCCCCGGGGACTTTGCCGGGCTGTCCCGCAACACCATTTTGCAGGTGCGCCGCCGCCCGCACGCCGCACGCCGCGCCGCGCCCGCCCGCGCCCCGTGCCGACCGGTCCCGCCCCCGCCCCCGCGCGTTCGCAGGCGACGCGCGCGTTCCTCCGCGAGTGGCAGGAGGAGATTGCCACGCTGCGCAAGCAGAACGAGCGCCTCCGCGAGCTGCTGGGCGAGGACGTCCTCAAGCGGCACCCCGACCTCGCGGTGCCGCCCCCGCAGACGGCCATCTCCGCGCTGCGCCCCAGCCGCGAGAACGGCGACGAGGGCGGCAAGGACGGCTGCCAGCCCGGGGGGACGTCGCCGCAGCTCAGCGGCCAGGCGGTCAACGATATGGAGCAGCACTTCCTGTCCATGGGCCTGCTCGACTCCAGTTTTGACAACGTCGTGCTCCGCAACCGGTCGTGAACGCCGGGGGGGCGCCCCTCTGGCCACGACGCGCCGACACACCCGAGGCACCACGTGCCCACAGCTCCCACCCACCCGGTTCCCTCCCTCCCACCCCCTCCGTCCATCCGCACCTCGTGGCCCCGACACCGCCATTGCCTCCAGATCTCTCCCGGGGTGCCACTCTATGCTCCTGCCTCCTGACCCCAGCCCCCCCTGAATAACCCCCTCCCCCTTCCCTCCCTGACCCCCCTCCCCTTCTTCGATTGCGCACTCTCGCACCTCGAGCGGGAGGGCCGAAATCGGCACCTGAGCCGCTGGATGACTGAAAAAGAACGATGAATAGCTATCAACGCAATCCTCGAGCAGCACCTCTCCGGGTCCACCGCCCACGGCGAAGCTCCGCACGCCTGCGCGTCGCAGTCGTACATCCACATGGCTATGGCGGGCGTCTGCTCCGCCGACATCGACCAACGCACTCCCGGCGCGCACGTCCAAACCTCCCTCTCTCCGAACGGAAAATCCACCGGGCTGCCCCTCGCCCCCTCTGCTTCCCCCGCCCCCTCTCTTTCCTTTCATTCGGCCCCTCGCGCGTAGGGGCTGACGCAGCAGTTACTGAATCGCAACGTGCCGCAGCCGTTGTGCGCTTCTGCAGCGACCGGCTCGCGTGCGAAGGACCCCGCACGCCTGACGTGGCGCACCACTGCCGCGCCCGTGCGACTCCGCAGCACCCATATGATGCTCGCCCAATTCGCCTGCTGACGCCGCTGCTGCCACTCTGCTTGCTGCCACACCCGGGGCGGCAACGACGCCGCCCCCCGTCGATGAGGCTGTAGCCACTCGGCGCCGCCCGACTCTCAGTCCAACACCATTCCAGCCGCTGACCTCGTCTGGCACTTCTCACCACGGATGACGCTTAGTTCGCCTCGTCGCCGTCGGCCACGAGGGTGCCGAGACCTTCTTTAGCCGCTGCTTTCCACGAACCCTCGTCCTTTTCGGCAGTGACTTGACTGCCGCGCAACTCACACCTCGCAACTCGCCGGCCCATCGCGACCCGCGACCGTCCCCCCTCGCAAGTGCTCCTGCCCACCCCCGGCCTCCCTCACCCACGCAGCTGAGAAGCTGTTCTCGCGCTGGGGCGTTCTATTCGTGGAGCTCCAGCGCCGGAACTGGTCCCTTGGCGCCTCCTCATTGGATGGCGCATTGGAAGACCCCCTCACTATCCAGCCAGACCTAGTAGTAGACATACACTCTTCCTTCCTCTCCCCCCTCCTCTCCCCGCTGATTGGTTCGTCGCGCCGACCTCAGGCAGCTGGCACGCAGTCTGACCAGCCCGCCCCGCCAACGCAGGAACGACAGCTCCGTCAGCCCACTGGATGCAGGGCAGGCCGCCCCCCGCGAATCACACCACCGCCTCACCCTCCACTGTTCCGCCCGCATCGGAGACCGTTCACGCGACCCCATCGCAGCTCACAGTGGATCAACTCCCGTATAGATCCAACCCCTGTCCCCCGACACTGCCACTCGACACTGAACAGACCCGCGCTGAAGCTGCCATCCCCCGGGCTTGGCTGCGTTCGTGGTCACATGCTCTTATGTGGACGACGCGTCACGCCAATGCCGCACGGCAACATCGCCGTAGGCGCCCCCTGGCCTGCTCGCGCTTTGCTTCCACCTGTTCTGCTGTGAGTTCCTGCCGCGCACGACTCCCAACTCGCCGTCTCGAGGAGTCACCGTGTTGGATCACTCGCGCCGCAGACGAGGACAAACAGAGCACGAATCAGCCTGTAGGTCAGCGAAATCACTAGCGCCTAACCTTTGGTGGCAGCGTGCAGGTTCGATGGATCCGCGACTGCGGCAGCCATGTCGTCTAGAAGTTGACGGACGTTGTGCGCTCTGTTACATCGCTCCCACGTAATGCGCGCGGGTCCTCCACCGCTGCCGTTGCCTTTGGCCGCCCCTCGTTCTCTCTCGCCCAAGTCACCCTCAGCAGACGAGGCTTCAGCACTGAGACTTCGTTGCACGCCTGACGCTCAGTGAGTCGCCGATGAATGCCGCTGCTGCCGGGCCGCCCCGGCGCCCCGCAGTCGACCTGGCCGCCCCAGCGCCCGCAGACTGTCTACCTGCCCGACTCGACCCACCGGCGCGCAGCGCGTCCCGAGTTGACCGCCCCGCGCACCGCCAGCACCAGCCACCCCGGCAGCTGGTCCATCAGGCCCGGCCACCCGTACACGATCCTCCGCGCCACCATCCCCACGCCCTCCATCGCGACGCCGCGCGACCGCATCTCCTCGAACAGCTTCACCGCCGTGCGCCAGTCCTGGTCGTCCTCGCAGGCACTCACCACGTTCATGTACGTCACCGCGTTCGGCTCAATGCCCTGCAGAGGGGGCCCGGAACATCGGTTCGCGCTGCGGCCGCACGGCGCGAGTAGCACTAGCGCAGGTGCAGGGTGGCGCGTGGCGTGCCTGTTGCTTCATGCGCTCGAGGAGCGCGAGGGCCTGCGTCTTCGCGCCCCCGCGCGCGCACGCCTGGATCACCGAGGAGAACGTGATCGTGTCGGGCGCGGCGTGCGCCCCCTCGTTGCGCTGCATGTCGTCCAGCACCAACAGCGCGCGCTGCCAGTGGCCACCTGCGGGCGCATGACGCGACGTCGGCGCGCTCGGACTCCGGGGCGACCCGCTCTTGGGTGCGAAAGTGCGGGTGCGGCGAGGGGGGCCGGACAGCGCGGCGCGGCGCACCTGTTGAGAGCGCGTTGATATACGAGTTGTAGCACCACGTGTTCGGCCGCACGCCCTCCGCCGTCAGCGTCCGAAACATCTCCTCCGCCATCTCCCACCGCCCCGAGTCCGCGAGCACCGTGAGCACCGACGCCAGCGTCACCTCGTCAGGCGCGTGGCCCTGCAAACAACCCCCGCGGGTGGGCCGACTCCACGTGGGGGCTCGCGCGCCGCGCCCAGCGACACCGCACAGCGATCGGGCACGTCGTCGTCGCGCACCTCCTCCCGCATCTGCTCGAGCAGCTCCAGGGCGCGCTCCGACCACTCGGGCGACTTGGCACACGCAGCAATCAGAGTGTTGAACGTGATCAGGTTCGGCTGCACGAGCCCGTACGTCCGCCCCCCCTCGCGGCACATGCGGTCGTAGATCTCGAACGCCCGCTCGACCTGCCCGCCGCGCTCGCAGGCCGCCAGCAGCGAGTTATACGTCACCGTGTCGGGCTGCATGCCCTCCCGCTTCATCGCCGCCAGCGCCCCCCACGCCCGCTCCCACTCCCCCGTCCTCGCCCACGCCGCGATCAGCGCGTTGTACGCGATGACGTCCGGCTGCACGCCCGACGCCTCCATCTCCTGGAAAATCGCCAGCGCCTGCGCGGGCTGCCCCGCGCGCTGCACCGTGGCGGACACGGGGCGCAGGACGTCGGCGAGCCGCCCCGCTCGCGGGACACGATGCGCTCCGCGCGTCCGCGGGGCGCAGGCGAGCGCGCGCGCGCCAGGCGCGGGTCGGACCTGCAGCACCGTCATCAGCGACGTGAAGACCACCACGTTCGGCTCCACCCCGCGCTCGGGCATCTCCCGGAACAGCCGCACCGCGCGCTGCCAGTCCAGCTCGCACGCGCTGATCAGCGCGGAGTACGTGAACGTGTCCGGCCGGATGCCCGCGGCCAGCATGCGTCGATACACCTCCTCCGCCCTGCCCGCGTCCTCCATCCCCGCCGCCGCCGAGATAGCTGCGGGCCCACACAGCGCGACGGAGGGGGGGCGGTGAGCGCTGCGCGGTGGACGCGGCGGCGTCGCCCGGGCGGCGCGTGCGAGGGGGGGCAAGTGCGCACCAGTGTTGAACGCGACGCGATCCAGCTTGGCGCCGGCCATCAGCTTGCGCGCGAACAGGGCGAGCGACGCGCGGCCCATGTTGGAGCGGTTGAGGATGGACATGACCCGCGTGCACACGTGCGGCGACGACGCGCACGCCGCGCCTGCGCGCTCCAGCTCCGACAGCACGTCCTGGGCGCGCCGGGCGCCGACCTCGCGCGGGTCGCTCATCGACAGGTGCGAGAGCAGCGCCGTGACCTGCGGGCCGCCGGGCAGGGGCGCGTCTGCGTGCGTCGCCGGGTCGATCGGGGCGCCGCGCGCGCGGGGGAAGGGTGCCGCTCGCGCACCTGCCGGGGGTCGGCGTCGAACTGCCGGATGACCGGGCCGGTGAGGACGGTCGCGACGGGCTCCTCGAGCGGGAGCTTGAGGATCGCGCGCGCCATCTTGGCCTCCGAGGACGCAAGGCTGAGCTGCAGCGTCCAGTCCCCGTTCACGCCGTCGCCTCTCTGGCGCTTCGGGGGCCTCCGCGCGGCGTTTCTGTTCGGCTTCGGCGCGACCGCGTCGCGACGCCACGTTTCGGTCCGCGTCGCGGCGGACGTGCGCTTCGGCCCGTCCGGGGCCAGCGAGGCGCGGGGGGCCGAGGCGCAGCACCGCGGCCTGTGGTGCAGATGCGGCTGGATTCGCGGCCACGATATGGGCCGGTGCGACATACTCGGCCGTTCCGTTGGTGTGTTGCGGCGTCTGACCAGCGTCGTCGGCGAACGCCGGGAGATTACCGCTTGCTGGGGAACTTATCGCGCAAACCGCGGGCGCGCGTCATCCTGGCGGCAGGCTGAATGCGAGGGCAGCACGAACTTCGACTCTGCGATCCAGACCGCGGCCGGAGCGCCGCCGCCGTGTCGGCACGTCGGCTCCAGCGCCCTCCCTAGGGAAAGGCAACGAGCACGGTGCAGCCCTGGTCCAGGACGACGACGACCTGCTGCCGTTCCACGCGGAGTCGATCGACGACGGGCGCGCAGTCCGCCCCCGCGCCGCGCACGCGGGCGCAAGAGCTGCGCCGGGGAGGGGGAGGTGGCGGTGTCGTGCACGGGTGGTGTGCGAGACGGGTCCCGCCCGACGTGTTCCGGCGCGGCGTGATGCTGCTCCAGCAGCGCGAACAGCACGCCTAGATCCGGGCTATTCCGCTCGAGGCCCTGCGTCGCCGTCGCGTCCTGATCCTGGGCCCCGCACGCTGCAGAGAGGTTGCGCGACCGCCAGTGCACCCGCCTGGCGTTCCATGACGGCTCAGCGGGTCGACGTGGCCCGCCGGACGACCGCTGCGGCCGGACTGTGCCCCCCGGGCGTCCCGCGCCGCAACAGCGCGGCTCTCCGCGCGAAAACACAGACGCACGCGCGGGGCGCCGCACCTCAGGCAAGTGCCCCTCGTGCGCCGGAATGTGGACCCGACACGACGCACATCCCCTCTCGAGCGATGCCCACGTCGTATCGCGGTGCGGCGTGCGTGCGGCGCCGCGCTCGAGACCCTCGGCAGGCGGCGCGCGCGGACCCTCCAGCGTCCTGCGGGCAATGCCCCGCCCCGCGTGGCGACATGGCGCTTGGTTTTACAACGAGAGGGTCGCTCGACACGTGCAGGCTTTCGCGAGGACTGGGATCGTCGCCGCGCGCGCGGGTACAGCGCGGCGCCGCACCGCCATGGCTGCAGCGGCCCAGGACCCCCCGTCGGGCGGCCCCATCGGGGTGCTGGTGATGTCTGGACGCGACGCGCCCGAACTCAAGGTGAGCGCGACCAGATCTCGAGCGCTCCGGCGCGCCGCGCACGTCGCGCGCCCCGGACACGCAGCCTCCAACCCCCGTCGCCGGTCGCCCCGTGATCCGGCGCGCCCGCGCGCCCGCAGGTGCTCGACAAGCTGCCCGCCGGCATGCGCGTCGTCGCCGTCGGCCGCTCCCTCGAGGACTTCTCGGGCGTCTCCGAGGAGGAGTGGCGCAGCGTGCAGGTCCTGCTCAACTGCGGCATCCTCAAGAACGCCGCGAAGCGCGACCAGATCGAGGCCGTGTGGCCCAAGGTGCGGCGCCGGCAGCCCGCGCGCAGTCCGCGCCGCCGCAGCAGAGCTCCTAGAGCCCGTGGCCCGTTCGACACACACGGCGGCAGGTCTCGGTCTCGGTGTCCGCAGATTCCCAACCTCAAGTGGATGCACCTGGCGTCGGCGGGCATCGAGCACGTTGTGTTCCCGGACCTGGTCGACGGCGACGTCACGCTCACCAACGCCAGCGGGTGCTTCTCCCACTCCCTGGCGGAGTTCTGCCTCTTCGGATGCAAGTACTTCGCCCTCGACTTCCCCCGGATGCAGGCAAGCGCACGCAGAAGCGCAGCGCCGCGCCGCGCCCGCGCCGCCGCCTCCGCCGCGCCCAGCGCCACGCACGCCGCCCCGAACAGCGGCACCTGTAGCACCTGTGGCATCCGTGCAGGCTGCCAAGGCGGGCAAGAGGTGGGAGCCGTACGAGGTCGAGGAGCTCCGCGGGCGCACGATGGGCATCATCGGGTACGGCGACATCGGCCAGACGTGCGCGAGGCTCGCGCGGGTGTTCCGCATGAACGTCGTCGCGTACAAGCGCTCTCCGGGGGACCCCGCGGGGCTCGCGGACGCCGTGTACAGCGACGAGGCGGGGCTCGTGAAGCTGGCCGCGGAGAGCGACTACGTCGTCGCGGCGCTGCCGGGCACGCCGAAGACCCGCGCGATGATCGACGCCAAGGTGTTCGCGGCCATGAAGCCCACAGGTGCGACGCCGGTGCCCGCACGCCGCGTCGCCGTGCGCGCCCGGCGTGCGCTGGGCCGGACGCACGCGCTCACTCCTGCACCGCGCGCCGCCGGCTGCAGCTGTGTTCGTCAACATTGGGCGCGGAACGACGGTGGATGAGCCGGCGCTCGTCGACGCGCTGGCGACGAAGAAGATCCGCGGGGCCGTGCTGGACGTGTTCGCCACCGAGCCCCTGCCCGAGGTGCGGCGCCCGCGTCCCCGCTCGCGCGCCGCGCCGCGTTGTACGCACGAGGCACGCGCGCCGCGCGGGCGGCGGAGGAGCCGACTGCGCGCGCGCATGGGCCCCCGGTCGCCGCAGGAGAGCCCGCTGTGGGAGATGGAGAACGTCATCGTGTCGCCCCACACGGCGGACCGCACCACCGAGTTCCAGTTCGAGGCGCTACAGTTCTTCGTGGAAAACGCGGAGCGGTTCGCCGCGGGCGAGATGCTCCACAACGTCGTGGACAAGAAGGCCGGCTACTGAAGCGCCCCCCGCGTCGCGCTCGTCCCGGCCCGCGCATGCCCCGGAGGTGCGCACGCGGCCGACCTCCACATGACGCGGTCCACCGCTGGCGCGAAATGTGCCTCCGCTGTGACTCGGTGGCGCGGCCGGTCGTCACGCGCGCGGGAACGCACCGGGCCGCAACGAACGAGGCCGCGGGGGCCGCGAGATGCCGTGCGACCTTGTGCGACATTCCGCGGGCCCGGGAATCGGGCTCGTCCGCCGGCGCCCGCCCACACCCACGCAGCGGGGGCCCGCCGCCGACTGCAGCAGGTTGCGGGCCTCCCGCGGGGCCGCCGCGATCGACGGAGGCGCCGCCGCGCCCGGACGTACGGGGTGGCTCCGGGGGCGGTGAGGCGGGTGGGCGGGGCGGTGCGCGCGGTGGGGCGTCGTGGCGCGTTGCGGCGCGGCGGGCGGGCGTGGGCGGCGGAGAGGGGAGCTGGGGCCGCGCGCGGAGGGCGCAGGGCGGCTGCGAGTCGCGGGGACCGGGGGAGTGTTGTTCCAACCTAATACGTGCCGGTCTCGCGTTGATTGCCGCGTCGCGCCGGCGCGGGACGACGCTTGTTACTTGAAACGACTCCCTCGTTCTCGAAGTCGTTGTTGACCGCGTCGAATCGGTCAATCCGGCACGAGCAAGCCCTCGATAGCGCCTATCTCGTCGCAGCTCACCGCACAGGAAGGATGTCGGCCGCCGCCTCCACCTTCACGGGCGCTGCCCTGAACGTTCGCCAGAAGGCCGGCGCTCGCCGCGCCGCGACCCGCCAGGTCGTCGTCGCTGCCGCGCCTTCCTACGTTCCCGACATGGGCAAGCGCAACACGATGAACCTCCTCCTGGCCGGCGCTGCCTCGCTGCCCATTGGCGCTCTGGCCGTGCCGTTCGCGCTGTACCTCGCGCCCCCCGGCTCGGGTGGTGGCGGTGGTGCCCAGGTGAGGCTCTGCTGTACTTGCTCGAATCCTCCCCGCGCCGCCCACCCTCGCCGTCGCCGTCTCGCCCAGACGGACGCAACGAAGACGAGTTTCTCGCGCGTCCCCGCGGCGAGGCGCGCCGGGGCCTGCGTCGGGTCTCGCTCGGCTCGACCTGGGCTCGCTTGGATGGGCCCGCGCCCGCGCCGCCTGGGGCGGCGTCGCGGCCTTTTCGCGGCGTGGATGGCGCGTTTGGGCCCTTCTTCTGCATCGGTGCGCGCCAAACGCGCTCGCGACCCACTCCCGCGCCCCTGCCCCCTTCGTTTCGCAGCCTGCCAAGGACGCCCTCGGGAACTCGATCAAGTCCAAGTCGTGGCTCAAGGACCACCTGGCCGGCGACCACTCGCTCGCCCAGGGCCTCAAGGGTGACCCCACCTACATCATCGTGAACGCCGACGGCAAGATCGAGGACTTCGGTGTGAACGCCGTCTGCACCCACCTGGGCTGCGTCGTGCCGTGGGTAAGGACCCCCCCGATGCGCAATGGCGATTTGCACGAGCGCCGTGCCCGAGCGTCGGCGGCGGTCGCGCATCCGCGCGCCCTGCCGCGAGGGTGCTGCCCCCTGGCTCCCCAGCCCCGCGCCCGCGCCCGCCCGACGCCGCCCCGTCCGAGCCCCGCGCGTCCCTCGGCTCTCTCCGCAGAACTCGGCCGAGAACAAGTTCAAGTGCCCTTGCCACGGCTCCCAGTACAACTTCCAGGGCAAGGTGGTGCGTGGCCCCGCGCCGCTGTCGCTGGCCCTGGCCCACCTCGAGATCGACGACGGCGACAACGTCCTGTTCTCGCCCTGGACTGAGACTGACTTCCGCACTGGCCAGGAGCCCTGGTGGTAAGCTGCGGGCCTGTCCTCGCACGTCGGCCGAGGAGTGCGCTGTGTGAGGGAGCTCGTGTCGATCCCCGCCGTCGCCCAGCAGCCGCGCGAGTCACTCAGCGGTCGCCCGCGCCGGCACACGGAGCGCGCGCCCGCCGGAGGAAGGCCTGGCGCCCACCACAGCGGTCTGCGCCGGGATACCATGTCGCGCTGCGGGCAACACCGCAGCGCAGCCGGGACGCGTGTGGCTCGCAGCTCCGGCACTGAGCCGACGCCGAGACGCGACGTAGGCTGCGCGGCCGCCGAGTAGCGGTTGAGCTCGCACCTGCACGACTGCACGGCGTGCTGTTTGTGTCATGCAGCTGTTGTCCTCGGCGGGGGCGCTATGTCGACGTCGGGACGCGTGATTTTGGCCGCCAACGAGCATCCGCACGCCTGCGGGGCCCGTCCCTGAACGATAGCCCCCTCCAGCCGCGCGCGGCGGTGCGCTGGGACACTCTCGCGTGGGGCCCGTACCGCACGTGGCGTGCTCTCATGCGCGCGGGCACTCGGCCGCTGCTGACTTGCTCGCGGCCAGCCCCTTCCCCGGTCCGTGGGACAACGTACCAGCACGCCATGACGTACGTGTCAACCACACGCAGCGCTCCGCCGTTGCGCGCGTGCCCCTGCTGCTGAGTGCCTCCGGAACGGCGTCGCCCTGCGCGCGGGAGCGGGCGCGCGCGTCCGCGCAGGCCGGTCCCGCAGCGCCGACTGCGCTCGCGCAGCCCGCGGTGCCAGGCGGTTCGCCCGTGGGACTCCAACAACTGCGCGGCATCAACTCCGCGCCGCAGCGCAGGACGCAAATTCCGTGCGGCGCCGTCGCGAGCGGCTGCACGCAGCAAGAGCGCGCCGCACCGCAGGCACCGTTCGCGCTGGTTCCACGGCGAGCGCCGGGCGCAGGTCGCGCCATCGAGCGTGGCACTGGGGCGACGCGGGTCGTGGGCGGCGCGGCCCGCGCTACAGATTCTTCACACGCGAGGCTGGCCCGTCACATCTCACAGGTCCTGGGGGGCGTTGCCGGTGAACTTGATGGCCGCGGGGTTGGTGTTCTGGCCAATGCGCCGGGCGTTCTGGTTGGCGCCCGTGCGGCCCTTGTTCACCTTCTCCGGGTACACGCCGTCCTTGGGGTGCAGGTACTGCACCTCGCCGTTGGGGAACACCCTGCGCGCGCGGGCGGCGGACGCGGCGGTGAGGACGGCGCTCGCACGCAGCTGCGTGCAGCCCAGGGAGCCGGCCGGGGCGCCCGCGGAGGAGCGCCGGGGTCGCGCAGGAGCGCGGGTGCGACGGAGAGGCGAATGGCGTTCTGGAAGGGGGGAGGGAGGCGCGCGGGGGGCGGGAGTGCGGGCCGCTCAGGAGGATCCAGGGTCCCAGCGCGCCGCGGCACGGCGGGGGCGGCGATGGGCGGCGACGCGGCGTGGTCGCGCGCACGATATTGAGACAGGGCGGTCCGCGGGGCGGCAGGGCCGCTTGCGCGCGCAGGGACGGATCGTCGGTGGGGCGACGGGGATGCGCGCGGATCCGCAACCGCAGTTCAATTCGACCACGGCCGCATTCGCGCGGGCGGCATCGCGAGGGGGCGCCTCGCGGGGTATTCATTCGAGAGCGGCGGTTCGATGCGGGGCGCGGCGCGCAGGGACGTCGCCCGCGGCTGCCTGAGCAGGGAAGCGACCCAGGTCGCAGTTGCGCACCTGTGGATGGTGCCGTCGGTCCTGAACTTGGTGCGCAGCTGGGTAACGAGGGCCATGGCCTGCTCCTTGCGCGCGAGCTGCGAGGGCGTGGCGTGGGGCGCGCAGGCGGTCGAGGAAGTTCACCAATGGCAGCAGCAGGGGCGCGCGAGGGGGCCTCGGGGGCTCCGGGCGGGCGCCGCACCTTCAGGAGGTTGGGGCCCTTGCGCATGATGGCCGCCCCGCCCGTGGGCATCTCGAAGATGCACTCCTTCTTGCCCTCCCACGAGCACACGTAGAACTGCGCACAGATAAACCGCGCCGGGGGCGCCCGCGGTGAGTCTCACGGCCCGCGCGGCGCGCGGAGCACGCACGAGCACTATCGGGGGCCGGCGCGCACCTCCTCGACCTGGGCCTTGCGCAGCAGGCCGCCCGTGGACCCACCAAACTGCAGGGGCGAGGGGCGACGGGGCCGAGCGGCGTGAGGCGCGGCGGCGGGTCGGGCGCGCGGCCCGGCGCCCTGGGAGCGGCGAGCGCGCGCGGCGGGGCGCGGGGCCCGCGGGGCCGCGCTGCCGCCCGCACGCGCGGCAGGAGCAGCAGCGATGCGGTGGCAGGTTCTCACGATCGGGGCCGGCGCGTTGGGGTCGAGCGCCGGGGGCGTCCACGGCGCGGGCGCCTCCTTCTTCGCGGCAGGGGCCTCGCCCTCCGCGCGGACGACGACCGTGCGCGCACGGGCCTGGCGGGCCTTGGCCACCTGGGCCGAGGCCACCTTCGCCTGGGCGGTGCTGAACCTCGCGGCGATCATCGTGTCTAGCGGCCCCGACAGCGGATTGCGAACGAGGGAAATGAATGTGCACAGCTCCCGCGCGAAGTGCCCGCCGCGCGCGCCCCACGCGCCCCATGGTCGCGCCCCGAGATCAGGGGCCGTATCCCGCGGGAGCCCGACCCAGACACCGGCGGCCCGGGCCCGCCCCGCGCCCGCAGCGCACGCCCGCGCGACGCCACCGGCCCCGCACGGAGCCGCGCCCGCCCGCGCGCGCGCAAGCTCCGCGCCCTGCGTCCGCTCGCGCACTGCTCAGTGCAGGTGGCGCGCCAGCCAGCCAGCGAGCGGGCGCAGGGGCGCGGACGGCGCAGGCGCGTCCGGCGCGGGCTTCCAGCGGCCGCGCGGGCGCGCGGAGCGGGATCGCGCGTGCGACGGCGCGCCCACGTGCGCGCGCAGTGGCCCGCGTCGTGTTGCATGCATGTTGCCCCGCGCAGCCCCCGAGGCAGCGATCCACGGCCCACGCGACGCGGCGGATCTTGTGGGCTGCGCGGCGGCGGGGCTCGCCGTCCCCGGCCGCGCGTGCGCTCTCGGCGAGTCGCATGCGGGTGTCGTGACGGACGCGCAGGTCGTGGGTGCGCTCACAGGCGAGCGCCGGGTGGCAGCTGGTTCGCACGGAGCGCGGAGCTGGAGCGGCGGATACCGCTCCACTGAATTTGACCGCCCTTCGTCGGCGTATGGAGTGTGCAGCAGGAATGGTGCAGGGGGAGTTTGGTGGTGCAAGCGAATCGTGCGAGGGCTGGACTCGTGGACCGGCTGCGGACCAGCACCTCCGGCGCTCGGCGCGCTCCTCGGGGCGGGTCGCGCGGCCGCGGCTTCGGCGTCGGCGGATGCGCCGCGCCTGCTGCTACTGCGCCCCGACCAGCGCCGCCTGCGTGCCGGCCGCAGCCTTGTCCGTGGCGGAGTCGTCCGCCCGCGACGGCGCCCGCACGTCCAGCGACGCGCTGTGGTCGATCGCGCCCGCGACGGCCTTCAGGTTGGCCGACAGCGGGGGCGCCCCCGGGCCCGTCGCCGTCGCCGCGGGCGTAGCTATTGGCTCCACGGCGCGCGCCTCGTCGCCCGCCGCCTCCCGCCCGCCCGCGTCCGCCGCCGGCTGCCTCGCACCCTGCGCCACAGCTGCCACGGCACCACCCGCCTGCGGAGCCGCCGGGACCGCGGGCGCCGCGGCCGGCGCCGCCTGGGATCTGCGACAGCACCGCCACCACGCAGAGCGTCAGCGAGGCGCGTGCGGCTGAGGTCGCGGCGAGGGAGTGTCACGCACAGGACGCGCGGGGGGCGGCAGGGGTCGCACGTGGGCGTGATCGCGTCCGCCTGCTGGACTCCGGCGGCCGCCGCGCGCGCTGACGAGGGGTCGAGCTGGTTGTCCGGGTGCGGCTGGCACTCGAGCCACCGGTTCACCCACCGCATCTTGTGAGGCTCCATAATCACCTGCCGCGCCGCTTCCGACCCCTCGCCGGTCCGCGCCGCCTCCCCTGCATCGCGGGTCGCGGAGCGCCGGCGGGTGAGCGCCGCGCAGGAGGCGGGCGTGGGGGCGTGAGGCGCCACGCGGGCGCCGTGCGACGCACCGCGTCTGCTGCCGTCGGCGCGCGCAGCCGCCTGCGGCCGGGCGCCCTTCAGGGACGCGCGCGGGTCGTCCTTATCCGCGCCCTTGCCCTTGTCCTTGTCCTTGTCGAGAAAGCCCTTGAATTTGGCAAACAGGCCGCCCTTCTTGCCCTGCACGTCGCGAGAGGGCGGCGCGGCGGGGTCAGGCGGCGCTGCGGAGCGCGTACACGACGCTCGTGCGATCGGTGCGCGAGGTGCGGGGGTTGATGGGGCGTCGCGGGCCCCGGCACGACGGCAGCGGGCGCGAGTGTGGTGCGCAGGGTTGACGAGGGCTCCGAGCCGCGCAGCACCGCGCTGGCACGCACCATTATGCCTGGCGCTGGGTGCTACTGTTGGCGTGCAAGGGGCCCGCGGCCCGTCCAGCGTCCGCACGGGGCCTGCGCGCAGTATCAGCACGATGCCAGTGGAGTGAGGAGGACGGCGACGGGTGCGCATCTGGGACAGGCGGGCCTGCACGGGGTGCGCGCGAGGGCGCGCCGAGAGGGCCCAGACCGGGTGGTGGGCCGTGCCAATCGCGTCTCGCTGGCCGCGCTGCGGGTCGCAGCGAATGCAGCTTGGGGGACAAGGACGGGGCGGATGGGTGCGGGGCGTCACGGCTCGCTTCGTTGCCGCGCCTCAAGCGAGGTGGCAACACGGAGCACGGCTTGCTGGTGGCGGTGCGCGGAGAAAACGCGCTGGGGCGCGTGACGAGAGGGAGGTGCATGGTGGACAAAACGCCGCCCAAAGCATTGGCGTGAAGCCGCCCGTCGCGTGACGGCGCTGACGGCGGGCTGAAAATCGCTCGTGCTCGGGCATTAGCGGGAGAGCTGCGACTGCCGTCCGCGCGTCGCGACGGGCCACCCCTTACCTAGTGCAATCGACTCCCGCTCCACCCCTCAAGCCCAGATACCGGCCACCGGGCTCGCTCCGCGCACCCAGAGCCTCGTCAGGCTGAGAACTCCGAGGACGGGCGCCTAGCAAGAGCACCGACGTCCTGGGACGCCCGAACGAGGCCCTCACAGCCACCCGTCTCTCGAGCGCGCGCGGCTCGAGCCCTGCGCGCGACCACAAGGCACCCTCGGGCGAAGAAGAGAGGCAGTCCCCAGCGTCTCACCCGCGGAAAGCGCCGCTGCTATCGTGCGCGCAAACAGCGAGCGGTCGTTCGCACAGAGGCATGCAGCGGGTGCTACGCCCAGAGCTGGGCGGGAACGCGTGCAGTCCTGAGCACCGCGAGAATGCGCCGGCGCCTCCGCGTCGCGCGGCCGTCGAGCCCGGCGCCCGGCGCGCGAGCGCTGCCCCACCGGGACCGTCCCACCGCGTAGGAGTAGGACGCCGCGCGGGGGGGGTGCGTCAGCCGGATCGAACCGCCGCCGCCGAACAAGGAGGCCGGCACCTCGCTGTGCAGGGCACATCGCGACAGCGGATACGTTTCTCGCAGCGTGGGCGTCGAGTCGGCCGCGGCACCGGTGATTAGCTGACTGCTCGTTCACTCACAGGCGAGGGCCTGGAATCAGCTCGCGACCGCAGCGGAGCGCGCACGATGGCGACAGGCGCGGAGCAGCTCGCGAAGGTGAGGCACCTCGGTCGTTCGCGACGCCGGGAGCGCGCGCCTGTTCGCGCGTCGTGTGGCGGGCAGAGGGGAACACAAGGGCGCTGGCGGCAACGAACTCTGGCCCGCGTGCGTTGCAGAACGGCACGCCCGCGGAGGAGTGCAAGCTCGAGGCCTGGTACATGGACTCTTCGGATGAGGACCAGCGCCAGCCGCACAGGTGCGCGCAACCACCAGCGGGGCACAGCCACGCACCCGCCGTGGAACTCAGCGCCCCCCGCGCTCGGCCCGCGCCCGGATACAGCTGCGAGGACGGTGCTCACGCTGAAGGCCTGCTGTCGTGCGCGCCGCTGCGCCAGGGCGAGCGCCACCACCTGCTCCACAGGCTCTCGGGCGACGCACCGCCGCCCCCGCGCGGCCCGCCGAGCCCTCGTATGCCCAGCACCACCCAGACATCCCTGTTCCTGTCACGCGCAGGCTGACTCCGAACAAGCCCTGCCCGCCGGAGACGCTGCGGGACCTGGGCGTGCTGTTCTGGAGGCTCGACGCCGACGACTACGAGAACGACCAACTCTACCAGGTCCGCGACCCCGCGCTCGTCCGCGACGTATCAAGGCGCCCGCCAGCGCCGCCGCGCGCCGCCGCGCGGCCCGTCTGATGCCCTGCGGTGCGTGGCCCCATGCCAGTGCAGACCATCCGCAAGGTGCGCGGATACGACTACGAGGACCTCGTCAACATCCACCCAGACACGCTGCCAGGTGCGCCCCCGCCGCACCCGCCCGGCCGCCACGTTCTGCCAGTTGACGGGGTGCAGGCGCTGGTCCAGGGTGCCTCGGTTCACCGCCGCCGCCGTAGCGCGGTGAAGCGACGGTACCTTGGACTGGCGCCTGAACACCGCGACTGGCAGGACGGCGGCCGCCGGCGGCCGCACATCCGACAAGGCGCGGCGACGCTACCTGCGCAAGCACGCAGCGCCCACTCGCCCCCGCGCGCGCCCGCGTCCGGCGCAGACTACGAGAAGAAGATTCGGGCGTTCTACGAGGAGCACATCCACGAGGACGAGGAGATTCGCTTCGTGGTGGACGGGTCGGGCTACTTTGACGTGCGCGACAAGGACGACGCGTGGATCCGGATCGACTGCCGGAAGGGCGACATGATCGTGCTGCCGGCGGGGATCTACCACCGCTTCACGCTCGACGCGAGCAACTACGTCAAGGCGCTGCGGCTGTTCGTGGGCGTCCCCGTCTGGACGCCGATCAACCGCCCCTGCGACGAACACCCCGCGCGCGTGCAGTACGTCGCGCAGCAGGGCATCACCGCGTGACGCGCGCGCAGGACGCGGCGGGACGTCCCTGCCCGCTGGCGCCCCGTGTGTGACTGATGGCGGGGGAGTTTTGCTTGTGAGTCGGTCTCGCGCGGTGCGCGGCCTGCGGAAGCCTTGCGCTCTGCGCAGGCGGTCGCAGTGGCACTCGACGTGATCTCCCCGCCGCGGCTGAACACATACTCACGCCGGCGACCGCGCTGTTGTTGCGCAGCGGCACCGAGGGGCGCTGCCCTCGCGCGCGTGAACGGGCTCGAACCGCGCCAATCCGCCGGTAGCCGTGTGGCTGACTGTAGCGTCGCGGTCGGGGGCGGGGGACTGTCGTTCACGATCCCCTCGATCCGCGGGCGCGGAGGCGTGTTGGCGGGCAGTTGTTGCACGGCGCGGTGCACCCGCGCGCGCGCCGGCGGGGCTCCGCCGGCTGCCGTCCATGAAGGCTGTTTGACGTGGGGTAAGGAGCGAGAGCGATGGGCCTGGAGAACTATCATGTGATCGAGCCGATAGGGGAAGGTTCGTTTGGGAAGGTGTACAAGGGCCGCAGGAAGTACACCGGGCAAATTGTGGCCATCAAGTTCATCCTGAAGCACGGGAAGAGCGAAAAGGACATCCGCAACCTGCGCCAGGTGTGTTCGCGTGGCAGCAGCGGCCCTCGCGGCGCGCCCGTGCAGCAGCAGCTGAGAGCGGGCCTCGGAGCCCGCCCCGGAGCGTCCTCGCGGAGCCCTCGCGCGCGGACGTGCAAGCCCCCTCAACGGAGCAGACCACCGCGATCCAGGCCGAGCGTCGGAGGCCCGCCCGCGGCCAGCCGGGAGCTCCCCGCGCCCTCCGGAGCCCCCTCCCTCTCTCGCGCTGCCCGTCGCAGGAGATCGAGATCCTGCGGTCGTTGAAACACGAGAACATCATCCAGATGCTCGACTCGTTCGAGACCCGCTCGGAGTTCTGCGTCGTCACAGGTACGCGCCTCTCGCCCGCACCGCCACCCGCCCTCCGTCCCCCGCTGCCACCCAGCCACGGCAGCCCACCGCCCCCCAGACCCCCCTCCGCCACCACAACTCCCTCCCTCCACCGCACCCGCACCCGCACGCGGCGCACGCGCCCCCGCCCGCGCCGCGCCCACCAACCTCCTCCTCCCCCCTCCCCGCCACAGAGTTCGCGCACGGCGAGCTGTTCGAGATCCTCGAGGACGACAAGTCGCTCCCGGAGGAGGCCGTGCAATCCGTGGCCAAGCAGCTCGTCCGCGCGCTGCACTACCTGCACTCGAACCGCATCATCCACCGCGACATGAAGCCCCAGAACATCCTCGTCGGAGGTGCGCGCGAGACGCCGCGCTGGCCACGCCGCGCCCGCGACTGCCTGCCGCGCGCGCGCGGCCACGCTGGTCCGCGCGCGCTGCGGCGGCTGCCCAGCGGGCGCTGCAGGCCCTGCGCGCTGCCGCCGCGCCGCCCGCGCGCGCTCACCGTCCCCGCGCCCGCTCCCCTCGCACGCAGCGCTGGGCACGGTGAAGCTGTGCGACTTCGGGTTCGCGCGCGCGATGTCGAACAACACGCAGGTGCTGACGTCGATCAAGGGCACGCCGCTGTACATGGCGCCGGAGCTGGTCCAGGAGCAGCCGTACAACCACACCGTCGACCTCTGGTCCCTCGGCATCATCCTGTACGAGCTCTACGTCGGGCAGCCCCCCTTTTATACCAACTCGATCTACACCCTGATCCAGCACATCGTGAAAGACCCCGTGCGGTTTCCGTCGAGCATGTCCGCGGACTTCAAGGCCTTCCTCCGGGGCCTCCTCTGCAAGCGCCCGCAGGACCGCCTCACGTGGCCCGCGCTGCTCGACCACCCGTTTGTGCGCGAAACCGAGGGCGAGCGGTCCGCGCGCGAGGACCGGCTCGCTGAGGCCGTTGCGGCCGCGCAGGGCTCGCTCGGGTGGAAGGGCGAGGGCGGCGCGGTGGCCGGTGCGGCGGCGGCGCTGCACACCAGCGACGTGGGGGGCAACAGCGCGGCGCGGGACCCGCGGGCGGCGGGGGAGCAGCCGACGACGCCGGGCGCGCAGGCCGGCGGCGGAACGCCTGCGCGCGGCACGCGCGGGGCGGTGCCGTCGCGGAAGCTGCAGGCGCTGCGGTCGCGGCTGCCGGCGCCCGATGGGCGGCGCGAGCGCGCGGCGCGGGCGGGTCGCCCGGGCAGGCGGCGGGGCGCGGGGAGACGGACGCGGCGAATGACCCGCTGGCTTGGGCGGAGGAGCGCTGCGGGACGCCGCGCGGCGCCGCGGAGGTGTGGGCGAAGGCGGCGGTCGTGGAGGCGCTGGTCGAGCAGCTGCGCGGGTGCGAGGAGGCGTCGGGGGGCTCGGACTGCGGGCGCGCGCTGGCGCTGGCGGCGTCGATGCTCGCGAGAGACCCGGGGCGCGTGGCGGGCAAGCAGGCGCAGTCGGTGCTCAACGCGGTGCTGGGCATCGCGCGGGCGTGCCAGACGTCGCTGCACCACGCGCTCGAGACGGGGGCGGCCCCGGGGGCCGCGCAGCTGGCGAACATGGGCGCGGCGGCGCGGGCGACCGCAGCTGCCGAGTCGGTCGTGTTCGCGGAGCCTGGCGTGGAGTGGGACGGCCATCTGGTGACGGGGCCCGGGTGCCTGGACATGTACGTCGCGGGGCTGCGGCTGGCGGAGGAGAGCGCGGAGCGGGGCGTCGCGGAGGCCGCGCTGGGCGCGTTCGCCGCGACGTGCGAGAGCGTGCGGGCGGCGCTGCTGCGGGCGCACGTGGCAGCGATGGACGTGCGCTCGCGCGTGCACAAGGACGTCGGCGCGCTGCTGGACGCGGCGACGGGCCCGCGCGACGTGCTGCCGCGCGCGTGCCGCGTGCTGGTGGTGGCGGTCGGCCGCGGGGACGCGGCGGCGGCGGGGTCGTGCTGTGGGCTGCTGTCGGCAGTGGTGCAGGCCGGGGCCGGCGCGGCGGGCGCGGGGCAGGTCAGCCAGACGCTGCAGCTGCCGCTCGCGGCGACGATCGCGCAGGCGAAGGTCCGCGACGCCACGCACGTGCACACGTGGCTGTCCACAGCGCGCACGGCCGCGGCTCGCACCCTCACCTCGATCCCAGGCGCGGCGTCCGCGCTGCTGTGCTGCTGCAAGCCCCAGGGCATCCCCGCCGCGGACGGCAGCGGCACGCGGCAGCTCACGGACGCCGCGGCGCTCGCGGCGCTGCAGGTCCTGCTGCACAGCCTGCGCTGGGGGCCCAACCTCGCCGACAGCCTGGCGCGCGAGGGCGCGTGCCAGGCGCTCCTGGACGCGGCCGAGACCCGCAACGGTCCCTGTGCGCTCCTCGCGCTCGCCGCGCTCGTCCGCGGCCTCGACGGCCTCCGGTGCAGCGGCAGCGTCCCCGGCGACGCCGGCGTGGCAGCTCTCAACGCGCCGGGGCGGCAGCTGCCGTTCGGCCAGATCGGGACGCTGCTGCAGATGGCGGCGGCGGACGAGACCTGCGCGGCCGCGGCCTGCGAGTGTCTGGCCGCGCTGGCGGAGCTCGCTACGCCGCCGCAGCATGCGCTGGGGGACTGCCCAGAGGTACAACAGCGGCCGGACCTGACGGCGGACGCGCGGCTCGCCGTGATGCGAAGGATCCTGTCGCACAAGGGCGCCGCCGGGCTGGCGCCCGCGGAGGGCCCCGTGCCGTGCGTGGGGTCGTGCGACGGCGTGGCGTGCATCGTGGCGGCGCTTCTGGGCGCGGGGGCCGGCAGCGACGCGGGGCAGGTGGTGATCCGGTCGGGCCTGGGGAACATCATCGCGGAGACGGTCGCGTCGATGTCGTCCGCGGTCGCGCAGCTCTCCCCGCGCGGCGTCGTCGCGGCCGTGCAGGCGCTGGTGGCGCTGGCGGGGCGCGACGGGCTGGGCGCGCGGCTGCTGCTCACGGCGGGGCTCGTGGAGTCGCTGCTGTCGCTCATCTCGCCGGCGCACCTCGACAACGTGCAGGCGTGGCCGGAGCAGCTCGGCGGCGGCGAGCAGGGCGCGCGCGTGCTGGTGTCGGCCGTGTGCATGCTGCTCAGCAGCCCGCTCTCGCAGCCCCAGGGCGGCGCCGACCAGGGCATCCAGGCGCTCAACCAGCTCCTCCTCCGCCACGGCGCCGTGCGCGTCGCCGCGGGCGCCCTGCAGCGCCTGCCCCCGCTCGACGGCGCGCCGACGCTGGGCCTCATCACGCGGCTCGTCCTGCTGTCGATGGCCTTCGTCCCGCAGCTCATCGAGGGCGGCGGCCTCGAGCCGGACGGCCTCGCGCGCTTCCTCGCCGCGCCCGGGCAGGCGCCCGGCGTCCTCATGGACGCCCTGCTCGTGCTGTCGCAGGCGGCGCGCGTGGCCAAGGAGAACTACGACGCCCTGTCGCGCGCGCGCCTCCTGCCGCACCTCGCGGGCTGCCTGCACCACGCGGAGCCCGGCGTGCGCGCCAAGGCGTGCAACCTCCTCGGCAACATGTGCCGCCACTCCCCCTTCTTCTACCCCGCGCTGCACTCCGAGGGCCTCGTGGCGGCGCTGGTGGACCTGTGCGGCGACGGGGACCCCGCGACGCGGAAGTTCGCGTGCTTCGCGGTCGGGAACGCCGGGTTCCACTCGGCCGCGCTGTACGGCGAGCTGCGCCGCGCCGTGGCCCCGCTGGTGGCGCTGCTCTCGGACCCCGACCCGAAGACGCGCGCGAACGCGGCGGGCGCGCTGGGGAACCTCGTGCGGAACTCGGACGCGCTGTGCGGAGAGATCGTGTCGGTGGGCGCGCTGGACGCGCTGGTGGGCCTCGTGCAGCGCGAGGAGCAGCTGGCGGCCGAAGGCGGCGTGGTCGACGCGAGCAGCCCGCTCAAGGTGGCGCTGTTCTCGCTCGGGAACATGTGCGCGTACCCCGCGTGCAAGCGCGCGCTCGAGACCGACGCGTTCCGGGACCTCCTGCAGCGCCTGGAGGTGTCCCCGGACCCCACCACGCAAAAGTACGCCCGACGCGTCGTGGGGAAGCTCAAGGGCGTGTGACGCGATGCCGTGGCCGAGGCGCGGTGGCGCGCCAGCGCCAGTGTGTTGTCCGGTGCCCGTTCCCGCCCTGGCAGGCAATACACCCCCTGGGTTGTCCGACTCTGGTGTGTCAGCCTGTGCGGCTGCCGCACCGGCTCGTTGGAGCGCGCGCAGGCGCGCGCGAGCATCGCAGGCGTAGCCGGGACGTGGGTGTCGTTTTGCTGGAAGCAGCGGATGCGCGGGTGTTCGTGCGACGTAGAGGGAGCGACGTGAAGACAGTGAGAGGGGCACCGAGGGGACGCACAGGATGGGGGACGAGAAGATCCTCGTCACGGGGGGCGCGGGGTTCATCGGGAGCCACCTGACGGAGAAGCTCGTGGCCATGGGTCACAGGGTGGTCGTGCTGGACAACTTCGACCCGTTTTACGACGAGAAGGTCAAGCACAAGAACATGGAGGGCTACATGGCCTCGGGGATGGTGGATTTCGTCCAGGGCGACATCCGGGACATGGACACGTGCAAGTGAGTGCAGGCGCGCCGCGCGGTGTGCCTGAACGCGCTCCCGCTGCACGTGCGGGGCGGAACCCGCGTGTCCCGGGCCTTCTGCCCGCTGCGGCGGTGCGGCCGCGACAGGCTCTCTCGGCGGTCGAGAGCGGCGGGATAGGTGCTTGGAGATCGGAGAATCAGTTGGCGCGGCATGCGAACCCGCAGCACCCACACTGCGCCACACGCGCCTCTCTTTGCCTTTGCGCACTTGCATGACACAGGCCGCGGGCCTGAACGCGCCGATGTCCGCTCAGGCGCAGCCAGCGCATTGACGCGTCGACCAGCGACCGTATCGCCGGGAATCCAAGCCCGCGGTCGCCCTGCGGCATCCCACAGCTCCGGCGCAAGGCCCCGCCAGCGCCTTCGGCCCAGGAGCCGCGCAACCCTGCCGCGCGCACGACCAGCGGCAACCCCGACAGCATGACGATACACGAATCTCTACGCAGCGATCGCGTTCCCGTCCTCTCGTCCCACCGGCGCGCCACCCGGGCGCGCACCCCTCTGCAGAAAGGTATTCGCCGAGCACAAGATCACGCGCGTGGCGCACCTGGCGGGCAAGGCCGGCGTGAGGCCCTCGCTCGAGGACCCGATCGTCTACGAGGAGGCACGTTCGCCCGCGCCCGCGCCCGCCGCTCCCTCCTGGCGCGCCACCGCCCTGCCCGACCCCGCGCGGCACCCGCGCGCGGCCCGCAGGTGAACTGCCGCGGCACGCTCAACCTGCTGGAGTGCGCGAAGGACCCGCGCGTCGCGATGTTCGTGTTCGGGTCCTCGTCGTCGGTGTACGGGTGCTGCCCGCGCGTCCCCTTCAGCGAGGACGACCACGACCTCGTCCCCATCTCCCCCTACGCCGCCTCGAAGCTCTCCGGCGAGGCCTACTGCAAGACGTTCCACCACCTCTACGGCATCCCCATGGTCATGCTGCGCTTCTTCACAGTGTACGGGCCCCGGCAGCGGCCCGACCTGGCCATCAGCAAGTTCACGCGGCTCGCGTTCAACGGCGAAGAGATCCCCATGTTCGGCGACGGCAGCACGCGCAGGTCCGGGCCGGGCGCGGGGGGCCCACGCCCTGCTGCGGTGGTTGTTGTTGTTTGGCGACGTGTGCGCCCGCGCGGGAGGGCTCACGCGGGGCGCTCGGTGCCGCGTGCGCGCAGGGACTACACGTTCGTGTCGGACATCGTGCAGGGCATCGTCGCGGCGCTGTTCAGCAGCCTGCAGTGCGAGGTGATCAACTTGGGCAACAGCAACCCGACGACGCTGACGGAGCTCATCGACCGCGTGCGGACGGCCACGGGGAAGGAGCTGAAGATCAAGCCGCTGCCCGTCCAGGCGGGCGACGTGCCGCAGACGTACGCCAACGTCAGCAAGGCCGAGCGGCTCCTGGGGTACAAACCCTCGACCACAACCAAGGAGGGCGTGCCGCGGTACGTCGAGTGGTACCGCAGCGTGTACGGCGTCAAGTAGTGCAGCGCCGCGGTGTGATTCGCTGAGCACGCCGGGCCCGCGGGCGTCGCCCGCCGCGGAGATGCGCCGCGGCCGCAACACACGTGCCGCGCTGGCGACGGTGCGCGGCGCTGCGCTGGACGGCCCCGCACCGACGAGCGCCTGACATCCGGGAGGCCTGCGCGGTGCGCGCGGTGTTCGCACCGCGACCCGCGCGCAGCCAGCGACGGGCAGCACCAGAGCCCGCGGGCGCGCGCGCCCGCGCGGCTGGCGAACGCCGCGCCGGCGCTAACGCCGTCGGCACGGCCGTACGCGCTGTGCGCGGCCGCGGCGGGGGTCCGCGTGCGGGCTGGCCCTGCAGCGGCGCAGTGCGCGGCGGTGCGAGGTCTGTTGCTGGCAGCTGACCAGTGCCCGGGACGACCCCTGCGTGCGCGCCGGGGCGGTGCGGGCGCGGGCCACGAGGGCACGGCCGCGCGCATGCACACGCGTATACGCGCGCACGTTGCTGGCGAGAAAGATCCTCGCGCGGCGCGACGGAGAGCTGCTCTGCCGCTGCGTGGACGTGCGGGAGGAGACAGGCACCTGGTCCACGACGCGGGCCCTGCGCGCCGGCTGCGGCGCCGCGGACACAGCGCGCTGACTGCGCGGTAGAGGGACGGAGCCGGCAGGATGGGTCTCATGCCCCGGGCGAAGCCCAGGGTGCATCACCACGACGAGGACAAGCAGGACCCGGAGATGGCGCACCGGCTGCGCCCGGACCTCGCGGACGACGAGTCCGAGACGTCCTCGGTCGACGACGTCCAGGGGCGCGGCCAGGGCGTGCGGGAGATGGTCAAGGCGACGCTGGGAGCGCGCGAGTTCGTGCTCTATGTGCTCTTCGTGGTGCTCTTCTCCATCGGTGCGCCCCCGCGCGGTCCCTGCGCTGCCTGCGCGCCGCATGCTCATTACGCCGGCTCCGGGAAGCGCGAGGGCCGCGAACGTCGTCGCCCCGGCGCGCCGGGACCGCGGGTCGGTTTTCATCGCGCGCGTGCATGGCATGGGGGCCGTTGCGCGGCCGTGGGGCCGCGGGTTGTGGGCGTGCGGCGGCCAGGGACGCAGCGCGTGTACCTCGCCGGCCGCTGACGCCCCGCGCGGAGCCGCTCCGGCCCACGCGCGCGCGGCGCCCCCGCGTGGTGGACCAACGGAGCGCTCGCCGACCCGGAGCACGCGGCGGCCGCAGCGCCCTGACGCGACGCCCCCCGCCGCCTGCGGTGCAGTGACGTTCAACTCGAAGCCCGGCACGGAGCAGTACTACCTCAACGTGATTCACCGGGACAGCTTCCGGCCGGAAGGCGTGGACTCCGTACAGCAGACGTACGCGTTCCTGAGGGGGGATTTGGCGGACAGAATGTACCCTCAGACGGACTCGAACGGTGCGCGGCCCCCCGGACCCGCGACTCGCGCGCGCCTCCGCCCGCTGCGGCAGGCCATGCCCCTCCCGCGCTCGCTCCCCGCGGGCCCACCGACGCCGCCCGGCCGTCCCCTCCCGCGCGCGCCCCGGCGCTCCGTCGATGCTCTCGCCCCGGCCGCCCCCCGCGCGCCCTCGCGCGCGCACCGCCCCCGACCGCGCCCCCCGCTCTCGCCCGCGCCCGCAGGCAACATCCTCGGGCCGCTGGCGCGGCTCCAGGTGTCGGCGCGGTCCCGCCAGGTGGGCGCGATGCGCATCCGGCAGGTCCGCACGAACCTGACGCTGTGCGAGGACCTCCCGTCGCGGCTGAAGACGCTCAACACGGGCAACGACGCAGAGGTGCAGCAGACGCGGTGCATGGAGCCGTACAGCGGCGGCAACCAGCTGCGCGAGCCGATCTGGGCGAACGGCACGGCGGAGCTCATCGAGCTGCAGGACTTCACGCTGCCCTTCAACTGGCAGGACACGGACCAGCTCAACACCTCCAACATCGCCACGTTCTTCGGCGACCACGGGAGCTACCGGCAGAGCGGGTACGCGCTCGACGTGGTGCCGAACATCGCGCCGAACTTCCTCGCGCAGGAGTTCCGCGCGTGCCGGAACTTCATCCAGCGCTCGATAGACCAGTGCGCGGCCGACCAGGGGGTGGACCAGGTGGCGCCCGCGACGAGCCCGCCGGCGACGCAGCCCCCGGCGACGGAGCCCCCGCGGTCGAACCCGAACGGCCCGGCGTTGCTCGCCGCGGAGGGCAACGTCGTGTCGGACCCGCAGAACCAGTACAGGTTCAGCATCGTGTCGAGCACCACGTTCGGGCAGGCGGACCAGACGCGGATCCTCAAGTACACGCTGCTGAACAACGGGTCGACGGTGTCGCAGTTCGAGATCACCATCCGCGACGCGAGCGGGAACGTGGTGCAGGCGCCCAACTGGCTGCGGGTGCAGCAGGCCGGGCAGCGCATCGTGGTCAACCCGAAGACGACGCTCCCCGTGGACATCCAGGTCAACAAGGACGACGTCGAGTACGCGCAGGTCAACAACGGCGCCACGCAGCGCGCCTCGGGCGCGCCCGTGTTCATCCACTTCACCGACACGCTGCAGCCGCCGCCGGCCAACCCCTCGGGCCGCGCCATCATCGAGCTGTCGCTCTTCTACTCGAAGCCCCCCGCGCGCCGCCAGGCGCGCTCCAAGCTCGCGCACGGCGTCGCGGGCGCGCTCGGCCCCGAGAACCGCCGCGCGCCGCGCTCCGCCGCGGGCCGCCGGCTGAGCCAGTCGAGCAACGGGACGTGCGAGGAGATCGTCCCGCTGCGGATGTACCCGGGGCTGGACCTGTCGAAGTGCAAGCGCCTCCCGAACATCCCGGACCAGTGCGAGCTGCGCTACGTGTCGCTCCAGCAGGCCGTCAAGTACATCGACGGCGACGTGTGCGGGCGGTGCGCGTGCGCGTCGCCGACGGACGGGCGGTGCCTGCAGACGTGCAGCGCGAAGGCGCTGTTCCTGGAGCAGCTGAGCATCCTGCAGCAGTACGCGTGGCTGTCGGACAACACGCGCGCGGTGGTGATCGACATCCCGCTGCTGTCGCAGGAGACGGCGCTGTTCACGACGGTCCGCAGCGTGATCGAGTTCCCCTACTTCGGCGGCGTGTTCCCGACGGTCGAGACGCTGACGTACCGCCTCTTCCGCTACGTCACCCAGGGCGACCTCATCGTGCTGGTGCTCGAGTTCATCTTCCTGGCGATGACGCTGTACTACACGGTGCAGGAGGTCATCGAGATCGCGCGCTCCAAGCTCGCGTACCTCCGCGAGGCCTGGAACTACATCGACTGGGCCAACCTGATCATCATCTACACCGTCTTCGGGCTCCGGCTGGCCTCCTACCTCGAGATCCGCTCCAGCGACATCTCCTCCTTCTCCGTCGTCTACACGGACTACCCCTCCCTCGGCGTGTTCGCCACGCAGGAGCTCAACGTCGCCGCGTTCAACTTCTTCCTGCTGTACTTCAAGTTCTTCAAGTACCTGAGCCACGTGCCCAGGATGGACGCCATCCTCGCCACCATCGCCGCCTCGGCCTTCGACCTCTGCCTCTTCGCGCTCATGGGCGCGGTCGTCATGTTCGGGTTCGCCGCCGCGTTCTACTCGTCGTTCGGGCAGGAGGTCAAGGCGCACTTCACCGTCGCCGACTCCATGGGCACGCTCTGCCGGATCCTCCTCGGGGACTTCGACTACGAGTCCCTCAGCGACGCCAACGCCATCATGGGTGCGCCGCCCCGCGCCGCCCTCTCGCACACCCCTCCCTGCCGCCCACGCGCACCGCACCGCATCTCACCTCCCCGCCGCCCCGCCCCCGTGCCCGCAGCCCCGCTCCTGTTCTACTCGTTCATCCTGGTGGTCTTCTTCATCCTCCTGAACATGTTTTTGGCCATCGTCAACGACGCGTACGCCGAGGTCAAGGGGAACCAGTCGGAGGAGGACCTCAACTTCTACATCAACCTCAAGGACAAGATCGCGTCGCGCCTGCGCCGCCTCATGGGCAAGAAGGACGCGATCAACCAGCTCGCGCGCGACCTCATGGACGAGGGCCGCCTCGCGGACGGGTACCTCGACATGGACGAGCTGCGCGAGGCCCTCAAAGACAACCCGCGCGCGCTCGAGGTGCTGGAGACGACGAGCGTCGCGGAGCTGATGAAGAAGTACGACGTCAACCGCGACGGCAAGCTCTCGCGCGACGAGCTCGTCGAGATCCTCAAGGAGCTGGCGGCGCGCGAGGCGACGCTGACCAACCGCATCGAGGACGTGCGCGGGCAGGCGGACGCGGGCGCGCACGCGGGCGCGATGAACATGGCGCGTATGGCGGCCATGGCGGGCGGCGGGATCGGCGCGGCCGAGATCCAGGCCATGGAGAGCAAGCTGGACAAGATGGAGGGAGACATCAAGGACATGTCGCGGCAGGTCGCGAAGAAGATGGCGCTGCTCATCGAGCTCTGCATGGGCCTCTCCGACCAGGTCCAGGCCGCCGTGTCCGGCATCCAGCGGCCAACGTCCTCCTAGGGCGCCAGCTACCATCGATTACGTCATGCACATACCGCCCCAGCCGCCCAGCGCGGAGCGAAATACAACGATTGTGTGACCTCTCGTGATGCCGCCGAGCCCCGCGGTCACACGCGCGCCCCGCCGGTCACGCGCCCCCCCGCAGCCGCTTGCCAAACGCAGCCACGTCGAAGTCCTCCGCGTACCGCTCCTCGTCGGCCACCTTCTTGTCGAGCTCCTCCAGCATCGCCTGCAGCCCGCCCTTGCGCTGTTTGCTCCCCGCCGTGACCTCTCCGAGCGCGTCGACGCCCGTCGCGTCGCCCGCCGCGGCGGCCTCGCCCACCTCGCCCCCGCCGGAGCCGAACAGGTCCAGGAGCTTCGAGGTGTCCATCGACTTCATCGACACATTGTCCGCGTTGACGACCGCGCCCGCGACGTCGAGCTTGAACTGCTGCAGGGACATGATGCGCTCCTCGAGCGTCCCGCGCGTCAACAGCCGGTACACGTTCACCGCGCGGCGCTGCCCGATGCGGTGCGCGCGGTCCATCGCCTGGAGGTCCTTCTGCGGGTTCCAGTCGTGCTCCAGGAACACGACCGTGTCCGCCGCCGTCAGGTTCAGCCCCAGACCCCCCACGTGCGTCGTCAGCAGCATCACGTCCACCGACGGGTCGTTGTTGAACGTCTGCGCCACGCCGAACCGCTGGCTCGCCTCCACGCTGCCGTCCAGACGCACCCATGATGCCCCCAGCGGCCGCAGCACGTCGTCCTCCACGATGTCGAGGAGGGCCTTGGCTTGGCAAAACACCAGGATGCGGTGCCCCGCGTCGCCGCCGCCGCCCTCGGCCCCCGCGCCGTCCTCGCCCTCGTCGGAGCTCGACCCGATGCCGCAGCCGAGGAGCAGGTCCCGCAGCGCGCGCAGCTTCGGGGCGTGCGAGAGATCCCGCAGCGCTGCGCGGGTCGCGCCGAGCAGCTTGTCGGGCGGCATCGACGCCGCGCCGGACACGCCGAGGTCCTCCTCGATCGCCTGGACGTGCTCGGGCGAGGACGTGTCCAGCGCCAGCACGGGGTGCGCGCACAAGCGCCGCATGTACTGCAGGGCCTGGAACACGTGCGGGGGCGCGGGCGCGCCGCCGTCGGACGCCTTGGCGTCCCCGGGCACCGGCTGGCCCGCGGCGCCGCGTGCGTCCTCCATGATGCGCTGGAGCCGCAGCTGGAACGGCGAGGGATCCACAAATATGTCTTGGATGGTCTTCGGCGGCAAGTCCTTGAGGACCTGACCCTTGGTGCGGCGGAGGATGAAGGGCATCACGCGCTTGTGGAGGCCCTCGAGCGCGAGCACCGCCTCCTCGCCGTCCTTCATGCCGCGCCCGGACGCCCGCGCGACGCGCACCGACCGCCCGTAGCGCACATTGAACTCCTTCTCGGTGCCCAGCAGCCCTGCGAGAACGAGGACGGCCGCGCGAGGGACCGCGGTCTCGGAACCGCGTGCGCGAGGCAGCTGCGCGCCCCGGCGGGCCCGGACGCGGCGCCGCTCACCTGGCATGAGGAAGTCAAAGAGGGACCAGAGCTCCAGGAGGTTGTTCTGGATCGGCGTGCCGGAGAGCAGGAGGCGGTGGCGCGCGACGATGCCGGCCGCCGCGATGGCGATCTTGGACTTGGACGACTTGATGATGTGCCCCTCGTCCAGGATGGCGTAGTCCCACCGCTGGGAACGGACCCACTCGGCCTCGGAGCGAAGCGTCTGCGAGGCGGTTGAGCCAGGCACGCGGTGGGGGGGGCTGTGCATGGCACGCAGGCCGCGCGAGCGTGGGCGTCGCGGCCGCTCCGGCTGTCGTGTCGCACCTCGTACGACATGACGACCAGATTTCTCTCCTGCGGCCCGGTGCCGACGGAGGGGCGCAGCGCGGCGCGTGCCGAGGCTTGGCCCTGGTACGAGAGCGGCCGGAGGACGTCCGCGGGGATGAACTTGGCCACCTCGTGGCACCAGTGGTCGACGAGCGTGGAGGGGCTCACCACCAGCGACGGCAGCGGCGCCTCGCCGGGCAGCCCGGAGCGCTGGTGCCGCTCCGCGTAGTCGTGCATCGAGGACCCGACGATGATGCTCGCTTGCAGGGTCTGCGGTAGCGGACGTGCGGGAGGCCGCGCCATGAGCGTGTGAGCAATGCGCGACGATGCAAACACAACGCCCGCACGGCGTCCGTCAGGGATTCTACCTTTCCGAGCCCCATGTCGTCCGCGAGCACGCCGTGCAGACCGAAGCGCCGCAGGAACGCGAGCCAGTTGATGCCCTCCTGCTGATACGACCGCAGGTCTGCCTTCACCTCGATCGGAGGGCGCCAGTCCGCACACCGCGACCTGTCCAGGATCTGCTCCAGCAGCACGGAGTCCTTCTTGAGCTGCTCCGCCTGCGCCGGCGTCAGCCCCGGCGGCGGCGGCTGCCCCTGCGCCAGCGGCAGCAGCGGCACCGCCAGCCCAAACGCGCCCGTCGCCAGGCGCCTGACGTCGGCGTCGGGGTCCGACATGCGCGCGAGGAACGGCGTCAGCAGCAGCGGCACGTACGGAACCAGCACGGTCGGATCCAGCGAAGAGATGATCGACGTGAGCGCCTCTGCAGCGCCCCGCCGCGCGGCATCCGACGTCATGTCGGCGAGCATCGCGGACAGCAGGTTGAGGGCCTTCGGCATGATTTCCCCCGGCTGCCACGTGGAGAGCTTCGCGATGCACTGCGACGCCGTGGCTCGGAAGACCTCCCCCGGGCTGCGCAGGACGCCCGCGCACGCAGGCAGCAGCGCGGTGATCTGCGGGGCGAGCCCGGCATCGAACGCGCACGCCAGCGTGCCGAGCAGGTGCAGCGTGTCGAGCTCAGCCTGCCCCATCGCGTCGGGCGCGGGCCCACCGGACGCGAGCGCCCCCGACACCGCCGCCCAGAGCCCCGGCGCCCTCCGCGGCGCCTCCACGCCGAGTCGCCGCAGCAGCGCCCGCAGCGCGCTCGCGGGGCCCTGGACGCCCTCGGCCGCCGCGACCGCGCCGCTCGCGTCGGCCCGCGGCGCCACCGCCACCGCCATCTTGCACAGGTTCCCCACAACCTTCTCCGCGGCTTTCTGGCCCTCCGCGCGTACCGCGAGCGACGCGAGCGCCTCCGCTGTCCTGTCGCTCAGCGTGCTGTCCGCCTCCTGGCGCACCGACGCCATCAGCGGCTTGATGATGCCCGCCAGTTTGTCGGGCAGCGGGCCCGACCGCAGCCGCGCGTCCGCGACCGCGGCGAGCACCGCGCGATGGATGCGCTCGCCGTAGTCCAGCACCGCGTTCGCGCTCTTGCCGACCTGGAACCACGACGTGCTGATCGAGTTCGCGAGCTCTGCGTCCGAGGCTTCCGGGCAGGGGCCCGCAACCAGCTGCGCACACCCGGCGGCGGTCGGCGCGTCCCACGTCATCCCCGCCGGGGCGGGCAGGTCGACGCCGAGCTTGGCTACGAGCGTGCGCAGCGCGAGCGCCTGCGCGCGCAGCGTCTCGAGCCACCCCTGCAGCTCCACGTACCCAACGTCCGCGGCGGCGAGCGCGCTGGTTGCCGCCAGGTGCCGGGCGAGGACGTCGGCGAACCGCGACGGCGCGCTGCTCTCTGCCGCTCCGGAGCAGTCCCCCGCCGCGGCGAGAGTGGACGCCGCGAGCAGCCGGCCACAGAAGCTCGGCGAGGGTGCGGTGAGCAGCTGTGCTGCGCGCGACGCCACCAGGTCGCCGGCGGCCGGCGTGCGCGGCGTGACGAGCTCTCCGAGGGCTGTCGCGACCGTCAGCAGCCCGCACAGCATCTGCGCCTCCCCCTGCGCGCCGGGCACGTACGCCGCAGCCCTGCGCCACCTCCGCTGCCCCTTCTCGCCGCCCGCCATGTCGCGCACGACGTCGAGCGCCTCGCGGTCGGGAGGCTGGTTGACCGGCGTCGCGCACACCTGGAACCACGCGCGCACCGTCGAGGCCGCGCACGCGCCCTCCACCGCGCCGGGCGACGCTGCCGCCAGCGAGTGCCGCCACACGCGCCCGCACTCCGCGCGGATGCCCCCGTCCTCCTCCGTCAGCATCGCGAGCAGCAGCGCGCTCAGTACGCGCGGGAGCGCCGCGTCCAGCCACAGCGCCGCCGCGTTCGGCATCCTGCACAGCCGCCCCGCCGCCTGCACCGCTGCCCGCCGCACGTAGGCCATCGGGTGCGCGAGGAACGGCAGGCACCGCGGCGCGCGGTCCGCGAGCCCCGCGGACGCGAGCGCGAGCCGCGCGGGATCGCACTCGCCCGCCCCGCCGCGCGCGTCCAGCAGCAGCTCGTAGACCTTGGACAGCGAGGACATCGACGACGCGCAGAACGGGTCCAGGTCGTCGGCGGTCCGCAGCGAGCCCCACATCTTCTCGAGCACGACTGGGAGGTCGGGGTGGGGGCCTGCGGCGGGGTCCGTGCCGGTGAGGACTTCGAGGATCGTGTTGAGGCCTTCGGCAGCCTCGACCTGACAGGCGTCTTCCTTGTCAGACAGGCGGTCGCGCAGGACGGGGACGACGCGGTCGACGACGAGGGCGCGCGGCACGGCGGCGCTCGCGAGGAGGTACTTGATGCCGAGCAGGCCGCCCTGGCGCGCGGGCCACGGGTCGGCCTCGCACAGCGTGGCCAGCGCCTCGACGACCAGCCGCGCCTGATGCTCCGAGAACGCCTGGCCGAGGGACCCGAGGGCCTGCGCAGCCGTCTCGCGCACAGGCCCGACGACGCGCGACGCCTGGATGTCGGACAGCCGGTCCAGCGCGAGCACGGCGATCAGGCGGCACGCGCAGTCCTCCACCCATGCGGTGTGCCGCGCGAGGGACGCCGCGGCCGCGTCCGCGCCCATCGGCGCCGCGAGCGGCTCGCCCGCGTCACTGAACGGCGCCACTTCGCCCGCGTCCGGCACGTACTGCACCGCGCAGCTCCGCGCATGGTGCACCAGGATCTCACGCAGCGCCGCCGCCGCGCCGTGCCGCGCCTCCCACGCCGGGTCGACCAGCGCGTGGCACAGCTCGTCGCACAGCACCTGGAACGGCCAGCTGCCCGCGCAGATCCGCTCCCACTCCGCGTCCAGGTCCTGCGCCCACACACACACAACACACCCCTCACGCCGCGGACAGCCCGCCACGAATAACACACACCGCCGCGCCGTCGCCGCGCACCTGCTCGACCGTCATCGTCCCGAACAGCGACCCCCCCGCGCCCCCGGCGCCCTTCTGCCGCTTCCCGCCGCGCTCGTCCTTCCCCGCCCGCTTCTGCTTGCGCTTCATCATCATGCGCTCCCGCGGGGTCAGCCCCGCCATGCCCTCGACGACCTCCCCCGCGTCCGGGTGCTCCACGCGCGCCGCCGTCGCGTCCGTGTCGTCCAGGTCCTCCACTTTCACCCCCAACATGGCCGTCACGTCCACGCCCGCCCGCGAGAGACCGCCCTCGGGGTCCAGGCCGAACTCCTCGACCAGCTGCTTCCGCAGCAGCTCGCGGCGCTCCTCGGGCTTCATGCTCCGCAGCTGCGCCTCCCACTCGAGCTGGTCCTTGGTCGCGCCCTTCACCAGCTCGGCGCCGGTGGCCAGGATGTCGGTCACGCGCAGGTTCGCGAGGGACAGCCGGCCGATGCCGCCGTCGGTGACCACGGCCGGGGCGGCGCCCGCGTCGCCGTCCTCGCGCTTGACGGGCGCGGGCGCGTCGCCCGCCGCGGCGCGCATGGCGTCGCCGGTGGGGTGCCGGTAGTGCCGCGCGATGAGGCCGAGGGCGCCGGCGGCCTCCGCGCGGGTGTCCCATGAGGGCGACGTGAGGAAGGGCGCGATCTGCCAGAGGAACGCCGGGAGCTGGCGCGTGTGCGAGGCGCATAGGTCGGCGAGCTGTTTGCCGGCCTCCCGCTTCACCAGCGCAGTCGAACCGCCTGCGCGCGCGCCGCGAGGGGATGGGGCTCGCGGTTGACGCGTGCAGTCGCTGTGGGATGCGATTCTGCGGCCGGCGGACGCGGCGCGCGCGAGCAGCCACGCGCGGCGCCGATGCTGGGCCAGAAACGTCGCCCGGCCGCGCAATAGAGCCAGTATCTCGGAGCAGGGCGCGGCAGATTCGATGTTCAAAGCAACATGCGCCGTGTGACGTGAGTGTCGCTCGCACGGGAGCTGGCGGGGCAGGGCAAGAGGGCCGACCTTCCAGCACCCTCAGCAGCCTGTCCAAACGGCTGCCCCCTGATCCCTCCGAGCCCTTGCTCCCCTTGGCCGCCGCCATCCTCTCTCGACCTTCCCCCGCCTCACACTCGACGCTCTTCTGACGCCCGGTTCTTCACGCGACGCGCACTTGAGTCCCTTGCATCCAACGAACGCTCCTCTGCTGCGTCACACGCCCCTTCTGGGGACGGCGAACCTTGCTCCGTGCATGTCAGTGTTCCGTGCTCGCCAGCCGCGGCCTCGCTCGGATGAGCTCGCGCCTGCCGCCCACCACGAGGGCCTCTGTTCACTCTCCCGGCGGTCTCACATCGCTGCCGGGGAAGGCGACGCCCGGCCCATTGCCCGCTCGTGCGCCGAACTGCCCGACTCTCACCGCTGACATCGTTCGCGTCGCACCAGGCAGCAGGGCGCTTCACACGGGCGCGACCGGGGTGCGCGGGCGGGGCGCACGATGGGCTTCGCGGAGGAGGACAGGGTCAACGCGCGGCTAAAAGCTAGCCCGACGGGACAACTGAACAACTTAGCCGGCCTCGACGACACGCTGTACTTCGCACATTTGGACCAGGCGCGTCCTGCACGCCCGCCCGTCCACGCACCCTTGCCTGGGCGCGCCGTGCGCTCTCAGGGCTCCCCGACCGAGCGCCGCGCAGCCCACGCCGAGGCTGCCGTCTATGCGTACCCGCGGCGCCGCCGCACGGCGCGCCGCCCCCTCGGGGCCCCCGCGCGACGGGCAGCTCATGTTCCGCCGCACTTGGGTGTCATCTGGCGCGCAGGTGTGGACCGTGAGCGGCGCGTCCGCGGCCAAGGGCGGGGAGGGGGACGACGTGGATGCGAAGGGGCGGCCGATCGCGCGGTGTTCGCGGATATGCGACATGGTGAGCGGCTCGGACCGCATGCTGGTGCGGCAAATCGCGCCCGTTTCGCTCTACTCGGGACAGAGTTACATCGCACTGGCCACTTCCATCGGTGTGGAGGTCTTCGACGGCTCCGGACGGACCCTGATTCTCCACTGGAACCTCCCCGCGGTGCGTCTTGACCCGCTGCGATGCACTCGCGCGACGCCTCGCGGCCGCGGCCCCAGGTGGCGCCGCTGCGACGCCCCTTTGAATTCCCCAGCTTCCTCTCGCACCCGAGCGGGCGACGGCTCCTCGTTCGCCCCCACGTCGGCGGAGAAGTGACCGTTGCCGCGCTCCGCCCGCGCTGCGCGCCCGGCCTGCAGGACGACCGGCCGCGAGATCACACGCTGGCGCCGACGGCGACCTGCGTCGCGTGGGCCTCGGGCCCTGACGGCGCGGTGCATCTGTGCGTGGGGACGGCGGGCGGGCGCATACACGTCTTCGTCCTCGACTCGTTCGGGCGGATATCGCACGCCGACACCATGTACACGCCCGACTTCGAGCCCGTCTCGTGCATCGGGTCGCACATGTCCGCGCGGCGCGGCGGGGACGCGGCCTTCGGGGAGCGCCCCGTGCTGGTGGTTGGCACGTACGAGGGGACGAGCGTGCTGTACCAGGCCACGGGCCCGGGGGAGTACGACGTGATCCGGCAGGTCAGAGAGGGCGCGCCGGTGGTCGGGTGCGCCGCGTGGGGGGACTTCGCGGTCGTCGGTGCGCAGGTTCGCCCCCCGCCCCTCGTGCCGGCAAACCGCGCCGTTCCCGCCCGCGCCCGCCGCAGCAGGCCGCGGCGTCGCGGGAACGGCGCCCTGTGTGCCGGCACGCGAGCTGTGCGCGATCTGCGCCCCTGCGCTGGCCGCCCTTGCACACATCGGCCCTGAGTTGTTCCGCGCCGGTTGCGTTGCGTGCAGAACGGGACGGTTGCGCTGCATAGCATCTCGCGCGGGATCACGCTCGGAACGTACCGAGCGCACAGTCGGATGATGTCGTGTCTCGCGCTCCACCCGACCAAGGGCCTGATTGCCACGGGCGCGGAGGACGCCACCGTTGCGGTGTGGGAGCTGCCCACGTCCAGCGCGGAGATCAGGATGCCGCTGTCGGCCTGCTGGCAGAGCTCCGTTGTCACGGGCGTCGCGTTCCGCGGCGACGACCTCGCCGTCGTGCCCTACGACCACGAGGAAATAGCCCTGTACAAACACCAACCATGATGACGCGCCGCGACGCGCGCGGAACGGCGGTCCGGGGCCGGGAGCGCCCGTCTGCGCGGCGGAGCGGCTGTTCAGGTCAGCCGTGTGACCGATCGATATTCGGAGCGTCGGCCGTGCCGTCGGACCGCCACGTGGCCGCCACGCGTGCTGCCAACAGGCAAGGTGACGGAGCCCCGCCTCACCTGCGCAGCGCGACAGGGCTTCGAGCCAGATACTTGCGTGCTGCACCGCGTGGCAGAACCAACCACGCGCCCGACCGCCGTTTCACGCCGCCACGCCCGCGCGAGCTCGCCACGCGCGCCACTCACACACATGGCCTTCCGCGCCACGTCCACGCGCTCGCGACGGGCCCGGCCCCGCTCGAGGCCCGCGCTCGTCCTTGCTGCGCTCCTGGGCGCCGCGGCGTCATGCGCAGCCGCCCCGTCGAGCGACGTCGCGCTTGTGCCTGACGTCAACCAATGCCGCGCTAGCCTCGCGGCCTTCGACTTCAACGACGGCGTCCCGAAGCTGCTGGAAGACTCGCTCACGGCGTGCGTGGACGGTCCGGGGCCGCAGTGCTGCAGCGTGGTGCAGCTGGTGTTTGGCCGCTTCAGCCCCGTACAGGGGTGCTTCTGCCACGCGGAGTTCGCACGCGCGGCCGTGGCGTCGGTCGGCCAGCCGCCGTTCCTCGCGCCGCTGCTCACCGGCATCGTGTCGGGGTGCGACGTGCCCGTTGCGGGGTCGGACGCGTGCGAGTCGGCACCGCGTGCACCGAGTGCAGCCTACCGCCCGATTTCTGTCGATGCGGACGTCGAGACTGCTACAGGGAGCTCCGCACTGGGACCACTGCTCCAGGTCAGGACCTCCGCTCTTGCAGCCGTCGCGCCGCGTCCGTCTCGCAGGCGAGCACATGTGTCACGAGGTTCTGAACCTCGGCGTGAATCACGCCTTCAGCTCGATTCCGAGGTGCACACACCTAAGCCCCGCGGCGCAGGTGTTGCCCCGCGCCGAGGCCGAGGGCCGCCTCGACGTCATTGCCGGGCGCGAGATCGACCGAGCGACCCGTGCGGAGGCACTCAGGCGTTTCGAGGAGCGGCAGGAGCCCCCCGAGGACCCAGATGGCGGCGAGCCTGACCCAGCCACCGACGCCCCGCGGTTCGACCTGCCCTTCCTGTCGTCCTCCGGCCAACCGACGTTCGGCGGCGGATCCTTCGCCTCCTCGGCCTTGAGGTGCTGCCCCGCCGTGACCGCCGCGGGGAGCACGCCGCCACCGTCGTTCCCTGCGCCCTAGTCTAGGGCGGGCCCTGGGTCGCTCGGCCCATGCGACGCCGCACACACGATGCTATGCAGGACCGGGAGGGACGTGTTCGACGGCGTCTTCCTGCGGCTGCAGTCCCCCGGGAGGCCGTTCGGCCGCTCCCTGCGCAGTCTCTCGCCGGGACCTCGGCGCAGTCTGTCTCAGTCTTTCGCCGGTATGAACATGGCGAACATGGCGTCCAGTGAGATGGCTGAAATGTCGTCGATGCAGGAATCCGCCGAGCCGCAGGACTTCGACGGCCGCTTCGGCTTGTTCGGCGTCAACGCCGACGCGCCCGTGCGCTTCGGCAAGTGGATTCGCACGCAGGACGCCCCGGGCCTCGTCCGTTGGACGGCAGGCCGCGGCGACGGCGACGGCGCCGAGCGGTGGCAGCCCGGGTCGCTCCTCGCTTCGCGGGAGCAAGGCTTGCTTGAGAAGCTCGAGCGGCTGAAGCGGCGCAAGCAGCGCGCGCTCGCCCCGCCGCGCGAGCCCGCGTTCGAGATGCCTGCGACGGTCATTGAGGGGCCACGCGGCGCGGACATGGTCGTGAGCGGGGCGACGTGCACGGACGCGTCCCCGGACCCGCGCTTCACGTGCGCGCAGCAGGTGCGACACCATCTCATCCCCGCGGCAGCACCACGGCACGTGACCACTACATGGCTCCGTATCAAACGCCCTGGTCGCGCCTCTGGAGCGGATTTGTTGAAATACACGCGTCGTGCGATGAGCTGCGGTGGCGTGTGTGTGTGTGTTTGCGTCCAGGCTGCGTGGAACAAGTGCGGAGAAGACTGGATGGTGTCCGGGGGGTTCTGCGCCGCGTCGTGCGGCCGCTGCGAGGGCGCCGCGACCACGACGTCACCGACAAGAGCGACACCGACAGGATCGTGCACGACGGCGTACAGCTTCATCGCGAACGACCCGTCCTTCTCGATCCTGACGGCCGCCGTCGACGCCGCTGGCATGACAGCTGCCCTGCAGGACGAGGGCCTGACCGCAACCGTGCGTTCCCCGCCTTCATACTTGTCTCGTTGCGCGCCCCGTGGGCCTGTCAAGGTGCTCGATTGGCCCCCAGGGGATGCCACACACGCCTCACAATAATGTCGTCGCGGCGCTGCAGGTGTTCGCCCCGCCGGACTCGGTCTTCATGGAGATGAGCATCGTCCTCAAGGTTCCCATCGAGGCGCTCCTGGCCGACACGGTCCTCATGGAGGCCCTCATCCGCTACCACACCGTCACTGCTACGTCCAACGGCCGCGCCCTGTCCTCTGACGACCTGGCGAACTTCGGCCCGGGACCGCTGCCCACCGCGCTGAACGGCGAGGTTCTGCGCGTCCAGAGCGGCAGCGGCGGCGCCGTCGAGCTCGTGCCGAGCGGCGGCCCGGTCGCGAGGGTGACGGTGGCCGACACGGCCGCGTGTAGGGTTGTCGTGCATCAGATCGACAAGGTCCTGGTGCCGAGCATGACGCTCGCCCAGCAGACGCCCTGATGTAACCGCCGCAGGGTCGCCTCGGCCGTCCGCCTCGTCCCGGGGGGGGTGCAGGGACCTTGCAAGCAGTCAGACATACAGCATGCCATCAGTGATGCTGCGGAGGGGGTCGGGATGGTCAATGGCGCCGCGCACCGCGGGCGACGGCAGAGGCTGCTATGGCCCCGCGTTGACGAACTGCCCGCGGCGACAGCGGCGGTGGCCGTGGTGGAAGCGTGCAGGGAGGCTGCTCGATTGGCGCAATGACGCGATCCGATATTTCAACTTGCACTTCTAGATGAAGGTTTCTGCTCTGGTACCTTGGTAGTGAGAGGACATGCGCGGGGCCAAAGGGTACGTGCGCCAGCAGCTGGCCAAGGCGCGCGGCGACGGGGAGCTGCCTGACGACCGCCTCACGCCTCAGGATGGCGTTATCCGGCCGCGCGTGCTGGCTCGCAACGGTATCCCCGAGACAGCGGATGGCGTGGCGTACCTGTCGACGCAGAAGCTCGCCGTGGTGCGCCTCCACTGCCCCCCGTTGCCAGCTGTGTGGTTCAGCTCGCGTTGCCCTGCGCGCACGTCCGCCCCAGCGTCTGATCGGGATCGAATCGAGCTGTCTGCGATCAGACGGGGCACCACGGCGACTTCCTCGAGCGCGGGATGCGCTCACGACCCGCGCGGGCGCAGCGCGCCCTGCATAGTCATCAGCGTGGGTTTCGGGCGGCTTCCGGGCGTCGCTCGTGGACGCAGGCGGCCGCTGACGGCGCCGCTTCCTCGCACGTGTTGCTGCAGTGCTCCTGCGCCGACGGATGGATGAAGGTCGTCGGGCGCGACGGCGTGGAGGCCACGCTGCCCTGTCCCTCTGGGCCCGGGGCGACTTCCCACCTCCTCGCGGTGCCCGGGCGCTCCTTGGTCCTCCGCGTCACCAAGCTCAACCAGGTACCTCTCGGACTCGCGCCGCGTCGCCAGTTCCCGCAACGCCCACCCCCTGACTCATGCCGTACAAGCGGCGGCACTAGGCACGTGCGCGGGCCGCCCGCCCACCGCCGCAAGCCCCCCCGGCGCCCGCGCAGGTCGAGCTCTGGTCGCTCGAGGCCGAGAGCGCCCACGCGGGCCCCCGCAGCAGCGCCCCGCTGCAGGTCACGCCGCCGGGCGGTGGCACCATCACCGCCGCGTGCGCCCTCCCCGGCGCGGACTTCGCGGCCCTCGGCTCCTCCGACGGCTCCGTGCTCGTCCTGCGCACCACCGCGCCGGCCCCCGGCGGCCCCACAGAGCCCTCCCTGCGGCTGTGTCCCCTGACGATTGGCCCCCGCGACGGCGGCCCGGACGGGCCCGTCGCGGCGCTCGCCGCGCAGCCTGGCGCGACCTTCGCGCGGCTGCTCATCGCCCGCGCCGCCGGCGCCTGCGTCTGGGACTGGTTCGAGCGCAAGGCGTGCGCGACGGCGGCGTACTCGCGCTCGCCCGGCACCGCGGCGGACATGGCGGCGGCGACCGCGGCGGGCACGATTCTCTCCGCGTGCTGGGCCAGCCAGGCCGGCGAGCTCTTCGCGACGGGCCACGCGTCCGGCGCGGTGCTGCTGTGGCGCATTCCTGCGTCCGCCGGCCCCGGCTTCGCCCCGGCGCGCTCGCCACCGCCGTGCAGCCTCGAGCGCAAGGTCTCCTTCGCCGCGGACCCGCGGGGCGGGCTGGCGCCGGTCACGTGGCTCGGGTACGTCGGCGGGCCGTTCGCCACGCTCGTGGCGCGCGGGGGGCACCCGGCGGGCCAGCCCGAGTGCCTGGTCGTCGCGCCGTCGTGCGGCGAGGGCGAGCCCGGGGAGGTGGCGCCGCCGCTGCCGGCGTCGCTCCCGTGGATGGGCGACCTGCGCGGCCTCGACCTGATTCTCCCCAGCGGGTGCTTCCATGTGTACCAGGGCGGCTCGCTGGGGGCGCTGGCGCTGGCGGAGGGCGGGCAGCTGCTGGCGTACGACTTCTCGGACCCGCAGGGCGCGCCCGCGCTGCTGTCGCTGTCGCTGCAGTCGCGCCCGCCGGTGACGGCCGCCGTCCTGGCCACCACGCCGCCGCTGCTGCTCAACCCTGAGAGCCCCGTGTGGCCCGGCGGCGCGCCGCAGAACGCCGCGGACATGCTGGATACGTCGGACATCGAGGACGCGTTCCCGGGGCTCGCCGCGGCGGTCGAGGTGGGCGACGTGTGCCGGGCCGGGAGGCAGTCGGTGGCGCTGGACGGCAGGGGGGGTTCCGGGCTGCTGCGCCGCGAGTCGCTGCTGCAGGGCGGGCTGCCGGCGAGCGAGGAGGACTGCGACGCGGAAGGCGTGCCGGAGTGTCTGTACGTGACGGGCCACCGCGACGGCGTGGTGCGGGCGTGGGACGCCCGCAAGCAGGCGCTGGCGCAGGCGATGGCGCTCGCGCCGCCGGAGATGCCTGGGCGGCGCGCGGCGGGTCCGGTGTCGGCGGTGGACGCGTGCCTGATGTCGGGCCTGATCGCGGCGGGGCACGACTCGGGGTGCGTGAGCGTGTTCCAGTGGCACGGCAAGAGGGAGGGGTTCGCGTGCGTTGCCGCGACAGCGCCGCTGGAGGGCGACGGGTCGGCGGTGACGGCGGTGACTGTGGCGTCGGCGCTCGGCATGGTGGTCGCGGGGCAGCGGTCGGGGCGCGTGACGGCGCACGACGTCGTGGGGTCGTGCGCGCCGGTGTGGACGGTGTGGCAAGGGCACGGGTCGGTGTGCGGGCTGTGCGTGACGCCCGCGATCGTGCCGGCGGGCGGGCGCGAGAACGGGGACGACGGCGGGCGGCGGGGCGTGGTGCGGCACCCGGTGGCGGTGGTGCTGACGCAGGGGTCGGGCGTGGGCGTGCTGGACATGGACACGGGCGCGCAGGTGGGCGCGTGGTGCAAGCCGAAGAACGCGAGCACCGCGGTGGGCATGGCCGGGCTGGACGCGGACGGCGGCGTGCTGGGCGCGCTCGCTGCGCCGCCAGAAGTCATGCGGTGCCTCGAGTGGCAAGCCGCGGCCGCGGCGACGGTCGTGAGCGAGGCGTGCGACGCAGCGGTCGCGGACGTGGGTGCGGCCGTGCTGAAGCAGCCGTTCCGGCAGAGCGCGGGGGCAGGGGTGGTGTCGGGCGGGGAATTGAGCGGCGACGAAGATGACGGGAGCTCTGCGTCCGGCGACGAGAGCGACGACGACGACGAGCTGCTCGCCGAGGCCGTGGAGGCCGTGGAGGCCGTGGAGGCCGAGGCCATGGAGGACATGAAGCGCCGCAAGAAGGCGCGCCGGCGACAGAAGGTCCAGGAGCTCTCGGGCGCGGTGCTGAAACACGCCTCGTCGAACATCAAGGCCGCGGCGCGGGGGCTCGGGCGCGGGATCGAGCTGGTGGTGGACCCGATACAAAGGGGCATCCGCGCCGTCGGGGCGAAAGAGAACGCCCCGGGGGCCGGCGGGCCCTCTGCGGGCGCCGCGCCGCTCGCCAGCGACGCCAGCGCGCTGATGGGCGCGCCCGCCACGCGGGTCGCGGCGGCCACCGGGGACGTGGGCCCGTGCGTGTGGGATGGCACGCCGCGCTGGGGCGCGGTCGGGCCGGGCTGCGTGGCCCCCGCGGCCGCCACGTCCGGGCTCCTCCCGCAGCTCGACCCGCTGCAGCCCGCGTCGACGCGCCTCGCGGCGGCGGAGGCGCTGCTCGCGTTCCCGACGTGCCAGTACGTGGCGGCGGTGTCGGACAGCGCCGTGCGGGTGTATGCGACGCTCGGCGTGGTGCGGGGCCACCGCGGCGCGCTCGCGAAGGCGTACGTGGACCCGCCGTGCGAAGGCGCGCGTGCGGTGGCCACGGCGCGGGGTCCCGCGCTGCTGTGCTTCTCGTCGCGCAGCGCCGACGCGACGGCGTACGCGCTCCCGGGCCTGACGCAGCTCCACAGCGGCGCGCTCTCCGGCGGGCGCTCGCGGGACGCGTGGGGCGCGCGGGGCGGCACCGCGGCGGTCGCGCCCGACGCATCGCACGGCATCCTGCTGGACAGGGGCGGCGGGGCGCTGCGCGTCGAGGTCCTCGCCGCGCCCCGCACGCGGCTCCCGCCCCCGCAGCAGCTCGTGGACCCCGAGATTGCGACGGCAGTGGAGGCGGCGATGGCGGCGCAGCTCGACACCACGGCGGTCGCGCCGGCTCCGGCGCCGCAGCCGGCGACGACGACGGGCCGGTGGTTCGGGCGGGTGTTCAGCGGCGCGGCGGCGCCGGAGCGCGCGCCGGCGCGGTCTGCGGCGGACCTGGATGCGCTGTTGACGCGGGCGGGCGCGGGGCCGCTGGCGGCGTCGGCGTCGACGCAGCGGCGGTGGGAGGAGGACGCGGAGTGGGATCAGGTGGCGCGCGACGAGGCGCCGCCGCCGCGCGAGGCCGCGCGCGTGGCCTCACAGGGCAAGGTGCGAGGATGTGGCTGCGCGTGCACGTTCGCCCCGCCGCAACGCTCCGTCCGCATCCTCACACCATCAGCGCGCCCGCTCCGCTGTCCGCGCAGGGTCTGCGGCACCGCCCCAAGATCAGTTTCTTCGACGGCGGCCCGCGGCAGGAGGCGCTCGACTTCGCGGCCGCCGTGGACGAGGACGGCATCATCGAGGACGACGGCGGCTCCGACGTCGAGCCCGCCGCCAGCGCCTCGGACCGCGACGACTCGCCCCCGCCCGGCGACGCGCGCCCCGCCTCGTCGTCGAGCCGCCGCAACCTCGTGTCGCGCAGCAAGGCCGGCGCCGGCGCGGCGGGGCGCTTCCTGAAGCGCCTGATCCCCGCGGGCGGCAGCGGCGCCGCGGGCGTCGGCGGCCGCGAGGCGTCGCGGGCGAGCGCGGAGGCGGGCGCGGTGCGCGGCAACGGTCCGGTGCGCGCGCGGACGGTGGACGAGATCCGCGCCAAGTACGGGCACGCGGCGCGCGGGGGCGAGGGCGGCGCGCTGGCGGGGCAGCAGTCGGCGGTGGCGCAGACGCGCGCGGTGATGGAGCAGAACGTGGCGGCGGCGCAGGAGCGCGGGGAGCGGCTGGGGCGGCTGCAGCAGCGGACGGCGGAGATGCACGAGGACGCGCAGAGCTTTGCGGACCTGGCGAGCCAGCTGGAGAGGAAGATGCGCCGCGGGGGGCTGTGGTGACGGCGCGGATGCGAGATCCCTGGGGCATGCGCGGGGATCGAGGCGCGCGGAACGCGGGGCGCGCGCGGCGCAGGGGACGCGCGGCGATGTGACGCGGTGGTGCGGGACGGCGTGCGGCCCTCGGGGACACGGGAGCGCCCGGAGCGCGCCGGCCAGGGCGCTTCGCGGGAGAGGGCAGTGGTGTGGACTGGAGGGGCGTTTGGGCCCCTGGGGCGGCTGGCGGGGCGCAAACGGACGGGCGCTGGGTGGGCGGACGGGGCGAGTGGATGGGGGCGGGGTGCGCGGGCGGAGCGAGCGGCCGGCGCGGCCGCGGCGGCAGTTGCGCGGGAGCGCTGCATCGGCGCCGCTGAGGAGCGGCCGTGTGCAGGTGGGGGGCGATGCGTGGACAAACACACGGCGTCGCGGGGACGGTCAGTATGCCTGTCACACGGGGGAGCGAGGGAGCGCGGCAGCGCGGGGCCGGGCTGCGAGCCCTGCGGGGTCGAGCACGAGGGCGTGTCATTGGTCGAGGCGGTTGCCGAGCATCCGCCCTCGACGCCGCTCCGGCGCCCCGCGCGTCAATGCAGCGAAGAGCTCTACTGTTTTGACATTCCTTCGAGCGCGAGCGTGCGCCGCGAAAGCCCGTGCCCGCGCTGCGCGGCCTCGTCGTCTCCCCACCGAGAGAACATATCTCGCCGAACTGGCTCGCTGCCGCCGCACCCACCGAACCTAGCGTATCACGTGAACTGTCGGGATTCTACGGGACGTGTTCCCGATGAGATCCTGCCTCGGCCAATGGCGGGCAAGGATCCTTGACCCCAAGAGTCCCCACTCCCCTTTGGCCCGCTCAGCAGCTCATGAGCAGCCCGCGCGGGCGTCCGCCGGCACTCACGTTGACCTGAGCAGAAAACAAAATGTCGGCCATCGCTAAGTCCTTCCTCGGCTCGTCCATCAAGGCCCCCGTGGCCGGCGCTCGCGTGCGTTCCCCGGCCCTCGCCCCCGAGCTCCTGCCCCTTCCCCCCACGCCTCGACCGCGCGACGCGCTCCCACAATACTCCCACAACGCGGTCGCGCGGCTTTCGCGGGCTCAAAGCGCGGCGTCGCGCGCCAGGGACCGATACCCTTGCCATCTGTCGCCGATCGTATCCAGCCCCGATATGTCGCGCCCCACGCACCGTCACGCCTTCCAGGCGCACTCGCTGCCACGAATCCATTTCTGCCACCCCGGCGCACGCGCCGGACTCGCCACCACTCGCCCCACTCCGCGCGCCCGCTCCCAAGGCCTGTGCCCACACCTGCCCGCCACACGCCGCGGCCCAGCCGCACGCGGCGCCACCCGCGCGCACCCACGCCCCCTCCCCACCGTGAGCGGCCCGCTTCACCGCCTCGCGCGCCCTGCGGCGCCCCCCAGCGGCACCGCATCTCGCCCTGAGATCTCAGCACCGCCTAGGATTCGGCCCGTGCCGCGACCCGCCCGCGGCCCGCGCCGCCCCGCCGCGCCTCCCCGCACGCTCCCCCTCCCCGAGCTGCGCCTCGTCGCGCGCCCACGCGCCCGACGCGCCCCGCCCTCACCGCGATCGCCCGCCCGCTCACTCCCGCAGGGCTCCCGTCAGGTGACGCGCGCCGCCGTGGAGTTCTACGGCCCGGACCGCGTCAAGTGGCTCGGCCCCTTCTCGGAGGGCGATGTGCCGGACTACCTCACCGGCGAGTTCCCGGGCGACTACGGCTGGGACACGGCCGGTCTCTCGGCGGACCCCCAGACGTTCGCGGCCTACCGTGAGGCGGAGCTGATCCACGCCCGCTGGGCCATGCTCGGCGCGCTCGGCTGCATCACGCCGGAGCTGCTCGCGCGCTCGGCCGGCATCGAGTTCGGCGAGTCGGTCTGGTTCAAGGCCGGCGCGCAGATCTTCCAGGAGGGCGGCCTGGACTACCTGGGCAACTCGAACCTCATCCACGCCCAGTCGATCCTGGCCATCCTGGCCGTCCAGGTCCTCCTGATGGGCGGCGCTGAGGCGTTCCGCGTCAACGGCGGCCCGCGTACGTCCCCGCGCCCGCGTCCCCGCTCGCAATAATTTTGACCGTCACACACCCGCTTCTACGCTGGCCACGCCCTGCCTCTGAGCGCCCCGCGGCGTTTCTGTTGCTTGCGCAGTCGGCGAGGGCCTCGACAACCTGCACCCGGGCGGCGCCTTCGACCCCCTGGGCCTGGCTGACGACCCCGACACGTTCGCGGAGCTCAAGGTCAAGGAGATCAAGAACGGCCGCCTGGCCATGTTCTCGATGTTCGGCTTCTTCGTGCAGGCCATCGTGACCGGCAAGGGCCCGATCGAGAACCTGTACGACCACCTGGCCGACCCCGGCGCGGTGAACGTAAGCACCCCCTCCCACCTCCGGCCTCGCCCGTCACTCGCTCCGCTCGCGAAGCACGCGCTCTCGCGCGAGCCTCACCGGCCTCGCGCGTGCTCCGCTGCGTCGCAGGGCTTCACCATCGGCGCCCAGAAGTTTGTCCCCACGGCCTAAGCAGGCCTCAGGCTCTGCGGTCGGCTGCTGGCGGCGGATCCAGTTTTGAATCCATCCAGTTGTGACCCACCTCCGCTGTGACTCACATGAGTCCCTCGACCGCGGCGCCTCGCGTCGCCAGCGACCGCACGACCCACACGCGTCGCCACCGACTCACACGCGCCCAGGCACCTTGCGCCGCGCACGTCGGCGCGCGCTACCAGCCGTACTTGCGCGCCGTCGTCGCCTTCTTCGCCGCGCCCCCCGCCGACTGGTCCAGCATCTCCAGCTCGGCCATCTTTGCGGAGTGATACAACGACCGAATTTGGTGCTTCCGCTTCTCCATCTTCGTCGGCGCCTCCCCCGCCTCCACGCGCACCTGCGCACCGGCCAGCGACGCAGCGAGCTCACGCGCACGCGCGAGCGGCGCGCGGTGTCGGCTCATGCAGCGCGCGCAAGCAGTCTGCGCGCGTGGCTCTCCGGGCTCGCAGCCGCGCGGGGCACACTGACCTTCTTGTGGTAGTCCGTCCCCATCACGTCCCGCAGCGTGGCCATGGAGTTGGCGCCCCCGCCCGGCGCGCTGGCCAGCACCGCGTGCCCCGTCACCTCCTTCACCGCCGTCCCGCGCATCATCTCCTCGTAGATCCGCTTGCGGTCGCCCCGCCCCGCCTCCTCGAGCGCCTTCTCGAGCTCCGGGTCAAGCCCTGCCGCGGGCTCCCCGGCGGCGGGACGTTGCGCGGAGGGCCCCGCCGCAGCGTAGGCGTCGTGCGGCGCGGCGGGCGCGGCGTGCTGCCACGCACCGGAGTCGTCCACACGGTACATGTCGTTGCTCTCCGGGAACGCTGCACGCGGGCGGGGCGGGCGCACATGTGTGTGTCGCGGCGCAGCGCGTGTCCACAGCGCGCGCGGACCGGCCCGCCGCGACGCCGCCGTCCGACGGACAGTGCGCACCTTCTTGCGTCTGCGCGCCGTTGCCGTCGCGCTCAGCCGCCTCGCCGCCGCGCGTGCCTGCGCTGGCGCCCCCGAACGACCCGGCAGCGCGCGCGAACTTCGGGGCTGCAAACACCGGCGGAACGTGTGCATACGGTGTGGCCACAGGCGATTCTGGCGCGCACGCCGCCGAATGAAGCCGGTGCGAGGCGCGCTGGCAGAGCAGAGCGGCGCGAGTGCAGGACCAGGCACGACGTGGGCCGGCGCGCGACGCACCCGGAAGCGCGTTCAGGAACCCCGCCGCGGTTTGCGGCTGCGGGGCGGCGGCCTGGGCGGCGGGCGCGCCCTCCTCGTCGCTCTCGCTGTCGCTGGGCGCCTGGGGCTTCAACGGCAGCCTCAGGACCCGCTTCCGCGCCCCAGCGCCGGGCTTGGGCAGGCTGGCGAGCAGCCCCGCGGATTTCCCGTCGTTCGAGGCACCTCCTGGCTTGGGCAGCGAGGCGAACAGCCCCCCGGAAGCGCTCGGAGGAAGGGCGGACGACGACGGGGCCTGGGTTGCGGCCTCTTGCGCTGCGGGCTCCCGGGGGATCCTATCGTCAGCACGGCCCTCGGACTGCTCTGATGCCTCCGAGCCCGACCCGTATCCCGCGAGCAGGTCCATCGCGCCCGCTCGTGCTCACGCCGCACGTTGCCACTGCGTGCCTACGAACAGGCGCTGCTCGCCGTCCCACCGCGGATGCCAGCGGCCGTGCGTGCGCAGGGAGCTTCCGCGGTGCAGCTGCGAGCCTCGCTCAGGTGCCCGCGCGCACCCGGACCGCTCCGCATTGCAGTGACACGGAGTGTTGTACCCACTCGCCGCCGTCTATTGTTCTACTCCCCCCCACCACGCCGCTGACCGAGAGCGTTGCGACACGCGCGCACGAGCAGAGCGCCGCGCCATGCGTCGGCCGCGCGCCGCGCAGCGTCGCTGGGGCACCGCGCGTGTACAGGCCACTGCGCGCGGGCGCGCGCCGCAGGGGCGGCCGGTGAGGGTTCAGGCTTTCACACGCGGGGCGCGGCGCCCGGAGGAATTACCAGTACTTCTGCTTGCGGCCCTCGATGCCGATCTTGCCCAGCGTCATGACCGTGAACAGGCCAATGTGCCACGTGATCATGTACAGCCAGAACTTGTCGTTCAGGGCCGGGCCCTGCGTGCAACGAAGCGGGGACGCAGGGGTCGGCCGGCCGCTCCTCGGGCGGGGCCGCGCGGTCCGGCGAGGCGCGCGGCGGCCCTGCGCGGCGCGTTGCACGGCGTCAGGGTCCAAGCGGACGCTCGCGAGGTGCGGCCGGGGGCGCGTGGGGACGCACCGTGGGGAACTTGGCCAGGTTCTCGCCGATCGAGGCGGTGAAGAGGCCGAACAGCGAGTTGCCGTCGAAGCCCGACACCTGCAGCGCGTGGTACACCAGGCACGGCATCGCGTTTGTCGGCGGGTCGCGCGGCGCGGCGGGGCGCACGCCGGCGCGCGCGACGTGGCTGCGGGTGCGGCGGCGGGGGCGCGCTGCCGCGACCGAGGCCGCGGCGGGGCGTGCGCAGCCCCGCGTGGTGCGTGCGGCGCAGGCTCGGTGGCGCACCGGGATGGTCGAGGGGATGGTCCAGCCGAGGAAGGCGGCGCCGAGGGGGAAGGTGTCCTTGCGGTTGATGAACTCCGGGTCGAACTCGCCCTTGGACTCCGCGGCCATCACCACGCGCGCACGCGCAGCAGGCGCGGCGCGACGGCCGGCCAGGCCTGCGGGCACGCGGGACGCAGCCAGCCGCATGAGCGTGTTCCGGCAAGGGACGAGCGAATGCGCGGCAGTGACGCGGCGCAGCGGCCCTCTCGACCGCGCTGCCGGCGCCATCTGGCCTGCCAATGGGGTGCGGGCCCCATCAGCGGCGGATTCAGGGCACGGGGAGGCGGGGCGGGCGCGTGTGCGGCGCGCAGTGCGAGGGCTGTGGGCGTGGGTTCTCGCGGCGGCTGGTATCCGCGGATTCCGGCCCCCCGTTCGCGCGGACCGTCCCGCGCCGAGGCCCGGTGCACGAGGATCGCCTCGCAGGGGCCGGGCGCGCGCTGCGGCGGTGGCTGCGGCGGCCCGGCGGAGGCCGAGGGGGCAAATTGCGTCTCGCGCGTCGGCGCCGCTGCGTTCCGCCGGATCACGCCGCGAGGGCGACAGATAGGCGCGACACTTCCCGCCGATGCTACACGGGACCGCGCAGTCCCACGCGGCGGGCAGGGGCCGGCGTGTCCGGGGAACGGCGGCGGCATTCGCGAGGCGTGCGCGGGTCGCGCGCGGCCGGCTCTGGCGCGGCGATGGGCACGCAGGAGCCGGGCATCGGCGCTCACCCTTCGCGGCCACGAGCGGCTTGCCAGACAGCACGCAGTTCATTCTTCCCGACTACAAGCGACACAAATCACCCCTGCACGCAGCAAGCGCCCGGCGTTGAATGCGTCGACCCGCCCGGCGACGCGGGGGGCCCGGCACAGATTCGTTGAATCCCCACGTCAGGTCAGACGAAATTGAGCGCCCGTCGACCACCTGCGCCGCCGGGCGCGCGCCCCCGACCGAGCCCGACGCGTACCCGCCTGGCGCCGGGAGCCGCGCGCCGCCCCCCGCCCGTGACGCGCCCCGTCGCCACAACCCACACCGGAACCAACGAGCTGCCCGCGCTGCGGACGCCCCCGCGGAATACCCGCCAGTCGTCCCGCGACCGCGGCGCAGGAGGGCCAGCCACCCATCGCGGGCGGCGCGAGCCCGCCGCGTCGCAGCCCCGCCGCGCGGGAGCCCACGTTGCTGCGATTTCACCTCCGCTCCGGTCGCAGCCAGCCGCGGCGCGTTCCCGGGCCGGCCCCGCCAGCGGGCGGCCGGCCGGCCCGCAGCCTCGCGGGAGCGCGCCGCCTTCCCTGCGCCCCGCGCGCCCCGTCGCCGCGCGAGCCCGCCCCCGGCGGAAAGAAAGCACCGCCCTCGCGGCGCGCGCCCTCGGCGTTTCCGCGCCCGCCGCGCCGGCCGCGGACGCCCTGTGGCATGCGCCGTGGCCCGCGGGGGAGGGCGTGCGGCGTCGGCGGCGCGGGGCCGGTCCGCCGCGCCGTGAAAGGGTGGTCTTCCGGCGGGGGGGGAGGGGCCGGCGCGGGGCCCGCTCGTGGGGGGCGCTCGTGGGGGCGCGGCGGCGGGGCGGTCCGCACATTCACCGTCCGTCTCCTTCGCTCCTGCCAAGAACACGTGGGAGGTCTGGGCGCGGCCGCAGTGAAGCTCCCAAGCCAGGACTCCTGGGCGCCACGTGCAGCCATGGTGCGCCCGCGATCCGGATGAGCGCGCGGGGCGCGCGAACTCGCGAGGTCGTTCGGGATTCGCGGGGGGAGCGCCCGCAGTCGCCGTCGCGCCGCGAGAAGCCGGAACAGACTTTGCGGTTCCGTTTGGCCGCCCTTCGCAGGAGTCCCTGTCCGACAATGGAGCGGGCTTCATCGGGTTGGCAGATTCTTTTTGCAATGACAGTCCGCCGCGGGTGACGCAGCAGAGCATGGCGCACCCTGAGAGCATGCCACCGGCCATGGGCTCGACCCGGTCGAGCGATCAGGGCGGGCGCTCTCGCGGCCACTCGAACGGCGGCGGACGTAATTCTACGGGCACTCGACTGGATGCTCGCTCGCACATTTGCTTTGAGTTCTGCAAGGGCCTCTGCAGGCGAGTAATCCCCCCTACTGGCCGTCGAAAGTCCCGCGCCACGCGCCAGGCCGCCCGCTCGGCCCCCGAATCGCTCGACAGCGCCGCCTGGCCGCCAACGAGCCGGGCGACGGCTCCGCGCAGCGGCGCCGCGCGTGCCGGTGGCCCGAGAGCCGTGGAAACCGAACGGCATTTCGCGCGCGAACGGCCCCGCGTCCTCCCGCCGCGCCGACCCGCGACCCGAGGGCATTGTGCTGCAGCCGCGGCGCCGGGCGCCCTGCCGCGGCCTGCCGGGGGGAGCACATGAGACTGGCGTGCAGTGCCTCCGTGTCGCCGCCCCCTCCGCGGCGCCCCGCCGCGGCCGCCAGCGCGGCGTCGCCCACTCCCCCGTCCGGTCCCGCCCCTGTGCGCTGCAGGAGAGGCGCGCGGTGCAAGTTCTCCCACGACATTGCGACCATAGTGGCTGTCAACAGCCAGTACCGCGGCGTGTGCTTCGACTTCGCGCGCGGCGAGTGCACCCGCGGGGTCCTGTGCAAGTTCTCGCACGACCCCGGGGTGATCGCGCACGCGCTGGCCGGGCAGGCGGCGGCCGCGCAGCCTGGCCCGGCGCAGCCTCCCGCAGGCATCCCCGCGCCGCAGCACGACGCGGCGCAGGCGCAGGCGCGGCGCCGCGGCGCCCCCGTGCAGGTCTGCGTGGACTTCCTCAGCGGGCACTGCAACAACGGCACCGCGTGCCGGCTGTCGCACGACCTGCGCCTGGTGCAGGCGCTGGCCATGGCCAACGCCCCGCACGTCCACCAGGAGGAGGCCATCCGGCAGATGCAGCTCTCCGCGCAGCAGAGCCAGCAGGAGTTCCAGGCGCGGCAGCACTCGATGCAGCAGGCGCGGCAGCTCTACGCCCTGCAGGCGCAGCTGCAGGGGCTGCTCGCCAATGGGCAGCAGGCCCCCGAGAACCTCTTCTCCATCCTCTCGCCCGTCCACCTCGGCCCGGACGGCCAGGTCCTCGCCGGCCAGCAGGCGCCCCCGCCTCTCAAGGACCACATCCAGAACGGCGCCGTGCACGCGGTGCCCGACGCCACCGCCGCGCAGGCGCAGTACTGGTCGATGCCGGAGTACCAGTACCTCATGCCCGCGCCCAGCGCCGGGACGGACATCCTCGCGCAGCGCGTCGCCGCGAACGCCGCGGCGGGCATGGGGGCGCCGCCCATGTGGGGCCACGCGCACGGCGCGTCGGGGGCGTCGGGGCGCACCTCGGGCGGCTCCGGCGAGCTGTACGGGAAGACGCTGCAGGCCGCGCTCGCCGAGAACCACATGGCGCGCGGGTCGTCCGAGGGCGGCGCGGACAGCCACACCAGCGCGGGGAGCACGGCCGCGGCCCGCTCGACCACGCAGCGCGTGCGGCCCGCGGGGTCGGGCGGGCGCACGCCGCAGATGTTCGGCGTGGGCACGGTGCGCAGCGCGGAGGAGTGGCGGTACATGATGGGCGGCAACCACCCGACGCCGCTGCAGGCGCCCGTGCCGGTGCTGTCCGAGGGCCAGGGCGCCCCGGACGGGTCCGACGTGCTGTCGATGCGGCTCGCGTCGACGCGGCTGAGCGACGAGCAGCAGCAGTGACGACGCCCCGCGGCCAGCGCGGACGCACGGCGGCAGGTTGCGCGGCAGTTGCAGTGTCCCCACACCACCCCCCCGCAAAGGCTCTCTCGCCCTAGAACGACGACAACGACCCTCCCGCGCCCGTGCGTGGGCCGGTCGTTCGCGCCCCGCGCTGTGCGGGCGAAAGATCCACTCGGCGGGGCGCCGGCCTCTCACCAGGTCGCGCCCGAGCCGCAAGACCCCTCTAGCGCTCCACCCGCGCGCGCACGGCCGCCTCTCCCAGGGAGGCCGCACGTGGTGCACGCACCCGAGCCCCACCCAGCCCCCCCCGCTACGCGTCCAACGCCACCGCTTCCCACCGCCCCCCCTGTTTGTGGCGCCGGGGCATCGCTTGGCATCCCTGCTCGGGCGATCCCGCGGCCGCAAGAGCGCCCGGCAGGCCAGCGCCTTTTCCTGGCCTCCTACATCGAACCTCCGGGCCGGGCCTGCTTGCCATGCAAGCGCAGCGTGACACACACAGACACGCGCACACGAGGGACTCTCGTAGGACCGTCCACCCCCCTCCTGACGCCTGAAGAGAAGGAATGTCAGCTCCACGCCATCACACCACCGCTTCCACACCCCCCTCCCCCGACCCCAACCCCTCTCCCTCCCCCGTCCACACCACCCCCGCCACCCTTCATTCTCCGGTGTTTCCTCTCTCGTTGACCACGAAGACAACGATGCATGCAGCGCCCGTGGCCCCCTGGCGGCCCCCGGTCCTGGGCCCCGGCCACCCTGGTAGCAAATTTTGAAGCTGGCATGGTCGCTCGGCACTGTGCTCGGCCCGCTGTCCCAGTACCCTACGCCGACTCGATCCCCGGCTTGTCACGCAGCTGTCCGCTCCTGTGTTCGCGTAGTCTCATAGTTCCCGGACAGCCGCCTGGTCGGCTCCTCCGCCAGCAGCACCTGTGCCTCCGCCGTAACATAGCCCCGCCCCCCCTTCTCCCCGCTCCCCCTCTCTCAGAAACGACGCCATCGCTGGCGCAATGCGTTGCACCGTTTGCGCAACCGCACCTGCAACGTGCACATGGTCTTTCCGGAGGTCCCTCTGCCCACTCTCACTCACGCCCTCTGCACCGTGCTTCCGTCTCCGGGGCGCGGGCGCGCGGCGGCCCCCGCCAGGCGACCGCCTGCGCCGCTGGCCCCACTCGCGGAGCACACTCTACATGCAGGGCGCTCCATTTGCATTCTTCCATTTCCATGGCAAGGAAAGTGCCACGTGTCTGCACGCGAAACAACACCAAAAGCGCGGCTGAAGGAGTCTGTCTCCGCAATCGAGATGATGACCGCAGACAACATGCTCGCTGGCAGTCTCCGCCATAGCGCATCATACTGACAAGCTCAGCCATGCGGCCAAAACAACACAGCTCTGCCGCACCTCATTAGCTTCCGCTGAATCTGGCGCCCTGGGGGCGTGGTCGCGTCACTGTGAGAGTGGCGGCGAACTTGCTGAGCGAGCCGCGATGTCAAGCGCCGTCGCCCAAGCGTCCTCGCGGTGAGGGTGCTTGTAGGTCAGCGAAGAACTACCACCTCTGCCGTGCCACATCGTTCGCTCAACCGTCCTCGCGGCGAGGCTGCCTGTGGGTCAGCGAAGTACAAGCGAAGTACAAGCCATGAACAGAGCAGAGGGCGGCGGGACGCGCCGCTGAGGCACCAGTCACGTGCTTTCACAACCCTGCGTCAGTGGCAGCGCTGGCGCTCCGCAGCGACGCCGCGACTGCCTCTCTCCTCAGAGCTGGCCGCAGGCCGGCCAGGCGCCGCCGGAGGAGGGTCGTCCTTCCCGCGGCGGCGGTGCCTCGCGCAGACCTCTGCGTTCCGCCGCACCTGTGCCGTGTCAGCCGCAAACGAGCAAGTGGTGTTGCAAGACGCTGTGCGTGAGGCGCAGCACGCGCGCATCCCATGCAGCTCGTGCGCGATGAGAGGCGGGTGCCACGTGCGCGTCCAGGGTCTTGCGGTCAAAGCGGCAGCGCAGGAATGGTCGACACCTGCTGCAAGCAACTGTGGGCGTGTTGGACGGCGTGGTGGACGTGAGATCGAGGGAGGGGGGGAGCAGGGAGGTGAGGGGGGTGGTTGTTTCGCAATGGGGTGTGGACCAATTCGGCGTCCTAGGCGACGCGCGTGCGTCATCATCATGCGGCTGCAACGGTGCGGTGGCGCGTGCCACCACACTCACCGCCCACGCATGCGGACCACGCGGGGAGGGGGGGGGAGTTCGGGGTGAGCGCGATGCAGCGAGCTCGGTCGCCGCGGTGTGGCTGTCGCTCGAAGCTAAAATAGGCGGGCGTGGAGGAGGAGCTCCACAGCGCGCACTCGACCGTGGCAGCCCCGGGCTCGCCAGCCGCCAGGCGGCGAGGCGCAGAGGGAGCACGGGCGAGGGTCCTCCCTTCAGCGGCAGGACGTTGGGCCGGGAAGGGGTGCGGTATCTGAGAGGAGGTGTTGTTCTAGGGAGAGGGGGGGTGTAGCAGGATGGGCGTGGTGCTGCTGCGGGAACGTCCGGAGCGATAGCAGTGGACGGAAGGGACGGCGGAGAGGCATCTTCGGGCCTGGTCCGAGGGGGTGTCGGTGTCATCTTCGAGGTTGCAGCGCCAGCAGCACCCCAAGTTGCGCACACTCCGAGGGCGACGCCGCGGCGCCGCGCGGGCGCCTTTCGGTCGCGCCGGGCGCCGAAGCTCTTCGGGCACGCACATCGCGTGGCCGTCGGGGGCAGCCCGAGTGCGAGTGCGATCAAGGCAGGTCCAGTCTTGCGCGAAGAGGGGGGGGGGTCGAGGTCGAGGTCGAGCGGGGGGGTCACGCCCCCCGGCACTCGCCTCGCCGACGCCGCGGCGGGCGGGCATGGCCATCGCGCCATCGCGCCGGCGCGGCGCGGCACGGCGCGGTCAGATGGCCCAGAAGGCGACCCCGGGGGCGGGGGAACGCGTGGGAGAGTTCTTCTTCCTGCGGCGGCCGTGCGACTCGCCGAGCTCGGACCCCTCGAACGACGCGCGCGCCGCCGGCACGTCGATCGCGAGCGGGCGCGGCGGCAGCAGGCCGGACGGCGCGGGCGCGTGCGCGAGCACCGCTGCACCGCGGGCGGCGCGGGCGGCGCCGGAGCGGCGGCCCGCGGCGGGACGGGCGCCGGGTGCGGCCCGTCCTTGGACCGCAGGTTGTGCGGGTTGACGAGGAGGCCCATATCGGACGTGGCCGCGCGCTTCATGGCGGGGAGGTACTCGAGGTCGCAGCTGCCGTCGTCCCCGGCGGGCATCGTCGGCGCGGGCTGCAGGACGTCGCCGTCCTGGACGGTCTGCTGCACGTGGCACCGCAGCGAGCAGTACAGGAAGCCCTCGCGGATGAGCTTGTGACAGTGTTTGCACAGGTCCGAGATGCCCGACTTGAGCGAGCGCTTCTCGGGGCGCGGGCGGAGGAAGACGACCTGCGCGCGGGGGCGTGCGGGGGCCGGTGGGCGCTGCGGGGCGGCGCGGGGGCCGCGCGGGCGGCCGGGCGGCGGGCGGGCGCGGAAGGGTCCATGGCGGTTGGGGGCGGGAGGCACACGCGCGCGCGGGGCGCACCTTGCTGCCGTTGATGATGTAGGACTGCACGGGCGAAGCGTCGATGTAGCGCTGGATGTCCTGCAGGCGGACCACCTCGCAGTAGACGTACTTGCGAACCTGCGCGGGGCTAGGTAGGCCTGGCGGGTGGGGCGGTGCGAGCGCGGCGGCGGGCGTGCTGGACCGCGATGTGACTCGACATCGGGGGGGACGAGAACGGAAAAAGCGCGCACGCACAGGCGGCACCGGCGCCCGCGGGCCAGCGGGCGCGCCAGGTGGCCCTGCCGGCACTCGCTGGCAGTCGCGCCCGTGCACTCGAGGAGCCGCGAGCCGCGGCTCCGACCGCCGCAGCAGGCGCCGGCACGATCGTAGACGGCAATGTGCTGTCCGCCGCGGCGCGCGCGGGAGGCTATCGGCGGGAATTCCGCATGCGGTTGAACGGCTGTGCTTGCCGAGCGCACCTGGATGACCTCGTGGCCGCGATGGTCCGAGAGACAGTGCGAGCAGAGTCCCTCACTCACGCACGTGGCGCAGAAATACGTGCACTGCAGTCGACGGGAGGCGACCAGTCGGTTTGGATGGGCCCGCGAAAAATCCCGCCGCCCTGGGCCCGTCGTCGCGGGCGCGCGGGCTCCGGTTCGCATCGAAACGATCTGAGTGCCTCTCGTGCGCGCGCGCGGGCCGGCCCTGCGCAGCGCGAGCCCGAACGTCACTGGGCGGAGCTCACCTCGCTCCTCTTGCACTTGGAGTGCGCGGCGCACGGCTTGAAGAAGTTGCCATCGATCAGCGCCTGGATCCACGTCTCAATTGGGCCGGCGGGGGCCCGCTCCGCATGCGTCGAATCGCCAGAGCTCGACCGCTCACCGAGGCTGCATGTGCCCAAGCGGGGGCAATGCGGGCTCGTTTCCCAGGTCTCGAGGGCGCTTCCCCTCAATCGATTCATCAACTGTCGTGCACTGCGTCGCAATCCGCGGCCCGCGGCCGGCAAGCGCGGGGCGGCGGCAGGGCATCTCACCCAGCGCAGATGTTCAGCGCGGACAGAACCTTGCACGGAATGTCCTCCTGGCTCGCCCGGGACGCCTCCTCGACTTCCTGCACGCGGAGCGCCGCGATCTCGCCGCTCAGGGGCCGCGCGAGGCCACTACAGCCGCCCCAACTGCGGGCGAGCGGTTGCCCGAGTTACCCCCGGAGCTCCGCAAAGGCGGGCGCACGCGGGGCCAATTCAGCGCGCCCGGCTACTTCGAACAGCGTGGCACGCGACGAAGAGGCGCGGAGGGCGATTCGCGCGGAGTATCCGTGTCGCGGCCGCTGTCTGGGCTGCGTGCGTGGAGCAGGCACTCACCGTCGTCTCTCGCCTGTCCTGTTCACACAGCATTGTGCCGCAGATCCAGTCTCGATCCTCAGAGTGCCCGGACGAGCCTGCGCGGGCCGGCGACGAGCCCGCGGCCCCCGCGCGGCCACCTCGTCGCTGGGACGTACTGGCGTGCGACGCCAGCACCAGGCGTGCGCCGGGCCGCCGCCGGACCGCGCTGCGCTCAACGCGCGCCTGATCGGCCACCGCGCTGTCACTTCCGGGGCTGCATCACACACACCTGGGCCCAGCGCGCCCCGCAGATCCAGGGAGGCGGCCATGTGCTGTGCGGCGCCTGCACCCATCGCCCCGGCGGCGTCGCGAGCTAGGACGCGGTGCCGCGGCGGGGAGCGCCGACGCTGTCTCTGCGGAGGAGCAGCACCTGGTGGCTGCGCTCCTCGTCGGCTCGCAGCGGCAGCGGCAGCGCGCTCCGGGCTCGCCCGCGCACCGCGTCCACCGCGCACCACGCGACCTGCCCGCGACGCTGGCCCTTCGCCAGCCCGATCTTTCGGCCCAGCGGGACTCTGGCGCCGGCGTCGTCGCACGCCGGGCCGGAAACAAAGGCCTCCTCGAATCCGATCGCGTGCAGCTCCTGCACGGCGCCCCCGGAACTCCACCCCGCTCCGTTGACGCCCTTCCAGGCCTCCTGCGCCGGCGACACCTCCAGGAGCACGGCGACCGGAGGGTTCGCGCCCTGCACGTACGGATCGGTCGTCGATCTCACGCGTCGGCGCATGCAGGGGCAGGATGCGCGTGGCGGCACGCAGGGCGCCCGCACCTGCAGCGCGCGTCCGGCCCCGCGCAGCACCGCGCGCTCCCACCCGGGCTGCGCGATCCGCAGCACCCAGGGGCTTCCGCAGAGCGCGGCGGTCGCGTTGTCGTCGTTGTCGCAGTCGGCACCGAAAAGGGCCTCGTCGAGAGACGTCGTCTCGACGACGCGGCCGGGCCCTGCCGCCGTCGCGCTGCATTCGTCGCTGCCGGGCGCCATACCGTACAGCCCTGGCGGCGCGCCGCGTGCCCGCAGCGCTGGCTTCACTGGCGCTGGCGCAGCGAGCGTTTGCTCGAGAGCGAGGGGCAGCAGCTGCGCAAGCGCGGCGTCGTCAGCCGCGTCGGAGCCGCGGGGCGTCCCCGGCGGGGCAGCCAGCAGCTGCGGTTCGAGTGTCCGGCCTCTATACAGGCACGCCCGCCCGCGCCCCGCCGCGACGGCGCGGGGATGCAACGTCACGCGGTCCTGGAAGGCGGCGTTCGCGGCAACGGAGCGCTCAAGCAGCCGCGGGTCGCTCTCGAACGCGATGACGCGCATGCCGGACGCCGCAGCGTGCAGCGACGCGGCCCCGAGCCCCACACCAACATCCACGAAAACAGGGGCCCCGCGCGCGGCGCCGTCGCCGTCGCGGACGCACGGCGCCTCAGCGACGGGCTCGAGGGGGCGCAGCGGCTGCTGCGCGCGCCAGCGTCGCCGCGGCCGCGTGTCTGGCACCCTGAGGCCGAGAGTCCCCCACGGACTCCCCTCCGTGCCGTCCGCGCACTGCGGCCGCGCAGCACGGTACGCGGGCCCTCGCAGACACACGCCGGCCGCGGACATCAGGGCCTCGTGCCCCATCGGGCCGCGCGCCACCCACGCCCCCGGCTCCCAGGCGCCCCATCGCAGCACCTCTCTGCTCGGGTCGTCGCGGTCGTAGCGCGCCGCCTCGTCGACGCCCGGCAGCGCGACCGCCACCGCCGTCTGAGCGTCCCGCCACTGCGCGCCGCTCCTGAGGACCGTCCAGACCACCCCGTCGCGATCTCGCTCCAGTAGGTCGCCCGTGTAGTTCAACGTGGAGAGCGGCACCGCCGGAGGGCGGGGCGCGGGGCGCGGCGTGCGGAAGAACAGGAGCCGGAGCAGCGCCCGCAGCAGCACGTTGTACCGCAGCAGGTCTTCGCCGCTGCGGAGCCGTTTCGCGGCCCACCGGCCCACTGGCCCTAGTGCAGCTTCGAGGTGGCAGCCGGGCGTGATGCGGGGAGCGAGGCGCCTCACGCCCCTGCGCTTCCACGAGCCCTCGAAGTGATGCACCAGGACCTCGCCCGGGCTGTGCGCCTGCAGGGCAGCGACCGAGTCGTCGGGAGCCAATCACGTTTTGTATTTGTCTCGGGGCGGGTGCTCGCCCGAGCGGGCGGGCGCGGCACGCGCAGGAGGCGCCGCGCAGGTGAGGCCCGTCGTCGTACCGGTAGACCGTCGAGACCGCTCGGGAAGTTCCCCATGGCGACCCGTGGCAGGAGGCGCACGGGCCAGGCGCAGCCGGGCGCCAGCGATGCGCTGCGCGACATGTAGCGGGCGAGAGCATCCGACCAGGCCCCCGGCCCTGTCCGCTCGAGCGTGTTCCTGTCGTCGTCCTGCGGCTGGTGGCGCGTGGCTCACCATCAGCTCCCCGGCGACAGTCTTTGCCAGCACAACATTGTTACAATGTTGTGCCCTGATTGTGCCCTGATTGTGCCCTGATTGTTACAATGTTGTGCCCCCAGGGCACGTGACACGTGCGACAGGATCGAGATGGGCGGCCGCGCTTGGTCCGGGACGGACCTGTGCGATCCGGAAGGTAGCAGTGCGTGCGATGTGCGACGCGGCGAGCCGGAGCGCCGGGTGGCCCGGCGCCGCGAGGATGCTCCACTGCACAACCTGAACTGTTCGCGCGTACGTCCTGGTCGAGGCCTGCTCCGGGGTCTCGAACGCGTTCTCGATCCCAGCGACCAGCGCGTCGCGCTCGGTGTCGATCACGGTCTCGAACGGCAACCTGCACAGTCTGTCAGGCCCGCTGTAACAACCACGGCGCCCCGGCAACGCACGTCTGGTGGTTTGATTCAGCTCGGCCGAGTCTCGCGGTCGGAATCGAAACAGGGCCATCCGTCGGCAACTCACCGGCACTCGATGTCCACGTCCAGGTAGGCGCCGCCGTACCGCAGCAGGACGAGGTAGCGGAACATGTCCGCCCGCTGCACCGGCGAGTCGAGGGCGTCCCAGGCCCCCACCAGCCCCGGAAACTCCCCCCCGACAAAGTCCCGCGCGTCTCGGTCGTCGTAGAACCGCACCTCCCACCCGGGGTTCAAGCGCATGCAGCCGTCGATGTAGCCCTTGAGGTCCTCGTGGAGGTCGTCGTACGCGCGGTGCGTGTAGTGAATGATCCGGGGGATCGACCCGAAGTCCACCACACCTCCTGCAGCTGCAGAGCACGCTTCGCCAGCCTCGTCGCTCGCGGCGGGAGGCGCAGTCCATGCGTCGCCGGCGGCCCCGCCTCGCAGTACCGTCCCGTACGAAGGCGGCGTCCACCGATGCACGGGGGATGCCTCGGGGGTGTGATCCTCCCAGATCCATGGAGGGGGGGGGTCGGCTGTGGCGTAGCCGTCCGCGTCGAAGTCGCCAGGTGGTGCGCCCAGGTAGTGGTGGGCGTGCAGAGTCACGTGATCTTCGTTCGCGATGTTCGGGGTCCGGGAGAACTGGTACGCGCCCGCACACACAGCCAGCAACACACCGACGCGGGAGAGCGTGGCTGCGCGGCACAGACCGACCTGCGACGCACGAGCACCACCACGTGACTTTTGCGAGCCCGAATCGAGCTCATCGTTCCGTCCCACCGCACCATGACGCCGCCGCGCGGGATCATGTGGCTGTCGAACCGCTGCACTGCACCAGCGCAGTGAAGCGGTTGCGCCACCCACCTTTCGGATCCAACGCCGCGGGAGCCTCGGCACGTTCATCCAGCACCTGGAGGCGACAAGAGGGCGTCGCCCGCAGCGTTCCCCTCCCCTGTCGGGCCACGCACCCTCCCTGTCCCCACGATGCATCCCGAGGCGCACCAACACCGCGCGGCCCGCCTGCTCCGCCCGACCTGTCGCAGCAACAGCCCGGCGCACGCCAGCAAGCGATCCCTCTACGCCGCGCGCCGCACCCGCAGCCCACGCCCCTCTGGTACAACACACAAGACCCCTCCCCGCGTCACCTGCCTCACATGACTCATGCAACACCGCGCCGCGCCGCCCCTCACGCAGAGGTGCTCACCGCGCTCGCCGTCGCCCGCGTCCGCGCCCCGCCTGCCTCGATACCGCGAATGAAGTCGTCCATCTTCTCGTTCACCGTCTCCGGCACCTCGTCGTGCGGGCAGTGCCCCGCCTGCAGCCGCTCGACGCGCACGTCGGGGCACATGCGCTCGATCTCGTTCGCGCGCGCCCCGGCGTCGTTCAGCGGGTCGAGCACGCCCTGCAGCACCATGGTGGGCCCGCCGAACTGGTCGACGCAGTAGTTCAGCGGCCAGGGCGTCGGGAGCCACGCCGAGGACTTGAACACGTCGAGCGCGCCGGGGTCCCGCGACGCGCGCTCGATCTCCTCCGCGAGCCACTCGTCCGCGAACTGGGGCTGCACTGGGTAAACCCGCTGGAGGGTGCTCTTGATGCCGAACTGGAGGTACAGGAAGAGCGCGCGGCTGCCGAGCTCGACGGCGAGCGGGTTCGGGCTCGGCGGCACGGGCCGCTCCTGCTCGTAGCCCGCGCGGATGACGCCTGCGCTGTTGACCAGCACCAGGCCGGCAAACTGCTGCGGGTCGCGGGCGGCGGCCAGCGCGGAGATGTAGCCGCCGATGGAGTTGCCGGCGACGACGGCGGGGCGGCCGACGACCTCGCGCGCGAAGTCGCCCACGAAGTCGGACCAGAGGTACTGCGTGTAGAGCATGGGGGACTTTTGGCTTCTACCGAAGCCGGGGAGCGTGCAGGCCCACACGTCGTACCCGCGGGCCGCGAGCTCGGCCGTGTTGCGCCGCCAGTGCTCCGAGAACGCCCCGAACCCGTGCACGAGCAGCACCGCGGGCCGCCCCGCGCCCTTCCCGCCCGCGCCCTCCACGAAGACGTAGTCCGACAGCACGCCGCGCCACCGCCAGTGCCGCAGCGGCGCGCCCGACGGGCCCGTCGCGTCCGAGTTCGCCGCGACCAGGCCCATCTGCCGGTGAAACTCCCACGTGTCGGACGCGGAGATCGCCGCGCGCGTCGCCGGCGTGGCGCCGTAGTTGCCGCCGTTGCGGTCCCGCCCGTACTGCACGGCCTCGGCGTGCACGCGCCGCGGCGACAGCGTCCCGAGCGCGAGCGCGCCCGCGAAGAGCGACGTGAACGACCCCCCCGGCCCCTGCGGCGCCTCGAGCAGCGGAGTCAGCGCCGCGAGCTTGCGGCCCAGCGGCGTCCGCGGGCCGCCGTCGTCCGCGCGGAGGTACGCCGCGAGCGCCTCGCGCGCGCCGGCCTCTCCGCCCGCCCACACGCGCTCGATCTCCTCCGACAGCTGCGCGCCGTCGACATCCGACTGCACAAACGGCAGATGGTTCAGACCGAGCGGGGCGCCGTGCGTGGCGCCGCCGCCCGCGCCGTCCGGGATCGCGCCCGCGTCGATGCCGGCCGGGAGCGGCGGGAGCGCGTCCGGGGCGTCGACCGGCGCGGCCGCGGGTCCGCGCCGGCGCCCGTGCTCGGGGTAGCTGTCCAGGAACAGCGCGGGGTCGTAGAGCGGCGCGGTCCACAGCTGGACGTGCGGGGGCGCGGACGTGGAGCCGACGTTGGCGAGGAGCTCGACGATCTCCTCCTGCGCGGTGCTCAGGGCGTCGCGCCAGGCGTGCTCCACGTCGGACTCCGCCACGACCGCCGCGGCGCCGACGTCGCGGACGAAGTTCGCGACGGTGGCGGGAGCGGGGCCCTCGCGGACCACAAGGGTCGAGCCGCGCTCCTCGAGCGCCTTCCTGCGTGGGCGCGGGCTCAAGACGGCGGCGTTGCGTCAGTGTGTGCGCAGGAAGGGTCGAGGGGCGCGCGGGCGGGCGCGGGCGGCGCGGACGCGGACCTGAGGGCCTTCACGGCGCCGAGGAGGACCGAGCGGCCGACCGTGTTGGGTTTGTGGAGCGTCCAGTCGAGCACGAAGAGCGGAATGACCGGGCGCCCAGTGGCCAGGGCTCGCACCAACCCCGGGTGGTCGTCGAGCCTGCACCGCCAGCGATCGCACGGCCGGCCGCGTCATGCGCGCGGAACTAGGCGGGCAGAGCGGGCGGCGCGCAGGAACGGCGCCCGGCGTCCCGGCGCTGCGCACCGCGCTGCGTTGTAGCAGGGAGGCGCGGCGCCACGCGCGCGGGAGGGCTGAGCGGGGCGTGAGGCGCGATGCGCGCGCAGTTCGTGGCTGTTGCTTCCCGGAAGGGCCGCGTTCGGAGCCCTGCGCGCGCGCGGTGCGCGGAGCCGGAGCACGGGGCGCTCGCAGCCTATCGTGCGCACCTGAGGTCGTTCTTGAACCAGACGACGACGGGCCCGTCGTTCGCGAGCTTCACCTGCTTGCCCGTGTCCTCCTTGGCGTCCGCGAGCGACCGCATCGTGTCCGCCGGCACCGTCAGCCCGAGGTCCGAGACGTCTGTGGTCCCCTCCTTGCGAGCCTGCACCGCGCGGCCACGCGCGGCGCGGCCACGCGCGGCGCGGCCACGCGCGGGGCCGCCCCGAGGTGGGCGCGCGCGGCAGGCGCGCGGCGGCTCCGCGGGGGACGCGCCGCCCCGACGGGAGCCGTCGAGACGGGCACTGTCCCCGCCGCTGGCATCTTGCTGTGTGCGGACTGTCCCGGGTGTGACGCGCAAGACCGGCGCACGCAGGGCACGCCTTGCTGGAGAAGTGGGCCGCGCGCGGGGGGCGCTGGGCTGGTGAGATCGGGCGGGGCGTGCGCGGGGTGAGGAGTCCTCCGAGTCACGGACAATGCTCAGGGGGGTGAAGCGGGCGCACGCGGCGGGGATAGATCGGGGCCGCGCGCGGGGGCGGCCGGGGAGAAGAGCAGGGGCAGGCGGATCGCTCGCGCGCGAGCGCCACGGACTCGATCGTCGGGAAACGGGAGGTTTCGAGGTTTGGGTGGAGTTGCGACGCACGTAGCGCGGCAGGGGGCGGTCGCGCGGCGGGGCGTGCGCGCGGGGGGCCGTCGTTGCGGGTTCACGGGCGGTTCTGGCGCGCGGGTCGGCGCGCGGGTGAGGCGAGCGGGGCAGGAAGATGCCCAAGGACGCGCCCAGGATCTGGGAGGCGCATCTCGGGATGATGGGGTCGGGGGAGTTGGAGAGCGCTAGCACGAACAGTGCGCAGCAGCAGTCGTACGCGCAGCTCGGGCGGCTGAAGGAGTCCCTGAAGTCCGGGCAGGGGTCGAGACGAAAGCCTGCGTCCAAGGGCGGGGCGGGGTCGCGGGGGCGCGAGAACGAGGCGCTGCAGCTCCAAATCGAGGAGCTGCTCGAGGAGAGGGCGGACCTGCTGCAGCAGCTCGAGGTCTCCCGCATCCAGCGAGGAAACAGGTGCGACGCGGCGGTTGCCCCCTCGAGCTGCAGCACCAGCCGCGTACACGCGCCACCGAGCGCCTCGCCGCGTCTGCGCGGCCCGGCTCGGTCCCCGCGCCCCGGCTCATGCGCCGCCGCCCGCGCCAGCCCCGCGGCCCGCGTGTCGCGTCGGCTCCGGGCCCCGTGTCACTGCTCGTGCGTCACGCGGCCGCCCCGGCCCACACGGCGCTCACCACCGCCCCGCGCCGCAGAGAGCGGGACCTCCAGTCGGCGCTGGGCTTCAAGGACGCCGAGACGCGCTCCCTCAAGGCGCGCGTGCGCGAGCTCGAGATGCTGGTCCGGCAGCGCAAGGCCACGCTGGGCGTCGAGGCCTGCCGCGACGTGTGCGCGAAGCTCGTGTGGCTGGCGCACCACTGGAAGCTCGCGCACCGCATCGGCGTCCTCCCGTCCATCGCGGAGAACCGCGCGCTGTTCTGGGAGGCCAAGTCCCCCCCCGACTCGGTGCTGTTGCAGCTGGCCAACATCACCGGCCGCATCAGCCCGCGCGGCGCGGTCAGCCCGGGCCCCGCGACGCCGACGGGCGCGCGCACGCCCGCCCGCGCCCGCACGCCCAGCCCCTCGCGCCGCGACCTCGGCACCGACGCCGTCAGCGTGCGCGGGGCGCCGCCGCAGCCCGCGCGCAGCGTCAGCGGGAACGTCTCGGACCCCTCCCGCGCCGAGAACGACAGCGGCGCCGCGGGCCTCCAGCCCCACCCGATCCAACTCCCCTCGGACACCCCCCCAGACGACCCCGCCAGCCTCGCGTCGTGGGTGGTGCCGGGGCGCTTCACCGAGGCCGAGGTCGTCGAGGTCGACCGCGGCATGCGCGAGGCCGCCGAGCTCCACCTCGTCGACCTCGTCATGATCGAGCTGTCCGACCGCGAGCACCTCGGACGACCCGTGCCACAAGGTGCGCCTCCCTCCGCGCCCGCTCACCACGCATGACTCAGGCTGCCATCCGAGCGCTCTGGCTCGGCGGCCGCTCGGGCCCAGACTCACGCGGGGCCAGTCCGATGTCAGGTCCGGGGTCTTGGGGGTGTTGCATGCATCCACACGAGCGGAACCTGATACTGCGTCGTGCGCCGTCTCAGTGCGGGCTCGAAGGGCTGCCGGCGGCCGAGCGGGCCAGCCGCGCCCTAGTGGCTCTCGCGCGTGCTGCCGTGAACGCACCGCCCGCCCCCGCCCCGCGACGCGCCCGCTAGTCTGTTCGTGCCGCAAGCACACGTTTGGTGACGTCGCCGGCGCGCCGCGTGGCCGCAGGGGTGACGACGGGCGCGGGTATGGAGATGCATCCGCGGTGGCTGGTGAACCACACGGAGATCGGGGAGGAGCAGGCGCGGCAGGCGTGTTTCTTGCAGGCGTGGCTGGTGCTGCAGTGGAGCGCGGCGGCGGAGCTGCCGATGCCCGGGCTCGGCGAGGAGGCGCGGCGGCGCGCGGACCACTGGCGCGCGCGGATGTCGGAGGAGTCGCAGGCGCGCGACCTCGTGGCGGCGTGGCGCGACCTGCAGGACTTGCAGCTCATGGGCCTCGACCTGCACCTGTGGCGCGCGCGGGTGAGTGCGACGCGGTGACGCGGGGGAGGCTGAGCGTGTGACTCACAGGTGTAAGCTCCGCGGCGTCGACCACAGGCTCGCAGCTCGACGCGATACGCCGTGGCAGGTGTGCAGGTCGCCGAGCACGCTTGCCGCGCGCACTCGCGTTGCGTCCATCGCACGTGCCCCGCAATCGTAGCAGCCGCGCGGGCTCTCACGAGCCGGCGCGCGCGCACGCGTCCAGGCCGGCCTGCAGGCGTGCGCGGTCCAGGTTGCGTCCGATCACGACCACACGCGTCCGCGGCACCTCCCCGTCCCCCCACTCCCCGCCCTCGACGATGTCGTACAGTTCGTGCACCGCCTGAAACACCCCCTTCCGCGCCTGCCCGTCCACGAATAACACCCCCTTCATTCGGTAGATGTCGTCCTTGCTGCCGTCACGCTCCCACAGCTTCGCGTCCAGCCAGTCCTGGAAGCGCGCCTTGTCGAGCGGCGCGTCCGTCGCCAGGCTCACCGTCGTCACCTGCGGGTTGTGCGCGCACCCGCCGCACGCCGCCCCGTGCTCCGGGCACGCGGCGGTGCCGTGCCCGTGCGCGGGCGGGCCCCGCGGCTCGTACGTGGCCTCGTCGTAGGACTTCAGGCGCAGGACGTGGCGCAGGTCCACCTTCGAGCGCACCGTCGGAATCACCTCCACGCCGGCGTTGATGGCGCGGATGGCCGCGGTGAGCTCCTGCACCTCGGCGTCGCCCGACACGAGGTCGCACTTGTTCAGCAGGACGACGTCGGCGTACGCTACCTGCTGCTGCGCCTCGTTCACCTCGCCGCCCTGCGCACCGTGCCCCGACAGCTGCCTGCAACGCAGCCCGCACACAGCACACCTCTGTTCGCGCCCGCAACACTTGACGCCGCGGCTCTGAGCGGGTTGCACCTCCGTAGAACATCTACAAGAGGCCTGGTGGGGGCGTGCGGGGCGTACCGGACCAGGTTGCGGGCGTCGGCGACGGTGATGACGCCGTCAAGAGCGATGCGCGCCTCGAGCTCCGGGTCGGTCCACAGCGCCGTCGCGACGGGTCCCGGGTTCGCGAGGCCGGTCGTTTCGATCACGATGTAGTCGAAGGACGCGCCGGGCTTGTCGAGGAGCGCCTCCAGCGCCTGCGCGGTGTCAACGTGTGCAGTGGGCGTCGCGCACGGACCACCGGGGCGGCGGGCCGCGGTTCGGCGCGCTGCGGGCCGTGCTCGCACCATCACGAAGTCGTTCTTCACCGAGCAGCACAGGCACCCGTTCGCGACCTCCACCCACTCCTCAGCGCCTGTCGTGGTGCGTCCCGAGGGCGCCTGCGCCTCCACGATGGCGGACTCGATGCCCTGCTCCTGGCCGTACTCGTTCATGATGACGGCAATCTTCAGGCCGTGGTCGGCGGTGAGAATGTAGTTGACCAGCGTGGTCTTGCCCGCACCCAGGTAGCCTGCACCCATAGGCAGTCGCGTGACGTGAACGGTTCTGTCCTGTACGTGTCGCTTCTGGTCGGCGAAGCTTCGAGAGGCCACTGCGCGGTGCGCACCTGTGATGACAGTGACGGGCACAGGGCCGTCCCGCTGCACGCCGGCCCCTTGTGCCGCCGGCGCAGCAGCAGCGGCCGTCCCAGTACTTGCCGCGCCGTCCGCGTCCACCGACAGCCGCGATAGATCGACGCGCGCCGCTTCAGCCGCCCGTGGGTGCGCTGCGCACGCGGGAACGGGGCCGTTTCCCCCCATGGGTGAGCGGGCGGCGACGTGAGCAATAGACGCGGCGGCAAGGCGTGATTGTTGCCGCGCTGGGCTCGAATCGGTACTGTATACTCATGAGACATCGTAATTTGTGGAGAACAAAGACACTCTGCACGCAGCGATCGACTCTCCAGAGCGCGCCTCCGGGTCGCACCTGGCGCGGGGGGCTCTGCGCCGATTGGGATCGCCAGCGGGACGTCCGAGTCAGAGTCCGACTCCATCGTCCCGCGCCGCCAGTCCGCTTCCTCCGCGCGCGGCGGCACCGCCCACAACGACGCCCGACAGCACGCTCAGCCACGACGGCACCCTCCGACGCGAAGGAGCTCAGCTCGCGGCCACGACGTGGACAGAATCCGCTGTCGCGGCCCAGCGCGCGGCCCATGACGCGCTCCGGCGGCGCAGCCGACCACGGGGGGGTGTTTCCAGGGCAGTAATCACACAGGTCTGTCGCGCACTACTCGGCCTTCCTCTTCAGGCGGCCGCGCTGCACCGCCTTGATCCACGTCTGCAGCGCGAGCCCCGCGAAGACGCCCGCGACGCCCGCCCACTGCCCCGGCAGCAGCGGGTTCCCGCTCCACATCACGCTGAGCAGAATGTTGAAGAACTTGCGCGTGGTGGTGATCGTCGTGCACGCGAGGCTGCCGCCGACCTTGATCGTGAGGAAGATGAAGAGCTGCCCGACGGCGCCGCACGCGCAGAAGAGCGCCACGTCGCGCGCGGCCTCGGGGTGCCGCACGCAGAAGTCCCACACCTCGCGCGCCATGCTGGTCGCGCCGGCGGTGTACGCGCCCGTGATGAGCGCGGTCCACAGGTTCATCCCGCACATCATGTGCAGCGGCGTCGTGCCGGGGTACGCGTGGTTGAGCGCGTCCTGCGCCGCGTTGGTGTACCCGTCAAACAACAGGTTTATACCGATCAAAAAGTACCCCAGGGGGGCGTTCGGGGCCGCGAGCCTCGCGGCGGCCTTCGACGAGGCCTTCGCGAGCGCGAACGTCGAGATGCCCGCGGCCACGAGCAGCGCGCTCGCGTACTCGGCGGCCGCGTACCGCCGCCCGTTGAGGACGACACCCATGAGCATCACGGGCACCGCCTTGCAGGACTTGGCGAGGACCTGCGCCGGGTACGACACGTTCTTCAGCGCCTGGATGCCGCACGACGGCCCGATCGAGTTGGTCAGCGCGGGGCGGAGGTACGCGGTAAGTGGCGGGAGGCCGCTCTTCGGGCCCTCGCCGCCGACGAGCTGGAAGGCCGCGAGGATGAGGAACGCGAAGAGGAAGCACCCCGCCGCCTGCACCGTCGCCAGCGAGACCACGTGCGGGAACCGCTCCTGCGCGGGCCCGAACGTCTTCGAGGCCAGCTCCTCGCTGACCACCCCCTGAGTCAGGTACGACCCGTAGATCCCCACCACGCACAGGGCCAGCGCGGCCGCTTTCCGCGGGCCGTGCAGGTTGTGCAGGGCGTTCCCCAGGTCCCCGGCCCCCCCCATCGTCACTCCCCAAGTGTGTGCAGTGCCAGCGAAGGTCGCGGGCGGCGCCTCTGGCCGCGATCGGGCACGAAGCAGAAGGAGCTGCGAGGACGGACACGTGGCTTGACGTCGGACGGGCGCGCGGGATTCGAGCGCCGCTGTGCGGAGCGGGAGGTATCGCCCGGGTGCTAGAAGCCTACAGAGGCACCCGTCGCGTCCTCCGCGGGCGCAGGCGCTGAAATGGAACCGCACCTGTGCGCTCCCGCAGACCGCGCTATCGAGCAGCTCTGGGACCTATTATTCGGCGTGAGTCTCACGACTGTCGCGCGCGGCGCGTGTTTGTGCTGTCAATGCGCCTTGGTCCCCGCGTCGCGCCTCAGGTGCGTGGCATGTGACGTCAAGCACCTCGCTGGGTTCTCCCGCGGTATCTGCGCGCCCGTGCGCACTCCAGAGCGGCAACGCGCCCTGCTGCGCGCGCGGCGGGGTGTCGGGGTAGTGAATGCTGGCACGACGCGAGGGGGGCCGTTCGGAGCACGCGACGCGCGCTCGAACGCCGCGCCCGCGCCCGCCCTGACGCACGCCTCCGTCACACGTGCATGGAGAGCGACGCCGCGCCGTTCGGCGCGACGGGCGCGCCGTCGCACGGGCCCGGAGGAGCGCGCACCTGCTTGGAGCTGCCCCCGCCGCACGTGCGGCTGGTGGGCTGCGAGCACAGCGGGCGGTGCGTCCGCGTTGGGGCCTGCGCGGTCACGTGGCACGTCGTCCGCGACGCAACGTTCAAGCGTTCTGTGCCGCGGTGGAAGGCCCAGCTGTCTGAGCTGTGCGCTGGCGCTGGGGGGGTCGAGGAGGCCGTTCAGGCCGCGAGAGAGCGCGACATGGACATTGTTCCGGACAGTGTCGATGATGCAGATGATGGAGACGCGGTTTTTTCTTCGGAGGAGGGTTCGTCTGGGGCAGATCCGGGGTTGGAGACGGAGAGCGCCATGAGCGACGGCGAGGGCGACGAGGAGGCGATGATGATGAAGGCGATGGGGCTGCCCGCCGCGTTCGGCGCGCCGGCGTCGGGGCAGCGCGGCGCGGCGGCCAAGCGGCGCCGCGTCGACTCGCTGTTGCGTAACGCGGAGCTGGCGGAGGCCGTGCGCCTCCGGTGGGCGCAGGAGGCCGCCGCGGTGCTGGACGACGGGCTCCTCGCGCGCTTCTGCGCAGCGCTGCGGGGCGCGCTCGCCGGCGCCGGCGCGGGAGGGGAGCGCCGCGTGGAGACCATTGGCGGGGGCGCGGGGACGCGCGACGGCGCGGGGGGGTCGGCGGAGGCGCCGCTGGACACCGCGGGGGAGGGGACGCCGGAGGGGCTCTCCGACTGGGTGCACGGCGCGGCGGTCGGCGTGCTCAGCCGCGCGCAGAGGTCCCCGGGGGAGTCCCCGTCAGTGCCCCTGCTCGTGGGCGTGGCGCGCAAGGCGCGCGGGACGCTGACGCAGTGGCTGTCTGCCCCGGAGTCCGTGGCAGCCGCTCGCACGGACGCGGACGGCGCGCTGGGGACCGTGGCGAGCGACCTGTCGCGCGCGCTGCCACAGGCCGGGGCGGCCGGGGTGCCGACTGCGGCGCAGCTCGCGGAGCTGGCCGGGGAGGCGGCCGCGCTGGCGCTGTACATCCCCACGGCCAGCGCGCTCGTGTGTCCGTTGATCGCGGAGGCCGCCGGGGGCCCCGGCGCGGCCCCGGGGCGCGACGCGGCCCGCGCGCTGACGCTGCTGGCGGGCGTGGGGTGGTTCCGTCCGACGCGTGCGCTGCTGCCGGCGCGCGTGCACAAGTACCACTACCGGCGGTACTGGCTGTTCAGCCGCTTCGACGAGGGCTGCGCGCTGGACGAGGAGGGTTGGTTTTCCGTCACGCCAGAACCCGTGGCCAAACACCACGCGCGGCGGTGCGCGTGCCGCGTCGCCGTCGACGCGTTCGCAGGTAACGCTCTTCCCCGCCCGCTCGTGCCCATCCGCGCGGCTCCGCCGCCCTCGCGTCGGCTCCACGTCCACTGCGACACCCCCCCTCCGTTCCGTCGCGCAGGCGTCGGCGGCAACGCGATCCACCTCGCGCGGACGTGCGAGAGCGTCGTGGCTATCGACCGGAGCGCGGGCCGCCTCGCGATGGCCGTGCACAACGCCCACATCTACGGCGTCGGCGCCGCCATCCAGCCCCTCTGCCAAGACGTCCGCGAGGCACTGCCGCGCCTCGCCGGCGCCGCGGACGTGGTCTTCCTGTCGCCGCCGTGGGGCGGGCCGGAGGTGGTGTCCTCCGACGAGCCGTACGACGTCTCCGGGCCCGACATGGGGGGGTCTGGGTTGTCGCTGCCCGCACTGCTGAGGGAGGCAGCGGCGTGCGTGCGGCCGCCGCGGGAGCGGCAGGGCGACGCGTGGGGCGTCACGGTCTTCCTACCGAGGTGCGCGGGCGTGCGAGAGCGCGAGGTCACGGCGCCGCGCATGTCACAACAGTTGGATGCATGCAAAGTCGAGGTTTCCCTTCCTCGCGTGCGTCGCAGGAACACGGAGCTTTCGAGCGTCGTGGCCGCGGTCAAGCAGGCCGGCCTCGAGAGCTGGATGTGCCCCGGCGGCGCTCTCGAGGTCCAGGAGAGCTGGGTGGGGCCGAGCGCCGAGGGTGCCGCAGGCGCAGAGGGGGTGCGCCTCAAGGCGGTCACCGTGTACCTCGGGGGTCTCGCCGCGCGCGGCGATGCCTCGGGCGTATCTGCCAGAGGGTGAGCTGGCCAGGTAGACGTCGGGCACGTGTGAGCGGATCTGGTTGCGTCGTGTACAGTAGAAGCGTGGTGTGGCTAGCACGCTGCCGCCTTGATCAGGACGATAGCACACCCGCATTTCGTTTCGTGCGCGGGTGGTCAATTACTACTCTGTGTGGCTGAGGTGGAGGCGCCGTGCGGGCACGTTGCGGGGTGCGCGGCAGGGCGTGTGCACGTACAGATCATTGCTGAAGCTTCGGGCGGTCATCGTGGTCCTCAGTCGCAGGGCGCTGGCAGGTAGGTTGCAGCGAGCGTTGCGGCGGGTTTCCGCGCCTGTCGCGCGTCAGCGGCAATCAGCTGGGACTTGCGTGGCCAGTGCATGAGCCTATCGTGTGTTGGACACTGACGGAGACCGTCGCAACGCTCACACCGCACCTCCCGCCGGCGAGTGGTTACACCCACCAAGGTGGCAGCCGCTGGCGCGCTTTCCGTGGCCGAATCATTCTCCCTGCATCCTCCCCCCTCATGACCGAGACCTGAGCTTGCGCAAGCGGCCGTCGCGTCGTCACCGTGTCCGCCGGCGTCGTGCCTGGCTCTCCCAGCCTCAGTGCTGCCCCACGCCCCTCGGGGGGCGCATCCGGGCCGCTCGCGCAGACCAGGCGAGATGTCTCATCCGTTTTCCACCTCTCCGCGCTGCTTCGGCCCTCGCAGGGCGTTGGACGACGTGGCGCGCCCGGCCATGAAGCATGCATCAGCCAAGGCGTTCGGCCCGACGCACGAGGTGCTCCAGGTGCTCGACGATGGCCGCGACCGTCCGACGCCGGGCAAGGGCGAGCTCCTCGTCCGCGTCCTCGCGGTGTCCCTCTCTGGCAGCGACTGGCGCTCCATGCACGGCGACGTCCCCGGTATAAAAAAGCCCGCCAAGGGCTTCCCGTACGTCCCCGGCGGCGACTGCTGCAGCGAGGTGGTCGCGCTCGGCCCCGGCGTCGCCGAGTTCCAGGCGGGCGACCGCGTCGTGTCGACGTGGCAGGTCTTCGGCGAAGGCGCGCTGGCCGAGTACGCGACCGTCAAGGCCTCGCTGTCCGCGAAGCTGCCGGCGACGGTGCGCCCCGAGGAGGGCGCGGCGCTGGCGAACTCCGCGGGGCACGCGCTGAAGGCCGTGCGCGGCGCGAAGGTCAAGGCGGGTGACCGCGTGCTCGTCCTAGGCGGGAGCGGCGGCGTGGGGACGGCCCTCGTGCAGCTCGCGCGGCGCGCGGGCGCGGCGTACGTCGCGTGCACGACGACGAACGGCGCGCTCGTGCGCGAGCTCGGCGCGGACCGCGTCATCGACTACCGCCACTCAAGCTGGGCGAACGACCCCCTCCTGGCGAAAGAGCCAGTCGACGTGGTGTTCGACTGCGCGGAGGGCGAGGAGGCGTGGCTCGCGGCGCTCGAGAGCCGCGCGGTCAAGCGCGGGAAGCACGGCGGCCGGTTCGTCAGCATCCACACCGTGTGGCGCATGCTTCTCACGTCGTACTGGGACGTGGCCAAGTTCATGGCGCCGCGGCTCGCGCGCGGGCCGTGGAGCGCGCTGCACCGGGGGTCCGCGCCGCGGCACTCCTTCCACGTGGAGGATGTAGACGGGAAGGTGCTGGCCGAGGTGCTGCAGCTCGCGGGCGCGGGGCAGCTCAAGGTGGGTCGCGCGCCGCAAGGCGCCACGTGTGTGCAGGGCGCGTTCGCGTGCTCCGCGCTCGCTCCGGCCGTCCCCGGCGCTCCGCGCCGCCCCGCCGTGCGCTCTGGCGTCTTCCCGGTGGAGATCGCGTCGCCGCGTCGCTCCGCGTTGCTCGTCGCAGGTGCCGCTGGACACGCGCGGGCCGTTCCCGTTCACCACCGAGGGCGTGCGTGCGGCGTTCGACCTGCACGAGAGCCACCATGCGCGCGGCAAGGTCGTCATCAAGGTGGCCGATTGACGCACGGGGCCGCCGCGACAACCCTGCGAGCATCTTGCCTGATCTTTAAACCACACAATCTCACCTCCCCTTCCATCCCGCCCGCCGCCGTCGTGCTCGGGCGCCACGGCAACACACAGCACCGCGGGCGCGTGAGCGAGCGCCCGGTGAGCGCGGCAGCGCGTCGGGCGCCCCCGGTGCCCGCTGCGACACCGCGGCCACGCGCTGCGTGTGAGCGAATCGATGTCTGGCAGACGACGCACGCGTCGCCTTTTCATTCTAGCTCTTATGTTGATGTCCGACAGCCGACGCCTGCAGCGAAGTACAAACAAAGGTCTCGGCGCTCCGTGACGACGTGCGCGAACAGCGAAGGCGTCGCGGCTTCCTCGCGGGACCGTGCCGGGTCTGACTCCGGCGGCAGCGGAACAAGTTCTTACCCTCTGTACGCGCAGTGAGCCCGGCTCACTGGCTCAGCCGCGGGCGTCGACGTGGCGCTTGAGGGGGCACGAGGCGCGGCGGGGTGCGGCACTGCGAGGCGCTCGAGAGCGCGGGATACAGCTGGCGCGGCGGTGATTGTTTCGAGGCGCGGCGGCAGCGCGCGACCCGGTGCTGGTGGCGCAAGGGTCCTTGGGCGCCTGCAGCGCGCGCGACGGCATGGCTTCACTTAATTTTCGACGAGACGAAGCTTGAACGTTCTTTCTCAGCACCCTGAACGGCACAGGCCGGGTGCGGGCTGCCGCTGGACGGCACACAGCCGCGGAGCTCTGTTGGCACTTAGAGGGGTCGCCATGGCGCAAGGCGCCCTGTCCGTGCAGCTGCCTGCATGGCAGAGCAACAGCACTGGCGACGGACGCACGCCGGCGCTCACGGACCCGCAGCCGCCGCCCCAGCGCTCCGTGCGAGCACTGCCTGGGCAGCGTCCTCACAAGGATGCCCAGCACCGCGCGTTGCGGCGGCTGGTTGCTCTCCTGATCGGCGTCGGCGTGTTGGCTGCGCTCATGTACGTCGCTGTGGGGCGAGATGGCAGCGCGAACCTCTCTGCTTTGGAGGACTTCGTGGACAGAAGACCCATTTCAGGAGCGGTGTCGTTCGTCCTTCTGGGGTCCATCGCGATCGCGGCATTGCTTCCGATGTCGTTCCTCGCCGTCGCAGCAGGTGCGTCGGCCGCCCGGTCCCGCGGTTCCGTCACCGCGCGTGCCCCTATGCTCGCGCTCGTCGGCGGTGCTGGCCCACGCCTCCCGCGGCACGCCGCGGCGCCAACAGCGACCGCGGACCGCGCCGGCGCGGTCGTACCCTCACCCGCCAGCCCCACGTGCTCGAAATCCGCGACGTTGCGCGCGTCAGCGGCTGTCGCGAGCACCATGGCATTTGCCTGCACTGCAGGGGCGCTCTTCGGGTTCGCGGGCGGAACGATCATCGGCTGGATGTCCGTAGCGTGCGGGCAGTCCGCGGCGTTCCTCATCGGCCGCTACGGCCTCAAGGACGCCATCCAGACGATGCTTTTCACCAGGTGCGCGCGCACACACACGCCTCACACCCCGCGCCCCCGCTCCCGCGCCCCACTCCCACCCGCACGCCAGCCCCACCCGCAGCGGTCCCGCTTCACCCACACAAACGACACCCCCCCCAGTCCCCCCCGGTCAATCCTCACCGCGCAATCCACGATGCACGCAGGTACCCGTCGCTCGCCGCGGTGGACTCCTCGCTGTCCGCGCAGGGCTACCGCTTCGTCGCGCTCCTCCGCCTGTCCCCGCTCATGCCGTACAACCTCCTGAACTACCTCCTCGCCGCCACCTCGGTCAAGTTCCTGCCCTACACGGTCGTGTCCGGCGCGGCGTGCCTGCCCTGGGTCGCGGTCTTCGCGTACTTCGGCACGGCGCTCGACGCCCTCTCCGACGCGGACGCCTCGGTGGGGCCCGAGGGCACCGCGCGCACCGTCATGGTGGTGGGCTCCGTCGCGCTGCTCGTCGTGTCCGCGTACATCCTCGCGCAGTACTCGCGCAAGGCGCTCAAGCAGGCGATGGCCGAGCAGGGCGGCGCCGGCGCGGACGTGCTCGACGACATGGACACGCTGATAACAAATGAGGACGTGGAGTACTTTGTGGGGCACGACGACAGCGGGGAGGAGGGCGGCGGGGAGCGCGGGGGCGCGGAGGGGGCGCGGGAGGGCGCGGAGGGGGCGGGCGGGGCGGGCGTGCGCGAGGGGCGGCGGCGGGACACGCGGGCGAGCTTCCCTGGGTGCGTGCTGGTGGCGTCGCCGCGCGCGGCGCTGCGGGGGTCGCCGCGGATGACCAAGTCGAAGCACGACGGGGCGGACGAGTCCGTGGGGCGCCCCGGAGGCGCGCTACGGGTGGGGGAGTCGTCACCGGTCGTGGACAACGCCGCCGCACTCTCGGTGTCGGTGTCGGGCGGGGCCGCGCTGGAGAAGGCCGGGGGGGGCGACGGGTCGCAGACGTTCGGACAGCGGATGCTGGACTTCGGGCGCGCGGGGTACAGCGCGCTCGCGGGTGCGGGGCGGCCGCGGCACCGGCCTGTGGCGCGGGACCCGGGGGAGGAGGGGGGGGGTATTGTCGGGTGGGTGCTCGGGCGGGGGCGGCGCGGGTCGACGGCGGCGCGTGGGGGCGCGGCGGGGTGGGGGGGCTGGTCCGCGGTGGACGGCGAGGGCAGCAGCGGCGCGGGGCGTCGACAGTCGGGGCCCGTCGTGTAATGAAGCATCAGCACGACGGAACGCGTCAGCTGGATGCACACTCGCCGAGACACGGGCTAGCCGAGAGCATCGGCGTGGTGGAGTACCTGTGCGAGAGACGCGCAGACGCATCGAGGCTCGCCGCCACGACGGTTCGAAATGCAGCCGTACGTGGCGAGGGCATCCCCGTTCACACGACGCCGCTTGCGGCCCGTCGACGAACAGACCCCTGCCGCGGCACTCTCCGACATATATATCAAAAGGGTTTGTGGCATCTCAATATATCTCAAATGCAAACACAGTTTGTCCTGGTCGCATGGCATCGCCGCTTCCCGTCACAGCGCGGCCAGCCCCCTGCCGCTCGTGCGAGCGGACGTTCCGTCGCTCCGTCGCTCCGTCGCTCCCACCGGGGTGTCCGTTACTGGCCCGCTGCAAGGCGCCGGCGTGCGTTGAGTGCCTCTAGCGAGAACGGCACGCCGAACCCCAAGGCGGCGAGCTGGCCCCGCAGTTCCGCTAGGTGCTTCTTGAGCTGCTCGAGAAGGGCGTCCGAGCTCTCGATCATCTCGTCCACCACGGCAGTGACCTTGGTCAGCTCCTCGCGATCGTCATCGTCGGTGCATTCCTCGCTCTCGCACTCGAGCAAGAGCTTGAGCGCGTCGTGCAAGTCATCATCGCATGAACAGAGCTCGATCGCGTCGCAGAGCGTGGTGGCCCCGAGTGCGAATGCCATCAGGCACCTGGCGCGGTGGTTCGTGTCGGGAGACGGCATGAGCACCGCCGCTGTGTACAAGACGTCCTCAATGGCGCGCCGGGCGGCCTGTAGGTCCCACTCGTCGTCGAAAGCGGGAGTTGTGCGATCAACGCCGCGTACAGCGCGCCCGCGCCACTGTGTTGCTGAGCTGCTGCCGGGCCGGTCACGCGGCTCAGCGCGCTGGCGCCCAGCCAGCGCGCGCACACAGCGTGCCTCGAAAATATCCGCGTTGTCCGCGTAAGAGCCGTTCTCGTCCCCCCTCGGCGACGCGGACCGGGCCTGCCGCGCCGGGCTCCGTCTCGCTTCCGTACGCGCCGAAACCCGCCCGCCCGCGGCCCGCGTCGCGCGCACCGCGCCGACAGATTCCAGACGACGCTCGCAGCCGCCCGCCCGGCGCTCGTCGCGGTCCGCCGCGCGCGGGGGCGCCCCTGCAGCTGTCCTCATGCCGTTTCAAGGCGCCTGGGTGGGTTGCCAGCCAGTCACCGCGAACGTCCGCGCAGTGTGCCGCGAAGTGCCGCGGCATCCGCGCCAGCGCCCGCACTCGCCCCGCCCGACGTCCCGCGGCCCGCGGGGGTCTATTCGAACCGCGACACGTCCCGGACAGGTCCGCCGACAGGACGGGACTCGACTAGTCGCCTTCCTGGCCCGTGTCCCGTCCCGTGTCCTGCCTCCTGCGAAGTCGCAACGTCGTGCGAAAACGCCCGGCAGCGCTGGAACGCGCTCCGGTCCAACGTTCCGACCGGTTGTCCTGTGCCGCGGTGGCCGTTCGGCGGAGTACCGCGCCAGGACAGGGCACTTTGGCAGCGGCGGTGGGCGTCGCTGTCCGACCGCGCCGGGGCCCGTGCGCGCCGCGGCGAGCGCCGGACCGCAGTGGCGGCCGCCCGCACGGGCTCGCCAGTGGATGCGCGGGCACTCAAACCGCAACGCGCGGGCGCAACGACCACGTGGTTCACTCATGATGGAAGGGGGGGGTATTGCGGCCTGTGCGACCGTTGGCGGGCGCAGGTCACAGGCCCGCTGCGCCGCGGCGCGCCCGCACTCCGCGGGCTCCTTCTCCCAGCGGGTGTGCCCGCGCGCATCCGGTTCGCGCACCTCGCACGCGGTCAGCGACACACGCCAGCGCCGCACCCCTTTCACGCGCCGCGTGGACGCTCGGGCGCCCGGCGCGCGGCTCGGCCGGCATGTCGGGCGACGCGCACGCGGAGATCCTCCTGCAGGACCTCGCCCAGCGGCTGCGGGAGCTCGTGCAGGACGCGCAACGGTTTCAGCGGCGCAGCAAGTCTCCGTACCTGACGGTGGCGAACGTGGAGCAGGCGATGCGGATGCGCGGCGTGGAGCCGGTGTACGGGGTGAGGGGGGAGCGGCGCGCGAAGTTCAAGCGCGCGGTGGGGAAGGACGGGGAGAGCAGGGACGTGATGCTGCGAGAGGACCCTGTGGTGCCGGTGGCGGAGATACGCGAGGCGGGGCTGCCGCAGCGGGTGCCCGTGGACGCGAACTTCACGATGCACTGGCTCGCGGTCGAGGGGATACAGCCGGCGATCCCGGAAAACGTGCCGCTCGCGACCAAGGAGCAGACTGCGGGAGCGGGCGCTGCCGCGCGGGACCAGGCGGCCAAGCGGACCAAGGTCCGGGAGCGGATAGACCACCTCGGGCCCGTGCGTGCGAAGGCGACGGGCGCGGCAGGGAGCCTGCCGTTCGAGCACAGTCTGTCGGCGGAGCTGCAGGTGTACTACGACCGCGTCATGTCCCTGATCGGGCAGTTCAGGGGGGGGTCCAATGCGACAACCGGGCTGACGAGCGAGATCGAGACGCGGGACAAGCTCCTCTCGGTGCGCATCTCCGCCCCCCACGCCCCACGCCTCCTCTGTAGCTGGCACCGCAGGCCGTCCCCGCCAGCTGCGGGCCTCCGGGCCACCGAGCAGTGGTTTTCGAGCGCTCCGTGGCATGATACCTCACAGAAGCGCTCGTCGCGACCACCCATGCGCTCTCTGCCCCCCCCTCCGCCCCGGGCGCTGCCTCGACCAGCGCACCTTGGTTCTCCGCGCAGGCCGTGTGCGAGAGCCTCACCGTCGACCCCGGCCTCCAGCAGCTCCTCCCGCACCTCCTCGCGCGCCTCGCCGCGGAGACGAAGGAGTCGGACGGCTCCGACACCCACCTCAGCGCCATTCTCTCTGTCATGGGCGCGCTGTGCCGCAACGCCACGCTCGACCTCGAACTCTACGTCGACCGCCCGCTCCAGTGCGCCATGATCATCCTCCTCGGCCCCCACGGGCCCAGCGAGGCCGACCGCCCCGCGTCGTGGCGCGTGCGCGACCGCGCCGCGCGCGTCATCGCGGACCTGATCCGCCTCCCGCTCGCGACGCCGTACGACATGGAGGGGCGCGTCGCGGGCGTGGCGCTGCGCGCCGCGTGCGCGGAGCACGCCCCCGCGCGCGCGGTGTACGGCGCCGTGGCGCTGCTGGGCGCGCTCGGCGACCGCGCCGTGCTGCAGGCAGTGCGCGCGTCGCCGATCGTGGCGGTCGTCGAGGCGCAGGCGCAGGCGGTGGCGGGGGCGGAGCGCGGGGAGCGGCGGGCGGCGGCGCGGGGGGCACGGGCGGGACGGGGAGGGGGATGTTGAAGGTGAGGAGGGGGGGGGTCAGGACGGGGACGTCGAGATGGGGGACGACGCGGCGGACAGGAAGGCGGAGAAGTGCGCGCCCTTCCCCCCCTCGTGGCCGTTCTCGCAGGTCGCTGCGTGGCGCACGGCCCTGCTGCGAAGCAGGCATGTGCAGACGTGCTCTCGCTTGGTTACGGCGTGTGCAGGGCGCGGAGGTATCGGCAGCAGGTGGCGAGCATGCACTGCAGTGGGGCGCTGCGGGTGGCGATGGGGGCGTGTCTGCAGCGCCTGGTGGCGCGCGCGATGTGGGCCCCGGAGGTGACGGTGCGCGAGGACGCGCGGCGGCAACTGGGCGCGGACGCGGCGTGGATGTCCGGCCTGGACGTCGCGTACCCGACGCGCCAGCTTGTAGATACGACGCTGTGACCGCACGGACCCTGCCGCGTCACACGAGAGCCGTGGTAGCTACGCGGCTGGTCCTGCCCCGGGCGCCGCGCCCGCGCCACTCTGCCGGCGCGCCGCCCGCGCCCCGCCCCGGCCGACCGCGCGCCGCGCGCTCAGCTGTGGTCGAGCGGCGACACCTGCCGCGGCGCCGGCGCCTGCGCCGCCCTCTCCGCGGCGATCATCTGCGCGGTGCTCAGCGGCGACGCCTGCTCGCCCCGCTTCACGCGCGCGTACGGCAGCTCCTCGCCCTGCGCCAGCGCCGCCACGTCGCTCTTCAAAACCTCCTCCGGCAACTTGCCCCACGCAATCGCCTCCGGCTCGCCCTGGGGGTTCAGGAAGACAAACTCCGGGATGCCCGGGACGCCGAACTTGGCCATCTCGTCCGACCACTTCGAGTTGTCGATGTTCAGCATAACGAAGTTCACCTTGTCCTTGTAAGTGCTCTCAACTTCATACGTCATGGGCGCCATCTCGTTGCACACCTTGCACCAGTCGGCGTAGAACTCCACCACGGTCGGGCTGCCGTTCGAGAGCGCGACGTCGAGCGGGACGGACGCCGCCTCGAGCGTGGCGAGCGTCGCGGCGCCGCCCGCGGACAGCTTGGTAGCTGCGAAGAGGCCGATGCCTGCGAGGGCGGACACGCCGGCGATCAGGCCGCCGCTCGAGCTGCTGCTGTCGGGCGGCGAGGCCGCGGAGGTCGTCGGCGCGGCCTGCGCGCGCGGGGGCGGGTGCAGAGGGTGAGAGGAATGGGGCAGGGCGGGGCGCGGTCGGTGCGGCCGCGGGGGACGGTGCGGGGGGCGTCGAGCGGGCATATCTGGTCTGTGCGGAGGGGCTCGGCCGCGCGAGGGGTCGCGGATCCGCGATGCAGCGTGCTCGCGGGCCGAGGAGGTGCGGTGCTAGTGGCGCGCGGCAGGGTGCGCAGGGGGGGGTGCGTGGGGGGACGGCGCACCTCAGCTGCGGGGGAAGCCTCCTGCTCCTCGGCGCGCACGACGAGGCGCCCGGCGCGCCGCCCGGCGCGGGGCCTCTGCGCAGTGCTTCCCTGCGCAACCCTCGAGCGCGCGGGGGCCGCGCGCACGCCGCCAGCGAGGTTACCGATCATCTTCGTACGATGCTCTGTATCTCTCGGGCTGTCCCTGCGCGAAAAGCGAAGACAGCCGCGGCCTGTCGGGCCTGAAAGCGGCCACGAACAGGGTGGACCACTGGCAGCGTGTAGCGCCCGCGCCCGCGCGTCCGCCCGGTGCTGTCGCACGATTTCCCGCGGTTGCCCCTCTCAGCCACTTCGCGTGCCGTCGGAATCCCCGCAGATCGGGTCAGGCGCAACGTCGCGTGCCTCGGGGCGCACCTTGCAGCACCGCAAGTATCTCACGCAATTGCTGACGTCAGGCGGCTCCGCTCGATCCGTCGACGCGCTGCAGACGATCACCAGCTCGGAGTGCGCGCGCGGGCGCGCGTCCGCGGCCCTCGGAGCCGCGGCGCGGGCCAGCACAGCCCGGTGTTGACGCAGCAAGGTGGGACTCTCCCGAGGGGGGGCGGGCCCGGCGGCGGCGGCGGGCGGGGCGTTCCGCGGCCAAGGGCGGGGAATCTCGCACCGCACGGGAGGTATCGTGCTCCTCGGGTGGCCGCAGCGTCTGTTCTTGATTCCTGCGTCGAGCAGCGCTAGGAGAGAGATGCTGGCCCAGTGCTGCCTCCGGGCGCCCGCCGGCGCGGCGCGCGGCCAGGCGCCGGCGCAGCGGCAGCGTGTGGTTCGCGCGGGCGGCTGGAAGGAGGGCGGGCGGCTGCGCGCGACCGCGGACATGCATGCGGGGTCGGTGCCGTTCAACACTGGGGAGGACCACCTCGCGGAGTGGACGCCGGACTCGTGGAAGAACTACACCGCGCTGCAGCAGCCCTCGTACCCTGACGAGGCCGCGCTCCGGGCCGCGTGCTCCGAGATTGAGGCCATGCCGCCGCTCGTATTCGCGGGCGAGATGCGCAGGCTCCAGGCGCGGCTCGCCAAGGCCGCGACGGGCGAGGCATTCATCCTACAGGTAACCTCGCCCCCAACTTGTCCGGAAATCGCCCGCGCGCAACGCACCTAGACCTCCCCCGCGCCCCCTGTCCAACGCCCATGGTAGGCCTTTCCCCGCCGACGTCTCCTCCGCGTCCATCCCCGGCGCCCCCGCCCCCGCCGCATTGCCCGCACGCTCCACCCCGCCGCCCCCGCCCGCCCCGCGCCGCGGCGCCCCATCCTGCGCCCCGCACGCCCCCCGCGGTGGCCCCCAGCCCCCGTCAACCATCACGCTCTCTCCCCGCCCTCTCCCCACGTCGCCGCGCCCCCCGGACCGCTCGCAGGGCGGCGACTGCGCGGAGGCGTTCTCGCAGTTCTCCGCGAACCGCATCCGCGACCTGTACCGCCTCATCCTCCAAATGAGCGTGGTCATGATGTACGGCGGCGGCGTGCCCGTGGTCAAGATCGGACGCATCGCCGGGCAGTTCGCCAAGCCGCGCTCCGCGGACCTCGAGACCATCGACGGCGTCAGCCTCCCGTCCTACCGCGGCGACAACATCAACGGCCCGGAGTTCACGGAGGAGGCTCGCGTCCCGGACCCAAACCGCCTGGTGCGCCCCCCGCCCCCCGCGCGGCCCCGCGCGGCGCCCGCGCCCGCAGATCCGCTCTCCGTGCCGCACGCGACGCGGAACGCGCCGCCTCGCGCGCCGGGGGCGCCCCGCTGACCCGGGAGCGCCTGGTGTGCTGCGGCGGCAACGCAGGTGCGGTGCTACCACCAGTCCGCGGCGACGATGAACCTGCTGCGCGCGTTCTCGACGGGCGGCTACGCGGGCCTGGACCGCGTGAAGGACTGGAACCTCGACTTCATGGCGAACAGCGACGCCGGCACGGACTACCAGGCCCTGGCGGCGCGTGTGGACGAGGCCCTGGCCTTCCTCGACGCGGTGGGCTTCGACGCGGAGTCCTCGGGCCTGCTCCAGAACACGGAGTTCTACACGTCGCACGAGTGCCTGTTGCTCGACTACGAGCAGGCGCTCACGCGCGAGGACTCGACCACGGGGCTGTGGTACAACTGTAGCGCGCACTACGTGTGGTGCGGGGAGCGGACGCGGCAGCTGGACGGCGCGCACGTGGAGTTCCTGCGCGGCGTCGCGAACCCGATCGGCGTGAAGGTCTCGCACACGATGGAGAGGGACGAGCTGGTGCAGCTCATCACGACGCTCAACCCGAACAACGTGCCCGGGCGGCTGGTGATCGTGACGCGGATGGGCGCGGACAACATGCGGAAGCACCTCCCGGGGCTCGTGCAGGCGGTGCGGGACGCGGGCCTCGTGGTGACGTGGCAGTGCGACCCCATGCACGGCAACACCGAGGCGTGCAACGGGTATAAGACGCGCAAGTACGAGAACATTCGCGCGGAGGTCGAGGCGTTCTTCGACGTGCACGACGAGTGCGGGACCGTCCCCGGCGGCATCCACCTCGAGATGACGGGCGAGAACGTGACGGAGTGCGTGGGCGGCGGGGCGGGCGTGCAGCCCGACGACCTGTCGAGCCGCTACCACACGCACTGCGACCCGCGGCTGAACGCGGAGCAGTCCCTCGAGATGGCCTTCTACGTCGCCAGCCGGTTGCGCTCCAACCGCCTCCGGCGCGAGGCGCTGAAGCAGCAGGAGGACCCCACCAAGGTCTACGGCGGCAGCAAGGCCTCGCACTAGGCGGGCAACGCGTAGTGCGTGCTGCAAACAGCAGACCCCTGTGACGGACGATGCGCGCGGCGAGCCTGAGACGTGTCAGCGCGGGAGGTCAATGAACACTTTGTGTGTTTGTACATTGCTAGACCTACAGGCACCCTCGCCGCGCGGATGCTTGAGCGACCGAAGTGGTACTGCGGCGGCGGAGCCCGGCGGCGGCATGTGTCAATTACTACTTTGTGGTGGGCAGCTTAGTACTTCGCTGACCTACAAGCACCCTCACTGCGAGGATGAGGATGAGCGCGGGCGGTGGAGGGCATCGAGTGATTGACGGCGTACGGGGGCAGACGCACGGGGTCCGGCTCACATCGCGGCTGCCTGCGGCCCGGGCGGCCGCTTTACGTCAACGTCTGGCCTGGTTCAGGTTCCGGGTGGTGCTGCTACTGCGAGCGTCAGTGTGGCGGTGGCCCGACACACAGCGCCGCCGCTCGACGGTGCCTGCCAGCAGCAAAAACCGCCTTCGCTGCGCGGTCCCGAACGGACCGTCCGGGGACGGTCAGGCGGGCGTGACGTGAGGAGTGGGTTGGGCGTTCAAAGACAGACGGCGGGGGACTTGTGGTGCGGATGGAACGGGTCGCGGGGGCTTCTAGCACGCGCGTGGGGCGCAAGCTGAGCGACGCGGGGGTTGGACCGTCGGCGCGGGCGCCTGGCAGGGATGGGAATCATCGGCATTTGGCGTGCAGCGGAGAGCAGTGGGGTTCCACTGGGGGGCGCTGTGGCCCACTGGCGTGCAGCAGGACCGAGGACGGAGGCGGTGAAGGCCGCCTCTGTGCGGCCTGAGGGGTCGACATAGAATCTCGCCTTTCAGGGTAAGTGTTGCGCTGTGAGGTGTGTGACTTTTTTTTTTTTTTTTCCCAAGCATTATTTGTGCGTCGAGTGTAAGCTCGTGCCCTATGCACGGTAAGCGCAAGTGGATTTTGCATGGCGCGAAATATCACGGGGCGGACGGGGAGCATCGCGGGTTGGTTCGGAACGGGTGGGGGGGGGGGTGTGCGACCTCACTGCAGAGGTACTGCACTGGGGGGAGAAAGTCGGGTGCGTCTAGGCTGTCGGGTTTTCGACGCGTCATCTTTGTTTTCGAAGACGTGCCCGCGTCCCGTCGGTCCGGGTCTGCGCCTTCCAGGCCGCCGCTGGCCCCCGCACGCTGGCTGACCAGCGCGGGACAGCCCGCCAGCGGACGGACGTCACGATGCGGAGGCGGGGCGCGCGGCGCGGCGCCTCCGCTCACCTCGCGCGCTCGGGCCGGTCGTTCAAGTTGGCAATGTTGCCCGGCGAGGTGCCCCCGGCCCCGCGCGTCCCGTACCGCCCGTCGCTGTCCGACCCCGCGCCGCGCTCCGACACGGCGCGTCCGTTCCCGATGCCCATCAGAAAGGTCTTGGCGCGCGAGAAGAACCCGTTACTAGGGTGCCGCGCGTGGCGGCCCAGGCGGTAGTGCTCGTTGTCCGACTGCCCGCCGCCCACCTTCTGCGTCGAGGGCGAGCTGTGCCCGCTGTGCGCGCGGCCGTCGCCGGGCGCCCTGCCCTGCGTGGGCTCGACGACGGCGCTCATCGCCACGGCGCGCCGGCTGGCCGGGATCTGCTGGGTCGTGGGCAGGACCGGCGAGTTCGTCTGCATCGGGTAGGCCGCGCCCTTGGGCGACGGCAGGTGCGCGACGCCCGCAGAGGACATGCGCGCCAGGCGGCTCGTGGGCTTGCCCGGCGGCACGCGGCCGCCCTGCGGCGACATCGGCTGCGTCGCGACGGCCAGCGGGCGCGAGCCCGCGTCGTGGCTCGCGTGCCCGCGCGCGTTGCTGCACGGCGCCGGCTGCTGCTGCGGCTCGACCACCATGCTGCGCGACGTGCTCAGCGGGCCCGAGTGGCCGGCATCCGACACCCCGATCCCGCCGTCCGCGGCCGGGAGCACGGGCTTCTGCCGCATGCTCTCGTGCGTCACGCCCGCGACGCCCGGGAGCGACGCGTTCCGGCGCTTCGCCGTGTGCACGCCGTTGACGCTAAGAAGCTTCTCGTACAACGACCGCTGCGAGGCGCCGGGGCCGGGCGTGGACTCGCCCGTGGGGCGCAGCTGCGACACGACCGCCTCGCGCCGCGCGATCTCCACGCTCGACGGCTGGTGCCCCGACTCGGACCCCATGTCCTCAGAGCGGAGCAGGCCGTACACGGAGCCCGAGCTCGACATGCCGTCGCGGCCGCCCGTGCGCGCCTCGCCCGCGGGCGTCTGCAGGAACGGGTTGGCCTGCGGGCCGCTCGGGAGGTCCATGCGCGCGATCATCTGCGCCAGCGACACGCCGTGCGCAAACTGCGGCATGCCGGGGTCGGCGGCCTCGGGCGCGGGCGGCGCGCCGGGCGGCGCGGCCTTGGCGTTCTCCGACATGCCGCGCGCCGGCTCCGGCGGCGACGCGTTGTCGCCGCCGTTCATCATCGTCGACTCGGACGCCGCCGAGGCCGCCTTCATCTGCGCCTTGATGGCGGAGGCCGTCGTCTGGCTGAACTGGCGCGTGGCCGCGGAGGGGAGGCTCGGGTCGCCCGACGCGCGCGAGACGCCCGCGGTGGTCTGGTCGTCGCCCGACATGGCCACGTCCCTGTTGGCGTCCCTGTCCTTCCACTCGGCGGGGCGCGTCGCGGACGAGTCCGGCGTGCCCTCGACGGCCGCGCCGACGTCGTCGCTGGCGGTGATGCGCTCGTCGTCGGGGAGGCTCGACTGCACGAGCTCGTGGCGCAGGAGCTGCGCGGCGGTTGGGCGCTGCGTGTGGTCGCGGTTGAGGCAGCGCGACAAGAAGTCGATCGCGGCGGGGGAGAAGTGCTCGGGCCACGTGATGTCCTTCTTCAGGATCGCGCGCTTCATCGTCGACGTGGACTTCTCCTTGCTGTGGAAGGGCGACCGCCCGTTGAGCAGCTCGTACACCATCACGCCGATCGCCCACACGTCGACCGCCCAGGTGTACCCGCGCTCCTGGAGCTCGAGGCTGCTCTCCGACAGCCGCTGCGCCTCGCCCTCCGCGGGCTTGTCCCGCATGCGCAGGATCTCGGGCGCCATGAACTCGAGCGTGCCAATGCGGCTCTGGAGCTTCTCCTCCGTGCTGACGATCGCGAGGCCGAAGTCCGCGAGCTTGAGGTTGCGGTCCGCGTCGTACAGGATGTTCTCGGGCTTGATGTCGCGGTGCACGATGTCGCGCGCGTGCAGAAAGGCCAGCGTCTTGAGGATCGGATACACCACCTTGCTCACCACCTTGGCCTCCGTGGGGCGCATGCCCTTGAGCAGGCGGACCTGCGTGAACAGGTCCCCGCGCGGGGAGTACTCGAGCGCGATGTACACGTGGTCCAGGTCCCCGAACGCGCTGTACATGGTGATGATGTTGGGGTGCTGCAGCGTCGAGTGGATGCGGATCTCGCGGCGGAGGTGCGCGAGCGCCCGCGCGGAGAGCTCCATGCGCTTGTAGACCTTGAGCGCGAACAGGAACCCCGAGCGCCGCTCCTGCGCCAGGTAGACGCTCGTGCCGCACCCGGACCCCAGCTTCTTGAGCAGGTCGAACTCGTCCAGGCGCCACTCGCACCCGTGGAGGCCCTCGGGGAGCCAGTCGACCACGACGGGGAGCTTCACGGTCCGGGGGACCGTCGGCTGCGGCGCGGCGGCCTGCGCGGGAGGGGCGCGCCGGGCGGGTGGGGCGGGCCGCCGGGGGCGCGCGGTCGCGCGGCCGCGCGGCCGCGTCGAGCTGCGGAACGCAAGGGTGCGTGCGGAGTACCCCGGGAAAGGCGAGGCGGGGCTGAACGAGCGCGGGTAAGGGCGGTGCCCGCCACCAGTCAATGCTGAGGTGTGCTCAGGGCGGGCGGAACGTTCGGGGGCGGGGCGCTCTGGGCGAGGCGCGCGTCGCACCTGCGTCGAGATGGAGTCCGTGGTGGGCGGGACCATGATCGGCGGCGGGGCCCCGGCGGCGCTGGCCGCCTGGGGTCTCTCTGGGAGCGGAGCGTGCACTGCGCTGTCCACCTCCATGATGTTCGGACGTCAACCCCCGCGGTGCAGCGAAGAAAAAAGGACTATGTCCTGCGGAGGTCCGGCTGTCGCTCCTCGCCCGTTCTGCGAGCGCCACGACCTGCAGGCAGCGACCGACCGTGAGCCTCGTCTGTGCCGGCCACGGAGGCGCTCGACGACGCCGCGGGCGCGACTCCGCACGTGATCAGATGCAGCGAGCGAGTTGCGCCCGTCGACATCCGAGGTCGACCGCGCGCTCGACGGCCCAGGTAAGTCAACGGGCAACGGGTGGTCCCCTCCCGTCGCGGCCTCCGGGCTCGGAAACGCCCCGCAACGCGCCGAATGTTGGGATTCGGTGGGAGGTAAGCGGGGCGCGCGAGCGCGAGCGAACGAGACCCGTGCGCACACCGCTCGAGGCCAGTTGCTGCAACCGACCCAGGCCCACGGCGCGGCCCCGTGCATACGAGGGGTCTCGCAGCGCCCGAAACGTCCCCGGACATTACGAGGATGTGATAGGCCGCGTCGCTGGGCGACACAGTCGGTGCACGCCCCACGCGGGCCCAAAAGGCTGCGAGTGCGTGCTGACCCCGCGGAGCTCGACCCTGGCGGTGCGACGAGCAGCGTTTCTCGGCGCACGGTGGACAGTCGATCATCGATTCTACCGGGACGATGCGACGCGGGCCGTTGCGGGCGGAACAAAGAGAACAGCGCGTCTCCCCAGCCTCGGGGGCACTCGTGCCGCACCTGCTGCTCGTTCGCGCTCCGTTCGCTCTCCCCGATCGGAGTGCTCCCTCCTCGTAACTAGGAGACCCTCTTGCAAGAGTCCGCTGTTGCCCGCTCGCGCACTGTCGCGACGTCGGCCCGCCCCGGCTCGCAACGGCGTCTCGGCCGCTGGAAGTCTTGCAAACTCAGTCGACGGGCGAATTGCAGGCCCTATGCACCAATACTACCGCAGCGACCGCGGCGCCGCGCCCCAAGACGTCGGCGGAGCCCCCACGCGGCTCGTTGGGGGGGCAATTGCCCAGCCGGACGCGCAACGCGCCGCGATCGAACACCCCGGCCCGCAACGCGCCGCACCAGCGGCTCCCTCGGACGCTCACAGCCCCGGCACACCGCGGCGAAGGCGCCCCCCGCAGCGGCGCGCGCGGGCAGACCGCCCGCTGGCAAATGTATCTTCGCCCATCGATCACGGCAGCGCGCGCGCCACCGGTGACGCCGGACCGCGGCGACCGGCGTCGCGGCCGCGCCGTCAGCGAGGCGCACGGGGTCCGCCGGCGCGGCGCCGGCCTCGGAGCGGGGCCGCGTCACGAACGGCGCGTTGATCGTGGTAGGGCGGTTGGGTCAACGCGCAGGTCGGGCCGATTGCAGCGGGCGGCCGGCGGGGCGGCGCGCAGGGGCGGCGTGCGGGCCGGGGCCGCGCAGGTCGGTCCCGGTGCGGCGCGGGGGTCGGCCGCGCCCGGCGCCGCGTTGGGCGCCGCGGAGAGGGCCCCGTGGCGTCCCGGGGAGGTGTTGCGCATGCGCTCGTTGCCGCGCGGAACCGTGCGTCCTGTGTGGCTGTGCGGAGCGACGCGATCGCGCGCGTGTCGGGTCGAGGCGCAGTCACGTCTGCTCGCGGCGCCGGCGTGCAAGTTGCGCGTCATGGCGGGGACTTGCTGCGTGCAAGTAGCGCATGGTGTGCGGCGGGCGGGCTTTGCGCAGCACTGCGGTCGGCACGCCGGGTATGGTAGGTATGTGAGCGGTGACTCGGGGCTGTCGGCGCGCCGTCTAGAGCCGCGTGTGTGCGTCGCAGCGCCACGGGAGGACGGAGCACCTAGGCGCCCGCTGCTCGTGGTCGCGAAAAGAAAGGCGTCCAGACGCCGCGACAGAAAGCTTGAAAGGTAGAAGAGTACATCGCCGTCATAAGCGCTGCATGGCACTGCTCGTGCGCGTCGGGTTTCGCACATGCCTGACCACAGTCTGCCTTGGCCCCCCGCGCGCGCAGCCGCCAGGCCGTGCGCGACATGGAGCGCATGCGCGAGGAGAGACTTCAGCGGGCGGCCCAGCGGGAGCGGCAGGAGCGCCTCGCGCGACAGCAAGCGGTGCCCCCGCCCCCCAAGGACGCGCGAGAGGCCGACGCCGCCGTGCGCGCGGCGCTCGCCGGGGTCGAGGCCGCAGCGCTGCACCTCAAGTCCCTCAAGAGCGCCATCCGCGAGCGCCCCGAGTTCGACGGCTCCTTCAAAGGGTGCGGGCCGGGCCCGCCCCACAACAGCAACACGCACCACGCACCTCTGCCCAGGCGGGACGATGGTCGGGCCCCGCGGGGTCACGGGCGCGGCGCCCACGCCGCGCGGCGCCCTGTGATGCGCGCGCAGGATGCGGGAGGTCGAGGGCGCGGTGGCGGCGCTGGAGCGCGCAAAGGTGGCGGTGATGCAGTGGCAGCTCACCGCGGCGCTGGCGCGCCTCGGGCCGGGCAAGTCCGGCGCGCTGCGGTCGCTGGCGGACTTCCGGTGGGAGTGGGACGGCGGGCTCGGCGCGAACCGGGAGCGGGTGGGGTTCGTCCTCGCCGCGTGCACCAAGGCGGGGCAGCCCGAGGCGTGCGAGCTCGCGCTGCGGGCGTGCGACGTGGCGGGGACGCTGGAGGCGGGGGAGGGAGAGGGCGGGGAGGTCGTGCCGGCGGCGGTGCGAGCGGCGGCGGAGAGGGTGGTGGCGGCACGCAGGGGCGCCCCGGAGGGTGACGTGGGCGGGTGAGGCGCGGGGGGCGCCTGCTGCTGTGCGGGGTGTGCGCGGCTCGTGCGCGGCGCGGGGACCGGCGTGCGGCAGGACGCGAGCGCACGTCGCTGCAGCGCAACGGGGTGCAATCGTTACAGGATGTGCGGCTGCGGCGGGGCAGGGGCAGGCGAGTCTAGATGCCGACGCTGTGACACGCCCTACTTGCCGGCCAGCGACGAGATCGCCTCCCCGACCTGCGGCGCGGCGGTGGGTCACCGGAGAGACAGTGGGCGGGAGAGAGCAGGTTCGCAGGGTTCGGTCGGAACGCAGAGGGCGCGGCGGGCGCGGACGGCGCGTGTCCAAGAGCGGCGGGCGCCTGTGAGGCCGCGGCATCGCGGGTGCCGGGAGCAGCAGTGAGCGGAGCACCTCCGCACCTGGTCCTTGCTCATGCCGTCCACAGGCACCGCCTCCTCGCGTCCGAGCTCGAAACGCGCAACGACGCGCGCGTTGATCCCGCTGGCCTCGCGCACGAGCACCGGCAGGCCCGGGTTGGCGGACTTAAGCGCTGCATACTCCGAGAGTACGAACTCCCGCGCTCCCTTCGACCCGTCACCTGCGACGCCGGCCGGCGGAACCGCATGTCTCGCGTCTCTCCGTCCCGGACCCGGACGCGAAAAGGCGTCAGCGCCCCGGAGCAGCCCAGGCCGGGCCACGATGGTTGCGTGCAGGCAAACGGGCGCGCGGCGCCGGGACGGCGGCCGCAGGAGCGAGAACGGGCGCGGCGGAGAGACGAGAGAAGCACAGCTGTCCAGTCGCGGGGCCCGGCAGCGCCAGGAGCGCCGGGAACCCCGCCGGCAGTGGCAGAGAGAGGGGACGACGGGCGCGCCTGTCTGACAGAGCTGGATCCGCAGCTCCTGCAGCCCCTTCCCCAGAGCCCTCCGCCAGGACATCGCTCCCGCCGGCGCGTTGAGTTCCGCGGGCCAGCGAGTTGAGGGCGAGCGCCCTGGCTGTCTCCACGGCGTACAAGGCCGCGCGCGACGACGCTCCGAACACCTGATCGATCGCGCTGCCGACGGAGTCCACGCACTGTGCTACGCGGGCACGGCGCCGCACCCTTCGCCCGAACGCGCGCGCGTCCGGGCGCGACGGGTGCGTGTGCTGTTTTGCGTGTCAGGTGGGGCCTCCCGCGGTACGCCGCTGCCCGCGGCCCGCGGCCCGGGGCAGGATCTGTGGGCGCGGGCAGGCCGCACGTTCAGTTTCTCGTGATCGGAGGTGAGGGTTCGGCCTATACGCGCGGCGCAAAGACGCTAACTGAGATGGCTTGGTAGGCCGCTGCGAACGCACGGCGCTGCGAAGTACGAGGAGACCACCGACCGCTAACCGCGGCGTAGACTTTGCTAGGCAGCTAGCCCGGGTGGAAACAGGCGGGATGACGCGCGGGACGCGACGTTTCGCGCGGGGATGTGGGTCGCTGCAGCTGGTGCTCCTCCTGCTGGCCGCTGTCTTGGCTATAGCGCCCGCCGCGTACGGCCATGGTGCGCCGCCCGCCGCGCCGCGCGACCCGCTGCCCGCGCAAGCCCCTCTCCGAGCCCGTCGGAGGCCCGTGCCCCCTGAGGCAACTGCACCCCCACGCTGGCCCGCGTTCGCGCAGGAGGGCTCGGCGCGCACGACGAGACCACGTGCGGCGCCCACCTGACGGACGAGTTCGTGAAAGAGCGCGTCGCGCGCGCCGAGACGACCCGGCGGGCCACCTTGGCGGCCGGTGCCTCCCCCTGGGGCAAGTCTGATGCGTTCCGGGCAGCGCAGCGGCGCAGCCTGCAGCAGCTCAACCCCAGGAACATCAGTATCGTCGTGGACTACCAACTCACCGTGTTCGGAGCGAAGGCGAAGTTCCTGCAGGAGAAGCTCGTGCCCTCTGCACTCGCCGTCGTCAAGGTGGGCCCCGCCTCGCCGCCTGCGCGGCCCTCGCGGAGATCCGGCCCCGCGCACGCCCCCTGCGCAACTCGCAGCCCCGCAGCAGGCCAGCGGCGCGCGCGCCAGCGCCCGCCGCGCCCCGCGGGAGCGTGCCGATACCGTCGGCGACCTGGCCGCTCCCGCGCCCCGGCGTTGCGCGGTCCCGGCGCCCCCCCGCACGCGCCGCTCACCCCGCGCCGCGCGCCCCCCGTCCCGCGCCCCGCAGTCCTTCATCAGCGTCAACGCCCCCGTCGTGGGCGCCCTCACGCTGACGCCGCTGTGCGACGTCGCGTGGGCCCAGGACGGCTCGTGCCGGCAGCTCGAGGCCCGCGACCCGGGCACCTGCTTCACCGCGAAGATCCCGAGCTACATGTACGGGCCGGCGTTCGAGGTGCGCATCCCCCGCACCACGCGCACGCGCACCCCCTCGCCACCGCGCCCGCTGCGCGCCCACGCGCCCCGCGCCGCGCCCCGATCCCCGCAGTGCCCGAACGTGCCCCTCGCGGTGGACGTGAACCGGCCGGCCGCGGACCAGACGTGTCGGCTGGTGTCGGGCGGCAGCGGCGCCACAACCGCGTCAGGGCAGCCCGTAGACCTCTTCCTCATGGTGACGACGGCGACGCGGTCGTCGCAGAACGTCCCGCTGTGCCAGGGCTCGGTCATCGCGGCGGCGGCCCCGTGCGGGCACAGCGACCCCACCACGGGGCGCCCGCTCGACGCCGTGGTCAACTTCTGCCCGGACGCCATCCAGATTTCGGAGATTGCCTTTGGGTACATGCTCGACACGCTCGTGCACGAGGTCCTGCACGCGCTCGGCTTCTCCGAGGCGCTGTACAGCTCGTGGCTGAAGGACCCGCTCACGAACACGCGGTACAAGCACGACCCGACGGCGGCGACGGACCAGACGAAAAACGAGGTGATCTCGCAGGACGCCAACGGGCGGTGGTGGCTCATCACGCCGCGCGCCGTCGAGGCCACGCGCCGGCAGTTCGGGTGCGCGACCGCCATCGGCGCGCCGCTCGAGGAGAACGGCCTCGCCGGGACGCGGCGCGCGCACCTGGAGGACTACGTGTTCTTCAACGAGCTCATGTCCGGGTCGGCGCGGCTCGCGTCGGCGCAGACGCTGTCGATGGTGACGCTCGCGATCATGGAGGACACGGGGTGGTACACCACGGGCTGGCGCAGCCCCCTGGTGTACAACCCCTTTGGGGCGCGGACGGGGTGCTCGCTGCTGGACCGGCCGTGCACGGACCTGTCGGACTCGACGATCGCGGCGCTGTTCTGCGCGAAGCAGTTCACGAAGAAGGCGGTGTGCCCGATCACGGCCAAGAGCGCGGACGCGTGCCCCGACAGCGAGAAGAACAACGTCGTCGAGACCGAGGCCATGCAGTGCCAGTTCGACCGCCTGGGCGCGGGGTTCTGCAACGCGATGGCGCTCGCGCCGGGCTGCAGCGTCGTCGCGCCGAACCCGACCATGCAGTGCCGGTTCGTGGACAACGCCTTCAAGGTGGATTGGCAGGGCAACACCGTCGTCAAGCCTGAGGTGCTCAACTTCGGGGAGTACTACGGGAACAACTCGCGGTGCATCAACCACGACGTCGCGTCCGGCGAGGCCATCGCGCGGCAGGGCGAGGCCATGTTCCCCGTCGGCGCTGGGTGCTACGCCGTGCAGTGCCCCAACCCGTTGTCGCCCAACCTGCTCAACGTGCTGCTGTACGGCACCGCGGTGCCGTGCCAGCCCCTCGCGTTCTCGTCGATGAAGCCCGCCGGGTTCGAGCAGGGCCGGTTCGACCGCTGCCTGGCGAACGCGCAGATCTGCGACCAGCTCGAGTGCCCTAGCGACTGCAACAACAACGGCCGGTGCGTCCGCGGGTCCTGCTTCTGCAACGTCGGGTACTTCGGCACGGACTGCGGCCAGTTCCGCGACCCCGCCGCCCTCTCGCGGCAGTACGAGGAGGACACCAGCGCGCCCGCGACCACGCCGCCGCCCGCGACCACGCCGAGCATCCCGACGCTGCCGCCGGACCCGACGCTGTCGCCCGAGGCCCAGTCCGACCTGAAGACGGCGTTCGCGCTCATGGTCGACATGCGGATGTACGGGCGGGGCGTGGCTGACCTGGCCGTGCGCGACCAGCAAAAGCTAGAGCAGCGCATCCGCGACGCGCTGTCCCGGCCCGCGCGCGTGGACGTCAAGGACATCACGATCTTCACGCGGTTCAGCACGGCGGGCGAGGTGCTGCCGATCACGGCGCGCCGGCGCGCGCAGGGGACGAACGCCACGGCGTCACCCGCCAACGCGACGCTGCCGCCGAACACGAACCTCAACGCCACCAACATCAACCTCCTCCCCGCGACGCCCGCGCCCGTCGACCCGAGCACCGCCGCGGACGTCGGCTCGGACCCCACCCGCATCGTGGGGGGGTCGTTCAACGTGACGGCCCTGCAGCCGCACTTCGTGGACATCACCGCGTCGATCTACTACCCGGGCCTGCGGAAGCTCACGGCGGACGAGATCGCGGAGGGCGAGCGCGAGGACGCCACCGACGCGGACGACGCCGCCAACCAGGCCCCGCAGCTCCAGCGCATCGACGCCGCCTCCACGGTGCAGTTCCAGGTCAACGGCGAGTTCGTGTCGTTCCGCAACACCTACCGCGAGGTCGAGGTCATCAAGAGCACCATAGAGGCGTTCGGGGACTCGATCGTCGTCTCCGAGGAGGTCCTGGGCGCCGCGGTCAACCAGACGACCATCGTCAAGGCCTACGTCGTCACCACGCAGGCCAAGCGCGGCCAGGTCGCCACGGCGATGGGCGGCGCCGCCGCGCACGGCGCCGCCGCGGCCCTCGCCGTCCTGGCGGCCCTTGTTGCCCTCCTGATCTAACACGTGTACCGACTCCAAGGCTTACCATCACGTAACGTGCATGTGATTCCAGCGTTGCGCGGCACGCCGCTCATGCTGCACCGGCGCGCCGCGGCCGGTGCAGCGCGCGCTCAGCGGTCACGGTGGTCACACGTCGCTATGATTTCGAGTGCCGCGTTGGTTGTCTCTTCTGTGTCTTAGCATCATCACCCGCCTCCGCGCGCAGCCCCGCGTGTCCGCTCCGCCGCCTCCCACCCGCGCTACCGTCGCCGCTCCGCCGCCTCCACCGCCGGCGCCGCCTCCTCGCCCCCGCGCCCCCTCCCCGGCACGCACAGCTCCTCCGGCGCCAACCCCGCGCGCGCGGCCCGCTTCTGCTCCCGCGCGGCGTCCATCTGCAGCTCCGCCAGCCGCGTCAGCTGCGCCACCAGCGCGTCGTCCCGGGGGTTGAACTTGTGCCCCGTGTCCACCTCCAGCAACCCCAGCTCCGGCGCCAGCTGCTCCCGGAACCCCCCGCGGAACGACATCTCGTGGCACCGCGCGCCGCGCCGCATCAACGTCATCAAGATCCCCGGCACCGCCACCTCGTGCATCAGCCCCAGGTCCACCGCCTCGTCCGCCAGCAGCCCAAAGTCCGCCGCCAGCGCGCGCGGCACGTAGTAGAACTCGTTCTCCAGGATGAACGCATTCTCCGTCGGAAAGTCCGCCGGGAGCCACCCGAGCTCCTTCAGGCGCACCCAGAACTGCTCCGTGCTCTCCCGCAGGTCCAGATCCGGGTGCAAGTGCGGGCCGCGTGCCGTCCAGAACTCCCAGTCGCCGCCCTTGCTGTCGTTCGGGAGGCCCTCCAGGTCGCCGCACGCGCGCCCCGCCATCACGGGCCCGCCCTCGCGCCCGTGGACCCACACGTGGTCCAGCGGCGCGTGCAGCACTGATAGCATGTTGACGTAGGTGTCCATCTGGAGGAGCGCGTAGCCGTGCACGCGCAGGCCGCGCGCCTCGAAGCGCTCCATGGCCATGGAGAAGCACAGGTAGTTCTTGAACGCGAGCGGGCAGTGCAGGGCGTCGTCCGCCCACTGGGGGGGCACCTGGGTTTTGAGATCGCCTGCGGTGGGGCCGCGGGGGCTGGCTTGTGGGCGCGTGCGTGCGTGGGAACCTCGCGCGGGCTGCGGGGCGGGCGGCGGATGCGGCGGCGGAGACGACGAGGTGCTGGGGGGCGTTGTGCGGCGCGACATGCCTGAGACGATGACGCCGGCGAAGGCGCGGCGGTACACCTCGAGGAGGCTGCCGACCATGTCGAGGACGGGCGTGTCGTCGCGTTCAGGCCAGCCGCCGAGAATCACGACGAGCCCGATGGGCAGAAGAGGATCCATGCCATCCTCAACGCCAGCTCCGGCGCGCTCCGGCGGATCTGTTTGCGACGGAAGGCCGCCCAGACGGGGCGGGCTCGCTTTATCGAGTGGAACAAGCGGGTTGCGCCACCCCAGGATCCCGGCCAGGACGCACAGCGTCGCCTGAAGCAACCGCAGTGCCACGTTTTGCGTCAGGGCCGACCGCCTCCTCCGCCGCGTCGTCGGTATCATCTCTGCGACTAGACTTCAGCAGCAAAGCCCGCCGCTCCAGTGCCCCCCTCCTCCACGGTGCCCGCAGGGCGCGGCCATGCGTACCCTGGTCCCGGGACTCCCTTCTCCGGATGCGAAGCGATAGGCGCTGCCGCAACACTGAAATCCGTACCGGCTAGCTGATGACTCCGACGCAGCGTCTCCGCATGCGCGGGCTCGTCGTCGCTGAGCGGCGTTCAGCGCGCGAGTCGAGCGTGGCAAGGCGGGACGTCCCGCGCCGCGAGTGGGAGAGTCCCCCGCGACTCCCCCGAGCCCCGCCGGCGACGGTTGCGCCCCCGCTGCGCAGGGCACGCCAGAACGGACTGTTGCAGCATTGCTGCGAGGAGCTTCCGCCGGTCGGACTGGCCGCGGCCTGCTCCACTCGGTAGCGCTGGGCTCGCCAGGCGGCCAGCACGATGGCTGCTTCCCAGGACCCTCGCCCCGGCGGCGACGAGGAGGACAAGGAGGGCGGCGAGGACGTGTGCGTGGCCAACTCGCACTTCAAGGAGGCCGACGAGGTCCTCGAGCTCATTGCTGAAGTTGAGCGCACCCAGGGCGCGCAGGTGTGTGCGCGCCGACCGAGCCCCGCGCGCCGCTCTCACCCCGCGGAGCGGGCCCAGCTCGTCCGGACCGCTGGCTAGCGACACGCACGCGCCATCTGGGCGCGCAGACCCGCAGCACCACGCAACGGAGAGCCCCTCTCTGCCCATGCTGAGGCTCGCGGGGCCGCCTGCCGCGCCTATCTCGAATTTTTCCCGCACGTCTCTGCGACACTCGTCGTAGTTGCTCCGGACGTGATCCGTCTGGACCGGCCTCGAACCCCCGGACGCCCCCACGGCGCCTGGCGCAGGCGGAGCACGTGCACGACCGCGTCCGTGCCATCCTCGTCCAGTACCAGGAGCAGCCGCAGCTGCTGGACGGCCACCTCGAGGCGATGCTCCTCCCGCTCGCGGCGGTCCTCAAGGCCCTCGCGCGCGACCCCGCGTCCGACCTGACTGTTGTGCAGCAGGTCAGCCGCATCCTGCAGACTATCTCGACGGTCCGCGGCGCGAAGCAGGTGGCGCGCTTCATGCCGCACGAGGCGCGCGACCTCGAGCCGGCCGTGGCGCTGCTCGCGCGCCTCAGGGCGAGCGACCCCACCTCCGCGGGCGCGTGGGAGGCCAAAGCGGTGGTGCTGCTCTGGCTGACGATCCTCGCGCTCGTGCCCTTCGACATCCGCACGCTCGACACGGCCGCCGCCGGGTGAGCCGCCCCGCGCCGCGCACCGCGCCGCCCGACCGCACTCGCCGTCGCCGCCAGGCTGGTTCCAATGTGGGTGGGTGCTGACGGCGTGGGCTGCGCGATGATGTTGCGCAGGGGCGAGGTGGACGAAGAGGTGAGGGGGCACGACGGGGCGCGGTACCCCGTGGTCGTGCTGCGCATCATGCGCATGACTCAGGACTTTCTGTCAGACCCAGGGCTGGTCCGTGACGCCGCGGGCACGCTCCTCGGGACGCTGCTCGCGCGCCGCGACATGACGCTGGCCCTCGCAGACTTCATCCAGGTGCGCACTGCGCGCCCCGCGCCCGCGCCTGCCCCGCACACCCCCCCGCACCACCAACACGCCCCCCCTGCGCGCGTGCTCGCAGTGGGCCGCCGCGGCGGTCGAGGCCGAGCACAACACTCCGAAGGGCGCGTTCCTCCTTCCCGGCGTCACGAACGCCTTCAGCAGCCTCTGCAAGAAGGCCGAGCGCACGGACCTCCTTCCGCGTGTTGCCGAGCTATGGCCCTTGGCGCGCGTGCTCGCGGAGCGCGCCGAGGAGCACGAGTCCGTCCTGGCGCGCAAGCTCGCCACCAAGCTGTCCCAGCGGCTCGGTCTCATCCTCCTCGAGCCGCGCGCCGCGGCGTGGCGGTACCGCAAAGAGGTGGCGTCGCTGGCGGCCAACTTGGGCGATGCGGGCGGCGCGGGCGGGGCCGGGGAGGCCGGCGGGGACGACGCGGACGACTTCGAGGTCGCCGCGGAGGTCGAGGAGGTGATCGACATGATGTTGACGGGGCTGCGCGACCGCGACACGGTGGTGCGGTGGTCGGCGGCCAAGGGGCTCGGGCGGCTCACGGGGCGGCTCCCGCGGGCGCTGGGCGACGAGGTGGCGACGGCGGCGATGGAGCTCATGTCGCCGGCGGAGGGGGACTCGGCGTGGCACGGCGCGTGCCTTGCGCTGGCGGAACTGGCGCGGCGCGGGCTCCTGCTGCCCGCGCGCCTGCCGGACGTGGCGCCGCTGGTGTGCGCGGCGCTCGCGTACGACGTGCGGCGCGGGGCGTGCAGCGTCGGCGCGCACGTGCGCGACGCCGCCGCGTACGTGTGCTGGGCGTTTGCACGCGCATACTCGGAGCGCGAGCTGCGCCCGCTCGTCGAGGCGGTCGCGCCGGCGATGCTCTCCACGGCGTGCTACGACCGCGAGGTCATGTGCCGCCGCGCCGCCGCGGCCGCGTTCCAGGAGTGCGTCGGGCGCCTCGGGAGCTTCAAGGACGGCATCGAGATCCTCGGCGCCGCGGACTTCTTCACGCTGTCGATGCGCTCGCAGGCGTACCTGGAGGTGCGCGCACGCGCGCACGCATGCATGCGACGCGGGGGGGGCGTGTTCGCGCCGCCGCTCGACCGTGGCCGCTCCGGTGCCGTCGTTGCGCAGGTGGCGCCGTTTGTTGCGTCGTTCGGGCAGTACACGATTCCGCTGGTGGAGTACTTGATCGACACGAAGCTCCACCACTGGGACGAGGCGGTGCGGCAGCTCTCCGCGCGTGCGCTCGCGCGCCTCGCGCCCGTCGCCACGGAGTGGCTGGCGTCGGTGGGTCTGTCGCGCCTGGTGAACCGGTGCACGGACGCGGTGCTCGAGGTGCGGCACGGCGCGGCGCTGGGCCTCGCGGCGCTGCTGCCGGCGCTGCGGGCGCAGGGGGCGCTCGGGGGCGACACGGAGGACGAGCTAGTCCCTGCGGCGCACGAGGCGATGTATGTGGCGGCGGCGGTGGACAAGGCGCGGCTGTTCCGCGGGAAGGGCGGGGAGATCATGCGCGGGGCGGTGTGCCACGTCATCAGCAGCTACGCACTGGTGCGCCCGCGGCCGCGAGCAGCGACCACGGTGCCCCCGTCACACCGGCCTCGCCCTGCGTTCGCGAGCCCGCGCTCTCACACTCTGGTTCCCCACTCGCACGCACGATCTTTTTTCCGTATTCCGCGCTCGCGCAGACCGGCAGCGACCCCGCCCGCGACCGTGCGACCGCGAGCGCCCGCGCACACACGTTTCTGCGCCTGCAGGCGCGCATGCCGATCCCGGTCAAGGAGCGCAAGGGCCTCCTGGGCCTCATCGAGGAGAACCTGCGCCACCCGAACGAGGCCATCGCCGGCGCGGCCGTCGCCGCCCTCGCGTGCTTCACACGAGGGTTTATGCGCACTGCCAACCCCAAGTACACCGAGGTCACCGCGGGGCGCCACGTGCCGCTCCTCGCGGACCCGAACCCCGCCGTCCGCCGCGGCTCCGCCCTCGCCGTCGGCTACCTCCCCGGCCACCTCCTCGCGCCCGTCGCCGAGTCGGCCCTGGCCGCGCTGCGCGGCGCGGTGGAGGCGAGCGGGCCTGCCGAAGACCAGGACGCCGAGGCGCGCCGGAACGCCGCGCGCGCGCTCGCGACGGCGTACGAGATGCTCTTTGCGTGCGCGGCCGCCGGGGACGCGTGGGAGCTGCCGCGCGCGGGCGCGAAGGGCACGCCGGGCGCGGGCCCATTCGAGGACGGCGCTGTCGACGGGATCGACGGCGAGGCCGCGACGGCGTGCGAGGAGCCGTGGCGCGCGGCGGGCGCCGCGGACGCGCGCGCGTGGGCCGCGGAGGGCGTGCGGCTGGCGGTCGAGGCGGTGTTGCCAGGGCTGGTGGCGGCGCTCGGGGACTTTGCGGCGGACAACCGCGGCGACGTGGGGAGCTGGGTGCGCGAGGCGGCGTGCACGTCCTCGGAGCGCGTGCTGCGGCTGCTCGCGCGGCTGGTCGAGGCGGCCGGCGGGGAGGTGTCGGCGGAGCTGCGCACCGCCGTCACGTCGGTGGTCGGGGCGGTCGCGGGGCAGACGCTCGAGCGCATCGGGCGGCTGCGCGGCGCGGCGGTGATCGCGCTGCTCGGCGTGGTCCAGGGCGGCGACGCGGCGCCCGCGGCGCTCCTCGGCGCGCCCGAGGTGGGCAGCTTGGCAGGGGCCTTCCGGCACGTGGTGCAGGTGCCGGCCGGGGAGCCGCCGCGTGCGCTCGTTGCAGCGTGCATGCGCGCGCTCGACGGGTACACGGCCGCGGCGAAGGCGCTCCTGCGCGACTGCCGGGCCTACCGCGTCGAGATCGGCCGCGCCCTCGTCGCGGCTGCGGGGGGCCTGGACCCGCAGCTGGCGGCGGCGGCGTCCGAGGCGCTGCTGCCGGAGGGTCCCGCGAACACGCCGGAGCACGTCGGCGAGCTCGTGCTGCGCGTGTGGGAGGGCAGGGCGCCGCGGCTCGCGACGCCGTTGCTGCGCGTCGCTGCGCTGCTGCTATCGCGCGGGGGGCTGGTGGGGGTGCCCGCGGGGGGCGGGTGGGACCCGGCGGCGCTGGTCGCGAACGTGCGCGGCGAGGCGCGCGGGTGCCGCGACGTCGGGCGGCTGCGCGCCGCAGCGGACGCGCTCGTGCAGGCGGTGGAGGCGCGCGGCGGCGCGGGGCGCGCGGCGCTCACTGGGCTCATGCTCCTGCTGTGCAACGGCTTCCCGCGCGTGCGGAAGCACGCGGCGGAGTCGCTGTACGTCGCGCTGCTCGCGGCGGACGCCGAGCGCATCGAGGGCCCTGACAACAGCAGCCTGAGTCAGGAGCAGCTCATGGAGCTCACGGGGCTGCTGGTGGGCGGCACGTGGGAGGGCGCGCTCGGGGCGGCGAAGGAGTCGCGCGCGGGCATCCTGGCGCTGCTGGGCATCGAGGTGAAGGCCGCGGCAGCAGCGAGGAACAAGCAGGACGCGGGCGCCACGGACGAGAACGCGTCGTACAGCGCGCTCGTGCAGGACGCGATGCGCGACGTGTGACGGCGCCGCGGGGCTCGCGGCGGCGCGTGCGCGGGCCGCGCGCGGCGGGGAAACACAATGCCTAGCAGTCACACCACGGTGCAGCGTTGCAGCGGTGCAGCGGCTGCGAAGCAATCCGGGTGTGATCATCAGTGAAGGGCGGGGCCGCGGCTGACTGGCTCGGGCGGGAGGAGCGGCGGCGCGGCCGCCCCGGGCGTTGAGAGGGGTGGTTGCGGGGGACGGTCCTGGGGGTCGGACGGGCGGGCGAGGCGCGAGACGGGGCCTTCGTTGGTCTCGCGCGGCCGCTGCGGGTGCGCACTGATCGGGCGGCGCTGTTTCCGGCACCTGCATTGGACGTGGCGGCACGCACGGGAGGCTTTCTGGACGAGGTGCCTGCACCGGCCTTGTTGACCGCTTGGTCGGGCAGGAAGGCGCCATTGGTCCGCTGAGGTTTGTCTCGAATAACTGCTAGGTACGTGGCCGGGTCGACGGTCCCTCTCGGCGGCCCGTCGAGGGCCTGCGTGGCCGCTGGCGCGCCGAGCGCATGCGTCCCTCGCTGGACCCGTCGTCGAGGCCGCGTGCGGCCGGACGCGATCGGCCCGTCCCGGGAGCTCTCGATGCGACTTCTTCTCCGCGGAAGCGCACGCATGGCAGCTCAGACCGGTTCCGCGAGCTGGCGCGAGGCACCTCGCGAGCAGGCCACCACCAGGGCCGCCAGCTGTCGGCTCATTGCCCCTGTCGGCGCTCTCACCGCCCCATCCCGCTCCCGACTCCCTCACCGTTCGCCTCCGCGGGCTCGCGTCGATTTCCCCAGCGGCTGTGCGCGGCAGCGCTGCAACAGCCCTCCGGTCTCCTGCGTCGCCAGCACCTCCGTCAGGGGGGGGTTTCCGGACGTTTCCGGCGCCTGCGGCACAGACACATCAAGCAGATATCGCAGCAGCCGTTCGTTCGGCTCCACGGGTCGCTGTGTCAGACGGGAGCGCGTGTTTCACTCCCGGTGCAGGGATGGCGTACAATTTGTACCACGTCCAGCTCGCCCGGGCGTGGGCGCAGCGCGTGGAGAAGGAGAACAGTCTCGCGGAGAAGTTCTGGCTCACGAAGGCCGTGCAGGAGGGCCGCATCCCGGATGACGCGGCCAGCCAGGCCTCGGCGTCCTCCGCAATGACCGGTTCGACGAACGCGACGGGGTTCAGCAGCAAGACGTCGTACCTGAAGACGAAGCTGGGGGCGTTGGAGCAGATGCTGCAGGAGGAGGCCGCGCGGAGGGCGAACTTGGAGAAGGAGCTGCAGGAGATGCGCGGCACGCTGCGGGCCGGAGCGACGCTGCCCGCTGAGCCCGCGCCCGAGGCCGCGGCGGCCGCTCCCAAGGCCCCCGGATCGCGGGGCTCCTCGCGGGCCGCGGCCCCGCCGTCGAAGGCCGCGCCCGGCCCATCTAGCCTGCGCACGTCTGTGAAACCGTGACACGCGGACGCCTCGGGCCTGTAACGCACCGCTGACGTAGCGCCCACACGCCGACTCACAGCCGCCGCGCAGCACGCGCGCCGCGCAGCGCCCACAATGACAATAACACCCCCCCCAGGTAGAACAGCAACGGAGCGGCCTACGCGTCGGGCGCGTCGCCGCCGGGCCGCTGCAGCTTCGCGAGGCGGTCCCGCAGGTCCTCATCGGCCCCGCTCCCGCCCTCCTCCGGCGCCGCTGGCCCACCGCCCTCCGCCGCGCCCCCCGCGCCCCCGGGCGTGCCCCACTCAGTCGCCGAGTCCTGCAGCCCCGAGACGTCCAGGGGGGAGCTGTGGCTGTCCCCCGCGGGCGCAGCGCCGTCGCCGCCGTCCGTCGGCGCCGCCGCCGACTTGGGCGTCACGTGCGCCGACTCCGGGGGCGACTGGGGCACCTCGGGGAGGTGCGCCGAGTCCGAGTCATCCGCCTGCGGCGCCGACGCCACCGCGTGCCCCTCCGCGACCCCCCCCGCCGCCGCCACGTGCCCGGGCTTGCCCTCGGGCTCGTACTCCACGCCGCGGCTCGCGGGCTGCGGCGTCGCGGCGTCGCCCCAGGTGTCGTAGTACGCCTTGGGCCCCCCGTGCACGGGCTGCCCGAGCGCGGGCTCGTCGTACCCCGCGGAGGGCCCGACGGGCGGATAGTACGGCTCGCCGTTGCTCTGGTGCGCCGCCGCGGCGCGCATCGTCGCGTGCGTCTGCTCGAGCGCGGCCGCCGCGCTCCGCGCCGCCCGCGCGGCTTCGTTCGCGGCCTGCGCGGCCTCGCGCGCGGCCTGCGTGGCCGCCTCCTGGCTCGCGGCACTGCCCTTCGCCGGCAGCTCCGGCGCGTCGCTCTCGCCGTCGCCCCCCTGCGCGCCGATAATGTCCGCCAGCGCGTCGCGCATGGCCTGCGCGGGCGGCGGCGTGAAGTTCGCCTCCACGGCCTCCTCGTCGAACTCCACGTGGAACTGCGCGGCGATGGACCGCAGCTCCTCCATCTTCCGCTCCTTCGACGGCGCGGCGTGCGTCAGGTAGCTCTCAACCTTGGCGTTGACCCACGTGCGCGCCTCCACCGGCAGCTTCTTCTTGGCGCTGCGCGGCTCCGCCGCGCCGGGCGCCTCGCTCTGGCACGCGGCCGCGAAGTCGCGCCCGTACTTGGTCGCGAGGTGCGCGCAGACCTTGGACAGCTCCGGAATCTGCACCGCACCGCGGCACGAGCGGTCAGGCGACGCGCAGCTGCACCACGCGCAGGCACCGCGCGGGCGCGGCGGGGCGCGGACCTCCGTGGAGAGCCGCGGCGCGCAGAAGATCACGGAGGCGACGGCCTCGCGCATGTCGACGGGGACGTCCCGCTCCTTCTCCACGAGGCGGACGCGCACGCTCAGCAGCTCGATGAACAGCTCGACGATCTCCAGGACGCGCAGGATGCTCGTCTCGCGGATCGTGCCCTCCGCGCGGATCCGCGCGGACTCGATCTGCGCGGCGGGGGCGGGAGCGCGTCTTCTTGGGTGGACACACACATACAGACACACACACACACCGCCGCCGCCGGCAACTGAAGCAGCCCGCAGGTGCGGGTGCACGCACGCGTTTCCCCCGGTCGCGCCGATCCGCACGGGCCGCGGGGGCAGCCTTCTGCCGCAGGGGGAGGCGGGCATGCAACTCGAGCTCGCTCGAACGGCGCGAGTTTAACAGCTGCACCACGTGTCGCGGCGCCACGCGCGGCTGGCCCTCGCCGGTCTCCCACGTCGAAGCTCCAGGCGCGTGCGCGCCGCCACGGAACGACGTGACCGGGAGATGTGCGGTCTCATGGGTCGATGCGTCATGAGGCGTGCCGGGGGTCCGCGAGCGCGACGGCCAGCGGAGCACGCAGGGCTTGCAAAGAGCGACCGCGAGGGCCTCGGCGCCCCGCACGTCCGGCGCGCTGCCGCCCCGCCCCGCGACATTCCCCGCGCTACGGCATCTGCCCTCCCCAGACGACGTCACGCGCGCTCCGGCCGGGCGCGCGCAGGCGACGGTGATCGCGAAGCGGTCGTTGGTCCGGTGCGGTCGCGCAACGCGTGCGGAATCGCGCTGCGCTGTCCGGGGGGGGCCGGGCTCGTGCGCACCTGATTCGTTTGGAGCTTTTCTGCGATCTCCCTGCGCATGATCTTGATTTGCTCCGTCTTCTTGTTCTGCACAAGCCTGCAGGAGCCGGGTGGGCGCGTACCGGTGACGTGAGAGCCCGGTTCGAGCGCGCACGCGGCGCCTGAGTGCCAGAGCTATCAGGAGCCTCCGCGCGGCCGCGTGGCCCGTTACCCGCATCTATGGGCGACCCGCCGACAGAGAAACCAGTTTGTAGTCCGGCAGGTGCGTCCCTTTGCTCGCAAACCCCCGCAGCAGCGGGCCGCGGGACCGCGGGGGGTAGTGGGCGGCCAGAGAGGCGCGGGTCGCTGGCAGCCGCCGCGAGGCACGTCGTGGCCGCATGCGCGGGTCCGCGGCGAGCCCCGCACGCGCTCGCCCCGGACCGCGCCGAACGAGGCCCTGCCCGGCCCGCGCGCGGGCGTGGTCAAGCCCTGCGTCCGTCGGGAGGGCGCGGGTGCCGGGAACGCACTTGATCCGGCCGAGGCAGAGCTTCAGCGCCGTCGCGAACTTCGAGGCGTTCAGACTCGTGCTGAAGAGCCCCATTGCGCCAACCTACACGCCGTCCCGGGCCGCTGCGCCCGCGTCACCTACGCAAACCACCTGGGCCGAGAACCGCCCGGAGCGCGCGTACCGGGGCGCGATCCGGCGTCCGCGAGATAGAACTGCGCGCGGACGGCGCGCGGCGGGCCCCGGGGAGCCCGCGGGCCGTCCCTTTCGGTCAGACTCGGCCGGTACAACCCAGCGCCTGACAGCGCCGGCGTGCGCCGAGAAGGGGCGCGGCGGCGTGCGCGGGGCAGCACTCACTGCAGATCAACTCGCGGCTCGAGCGGTGAACAGGATGCAGGCGACCGTCCAGACCAGCGCGCTGCGCTTCGCGCCTACCACGGCTCGCCCCCAGGTGGCCCGGGCGGGCGTCCCGCGCGTGGCGGTGCCGGTCGCGCGCCCGCAGGTGACGCTCGTTTCGCGCCCCGACGATGCTGGACATGTCCGCGCCGCCGCGGAGCCCGGCCGGGCGCGCGCGCCGCGCCCCCGGGCGCCGCGGGTGCACCGTGGGAGCTGTGTGGGGCACCCTGCGCGATCGAGCTGGAATTTCGGCCGTTTTCTGCCGTGCTCGGAACGACCTTTGTCTGCGAGTCTTCAATTTCGCAACCGCAACGCGCCGTGCGGACCGTCAACGCCGAGTGACGCGGCCCTCAGTGCTGGACGGCTGCTGCCCGTGCCCCAGCGAGGTGGTTCGGCGACCTCGAGCGCGCCAGCCGGCCTGTTCGAACTTCGTCTGTACACGCGGGCGTCCCGCTGAGCTCGAGCGCGCCGCGGCGGGGCAATGCGACCCAGCGGTTACCTCGCTGCTCGTCTCCCGGCTCCACGCGCCCCCTCGCTGTCACAGCCCGCCCCTTTCGCGGCCATCCCGCATGAACTACGCAGAAACCACGCCGCACCGCCGCGCAACCGCCCAACCCCGCCCCCCTCGCGCCCCCACGGCGACACTCCTCAACGGTTGCCCCACCCTGCACCACCGCTCACGCTCCCCGCGCGCCCCCTCCCCGCAGGCCCCGGCGTTCCACTCCGCAGTCGACCGCCTCGCGACCAGCCAGCGCCGCGTCGTCGCCGCCCGCGCCGCTGCCGCCGGTGCGCCTCCCGCCCACCCCACGCCACCGCCTCCCCCTCCCGCGCGCGCCCCACACACCCCGCTCCGCCCCGCGCGCCGCAGAGGAGAACAACGACGCCCTCGAGGGCGCGTTCGTCAAGCTCTTCGGCCCCAAGGTCGGCCCCGTCCTCGTCACGGGCGCCTTCATCGCCTTTTGGTATGCGCTCAACGTGGCCTTCAACCTCCAGAACAAGTCGATCTACAAGTTCTTCCCCTTCCCCTGGACGGTGTCGGCCGTGCACGTCGTCGTCGGCGCGATCTACTGCGGCGCGATGTACCTGGTCGGCCTCAAGAAGGCCTCGTTCGGGCGCCCCATCGACGGCGACGAGTTCAAGGCCATCGTCGGGCCCGCGACGATGCACGCGCTCGGGCACATCGCCGCGAACATCTCCTTCGCGGCCGTCGCGATCTCGCTCTCGCACACCGTCAAGACGCTCGAGCCGGCCTTCTCCGTGGTCCTCCAGTCCATCTTCCTAGGGCAGCCCACGCCGCTGCCCGTGATCATGTCGCTCGTGCCCATCATCGGCGGCGTGGCCATGGCCTCCGCGGCCGAGCTGTCCTTCAACTGGACCGGCTTCATCTCGGCCATGCTCTCCAACCTGACGTTTGGCTTCCGCGCCGTGCTGTCGAAGAAGGCCATGAACACCATCAAGAACCTCGACTCCACGGCCATCTACGCGTACACCACGCTCATCTCGTGCTTCGTCTGCGTCCCCGCCGCGCTCGTCTTCGAGGGGCCCAAGCTCGCCGCCGGGATGGAGCAGGCCATCGCCACCGTCGGGGCCACGAAGTTCTACACCTCGCTGGCCGCCGTCGGGCTGCTCTACCACCTGTACAACCAGTTCGCCTTCAACACCCTCGGCCGCGTCAACCCGGTGTCGCACGGCGTCTGCAACGTCGTCAAGCGCGTGGTCATCATCTACTCCTCCGTGCTCTTCTTCGGCAACGTCCTCACGCCCAAGACGCAGATGGGCACCACCATCGCGCTCGCCGGCACCGCGCTCTACACCTACCTCTCCGGGAAGTACAAGCACAAGCCTGCGCCGAAGGCGGAGGGCGGCGCCGCCCCGGCCTCGGGCTAGGAAGGCTGGCGGTGGCGGGGGCGCGCCCCGGGACGCGCCGCCCGCGGGCGCCGCGTGCGGGCGCCGCCCTCGGCGCACCGGCGGCTGCGCGCGTGTGATTCCGTGCCGCGAGGGTTGCTGCAGAGAGGGTTGCTGCTCGCACTGTCGCTGCACGCGTTGACGCCCCCGCGCACGAACGCTCCGCCGCCGTGCTGCCACGCGGGCGCGCTTGCATCGCAGGGCTTGCTGCGCGCGAGGCGAGGCGGGGTGCGCCGCTCGCGCGACCCGGCCCCCCGTTTCGGCACATTGCAGGTGACGCGTTGATGCGAGGCACCGGCGTTCGGGCCCTGCTCGCGCGGCGCCTTGCCAGCAGCGTCGCGGTCGCGGCATCGCCGTCCGCGGCCGCGCAGGCCTGGCACAACTGGAGACGCACGGCACGTTGGTGGAGGGGGCACCGCATCACACGTCACGCGTCGTTGCTCTCGGCCACCCCTTTCCTTGGCCGATGTTGCCTCCGGTTTCGTCACGTTTCCTCAGACTGATTGTCCATTACATGTCACTGCGATCTCCCCCGAGGAGATCTGGAGTCCACATCAGTCCCGGCTCGAATCCTCTTTCTCTGTCGATGTGCGACTGCACACGTCGACAGCGTAAATACAGATAGGGATATGGGTGGTATCTTCGCGGCCGATATCTTCGCCGTCGGACGCCCACGTCTTGTGCATACAGGCACCTCGTCTGGTCATCGGGCCACCCGCCGACGCGCGCGGTCTCTCGCGGCTAATTCTCTCGCGCTCGGTCTGCGCTTTTTATCGGAGCGGCTCAGCGCGTCAGCCGGGCGCGCGCGATCCTCACGCCTCCAGCTGTGCTCTGAACCACGCTGCGTAGCTGTGCAGTTCGCCTCGGCGGATCGCTTCCCGCATCGCAGCGAACCACGCGAGGACGTGGTGCGTGTTGTGTATCGCCAGCAGCGACCGGCAGAGCAGCTCGCCGCGCGCCGCCAGGTGGTGCAGAAACGCCCGGGAGTGGCGGGCGCACGCGCCGCACTCGCAGCCGGGCAGCGGCGGCGCCGCGTCGCCACGCCACGGGTCGCTCTCGACGCTCTCCTCCACGGCGCGCGGCCCGTCCGCGGCGCCCGCAGCGACGCGGAACACCAGCACGCAGTTGCTGTCCGTCGCGGCGTCCGGCAGCGTGGTATCGATCAGGTCCGCGCCGGACAGGACCGCGCCGATGATGCTCTGCAGCCTAGCGCCGGCGCTGGCCAAGCGGACGCCGTCAGGGTCCAGGGGTGCCGTCCAGGAAGAGCGTCGACTGACCGAGCAAGCGTCCGACCGCCGGGGACAGGGGCGCCGCGGTCGCCGGCAGGATGACGCCGACGTCGCCGCCGGGGTGGCTGCGGGCGAGCAGGCTGCAGCAGCGGGCAGGCCACGGCGCCGCTCCGCCCTGGCGGCTGTCGCGCTGCTTCCGTCGCCGACGCGTCGCCCCGCAGCCGCTCTCGAGCACCGCGAACACGTGCGGCTGGAGCCGGTTCACCGTCTCCATCGCCTGCTCCGCCGTCAGCCTGCACAGCACGGCCCTGCCTGTCCGTCTCGACGCACGCCACGAGCTGACTCAGGTTGAGGTGACCATACGTGGTCGGCGCAGAGGCGCCCTGCGGTTCCGCGCTGCGGCGGGGCGGCCGGACGTCGCCGCGTTCGGGCGCCGCGCACCTGACGGATCCGTCGTGCGACTCGACGGTGAGTGTCCCGTCGGCATTGGGCACGTCGCGGGGCGTGTGGACCGGCCTGTGCGTCGCTGCGACGACCAGGCAGCCCGCCAGCGTGGTGTCCCGCGCCGGCACGTCGTCGCGCGGCAGCCCGCCCGAGGCCGTCGCGGCGCCGCGCGACATACGTGGCAACAGCCCTGAGGCAATGACCAGAACTGCCTTCTGCTCCCCTGGCGCCACTGCGTCGCGAAACGGCTCGAATCTCCGCGTGTGCAACAGCGGGAGCAATGAGAGGGTATCGCGCTGCGAGGCTGGGGCAGAAGCGGCCGTACCTTCCGCAGCGAGCTGCCGGGGCGTGAGGACGGGGAGGGCCGCTCCGGCCGTCTGCAGGAGCAGATTCGGAGTGTGCACAACGACGCCGCTGCATTCTATGGATCCGACACGGGCCTCGCCGTCGCGGTGGCGCACGGCGAAGTGCGGGGCGGCCCCCATCGCGGCGGCGCCGGGCCTCCCTGCGGCTGCAGGGGTCGCCTTACATCGGCACGTGTGGGAAATGACGTCGGCGAAATGGCGGCGATTCTCGTTCGCGTCGATGCCAGGCACGCCGGGAGTGGTGCGGCGCGGCCCCAGGGACGCGCATTGTGCGTGTGGGGTGGGGGGGTACAACCGAGCAGCACTGTGAGGCTGCCTGACGATGGGGGAGGAGTCTTCCGGGCTAGTTTGGCGGCTCGTCGGTGCGGCAGAGGGCACGTCTGTTACGGGCTGTTCGCGCTCCAGGTATATATCCACAGCGAGTGAGGTTGCGCGCCAGCTGTCTTTGCCTGCCAACTAGCTCGCAAGTGCACGCACTCTGCGGAATTCTAGCGTCGCGTAAGGGCCTCGCCGCGAAGGCTCGGTCGCTGTCGGGCAGTTGTGGGCGTCGCGGGCGGGGTCCGGACCCATAGGAGCACGTAGTCGGTGGAGTAGGGATCATGGCGGAGGGAAAGACGGGCGTGACGTTCGACGAGGTGAGCCGCGATGCGTCCCCGACGCTACGAATACAAAGCACGCACCGGCGAAGAGAAACCGGTCCGCCGTGGGCCGGGCAGGGCGCAGCGAGGGCGCGTGCTGCCGAGCTTCCATGTTTTTCGAAGCACAGGCCGCCCCATGAGGGCAGCTCCGCGCGCTCAGTGCCGCAGCGCGGAGTCTTCGACCCCGGGTGCCGCACGAGGGCGCGCGCGGGCTCCAGCCTCACGGCAGCGGGCAGGAGGTGCCGGGCAGGGCTGGCCCCCCTCATGCGCCCCGCGACTCGCGTCCGCCAGCGCTTTCGGCGCCCCGCGTTGGCGCGAGGCCACGGAGCAGATGCACATCATCGTGCTGGAAGGACACTTCCCGAGTCCCCGGGCGCGATTCCCGCGCGCGGTGCTCTGTCTTCGTCCGGGCTGATGGCGCGGCCACCGCGTGCCACGGCGCGGCGCAGGACTACAAGATCCGCGTGCTGGACAGCGAGCAGTATGACCAGAGCAAGGAGCTGCTCGCCGACTGCGAGTCCTTCTCCGAGCAGCTAGGACGGCTCGGCGAGACCGTGGGCGCCTACGTCAAGCACCTCGACGAACAACGCGCCAAAATCGACCGCGAGAAGCTCCAGGCGGTCGGCCTGAGGTACGCGCAGCCCCCGCTCGCGCCCCACCGCCCCACCGCCCCGCCCCACGCCTGCACCGCCACTGTCACACATACACATTTACACACACGCGCGCGCAGGAACCGCGTCGCTGCGCGCGAGGAGGACGTGCGGAAGAAGGAGGAGGACCTGCAGACCGCGATCTCGGAGCGGCGCGTCGAGCTGGAGCGCGTGGCGGCGGAGGTGGATGCTCTGGCGCGGCTGCAGCAGGAACAGGAGCTGCTGATCGCGCAGCTGTCGTCCGCGCAGGAGTAGCCGGGGCGGCACGGACGCGCGCGCGTGCGCGGCCCTCGGCCTGCACGTCGGTGCACCGCACAGGTTCTCTTCGGGGCACCCGCTCAGCTGGATGATGATCACCAGCTGTCACACACAGCCTCATGGCTGACGACGCGAAGAATGTAACACCTCAGCTGCCGAACATGCCGCTATCATTACGGCGGAGGGTCGACACGACTCGCCACCTAGTCGCATGATCTTTTCACGTCCCGAAACCTCATGGCTGACGACGCGAAGCATGTAACGCCTCACCTCAGCAGAGGTGACTGCTGGGGCGACGCACACGGGCTGCTACGAGGGCTGCTCGACGCCGGCCGCCTTGGCGTCGCCCGCGCTCAGCAGCACGGCCTCGCGCTGCGCTGGCGGTATCAGCACCGGCGCCACCATGTCCCGGGACCCCTGCCTGCGCACCACGGAGCACAGCGCCGCAGCCCTTCCACACGTGCGCGGCCGCCATCGCGCCGGGCCAGCTGCCTCGCGAGCGCACTGCGCAGGCGGTCGCGCGGCGAGGCCCATGCAGTGCGTGTCGCGCACGCACCTTGCGTCTTTGCGGTACTCGACGACGTTGTTGAGGATGATGTTGCCCCGCTGGTCCACGCAGTACAGGTTGCCCTTGAAGACGCGGCCGTCCTTGACGCGCACGCACACGGCCTGCGCCATCATTCCGCGCAGCGCCTCCAACGGCGGGGGGGCGGCATCGGGCGCCGCGCCTGCGCGGGAGACGGAGCGCCGGGAACGCGTCTGCGCGGGGTCGTCCGGGCGCGGCGGAGCGGCGCGAGAGCCTGGGCCAGGAGCTTTGTTGCTCAGGGGGGTGCGCTGCCGCGCACAGGCGGCGGGAGTGGGGCGGGCGCGGCTCGGCGTGTTGGGAACGTCTGGTGCGGCACGGCAGGGACACTCACGTTCGCTGGTGCGCGCTGGGGTTCGCGGGGGGGGCGCTAGGATGGGGATGGCTAGTCTGCGTGACCCAGACGACGGGCTCCGAGCTACTTGGCGGACTGGACGGCGGCGCGCTCGACCCCGACTGTGTGGTGGCGCTGGTGCTGACGGGGAGCACGGGCGCGGCAGGCAGGGACGCGCGGGGCGACCAACCCTGTTGGCGGACCCAGGAGTGCCGCAGCGCTCCACACACGCAGCTGCAGCGCGATCCAACTACGATAGCTTCTCCGTGCCGTGGCCTCGCGGGCTGGGCGGCCTTCATCGCCGGCCGCGCCCCTCGCCCGGCTGCAGGGGGGAGTCGTCCTCTCAGGAAGTACAAGTGGCGTCCGGACGCCCCTGCGGCTCTCTGTTGGCGCGCGGGGCGTCGCGCCGGGCAGTTCAGGTGTCCGGCGCTGCGAGAGTCACCAAAGAGCCGCGCGAGGAGCAGCTGCACTGCCCCGCACCCGTCACCTTGCCTGCGGTGTCCTCCCGAGCTGTTGTGTTGCCCGCCGGGATCCTGGGCCGGCGCGGCCCTGCGGCGCGCGACCCCCTAGAGTAGCCCGGTGCGTGGCATGGGCTTGCGGAAAGGCGGCGTCCCGGAGCGGGCGGTGATGGGCCTGAAACTGCGCTTTCAAGCGACCGCGCGCGACCTGGCCAACGGCGAGTACCGGAAACAGAGGCCGGCGATCATCTGCTGCTTGATTCTAGTGATTTTGGCGATATATGGATTCGCGGAGCTGGTCTTCCCCAGCGTCGGCGCGCTCGAGGACGAGTATGCTGAGATGATCATTCGCTCCAGGGTCCAGCTCGCCGCCGCGCGATCGCAAGTGCAGTCCCTGACCAAGCAGGTCATCCAGCTCGAGCCCAAGTACACCCTCGCGCTCGAGGAGCTCACGTCGGCGCGGGAGCAGCTCTCCCAGAAGGCACGCCCCCGCCAGCATCCCTCCCCGCGCCCGCATTGACCTGGACGCGCGCGCGCGCGCCACCGTGGCAACCACGCACGCACGCCGGACGGACCTGACGCAGCGCGGCTGCCGGGAGCCCTCGGCGCCGCTCTCCACGGCCCACCCTAGGCGCTCCACGACAGCACTGCTCTCCCCGGGCGCCCGCGCGGCCCGGCGGGCGCCGCGAGCGCCCGCCTCGCCCCCCATTCTCTCCCCACGCGCCCGCCGCCATGCGCGCCGGCACCCGCGGCCGCATCACGGCGCAGCGATCGCCCCACGCCCCACGAAGCAGTCCCCCCCGCGCGCCGCGCCCCCCGCGCGCCGCGCCCCCGCTCGGCCCGCGCCCAGCCTCCCCGTACCGCCCGGTGCGCGGCCCGCAGGACTCGAGGGTCCAGGAGGTGGAGGCGAGCGCAGTAACGAAGCTGCAGGAGGCGGAGGAGGCACTTCGGGCGTGCGACGAGCTGAGCGAGGCCAAGGACAAGGAGCTCGCGGAGCGCGTGGCGGACGTCAAGGAGCGCGACCGCATGCTCGGGGAGGAGCGGAAGAAGAATTCGGCGCTGCAGGAGCAGGTGGGGGATCTGACGGAGCGCCTGGGGAAGGCGGAGGCGTCGCTGGCGGCGGTGAAGGAGGAGCTGACGGAGGAGGAGCAGGCGGAGGCGGACCTGAAGCGGTTCATGGAGGCGGGGCTGCACGGCGTCGTGCGGCGCGCGCAGCCCCCGGAGGGGCCCGAGGGCGACCTGGCGCGCGCGCTGGAGTCGGTCGAGCGCGGCGGGACGGTCCTGACGACGTTCGTGACCAAGGCGGTCGTCGGCCCGGGCGCCGCGCTCGAGCGGTGGCACCTCGCACTCGAGCACCTGGCCATCGACAACGTCATCGTGGTCGCGATGGACACGGAGAGCTTCCAGTTCGCGTCCGACACGCTCCGGCTGCCGGCGATCATGATGAAGGTCGTCGAGGACGGCGAGGACGGCGTGTCGCTCATCCGGCGCAGCAACGCCGAGAAAGCTATGAAGTACGGCGCGCTGGAGACGATGCTGTCGCTGGGGTACAACGTGCTCGTGCTGGACCCGTCGGTGCTGGCGCTGTCGGACCCGCTGCTCGAGCTGGCGCGCGACGTGGACGTGGAGGTCTCGGCGATGTACCCGGGGCAGCCGCACGTGGCGCAGAAGGGCCAGGACGGCGCGGAGGGGCTGGAGGTGCACGTGCCGGCGGTGGACCCGGCGGTGCTGTTCCTGCGCGCGACGCCCGCGTCCGTGCGGCTCGCGCACCACATGCGGTCGCGGCTGGTCGAGCTGGACTCCTCGGAGGTGCTGCTGTTGCAGGAGGCGGCGGTGATGCCGTCGATGGACGCGCGGCTGTCGCCCGGGGTGCACGTGCGCGTGCTGAACCCGGAGAAGTTCACGACGGGCGCGGCGTACTTCGCGGCGGCGGCCAAGGTCGCGCAGGGCCGCCAGTTGCCGCACCCCACCGTCATTCATTTGGAGAGCGACGACGCGGACCTGACGGGCAAGATGATGGGGCTGTACCTGTACTACCACATGGGGCAGAAGGACGCGCTGGAGGAGTGGCTGCCGAACACCAGCGGGGGCGCGGGGCGGAAGGCCGGCGGGCGGGCGCGGCCTTCTCGCGGCGAGGGGCGCGGCGGCGGGGTGCGCGGAGGGCGCGCCGGGGGGCGGGCGGGCAGCAAGGGGCGGGCCAAGGCGCGCGAGGAGTGGGACGAGCCAGACCTGGAGGACGACTGGATGTGACGCGGTGCTAGCGAAGCTGCATGGTACCTGCCTACAGTGCAGACGGACACGGGCCGCCGGAGGGCTCCCGGCTCCGCGCGTCGCCGTTCGCGATGCCCGCGTGCCGCGTCGTGGTTGGCGCGGGCGATCGATCGCTCGTCCTGCGAGCGGGTGTGTGCGTGCGTGGGTGTGCGCGACTTCTGCCATCGCCCTTTTCGACGTGCTGTCCATATATCCGCTGCCCGCCTCTCGATTCATCGTGCGGGGGACGTGGCAGGTGCTTCGTTCACGTCGCCGCCGTGCGTGTGCGTGTGGCCCGCAGACGTCGCACACCACCTGCCGGACACGGGCGTCCCTTGCACACCGAGCCCCCTCGCAGACACGTGTCTCGCGCTCCTAGTTCTAGTCACAGCGCACGCCGCGCGGCAACCCACACCTCGCACGCGTGCACGCGACCCAGCCGTCGTCGCGCCCGTCGCCACGCAACCAATTACGCACCCTGCTCCGTCCAGCCGCCCGGGCTACTCCGTACACAGATGGCACCGTCACGACCGTCCCCTCCCTCCACGGCCTGGTCCTCCCCCCCCTGGGCTGACTCTGAGCCCCACACCCCCCCCTCACAGCAGGCTGATCTCTTCGCCGAAGACCCACGAGAACTTGCGCGCGAGCTCGCGGCCCGCCTCGCGCGACCGCTGCGCGCGCCGCTCGCCCAGATCCGCCAGCCGCCGCACCTTCTCCGCTGCATCCAACACAAACACACACGAGCTCAGATCAGCCGCCCCACCCGGCCGGCCACGCACTCCGCGACCGCAGCAGCTCCGCGCGCGACTCACCGTGTCCCACGAGGTACTCCTGCGCCTCCGCCGCCTCCCCGGAGAGCCCGCTCAGGTCTGCAATGCCCCACCGCTGCACAAGGTGCTCCACAATGTCCGCGTAGTCCCGCGCAGTGTACACGCCGAGGCGCTGGGCGACCTCCGCGTAGTCGTCGAAGAGCCCGTCGCCCGGCCGCGCGCCCTTCTTCCCCGACGCGTGCACGCCGTCGTCCATGAGCGCCGCCGGCATGACGATGCCCTTGCGCATCATGTCCGCGAACGCGAGCACCGCGCCGTCGGGGTCGCGCAGCAGGACCTGCTCCACGATGCGCTTGTACGCCTCCTCGTGCCGCGCCTCGTCCGCGGCGACCATCCCGCACAGCCTGGCCAGCGCGTCGTCGCCGTACTCCTTTGCGAGGCGCGCGGTGTTGCCGTGCGACACGCGCGTCGCGCGCTCCTGGAAGCTCGTGTACACAAAGCACAAGTACGGGTTGTTCTCCATCTTCCCGTCCATTCCCCGCGAGATGAGCCCCTGAACCGTCCGCTCCACCGCCGGCATGTCCACGCGGCCCCCGAGGTACAGGTACGCGTTCAGCGCCTCGCCGTGCCGGTTCTCCTCCGCCGTCCACCCGCGCGTCCACTGCGCCCACCCGTGCGCGTCGCGCCCCGTCGCGTCCCCGCACCCGGCGTCCATGATGTTGAGCATGTTCATATACGTCGGCAGCGCCTCCTCCGTGATCGTGTCGCCCACGAGCGCGACGAGGAACCCCGCGGGGAGCTCCGCGGACCGCGCCCGCAGCTCGCGGACCTGGTCGATGAAATCCGGCGACTGCGGGTCCGGCAGGAAGTCCGCGGGCTGCCACGGGCCGTTGCGGCCGTCCCCGCGGTCCGCGTCGAGGTCCTTCAGGAGTGGGAGGAGGCCGTCCTGGGCCCAGGCGGACATGTCCTGCGCGGGCCGGGCCGGGCGGGGCGGTCGGGGCCGCGCGGGAGCACCGCGGGCCCGGAACGAGGGCGCCGGCGCCGCGATCGCGCGCGCTCGGGGCGCAATGATCGCGCGGCTGCGGGAGCCCGCGCAGCGCACATGTGCGCCGCGCGGTCGCGCGCGGAATCGGGCCTCGGGCGCGCGCGGGGCGCGGCCGCGAGGGCAAAGAGCGCGCGCAGCGTGGCCGGGCGACAGCGGCCGGGCGGGGCGAGGAGGCCGCGCACCTCGATGACTTCCGCGCCGCGGGCAGTCGTGCTGTGCGCCTTCTGGTCCCCGATCCAGACGAACGGCCCCCCCAGCGCTGCAGCGTCCTCACGTAGGGCAACAGCTCGTGCGGCCACGTCCTCCGCCTTGCGGGCGCGGGGGGATCCGGCGCCGCTCGTGAGCGGGCTCGAGGCCTCGTGCTTGCGGGGGAGCGCGCTATGAAGGGCCCTGGTCGTCGGTGGTGGCCGCACAGAACGACACGGACGCGGGTTCGGCGCGCGCGCCCCCGCGGCGGTCGCCGGCCGTGACGTGACCTTGTCCGCGGCCCTCATCGACGGCGTGTGATGCGAGCGGGCCGGGAAGGCAACGCAAACCCCGCGTTATTCGAACGCGTGCCGGCTTGGGCGTGCCTGCTCGAGCGTGCCTCCACGCGGAATGTTCCTGCGCGGCACGGCTCAAGGCAGTCGACCCGCAACACGCCGTCCGCGTTCAATTCATTAAGGCCAAGCCCTGTGGATTGCCGCGGCACATTCTCGCCCCCTCGAGGCCCCGCACGCGCCGGGCAGTACGACGCACTTTTCTTCTCCCCGCGGACGACGCCTGACTCAGGCCCGACGCCTCCACGACCCGCCCGGCGCTCACCATCGCAGCCTCGCGCCGGAGGCGCACCACACGCTGGCCTGTCCGCGCCCTCACGACCTCGCGCGGCGCCCTGAGGCTCCCAGAGCACACGCCACTTCGCTGTGTGCGTCGCCATCCCGGAGTCAGACCGGCTCCGTCCGTCCACGCGGCTGGCACGACCACCCTCAGTTCACTGGCGCAGCAGCAGGTGCGCGTGCGAGCCGCAAGCCCGCCGCGGCCGACCTTTGGGCACCGCGCTGCGTGACGCCAGTGCCGCGCGCTGCGACGTAGCGCTCAGTGGCGCCGCCCCCGTGCGAGCGGGCCAGACGCACCGCGCCTTACGTCAGCTGCGATATTTCGCGCACTGCGCTCGCGCGGATCGTCCCACGGCGCGGCGAGCGCGCTTTCCAGCAGCCCATCACGCGCAGCAACACCTTGGGCGGCCTGCGCGCTATAGGCTGCGCGTGCGCCCCGCCCGCCGGGCCCGAAGCGCGCACGTGTGTTCCGGGCGCGTCCGCCGGCGCGCCGGTCCTCGGAGCGCCCCAATGTGACGCGTCACGGGGGGCGAACGCACCAAGGAGGGAGGCCGCGCCGGCGGCACTCGAACCTGCCCGACGCGATGTATTTCCCGCCACCCGCAGCACCCTGGCATCCGGTTTCTCTCCCCCGTGCCGAATCCCGCCGCTCCGCAGCCGCCGGCCTCACGCAGCGACCCCAGGCCAGCATCGCGGCACTCTCCGGGCCGGCCACGCGGCTCGTCCCCGCGGTCGCGTCTCCGTCTCCGACCGCCCCGCCTCGTCGCGCGTCCGCAGGTGCACAGCGCGCCGGCCCCGCGATGTCGGGCGGGCCGCCACGCCCCCCGGACCCCGTGCGCACCAACGATGACCACCCCGACGAGGCCCTGCGCACCGCGCCGTCCGTCCGCAGCTCCACGGGCGCGCTGAGCCCCACCGCGGCGCTGCTCCCGGACGCCGCCGGCGCCCCCGCGCCCGCCACGAGGCACGACGCCCTCCCAGCGTCGCGAGCGCCGGGGGCCGCCCCGCCGGGCAAGCCCGGGGCCGGGGGCGCGGGCGCGGAGGAGGAGGAGGCGGTGTTCACGGTGGACGACGCTCTGTCAGACATGGGGTTCGGGAAGTGGCAGTTGCTGGTGTTGTTTTACTGCGGGGTGGCGTGGTCGGCGGACGCGATGGAGATGATGCTGCTGTCGTTCCTCGGGCCCGAGGCGCAGTGCGAGTGGGGCCTGGGCCCCTGGGCGGAGTCGCTCCTCACGACGGTGGTGTTTTTGGGTATGATGCTCGGTAGCAACATTTGGGGGTCCGTGTCCGACTCCCGCGGGCGGCGCGCGGGGTTCTTCGCCTCGGCGCTCTTCACGTGCATCTTCGGCCTCCTCGCCGCGCTCGCGCCGAACTACGGCATGCTGCTGCTCCTGCGGGGCCTGACGGGGCTAGGGATGGGGGGGTTCCACGTGGCGTTCGCGCTGCTGGCGGAATTCATTCCGAAGCGGCATCGCGGGCAGGTGCTCGTGGCGGTGGCGGTGTTCTGGACGATCGGGTCGATGATGGAGGGCGCGCTGGCCTGGGTGGTGCTGCCCAGCCTGAACTGGCGGTGGCTGGTCGGTCTCTCGTCGATCCCGCTCTGGCTGCTCATGGGGCTCTACCCGCTCGTGCCGGAGTCCCCGCACTTCCTCCTCTCCACGGTGCGCCGCCCATCGCCGCGCATGCGAGCTACGCGCACTCCGCTGCATACGTTGCTGCCGTGCGGGCCGACACGATGGCGCGTCGTCGTCGCTGCGCGTGCAGGGCGACTCGGACAGGGCGCGGAAGGTCCTGGAGGGCATCGCGAGGTGGAACCACACGCAGGTGCCCCAGGGTCGTCTCGTGACGGCGGAGGAGAAGAAGGAGGTTGTGCGCGCGGCGCAGGAGGCCGAGGAGGAGGAGGCCGCGGAGTACTGGGCCACGCCCGTCGGCCTGGTCACCACGGCGTCGTTCCGGCGCCGGCCTGAGTCAGCGGAGGAGTCCCCCCACCACCTGCGCAAGCGGGGGAGCACGGACGCGCACCCGCCGCGCGGGCCCTGGGTGCAGACGCAGCGCTGGCACGACCGCGACGTCGCCGACGCGCGTGCGTCGCCGGGGGGCACCGGCGCCGCGGCTGCCGCGGGTGGGACGCAGGCCGGGGGTGGTGGCGGGGAGGAGGACGCACTGGGGCGGGGGACGCACGCGGTGCAGGGGCAGCCGTGGACGACGGCGTACGATCCGAACGGCGACGTCACGGTGGTCGCGGCGGCCGGCGTGACGTACGCGGCGGACGCCGGCGAGCGCTGGGGCCGACAGCTGTGGCAAGACCTGAAGGACTCGATGCAGGTGTTGTACCCGCCGTACCGCGAGGTCACGGTGCTGCTCCTCACGGTGTGGTTCGCGTCGGCGTGCACGTACTACGGCGTGGTGCTGCTGGCCACGTCCCTGCGCGCCAGCGAGGGCGGCTGCCGCGCGGACGGGCGGCCGAATCTGACCGCGGACGACTACCGCGACATCTTCGTGACGTCCGTCGCGGAGCTCCCGGGCATCGTGCTCGCGTTCTTCGCCGTGGACTGGCTCGGGCGCATCTACTCGCTCGCGGGGGGACTAGCGCTCACCGCGCTGGCGATCCTGCCGCTCCTCATGATCAGCTCGTCGCACAAGTGCGTCCCAACACCGCGGCCTGCTCGGATCTGCCTGGCACGAGGGCGTGATGCGCGCATGTGCTGCCAGCTGTGCATATATAGGTACATATATGCTGCGTGCTCCTGGCCGACCTGGTTCGGGCGCGCTCGCTCCCGCGTGTCACGCAGGGCGGCGATGACGGGGCTTCTGTTCGTCTCGCGGTGCCTCGTGCTGTCCACGTTCCAGGTGGCGTGGATTTACACCCCCGAGGTGTTTCCGACCGACGTCAGGTCCTTCGCGCTGGGCCTCACCAACGGCTTCGCGCGCGTCGGCGGGCTCGTGTCGCCCTTCGTCTCCGTCGCCCTCGTCGAGTCCGGGCTCGAAGAGATGGCCGAGGCGCTGTTTTTGACCCTGTGCCTCGTCGGCGCCGCGGCGGCGCTCTGCCTGCCGATCGAGACGGCGGGCCGCGGGCTCGACCACGAGTACAGCGCGGACGACCTGCAGGCGAAGTGGCCGTGGAAGTGGTCGCTGCCGGGGCGCCGCGGCGCGCGGGGCGCGGCAGGCGGCAGCGGCAAGGAGGTCGGCCTGCAAACCTTCGCCGAACCGGTGCCGCGCGCCGGCGCGCAGAACGGCGCCGTGCCGGCGCCTTCGGGAGCGAACAAGGTCTGAACGAGGGCGCCATAGTCCGGGCACATTGCCCGCAGCGACGCACAGCGCACACAACCACATGTCACAAGGCACCAGTGCGCAGCAGCCACAGACTTCGCCCTGCTTGAATCGATCCCAGGTTACGTGTGACGGCACCTGCGAGACAGCTGTGCTCTGCCGCTCACACGGGCCAGGCATCTGATATCAGTTTCCTATCTGTTCCATAAGATCTGCATATGATATCAGTTTCCTATCTGTTTCATAAGATCTGCATATGCCTTCTCCACGTCGCTCTGCCCGCCCTGCGCCGGGGGCGCGGCCGGCGGCGCGGGCGCGGGCTCTTCCAGGTCCATCTCGACCTCCTGCACGTCCGCGGGCGGCGGCGGCGGCGGCGGCATGGCCGCGGGTGGCGGCGGGGCCCCTGCCGGCATGGGTGGGGCCCCGGGCGGCGGCGCGGTCGGCGGCGGCGGCGGGCCCCGCTGGGCGGCGGAGGTGCGCCGGGCGGCAGCGGCGGCGCGCTGCACCCGTACGCCGGCGGCGGCGGCCCCCACCGCCCGGGCGGCGGGTCTCCAGTGCCCCGGCCGGCTGCGCCCCACTGCCCCGGCGGCGGTGGCCCACTGCCCCCGGTGGCGGCGCCCCGTACCCGTCGGCGGCGGCGGCCCCGGCGGCCCCGGCGGCCCGGGCGGAGGAGCGCCCCGCCGGCGCTGGCGGCAAGGCGCCGGGCGGCGGAGGCGCCGCGGGGGCGTTCGGCTGGCCCAGGCCCGGCCGCGGACGCCCGCCCCCGCCGATGCCCGCACCGACGCTCTGCGCCTCCCGCGCGAACTCGCTCTCCTTGATCTCGTAGTGCACCTGTCCCTTGGCGGCCAGCGGCTGCCCGCCCAGCTCGGCGAGGAAGTTCCGGTACTCGTCCTCCATCTTGCCCGGGTCCTGCCCCGTGAAGCGCGCCACGTCCTTGCGGTACTGCTCCTCGGCCTTGGCCTGGATCGCGGCGGGCAGCCTGCGGCGCGGGGGCGGCGTGCGGCCGCGCCGTTGGGCGCTGCGGCGCGCGGGGGCGGCGCGGCGGGGCGGCGCGGCGCGGAAGAAGGGGGGGCGCACCGGTAGATGGGCTCCGCGCCGGGTTCGCCCGCGGGGCCGTGCACCAGCGCCAGCGCCTGCTGTTCGGGGGTGGAGAACTTGATGACGTCGATGGTGCCGTTCATCTTCGCGAGCTCCATCAGCTGGCGGCGCTTGTGGACGTTCTTGTCCTCGTCGACTGCGCGCGGGGGGCCCGGGCGAGGGCGCGGCGTGAGCAGGCCCGAGCGCAGGGCGTGTGTGTGCAGCCGCGCCGCGCGGCGGCGGGGCGGTGCGCGGACGCGACGGCGCGTGGGACGCGAGAGGAGTGATATCTCTCGAAGCAGGGCGCGCGCGCAGGTGCGGTGCGGCTCACCAGGCGTCAGGAGCGGCTCCACGAGCTCCAGGGCCCGGTCGACCTTGCTCCATGTGTCAGCCGAGATGTGGACGTGGCATTCCTCGTTCCAGCCCTCCGGGAGGCGGCCGTCGGGGCGCCGCACGACCTTCGCGCCCTCCTTGACGGAGCCCTTGCCGCGAATCGTGATCGAGGCGCCCGTCTCCGCCACCATGCGCTTCTGGGTGTTCCCGCGGGGGCCCAGGATGAGCCCGATGAAGTTGTACCCCGGGTGCTCCTTCTCCGGGATGAAGAGCTTCACCTCCTTCAGCGGAGGCTTGAAGGCGGACGGCAGGCGGTGCCCGACGGGGTCGTATCTGTTGGCGTCCTGCAAGCACCCTTTCTTCTCCTGCTCCAGCGCGGCCCTGCGGCGCAGACGCAGCCGGCCCGCTGCTGAGATCACGGGCCACCGGCGCGGCGCGCAGCCGGGCGAGCGGGGGCGCCGGAGGAGGCCGGAGCGAGCGCCGTGCTCTGGGCCGGCGGGGGCGGGCCGCACCTGACGCGCTGCTCGCGGCTATTCATGCGCATGTGCGTGTCCGGGTCGTAGACGGGGGGAGGAGACGGCGACCGGTTGCGCTCGGAGGGGATGGGGAGGTTGTTGTTGTTGAGCATCTTGTTAATTTGCTCCGTGCGCGTCGACATCAGAAAGGCGCGGATCTTGCGCGCATCGTGGACGCGCAGGGGGTCCGGGCCGAACTGCGAGTTCTCCCTCGGCGGCGTGGGCTCGCGCTCGGGCTCCGGCTGCGGGTTGCGCGCGGGGAGCGGGCGCGCGGGCCGGTCAGGAGAGCGCGCAAGCCTGGTGGCCGGCAGCGTGCCGGGGGGGCGATCAGCGCGCGCATTCTGCGCCTCCGCACGCTCCTCCGTGACGGTTCTCGGGCCTGGCGGCAGGGCACCCGCCGAATAGCGCGCAGGAGCGCGGCGCGACGACTTTCCAGGTGCACCCGCACACGCTGGCGCGGGTCCTCACCTCGGCCTGGTAGGGGTTCGGGTTGAACTTCTGCGCAATCTGCAGCGCCTTCAGCCTCGCCTTCTCGGCCGTCTCCGCGGACACCAGCGCCCTCGAGTCGCCTCCGGCGGCCGCTGCCGCTGACATTTCACCTCCTCCGTCGCTCCCGCGGCGCGTCAGCCCCGCCTGGCCGGCAACCGCCACGCGAGCCCTAGCCTGTGCCACGCGACCGCGCACGCGCAGTGCGGCCGCTCACCGGCCCCGTTCCGGCGGCAGAGTGGGAGGCCACACACACCCACGCCAACGACGGGCTTCGCGGCGCAAGAGCGGATGCGTCACGTCGACGCTCCGGCTACGGGTCCACTGGCTTCGGAGGCTGCATCTGCGCCGCGCGCCGCGGCCGCGCGGGCCTTGTCGGGCCGGGAAGCGACCACACGGTTCTACACCTGGGGAGGGTCCAGGGGTCCAGCGCAACGCACGGGGCGCTCCATGGGGTCGGCGACGCATCGCGCGGAACATTCGGACCGACCTGCTGCAAGAGCCCTGCTTTACGCACCGAGGCCCCATTTCGACGGCGAGCAACTCGCGCGCGTGCGTTGCAACAGGTGAGGACATGCACCTCTGCGGGCCCCCGCGCATGGCGTGATATGGAAATGTCCGCGACGATGCGGTCGAGGCTAATTACTAGAGGCCATAGCGCGCAAAATCGCGGCAATTTAGCCGCGCCGGGCGCCGCAGCGGCCGGTTCCGCGCCGGTGCCACGAGGTCGTCGGCTGCGGCAGTTCGACGCGGCTTCGCGGCTCATTGCGTCGCGTCCGCTCAAGATTTCGTGCAACCGCGCTGCTCGGCACGCGCATGCGTCCGTGACGTCCATATCGGGCCCCCGGAGAGCTCGCCTCATGGCTGTTGCCGTCGAGACGCGAAATACTTGACCGGCGGCCGCGATTCTCACGCCTCCCCCTGCGCTCGCCCACGTTCTCCGCAGGCGTGACCGCAAACGGCACGGAACGCGCGAAGCGGCCCTTTGCCGGAAAACGAGCACTTCGAGCTCGAATCTCCGCGTGCACCCATCAGAAATCCACAGGTGCGCTCGAGAGACGTATTTCGCCCGCTGAGACGCCGTCGTCGCGCGCGGCGCTGCGGTCGCGCCCCGTGATCACGCGCGGCGGGTGCTGATGCCCTCCGGAGCGTGCCACCGTGGCCGACGCGTGACATGCGGTTTCCTTGGTCGCATCTGGCCGACGTGCCAGATCTCGATGCATGCGTTTCGCGTAGAGCCTCGCACATGCGCGCAGCGGCACACGCGGTGCTGACCTCGTCCCTCGGGAGCGCCCGCGGTTCGCCGTGTCCCTCTGTCGGACTGGTCTGGCGCCGTCAAACGATTCCTTGTGCACAGATATCCGCAGGTCCGCGGCATCGCGGCGTTTTCCCGGTCACAGCCGCGCAACGGCCAGACTCACGGTGGTTTTGCACCTCCCGTTCCCTCCCCTCCCGCAGGCGTTTCCTCCGCCCCAACGCGCCGCCAGCAGGCAAGGAGCCATCATTTCTCCCGCGTCAATCCCGCGAAGAAGAGATGGAAGACCCCGTTCAAGAGCCCGCGCTCAGTGAGGCCGAGCTGCCCAGGGCCGTGGCCCAGGCGCTCGTGGTGTGCGGGCCGAGCGAGCCGCTCTCCATGGACATCGGCTTCCACTGCAGCAACCCCCGCCCGGCGCTCAACACGTGCTTGACGGTCGCAAACTCCGGTGCGCCCCGCCAAAGCCCTTGCAACTCCCTTGCCACCTCGGGCCCCGTTCCCCGCGTCTCGGGCCGCCCTGGGGCGCGTCCTCCCGCAAATCCCGGGCCCCCTCACGGTCAACTCCCGAAAATTCCGCGGACCCAGCGCCTATATTCCCGCCACGCGCGTCGACGCGACGCCTGGCTCGGCGCCAAAGGTCCACCCCGCTCCCGCGCCGTGCTCCGCGTGCGCGCAGACTCCGGGTCCCAGGCGACGCCCCGGCAGGCCGCGCCGCCGTCCCCGGCCGCCGCCGCGCTCCGCGAGCCCACCGCCCGCGGCACGCCCGCCGCGCGCTCCAGCCTCACCGAGTCCCTGCGCAGCAACACCGGCACGCCCGTCGCGGGCAACTCGGGCCACAACATGTCCGCGATCGCCGCCCTCATGGCCGGCCCGCTGCGGCCCCCGGACGCCGCCCAGAACCGCCCGATGCACACCTCTTTCAGTGAGGTCTTGCTGGCGGAGTGCGCGCACCACGGCGGGCCGCAGCGCCTCGCGCGGAAGTCCCCGATGCGCCGCAGCAGCACGGGCGACGAGCCGAGCGCCCAGCCCGAGCCCCCCGCGCCCGCGCAGCCCGCCCGGCAGTCCCCCGGGGGGCCTGCGTTCTTCTTCCAGCTCGGCACCCCCGTCACGCCCACCTCGGAGGAGGGCAGCTGCAGGGGCATCGGCGCGGCCGGGCCGGCGCGCGTCGCGGGCTCGCAGAGCACGCTCCCGCCCGTGTCCGAGTCCGGCGCGCTCGAGGAGAGCTCCTCGGGGGTGTCCCAGGGCACGGTGTCGGGCGCGGCGCTGCTCGAGGAGCTCGGGCTGACGTCGCTGCTGAGCACGTCGCCGGCGGAGCGCGACCCGACGGTGCGGCGGTCCCTGCGCGCGGCGGCGGCGGCGGCCGCGACGTCCGCGGCGTCGATGCGGCGGCGGTGCCTGCTCAACACTGACTCTGGGTGCAAGTATAATGGGGAGGGCGCGGAGGCGGAGGAGTGCCCCGCGGAGGAGCTGCGCGAGCTCGCGCTGAGCCAGGGCGCGGACGTGGAGTTCTGCGAGCCCCCCGCCGCGACGGGCGGGCTGGCGCCGGAGAGCGACGCGGCGGCCAGTCGCGGCGCGCGGCGGCTGACGCGCCGCAGCCTGACGCGCCGCAGCCCCGCGGTGCGCGCGCGAAAGGCGTCGCTGCCGCTCGGGGACGACATGCCCGAGGTCGCCGGGCCGGTCGTGCCGGAGCAGGGCGGTGCTGCGGACGCTGGCGTGCAATAGCATCGCATCGCGCGACGCACCCCCCGCCCAGGCCCTGTACATACACTACGGACCCCTACGATGACGATTGAATGCCGGGTGCGGCGTGGTCGCGCCCGTTGCAGCGCGAAGCGCCCCACCGGGCAAAGCTGTGCCATGGGGGCGTTGCGCGGTGGCGCGTGGGCGCTTCGCGCTGCGTTCGCGCAGACTGACGGCCGTGCGTCTCGGCCGGCGCGCGAGGACGCTGTTGTCGGAGTCCCCCGCCCTTCACGGCCACGCATGCATGTCGATTACGATGCCGCCGCGAGCTGACGCCGCGAGCAGAGACTCTCCGGGACCTGTGAGACTTCGTGACACTCGTGCGTGAAGCGTCGGCACGTTCGGGCCCTCCCTGTGCCCTGGCAGCCGCATTGTGCAACTTGCTGCTTGCTCCAGCAGCACGCCGCGCACGTGCGCCCTGCCCCGGCACCGCCGCCAGCCTGGACCCTGAGCCGCCGCGCGACGACGTCGCGGCTCGAGCGCGCCGCGCCCGCGTGCTGCCCTCGCCCGGCGCAGCACACGCGCCCTGCCGTCGCCCACCGCTCCACAGGCGCTGCGGGGCGTCGACGCGGACGTGGCGCCGGCCGAGCACGTCGCGGGCGGTGACATCTCGCGCGCAGCCGTGCGGCTCGGACACGGGTCGACTGGCCTCGTCACATCGCCGCCCGACCCGGTGCGCGGGCTGCGCTATGTGGTGCACAGGGGCGCCGGCAGCGGGGGCGGCCGTCCGGCGACGCACGAGGGGGGTTTCGGTCGGGCAGGGGCTCGGGAATCACTTCAGCTCGATGCTGCGAGCGACCGTGTCCAGCTCCGACATGCCCTTGCGCGTAATCGCGCGGCCGCCGGCCGAGGCCTTCTCCACCACGCCGATGCGCTCCAGCTCCTGCGGACGGCGATGGGCGGGGCGCACGCGGCGGTGGGCGCGGGGAGTCGGGCCACGCAGCGCGTGCGCCGGGCAGCAGCCACCGGCCGTGGGGCGGCCGCTGCGGCGCTGCGGCGCGTGCAGGGCCGCTGCGAGGACGTCGCGGCCGCCCGCTGCGGCGTTTCGGGGGTTGGATGCGCCCGGGGGGCCGGTGTGCGGCGAGGGGCGCGGGCGGAGCGGGAGCGCGGCGTGTGGCGGTGCGGCAGGAGAGGGGGGCTCCGCGGGGCCGGGGGGCGGCCGGGGAGGCTTGCCTGCAGGGCCTTGCGGATGTTGCCGCCAGCGGCCGTCGAGAAGTGCTCGGGGGCGGTCGTGCGGCGGCGGTAGTTGCCGCCGAAGAGGCGCTTGAAGGTCCCGACGCCCACGTTCTGGTGCAGGTAGACGCGGCGCGCGGCGGCGGCCATGCGCACGTAGAACCAGTCGGGGTTGTAGGGCCCGTGCTCCTTCCTGACGCCCGTCTTGATGATGTGGGAGTTGGCAGGCACCTGCACCTTGCCCGTGCCCTTCAGGTGCGCCGCGTACGCCTTGATGAAGGCGTCCGCGGGCACATCGCGGACATTCTGTGGGGTATACGACATATTTGCAGCCTCCAACTGCGGCCTGCGGGGGCGAGCGGGAACACGCGAGCGCGCTTGGCGGGGGCGGTCTCACTGCGAGCCCGCCATGGGCAGCCCGAGGGCTCTCCGCGGGCAACCGATACGGCTCGAGGCGCGAATGAATGCGGGGAAATCTCAGGGCCGCGGACGGCGCCGCGCAGGCGCCCGGCCGAACCGCAAGCGCGGAAAACGTCACTCGACTGCTTGCACCGCTACTCAGCGGCCGCACTGGGCCCACAGTCTGCCGCGTGCCCGCGTTCTGGAGTTGGCTAACGTTGTCGACGACGTGGCCGTCACGACAGCGCGGCGCGGGCAGCGGAGGGCCCACAGGATGGCGCCGACCTCGCCCCCAGGGAGCTCGGACGGGCGCGCCGTCGCTGCCAGGCAGCTCGCTCACCTGTCGTCGTGTCCCCGATTCCGCCAGAAAGGGCGAGCGTCCGCGCCGGGCGACCCGAAGAGCCACGCAGAGCTTGCTTGGGACCTTATTCAGGCTGCTGTCAGCCCAGGCAGCGCCGCGGTCGAACGAGGGCCCGCGGGGACGCCGCTGCAAGCACACAGTCGGGTACTCGGTCGACCGGACGCGGAGGATGGTGAAGGAGCTTGGGGTGAGCGCACAGAATCGCGCCCGTCGCCCGCCGTGCCCCCAGCCGCCCCTGTCGGGCCGCCAGAACACAACACGCGTGATGCTTCCGCATCATTTCGACGTTCTCTGCCAGCCACGTCCCCCGGGCAGGGTCGCGCTGCGGCTGATCCCTCGAACGGCGCACCTTTGCCCGGGAGGGTCTCCATCCACAGCCCCGCCTCCCGCGAGCGCGCGCGTCGCGCCGCGATCGCACGCTCCGTCTGCAGCGGTCCTCAGCATCCGCCTCCGTCCCGACATCGCGCGCTTGCGCTCGTGCGCCGCCTCGCGTGTGCGGCCGGGCGTCGTGACCACTCGGCACGCCACACACGCGCCGTCCGCCCCGCTCACCTTCCGCCGGCTGCTTCCCACCCCCTCAGCACCGCGCCACTTGCTCCCCCCAGCGCCGCCGATGCACCTCGCGGCCCGAGCCCCGCCGGCTGCGCTGTCCGCGCACTGCGCTGGCACCGCCCAGGCTTCACCTGGCCGCATCCGCCCCGGCCCGCGCAGGAACTCCACTTCGGCGGCAAGGGCTACAAGGCCCTGATCGTCGCCCAGCATGCGGGCGCGCAGCTCAAGCGCGCCGACAGCGACCCGTGCGGCCCGGCCGGTCCCAGCGACGCCCTGCGCGCCCTCAACCCCATGGGCGGCCGCGTGCCCATCCTCGAGACGCCGGACGGGCCCGTCTTCGAGTCCAACACGATCGCCCGCTACGTCGCCCTCCAGACCGGCTCGTCGCTGTACCCCTCCGGCCTCGACGAGCCCGCGCTGCAGAGGGCAGCGCTGATCGATGGCTGGGTCGACAGCGTGCCGGCCAAGGCCGGGCCGGCGCTCGCGCGCGTCTACGCCGCGGCGATCGGCGGCGCGGACTTCGACGAGGACATCTACGAGCTCAAGGACGCCGCGATCGCCGCCGTCGCCGGGGTGCTGGAGGCGCGCCTCGAGGCGAGCGCGTACCTGGCGGGCGGCGAGCCGACGCTGGCGGACGTGTGCGCCGGGGTGGACCTGTGGGCGCTGATGACGCGCGTCCTCGAGCCGAGCGACCGCGAGGCGCTCCCGCACACCACCGCGTGGTTTACCCGCCTGGCCGCGCTTCCGCTCTTCACGGCCGTGATGGGCCCCGCCGCGCTGTGCGCGAAGACGGGCGAGGGGCGCGCGCCGGGCGCGGCGGCGTCGAAGAGCGCGGCGAAGAAGGCCGCGAAGGCGGAGGCGATGGCGGCGAAGAAGGAGGAGGCCAAGCGGCGCGAGAAGGAGCGGCGCAAGGAGCGGAAGGCGGCCGAGAAGGGCAAGGGCGGGGCGGGGGGCAAGGGCGGCGGCGCGGGCGCGGCGGGGAAGGAGGTGGCGAAGACGACGAAGCTCGGGCTGCGCGCGGACAAGGCCACTGAGTTTGGGGAGTGGTATGCGCAGGTGGTGGTGGAGGCCGAGATGATCTCATACTACCCGGTGTCGGGGTGCTACATTCTGCGTCCGTGGGCGTTCGCGCAGTGGCAGGTGCTGCAGGAGTGGTTCGACGCGGAGATCAAGAAGCTGGAGGTGCAGAACTGCTACTTCCCGCTGTTCGTGACGCCCGAGGTGCTGCAGAAGGAGAAGGACCACGTCGAGGGGTTCGCGGCCGAGGTCGCGTGGGTGACGCGGTCGGGGAGCTCGGAGCTCGAGGTGCCGCTCGCGATCCGCCCCACGAGCGAGACGGTGATGTACCCTTACTTCGCGGACTGGATCAAGAGCCACCGCGACCTGCCGCTCAAGGTCAACCAGTGGACGAACGTCGTGCGGTGGGAGTTCAAGCACCCGACGCCGTTCATCCGCTCCCGCGAGTTCCTCTGGCAGGAGGGCCACACGGCGCACGCCACGCTCGAGGAGGCCGACCGCGAGGTGCTGCAGATCCTGGACCTGTACCGGCGGGTGTACGAGGAGCTGCTCGCGGTGCCCGTGTGCCCGGGGCGGAAGAGCGAGAACGAGAAGTTCGCCGGCGGGCTCTACACGACCACCGTCGAGGCCTTCGTGCCGCCCGTCGGGAAGGGCATCCAGGGCGCGACGTCGCACTGCCTGGGGCAGAACTTCGCGAAGATGTTCGACATCAAGTTCTCGAACGACGCCGGGGAGGAGCAGCTCGTGTGGCAGAACTCGTGGGGGTTCACGACGCGCACCATCGGCGTGATGATCATGGTGCACGCGGACAACAAGGGGCTCGTGCTGCCGCCGCGCGTGGCGCCGAAGCAGGCGGTGATCGTGCCGATCCCGAACGCCAAGCTCTCGCAGGAGCAGCTCGACGCCATGCTGGCCAAGTGCGGCGAGCTGGACGGCGCGCTGCGCGACGCGGGCGTGCGCGCCACCGCGGACCTGCGCCTGAACTACACGCCCGGCTGGAAGTACAACCACTGGGAGCTCAAGGGCGTCCCGGTCCGCGTCGAGGTCGGTCCGCGCGACCTCGAGAGCGGCCAGGTGGTGCTGGTGCGGCGCGACACGGGCGCCAAGGAGCCGGTCGCGTGGGCCGCGATGGGCGCGCGCGTCGCGGAGCTCCTCGAGCAGATCCAGGCGGACATGTACGCCAAGGCGCGCGCGGAGTTCGACGCGTCGATGGAGCGCGTCACGGAGTGGGGGGAGTTTATGGGGGCGCTGGACCGACTGCACATGGTGCTGGCGCCGTGGGACGAGAGCGTCGAGGTGGAGGAGGAGATCCGGAAGCGGTCCACGACGGAGAGCGCGATGGGCGCGAAGAGCCTGTGCATTCCGTTCGTGCAGCCCGAGCTGCCGGCGGGCACCAAGTGCATCGTGTCGGGCAACCCCGCGAAGAGCTGGGGGCTGTTCGGGCGGTCGTACTGATTCTGTGAGCGACATCGGAGCGTCACAGTGCAGAGCTGCGGACAGATCGCGCGCGGTGCGTCCCGGGGGGTGTGTCGCGCGCCGCAGCTCACTCCTCCCACTTCACGCCCGCCATCGGCCCCCCGCGATACCGCCACTGGCTCATGCCCTTGTCCAGGTGGTACACGTTCTTGAACCCGGCCTGCGCCGCACGATCCACGGCACCGCACGCGCGTCTCGCTGCGCAGCCGCGCCGCGCACAGCACGCGCACGGCGGGGCAGCGGCACGCGGGCCTCGCCTTCATGAGCTCGTAGCACGCCTTCAGGGAGCGCGACTCGCGCCCGAACGCGCGGTCCTTGTCCGCGAAGCCCTTGTCTTTGTAGTTCTTGGACTTGTAGCCCACGCGCGTGTCCATCGTGCCGCCCATCGTGCAGTACACCACCACGGGCTTGTTCTTGTCCCCGATCGCCTGCACGGCCGCTCGGGGGCGGTGCGGCCGTGAGCCGCTCGCTGCGGGGGTTGTTGTCGCGGTCGCAGCGTGCGTGAGCGTTCGGTCGCCTGCGGGGCCGGACGCGCGGCGTACCTGCTCCGCCTGGGCCACGAAGTCGGGGTTGCGCTCCGTGGCCTTCATCGCGATGCCGGCCATCGCCACGCGCTTGAGCTTGTCAAACCACCTGTCGCTATCCGACGGGATGACCCTGCGGGCACGCGCGGGCGGGAGCGCGCCCCTCGCGAACGGCCGCACGAGCAGCGCTGGAGCCGAGACGGCGCCGCGCTGGGCGGCGAGAGCGGGCGGACGGGTGGTGGTGCGCACCGGAAGAGCGGGGCGTTGACAGCCCCCTCGATATGCTCCATCTCGAAGTCGTCCGGGATGCGCGTGTCCAGCAACACGCAGCCCCCCTTCCTCATCGTCTCCTCGACCTGCGGGAACACGGCCGGCGCACGGCGTCGGCAGTGCGTCCACTCTGCACGGGCTCACCGCGCAGCCGCGTGTGCCGACAGCGCGCCGCTCGCGGCGGCATGCGCGAGCCAGAGAGTGCTCCTGGCGCCGCGGGTGCTCGCGCGGGCCCGCACCTCCTCGCCCGGCAGGGAGGTGAGGCCCTTTTGCTCCAGGTAGAGGTAGATTGCGGGCCACACAGTGTACTCGCCGTCGAGCGTCTTGGCCTTGGTCGAGTAGTAGTTCACCTTGTCGTCCTTCATCCACCTGCACGCAGCGCGGGGTGCCGCAGCGTCGCCGCACCGGCGTGATTCTCCTCCGGACGGTGCGAGCACTCAGGCGGCCTTGCGGCGCGCGTGGCGACGTGGAGCGAGACACGAGTGGGACACCCGTGCGCTCGCTGGCGAAAAGAGCCGCGGCGGTGCGAGTCACGGCGGTCGACGGCGCGCGCAGCGACCCAGGCCCGCCGTGATAGGTCAGGCGCGCCTCGCCACCTACATGCGAGGCTTCCCCGCGATTGCGATGCCGACGCCGTCCTCCTCGGTCTCGCAAGCGCATCGCGAAGGGCGCCATCGCCCGCAGCGCCCGCGGGGGCCCGCAGGAGCGCAGTGCGGCACGCGCACCCTCGCCCTCCCGACAACCGTCACGGCGGCGATCCGGCGCGCTCCGACGGCGCGGCCCTCACCTCTGCAGGGCTCCGTCGTACTTGAACCCCGCCAGAAACTCCTCCTCGTCCACGTCCTTGGTCTGCGTGGACCTCTCCTGCTCCGCGCAAACACGCACCGCCCGCCGCCGCGCGACGCGCGCGCCGGCGCAGACGCCGGCCCGCCGCCCCCGCGCCCTCTCCGCCCCCGCGCGCGCCTGCGCCCGCGCGGGCCGCGCGCCACGGGCGCCTGCGAGCATCAACATGGTGCGCGTGCCCTGCCAACCGCCGCGAACGCCGCGAACCTCCGTGCGCGGAAAAGCTGCCTCCGCGGACGTCCCCGCGACGAATGTGCCGGCCGCGCGCGGCCGCCGGGCCGTCGTGAGCCCGCGGGACCGCCTCGGCGCCGGCCGTTGTACCCACACGCGTGCCGGGAGTGGGGGTGGGCGGAGCGGGGGGGGCTCGCGCGGCGTCCCTCCCGCGCAGCTGATGTCTGGGGCGCGCGGGGGCTGCTGGCACTTGACTGAACCGATGCGAGAGGCATCTGAGAACCGTGAGTGCCGAAGTGAGAGTGCACCCAAGGCAGGCACCCAGGCAGTTGCTAGGCAAGGCGCGGCGCGAGCGTAGTGGCCCGAGAGCGTGTCCGCGGCGCTGCGCGTCCGCACGAGTCCCGGTCGTAGGCTCCGGAAGCGGCCGGAGCTGGCGCTCGGGTGCTGCGCAGGGCCCGGCGGAGCGGCCGGACGCTTGTGCCAAACGGCCGATTAGGTGCGACGCACGCGCGTCTTCGCGGGCGCCGGCGCGGTCTGGGAGCCGCCCTGAACTCACGGCGCTCGGCCGTGGTGGCACGCGCCCGGGTTTCGCATTCGCAGCCGAGCCGGGGCGCGTTGTGTCTCGGGGGCACGGCGGGCCGGTGCTCGGCGCGCAGCGTCTTGTGCGGTGTGGGTCGGCCACGAGCGCACCCATCAGCTATTCAGCCGCCGCTGTTTCGCGCGCGGGGCGCGCTGGCGCCCCCCGCGCCCCGCAATGCCGCGAAAATGCTTGCACCGTCTTGGCCTACGGTCATTCGCGCACCGCGCGACCCCGGCCACATTAGGATGTCCGCCGCGCTGCCCGGAATCCCCACTTCGCCAGATCCCCCGCGGGCCGGGCTGCGCGCGCTGTGGCGACGCACCGGGCCATCCGCCTGCGTCGTGCCCTTTGTGCGTGCGCCTCCGAACCACCGTACTAGAGGGCGTCGCCGGCGCGTTTCGACGCTCGAACCGCCGCGCCATGTTTTCTCCTCCCGAGCGATCCCGCCGTTCGCGGGCAACACGCACCGCATTTCAGCTTCACGCGGCTCCCGAGCAGGCCATCATCTGGGCCCCCACGCGCCGCACACGCGCGCGCGCGCGGCGCCCGGCAGCAGCTCCCGCACTGCACTCCGCCCTCACCGCCGCTCGCCCCGAACCCCCCTTGCGTCGCAGTGAACGTTCCCCGGTTCCAGCCCGGGCCAGGCAGGCGGGGGCACACCCGCACAGGGCGGCCCGATGCCCATCCTGTCGTACCTGCGTTCCCGCATCCGCAAGAAGGCGAGCGGCAAGCTCCCGGCCCAGCGGGACTCCGCGGAGGAGCTCCACGAGGCCGCGCAAGGCACGCCACCGTGCCCCCTTGCTGCGCAACCACCCCGGCCGAGACAGGCCGCCCTCGCGTCGCACGCGCCCCCGCGCGCCGGGCCGCGGGAGCGCGTGGCGGGCAGGCCCCACGACGCCCGCCGCCGCCGCTCCACCGCCCCGCTCGCGCGCCGGCGCCCCCAGAAGCCCGCTGACGGTGCTGCGCGCGCCCGCCGTCCGCGCTGCAGACCCCACCACCGCGAACGAGGAGGACGTCGATGTGCACCGACACTGCCCCGACCAGACCGGGGCGTGCGACGCCACGGACGCGAACGACTCGCCCGCGACGTGCATGCGCGAGCCCTCTCGCCTGGCTGGCACCGCGGTGTACTCGCAGGCGCACATAACGAGCGACGCGGTGAGCGCCCGGGCCCCTCTCCAGCTCAGCGCGCCCCGCACGCGCCGCACGCGCCGCTCGCGCCGCGCGGTCGGGCGCGATTGCCGCAACCGCCTGTGCGCCGCTCCTCCCTCCCGCAGGACAAGGGCGACGCGGCGGTGCGCGACCTGCATGAACGGAACAGCTCGTCGCGGCGGTTCCAGCCGAGCGTGGACTTGCAGCCCGCGCCGGACGTCCCGACGGGGAAGCTGATTCGCAACAAGGCGGAGCACAGTGGGCGGCGGGTGCGGTCGTCGCTCATCAGCTGGTGGCTGGTGGGCAAGGCGTGCCCGGTGGACCTGGTGCGCGCGGACTGGTCGGTGCACCAGTTCACGCCCGTGAAGAAGATCGGGAAGGGGTCGAAGTCGCGCGTGTGGCACGCGGTGGAGAAGTCGCTGGGGCGGACGGTGGTGCTCAAGGTGTACGACCTGCGGCAGATGCACGCGACGGAGGTGGAGCAGCTGGAGCGGGAGGCGGAGATCCACGCGCAGCTGTCGCACCCGAACGTGCTGCAGCTGTGGGCGGCGTTCCAGGACCAGGTGGCGTGCTACTTTCTGCTGGAGAGCGCCGACCAGGACCTGTACCACATGTACCCGCGGATCTCGCAGACGGACGAGCGGGTGATGGTGCAGAACGTGATCTTCCCGACGGTGGACGCGCTGGCGTACTGCCACAGCAAGGGCGTGCTGCACCGGGACATCAAGCCGGAGAACCTGATCTTTGGCAAGGACGGGCGGATCCGGCTGGCGGACTTCGGCTTCGCGATCGACGTGCACGAGCGGCGGCCGGTGACGCGGCTGGGGACGCTGGAGTTTATGGCGCCCGAGGTCATCGCGTGCGGGCGGCGGCCGGACGGCACGGTGGCGCACCGCGACAAGCGCACGCCGTACGGCGCGCCGGCGGACGTGTGGTCGGTCGGCGTGATCGCGTACGAGCTCTTCGCGCGCCGCACGCCCTTCGTGCGCTCCACGAAGGACGAGACCTCCAAGTGCGTCGAGCGGGGGGAGTTCCGCATGCCCCACTGGGCGTCGTCGCAGGCCCAGGACTTCATGCGCCGCTGCCTGACGCTCGACGTGACGCAGCGCGCGTCGATGGAGGAGCTCTCCACGCACCCGTGGGTCGCGCAGTACGTCTCGTTCGACCCCGCCACGCACGCGGGGCGCTACCTGGGCGACGCCCACCTCCCCGACCTGGTCGAGTCGACGCGGCTGACTGCCGCCAACTGCGTGGCGGAGAACGTCATGCGGCGCGCGGAGCAGAGCAGCAAGAGCCCGCAGGCGCGCAAGACGCTCGAGACGCACTCGATGGGCGGCGGGCACGGCGTGCGCAGGTCGCACGACGCGACCGCGCGCGCCACCACGGGCGTCGACAACCGCACGGGCTCGCGTCTCAGGAACGCGACGAGCATGCACGGCAACCTCCTCCCGGAGCTCGACCGCCGCGGGAGCCCCAGCACCGGCCCGCGCGCCACCGCGCCGCACGCGCCCGCGCAGCCGTCGCTCCAGGGCACGACCGCGCGGCCGCTCCAGCTCCCGAACTCGGGCGCCCCCGAGACCGGGCGCGCGTCGCTGGACGCGGCGCGGCGCGTGACGCTCCCCGCGCAGCCCGACAGCAACCTGCAAAACATCCCAGAGGAGCGCACCGTCGACAACACGGCCGACGCGGCCATGCAGGACCTCGACTCGGCGGCGGGCGAGGACACCATCTGGGACGAGGGCGCCCCGACCAGCCCCAGCAGCCGCGGCACAGGCCGCGCGCAGCTCACCATCCCGCCGTCGCCCTCGGCGGGCTCCGAGTCGGTGGGCCGCACGAGCTACAACTCGTTCATGCGGCACCGGCGGACCTCAGACGGCCGCGGGCGGTACCCGAGCGTCCCCGGGGTGTCGCCGGGACAAGCCAACCGCGGCGACAGCATGCCGACGCGGTTCCGAATGGTGTCGCTCGGGGCCACGACGACGGCGAGCAGCATTGGCGACACGGCGTCGCGCGCGGGGGACCTCTGAACGCCGCCGGTGGTGCCACCGACCGGCCAAGTCAGCCCCCTCTCACCATTAGGGATCTACAGAGATCTATGCATCTAGGTTGACTATCACGGGCACGGGCGGCGGCAACAGGACCAGCCGCTCCGGGCCTCGCACACCTTGCTCACGCGGGCTGTGTTGCGTGCAAACCGTCTGCCCGCATGCGCGCATGCGGCGTGGGTCGCGCGGGGGCGTGGGTCGCTCCCGCGCACCCACGCTTGCCCGCCCATCCCACCACAGCATAGCACAGAACAGCCCCGCTGCCGTCGCGCATTCCCGGCACCAAGTGGTTGCCGCTGTGACGGCTGCCAGCGACAAACGCCCAGTGAGTGCCGCCTGTACACGCACGCTGAGTTGTCTACCCTGTCTGCTGTATGAGCCTCGCCTGCCGCACCAGCGAAGTAGAAACCGTTTCGGTTGCTCAAGCGTCCTCGCGGCGAGGGTGCTTGTAGGTCACCGAAGTACAAACATTCATTCGAGGCGTGTCGCGTCACTCGCTTCTCCTCGCTCGCCACGCCCGCCCCCAGCCGCGCCACGGTCCGCGAGCCACCGTGTGCGCCCCGCCACCGCCTCGCCAGCGCCGCCCGCCGGCCCGCTTGGGGAGGAAAGGTGCGCACCATGTGCCCGGCCTTCTGCAGCCCGCCCGGCCCCAGGCCTCCGAGCCCTCACCCAGCGCGCCGCTGCGCTGCGTCCACGGCGGTACGGCGGCGCGTCAGCGCTCCGAACCAGCCGCCGCGACCCCGGCACTCGTAGCATGGCGTCACACACTCTCGGTCGGCATCCCCGCGCTGCGTGCCGCGGAGCCTGCGGGCCACGAGACGCAGGACCCCGGGCTGCGAGGTGGGTCGGCGGGCGCGGCTCTCCGTGGCGCGCAAGGCGTTCTTTATGTGACGTACTGGGCACTGTGTCAGTAGGGCCGCCAGCCCGGACGGCCTGGGGCACGAGGGAGCGCGCCCGCGCGGGGGCGGCGTCACTGGGCGTCCGCAGATACGCTTGGGACGCAGCGGCCCTCCTGGTATCGCGTTCAAGACCGCTAGAGCTCTTGAGCGACTGCAGCCTGTGCGGCACCAGCACCGTCGTGCCCCGCGAGCAGCAGTCCAGCGACAATGGTGCGCCGCGAACGCCGTCTCGCATTAAGAACTGCCGCTGCGCGGCCCGTCGCGCCGGCAGCAGCGGGCACGGATACAGACGCCGCGACCTGCACTGCGTCGCGCATTTCCATCCTCGCCTGCCCTGTCCGCCGGCCCCCGCGCGGCGGAACGCGCGCTCCAGCGCCGTCGCTGCACGCAGCGCCGACCCGGCGTGCCAGCCGCGACGCAGCGGGCCCAGCCAAGCCGCCTGCGCCCCGCGGTTGACTGCTTGCGCCCCTGCCAGCCTGTGCCAGGCTCGCGCTTGAAATGCCGCCCCCCGCGCGGCGCGCGCGGGACCCTCACGGACCCCCCTCGCCCCGCGACGCCCCCCGCAGACGGCCGCGAAGAACAAATACAGCCTGTTTAGAGGTGCGCGATCAAGACAGAACCCTGCTCTGCAGCACGCTCGCGCCGCCCCACGGCGCCCTGAGCGCCGTCCCCGGGCCCCGCCCGGTCCCCCGGCGCTCCACGGTCCGGCCCGCCGCGCCCGCACCGGCGGCGCGGCCCGCGCACGTCGTTGCGGGCGCACGCGGTCCTGCGCATGTCCGGGCGCTCACAGCCGCGCTGCCCGGCCCGCCCGCGCAGTTCAAGAGGAGCGGAACATCGCCCGGCGCGAGCAGGAGCTCAAGGATGCAGACGTCAACAAGTACTACACCGTGCAGAAGGCGATGGAGTCGGGGATGCGCAACATGGAGAAGGACCGGGACAGGCGCAAGCTCCGAGAGGCCCGCGAGCGCGAGTTCGAGGCCGAGGTGCCGCCCCGCGCCCGCTCCGCACGCCTGTCTACGCGCCGACGCCCGCCGCCGCGACCGCGGCGCGCGTGCGAGCCGCTGGGCGGCGTTTCGTTGCTGCGGCGGTGCGCCCGGCCTGGGCTCCCCCCGCGCCCGAAGCGCCGTTCGGTTGCGCGCCCGTGTCCGTGCAGGTGCTGCAATCCGTGTACGAGGCGCAGCGCATGGCGGAGCTGCGCGCGAAGCAGGCGGAGGACCGGGAGCGGCTGGCGGGGGCGCTGGCGGAGCGGCAGCGCGCGCGGGAGTGCAAGGTCCGCGAGGTGCAGCAGCTGCGGCTCGAGAGCGAGGAGCTGCGGTGGCTGCAGGAGAAGATCCGGACGGCGCAGATGGCGCACGACCGGCAGGTGCAGCTGCAGGAGGCGCAGGTGCTGCGCGGGCGGGAGGAGGAGTACTCGCGCGTGCAGGACGAGGCGATGGCGGAGCGGCTGGCCGGGGAGCTGGCGCGGGAGGAGGAGGAGAAGCGCGTGCGGCACGAGGTGATGCTGCAGGCGCGGCGCGTGCTCGAGGAGCAGATGGAGGAGCGCCGCGAGGCGCAGCGGCTGGCGCGGGAGGAGTTCGAGCGGGAGCGCGCGCTGGTGGACGAGATCGCGCGGAGCGTGGAGGCGGAGGAGGCGGCGGAGGGCGAGGCGAAGCGCCGGAAGCAGGAGGAGGCGCGCGAGTACATCCGGCGGTTCCTCCTCGAGCAGGAGAAGCTGCGGGCGGAGCGGGAGGAGCGCGAGCGCGCGGAGGAGGAGGAGATCCTGCGGTACGCGGCCATGGTGCGGGCGCGCGAGGCCGAGGAGGAGGAGCGCCGGAACCAGAAGCAGGCCGCGGCGGACCGCGTGTACGAGGAGCAGAAGGCGCGCATGGAGGGCGAGATGGCGCGGCGGGAGGAGGAGGAGCGGCTGATCAACCTCATGCGCGAGGAGGAGGAGTCGGAGCGCCACCGCCTCGCGGAGGAGGCCGACGCCGCGCGGCGCGAGGCCATGAAGCGCGAGATGCTCGAGGCGAACGAGTACCAGCGCGCGCTGCGCATCAAGCGGCTGCAGCAGGAGAAGGAGGAGGAGGAGGAGTTCCGCCGAAAGATGCTCGAGAAGTTCGCCGAGGACGAGCGCATCGAGCAGCTCAACGCGCAGCGGCGGCGGCAGAAGCAGCTCGAGCACCGGCGCGAGGTGGAGCGGCTCGTGGCGCTGCGGCGCGAGCTGTACGAGCGCGCGGTGGCGCTCGAGGAGGAGGACCGCGCCGCCGAGCAGGCGCGCGACGCCAGGAAGCAGGTGCGGCGCGAAACAACGCGCACGCGTGCGCGCCGAGTTCGTGCGCGGTGCTGGCGCGACGCGCGGGGTCCGAGGCGAGGAACGACGGCGAGACGCGTTCGTCCCCCCGCCCCCGGTGGCGTGCGTGCAGGCTCTGATCGAGGAGGAGCGCCGGCGGCTGCTGCGGGAGGCGGCGCACCTCAAGGACTTCTTCCCGAAGGGCGTGCTGCAGCAGCTCGAGGACCTGCAGCTCGTCAGCGACGCGGCTGCAGGGAAGGCCTGAGCTTCCGCCACGGGGGAAGAGCAAGAGAAAGAGACGGACCCCCCGCCCGTGGCGGGGAACGCGCCGCGGGGTCTGCCGGACGGGCGCATAAGGTCCGGCGCATGTGCGGCGTGGGCGGCCCGGCAGCCGCGCACGCTGGCGCTGGCGCCGCAGTTTCTGTCGTGTCCCGCGCCCGCCGGCTCCGTGGCGGGTCGGCGCGCAACGACAGCGCGCCGTGCACCGAGCCGGCCATGTGACGAAGGCGTCGACGCATGCGTGTGCGGCCGCGGGCCGCGGCAGCTCCCTGCTTTGGAGGCGCGCGTGTCATGCTAGGCGTCATGCCAGGCACCGCGCACGTCACTGCGACGCGCCGGGACGAGCGGCGGCGACGCGCGTGGCCGCCGGGGGGCGGGGCCGCCCGCGCGTCGCCGCGGCGGGCCTCGGTGCTGCGCGCAGTGCACGGCGCGCAAAAGCGACCTTTACTGTCCCCGGGGGCTTCTACCCTGCTGGGGCTGCCGGGCACGGCCTGACCGGTGTCAGGCCACCGGGCAGGGCCTGCGCCGCGCTGAAGTGCTGCGCGTAGCGCCGGGGCGGGCCAGACGGACAGACACGGACGCGTAGCGGAAGGGAGCTGCGCGCGAGAGGGCTCAGAGCAACGCAGGCACGCAGTTGGGCGGGCGCCGAGCAGGAGACACGGCCTGGCAGCGCCGCACAGGCGCTTGAGGCGACGGAGAGTGCGACTGGCCGCCCGGACGTGGGCGGCCCCGGTTCGCAGGGCCCCGGACACCCGGCAACGCGCACTGGTGCGTCGACCCTCCCGTCCGGGGCCAGAGGGGCCTGCGGCGCGTCCGCCTGGCAGCCCTGTCGCGAGTTTTCGGCCCGAAAATCGTATTCGCGAAGTATCCGCGCGCCAGCGGGACCTGTCGGCTCGCCAGGCAGGATTCCTTGCGCCCAGCCAGGGCAGCTTTGATGGGCGCCCAGGGCAGCGCGAGCGCCGTTCTCCCCGCGTTTCTTCCCGTGCGAGACCGGCATTCGCGAGCTCTACGCGGGCGGACTGCAGCTCCTGCGTCTCCGCGCTTGTTCTCGCGGATTCGCGAGTACGCGCTTTTGGAGACGCGGCGCACTGGCTCGTGCTCGGAACGGAACGCGCGCTCGTTGCTTCCCGCGGCCCGTATCGCCTCACAGGCCAGCCTTGCAGCTGAGCGTCCGAGAGGATCCCTCGCACGCGCGACGCCATCGGCACGAGTGCGCGAAACCCGTGACGCTGCCTGTGCGCCCCGCCGGGCCATTTCTCCCTCCTTCCTTCCGCTCCAACGCACATTCATATTCGCTCCGTCCCGATAGGGCCCGTGCTCGCGCGCACGGTGCCCCAGCCAGCGCCGGTGCCGAGCGGCCCTTGCTGAGATTCCCACGCCGCGCCCCGGCCTCCGGAACAGCTCCGGCCTGCGGGTGACGCGAGAACCAGGCTCTTTCCGACACCGCGGACCGCCCCACCACGAGTATTTATCGCGCCACGCACCCAGTGCTCACCGCCGGGCTCAGTGTGGATCCAATGCCCATTCTGCGCAGGACGCGGCCAGAGGTAGCTTCATGGGGCTCCTCGGAATGTTCAAGCGGAAGAAGGCGGTGCCCGACGGCGCTCGCCGCAACCCGCTTCCGGCCAACTGCGCGGGTGCGTCCTCGGGCCGGCAGTGCCCTCGCCGCACCGCACCGGCTGCACGCGCCCCCTGCGGCGCCCACGCGCGCCCGACGGCAGCCGCATGCACCCGCACGAAGTCGCACTGAAGAATGCGCCACGGGAAAGCCGATACGAGGCCCTGATGCTCACGAGCGAAGCCGCCAGCGCGCAGTGACAGTTGCCCTCGCACAATTCCCCCAACCGTCCCGGTGGGCCGCAGCAGCGCCCCACCGCCCCGTTCGGCGCCCCCGCACGTGCCTGCAGGCGGCCCAGAGAACGCAGCGCCGGGCCCGGCGGCCCCGCTGCGCACCGGGCTCGACGCCGCGCAGCAGGCGCACGCGCCAGTCATGGGCGGGCGTTCCTTCAACACCCCCAAGGGGACGGAGGCCGAGCTCCACGACACCGCGAAGACGATCCACGACAGGAACAGCGGCACCGGCACCACGCTGGTGCGGCGCCCTGCCCGCCGTGCACCTGCGCCGCGTGCTTGCGACCTGCGCGCGCACTACCGCCACTCACCCCGCGCCGCCCCTCGCCGACCGCGCAGACTTTTCCCGGGGAGGGGGTGTCCGGGTCCGGACACGGGTCGCGGGGCGGCGTCCCGCGCGGCCAGCTGGTGCGGTGCGAGGCGACGCCGGAGAGGGGGCGGCGGGTACGGTCGTCGCAGGTCAAGTGGTGGATTGTTGGGCCCGACTGCCCGGACGACGTGGCGCGCGCGGACTGGTCGGTGCACCAGTTCACGCCCGTGAAGAAGATCGGGAAGGGCGCGAAGTCGCGCGTGTGGCACGCGGTGGAGAAGTCGCTGGGGCGGACGGTGGTGCTCAAGGTGTACGACCTGCGGCAGATGCACGCGACGGAGGTGGAGCAGCTGGAGCGGGAGGCGGAGATCCACGCGCAGCTGTCGCACCCGAACGTGCTGCAGCTGTGGGCGGCGTTCCAGGACCAGGTGGCGTGCTACTTTCTGCTGGAGAGCGCCGACCAGGACCTGTACCACATGTACCCGCGGATCTCGCAGACGGACGAGCGGGTGATGGTGCAGAACGTGATCTTCCCGACGGTGGACGCGCTGGCGTACTGCCACAGCAAGGGCGTGCTGCACCGGGACATCAAGCCGGAGAACCTGATCTTTGGCAAGGACGGGCGGATCCGGCTGGCGGACTTCGGCTTCGCGATCGACGTGCACGAGCGGCGGCCGGTGACGCGGCTGGGGACGCTGGAGTTTATGGCGCCCGAGGTCATCGCGTGCGGGCGGCGGCCGGACGGCACGGTGGCGCACCGCGACAAGCGCACCCCGTACGGCGCGCCGGCGGACGTGTGGTCGGTCGGCGTGATCGCGTACGAGCTCTTCGCGCGCCGCACGCCCTTCGTCGGCTCCACGAAGGACGAGACCTCCAAGCGCATCGAGCTGGGCGAGGTCTCGTACCCCACCTGGGCGTCGACGCCGGCGGTGGACTTCATGCGCCGCTGCATCGCGCTCGACGTGACGAAGCGCGCGCCCATGCGCGCCCTCCTCTCGCACGCGTGGGTCACGCGCCACGTCAGCAAGGACGCCATCACGGAGGCCAACCGCCGCCTGATGGCAGCGCAGCTCTCCGCGAGCCCCGTGCGGCCCCAGACGACCTCGGCGCACGGGCCCGCGTCCCAGGCGCTGTCGCGGGCGTGCATGAAGCAGCGCGCGGAGAGCCTGACGCTCCCCGCGCTGACCAACAACGTTGACGCGGGGGGTGTCTCCAAGGCCGTGCTGCCCGTCGACAGGCGGCAGACGTCGCCGCTCAAGATCCCGCAGGCGCCGCGGGTGCGGCGCGCCACGATCGCCGCGGCCGGCAGCCAGCCGCTGCACTCCTCCGCGCAGGAAGAGGACCGCCGCCACTACATGGCACCGCGCCGAACCGACGTGCAGCAGGACCACTTCACGCCGGGCCCGCGCGCCGGCGCGGCCACCTCGATGACCGCGAACCTGCCGTCTCGGCTCAGCCGCGTGTCGTCAGCAGTCGGCGCCCAGCGGCCCGACCTGGCCACGTCGCCCACGCACCACTCAGCGCGGACGCTCGACGCCTCGGGCAGGGGCGCAGCGACGGCGCAGAACAGCTGGTCGCTGCGCGGGGGGCACTCGGTCTCCGGGGAGGGGCTGCAGCACATTCCCGAGTACGGCATTGCCGGGAGGTCTGGGCTTGAGGTGGTGCAGGAGGGCTGCGACGTGCCCGTGCCGAGCGGCACGATCTGGGAGGAGGAGGGCAAGTCGCTGACGCCGCACCGCGCGGCCTCGCTGCAGCCGCTGCGGCGAGTGGCGGAGCAGAGCCTGCGGGCGGCGACGGCGAGCAGCGGCCTGTACCCGCAGTCGCCTGGGTCGGAGAGGTCGTCGACGGCGCCGTCGGTCAACGGCTTCGCGACGAGCGAGTCGCTCGTGTCGCGCGTGGCCAGCGACACCCACGGGGAGCACCCGGCGGGCCCGGTGCGCCACCGAGTGGTCTCCCAAGCAGTTGACGGCAAGGCCTGACGCGGGCGGCGCGATCTGCGCCGCCGCTGCATGCCGCAGCGATCGCGGACGCGGCTCTCTGGCAGCGCTGAGAGACGCGGTCCTTGCCGACCATGATGTGCCTGGATGCAATGTGTGCATTGAATGCAATGTGTGCATGGAATGCGCGACGCCTCGCCCGAGGCCGTCGCCCCCCTTTCCTCGCCATTTCTATGCGCGCACGTGCCTCGCCTTCCATCCCCTGCACTCACTCGGAGCAGAGGAGCAAGGCGCGGCCTGCGCTGCGGTCGCAAATACGACTTGCACACCCCCCCTCCCCCCCCTTCCTCACTCCGCCCGAAACTAATCCTCGTGGAAGATACAACCCATCCATCAACTCACTCGACCCAGCGCCGCATATGATGCCTTGTATGCGGCTCGCAAAACCTTCACGCCCCCCATCCACGGAGGGGCGCACGGCCTCCCATGGGAGGCCCATGGCGCGGAGACGCTTGCCCATGGTTCCCTATCACCTGCCCCCCCGTGGCGCTTGACGATCGATCTGGACGTGGAGCGCCGCGCAGCTTTTTGACGTTCGGTGGGACAGATTCTGTCAGACGAATCTAGCCTTGAAAACATGCGCCCTGACACACCAACCTACAACGGGACCACCCCAGCGGAGTGACGGCGCACATACGCGCGCCTCCCTCTGCGCGACAACGCGCTTTTGAAGCCGAGCAGCGTGTTTAAAACGGTGTGTCCCGCAGCAACCGACCGCCTCAGTGGCGCCTGGACGGGTGCGTGCCTTCTCGCTTAAGTGACTATGGTTCCTGTGAGGCGTGCAATGACGCTGACGTGCGAGTCCCGCCCGAAGCGCTGTCTCGACCGCCCCACCACCCCTGCTGCTGAGGCTCGCGAGTCAGCCAGAGTGCGCGCGCGCGCTGCATCACCCTACGTCTGCACACCAGCGAATCAGCGCTCCACGATGCGCGGTGGGCGGGCCGCCGTCCCGAAGGCCACAGGTCTCCACTGGAGTTGGCAACCCTCCGCTGCTATGTCATGGTCAATCATCGTGATCCGCGGCCTAAATCGCCGTTGCTGCCCTCGGCCGCCCCGTCACCGACGAGCCCGTCATCCGTGAGACACGGCCTGCCTCTCAGCGACCGCGATCCGCCACACCGCGTTCACAACAAAGGCCGCTGCGCCCAGCACACGCTCGCCGCTACGTCGCCGTCGGTGCGCTCCTCACTGCTTCGCCGTCGCCTGCCGCACCCCGGCGACCACGCACGCGGCCGCCACGCGCAGCGCGCAACCCGCGAACGTCCAGTTCGGCTCAGGCCCCATGTGCGGCTGCCGGTCCACAAGGTCGACGGCGTCCGGCTCCAAGGCCTCCGCAGACTCAGGCAGCGCCACGTCGCTCTTCTCGCCGTCCCCGCCGCCGCCGAGCACGCCCTCTGCGCGCTTCAGGATGGCACCGGACGCCGCGACCACCTGCAGTGCTGCGTCCTCCGACATACCCGCCGGCCGCCTCGCGAGGCGGAGCGCCGGCAGTGCGTCGCTGCCGAGCGGGAAGCGCCGCGGGAACCCGATGTGCACGGCGACGGTGCCCGCCACGCGGCCCTTGAGCGTCAAGCTCGCCTCGAACACCCGGCCGCCGCGCGCCATCGCATCGCCCCAGCTCCTGCGGCCCGCCTCCGCCCTCGCCCGCTTCCCCGCCTGCTCCCCGCCTTCGGCGTCCTCCTCTCCGTCGCTGCCCCCCTCCGCCCTCGCGTCGCCCTCCTGCTCGACTGCCGCGCCCTCCACCTCGCGCAAACTCTCAAACGCCACCTCCGTCGCCTCGGCCTCGCCGCCCTCCTCCCCGACCTTGAACGGCGCCGCCACCAGCGCCGCCAGCGCCACTGCCCTCGGCACTCCCGCGTCCGTCAACAACCCCGCCTTGGCCAGACCGCCTGCCTTCTTCGCCAGCTCGCCGAGGGCCCGCACCTGCGCGTCGACCAGGTCCGCCACGCGCACCCGCGCACGGAGCAGCCCCAGGCACCGCAGCGCGTGCCCGCCGAACCGGTAGTCCCTCACCGCGCCCTCCAGCGCGGACGGCGCTGTCGGGTCCGCGCGCGCTGGCAGGAACGGCATGACCGGCAGCACGTCGATGCCCGCCAGGCGGAGAGCCCACAGGTACGGCCGCCCCAGGCCCGCCTCGTCGCAGCTTGCGTTCAGCGCCGCGAGGTCGCATGTGGCCGCGTGCGCCGGCAACGCGGCACCCGCGTCCCCAGGGAACAGCTCCGTCAAGAGCGCGTCCGACGCCGCCGCGCTGCACGCCTCGCCGTTCAGCTTCTCGACCACGGCCGTCACCAGGTGCACCGACGGCAGGTACCGCAGGGCCACCTCCATGGTTGCCGGCGTGGTCGGGGCGGTCCCCACCGTCGTGCTGCCCTCGGGGAGCACCGTAAAGGCGAGCGAGAGCGGGTGCGTGGCGCTGAGCTCGCCCTCCGGCGGCCGCCGCGCCGCGCCGTGCGCCGCCATCCACTGCTGCGCCGCCGCCAGCGGCCCCGCAATGGCCACCGACACCGCGTCGCGGTGCGCGTCGCGGCACGCCACCAGCGCCGCGTACGCCACGTACAGCGGCGCCGGCAGCAGCTCCGCCAGCCTGCTCGCCCGCACCCTGCGCGCGAAGCTCGTCCCCAGCTGCGCCTCCACCCCCTCAAGCGCCCCCTCCACCTTCTCCACGTGGTGCACGACGTCCACCACGCGCTTCCGGGCCTCCAGCGCGTCCCCGGCCTCGTCGCGCCGCCGCTTCAGCCCCGCCAGCTCCTTCTGCAGCGCCTGCCGCTGCGCCAGCTCGTGGTCGAGGCGCCGCAGCATCACTGCGTGCGCGTCCCCCGGGTCCAGGCCCTGCGTGAGCGCCTCCGGCGCGGTCGCGAAGAACTCCTCCGCGTCGACCAGCCCGATCTCCGCGTCCGCGTGCGCCGGCGCGAAATCCTTGCACTGCCGGATCTCGCTCTGGAAGTGGCGCTCCTCGTACTGGACGTTGCGCAGGGCGTGCCCGGCGCGCTGCGCGACCGCGCGGGCCTCCTCGGTGCGCCGCTGCTGCTCGTTCGTGAGCCGCACCGTCGCGCGGTGCGCGGCCTTGAGCCGCATGGTGGCGTTCAGGCCCTGCTGCGTCGCAGCGGCGATGGCGGCCGCGTCGCCCGCGGCGCCGGCGTCGAGCAGCGCGCGGACCGCGGCGCGCAGCGCGCGCGTCTCGGTCTCGATCGTGCGTTTGCCGCCCTCCATCGCGCTCCCTGGCCCGTCAAACCTCGATCCCTTTCAACCCGACGCGACGTCGGCACTCCCAACCGCTCCGACGGTCACCTCGCGGACGCGTCCGGCGCGCCCACGCTCGCGACGGCGCGCTCGAGCGCTGCCTCGAACGCGCGGGACCGGATCGGCTCCCCCGGGGACGTGAACGGGTCCGACTGCGCGTCCACCACCGCGGCGTGCACAGCCTCGAACAAGGGCCGCAGGGCGTCCGCGGGGAGGTTCCAGGCGGCGGCCGAGTCGAGCACAGCCACGATCTTGAGCTGCGTGGGCGTCAGGTATCCTGCGTCGCGGCGGAGTCGCGAATTCGGGTCTGTGGGGGAGTGCAACACTCTCGATCAGCCGCGCTCGGAGCACCTGGCGAGAGTGTCTCCACGTGGGGCGCGGAGCGATAGGGGGGCTGAGCGCTGCCGTCGGGGCGATCCGCTGCGCCGGGCGGGTCGCGCGCGGCGGGCGCAGCGGGGAGAGGTGTGGCTGCGCGACGGTGGTTGCGGGACCGGCGTCTCGCTCTGGGCCTCGCAAAGACGGAGCAGCCGGTGGGACCGCGGGCCGTGAGGCGGGCGGGGCGGCGTCCGCGATATGGAGGCGCGGGTCGCAGGCAACGGCGCGCGGACGTGGGCGCGTGCGGGCGTCGCAGTGGTGCGGGAGCGGGGCAGGCGGAGGCGCCGCGCGACGCACCGTGTGCCTCAGAGCCGTGTGTGTAGAGGAGGACTCCGAGGAGGGGGTCCGTGGGCGGCTGCTGCGCCCCGAGCGCCGAGGCGCGCTGGTCGAAGTGGTCGAGGCTGCAGTGGCAAATCTGCTGCAGGCTGACGGGGTCCTCGTCGGCGGCGGAGCCGACGGCCGAGAAGAAGAGAGGATTGTTCTGCAGGCGGGCAGCGTCGGGAGCGAAGGCGGCCTTCAGACGTCCAGGCCCGGGGGTCGTGGCCACTCCGCACACTGCGGCCGCTCTCTCGCCGCGCGCGCGGGGATGAACGGCGCTCCCATGGTCTCGGGGGCATGGTCACGGCACGTGCAGTGAAAGGCAAGGTCAGACGCGTCCTCGGATGGCACGGACACGCGGCGGTAGCAACTCACCTCGGCGCCGACGACACACACGCACTTGATCATGTGGGCCTGGACCAGCCTCGGGACTCAGCGACCCCACGCGCTGCGGTGTGACGGGGGCTGTGGGCCAGGCTCGGCGTCGCGGCCCGGCGCCGGAGCTGCTCTGCTCTTGTAGCAGCTCCGCTCGCTGATAGCCCTGGATCTGCCCTGCGGAGCCAGAACGACCAACAAGACAAGACCGACAGATGGGAGGATGCGTGCCCCGCCGCTGCGCGAGCCGTTGAGTCCAGCAGCGGCCGGCGGGCACGGGACCTCAGGCGAGAGGTCTCACGCACGCCCCTGCGCGGCACGGCGATGCGGGTTTCGCGCGGGGCGAGCGGGGCGCAGTCCCGGGTGCTCTGAGCGTCTCACTGGTCGATAGATAGAGCCCGCGTGCGCGTCGCTGCGCACCGAACGGACCTGGAAGTCCCCGCAGAAGACGCCGGGGTCCCTCCGTGCTCTTTCTTCCCGCACAGTGCTTCGCGGTACCTTCGCCGCGCGCCCGCAATTGCTGTCGTGCCCACAGGGCATAGACGTCCCGTCGGCAGGCCGCACAAGCGGGGCCGGCGGGTCTTGTGCATAGCAGCGCCCGAACGCGCAACCGCCGCGACCAAGCAGCCCCACGCAGCAACACTGCCCCCAGGCGTTCGCGCACCCTCTCAAGGTGAGCGGGGACGCTGCGCGCGCATCGCCGCGCGCCAATCCGCGAGGCATTCCCTTCCCGCGCAACCACCTGTGCCGCGCTGCCAACCGCTGTGGTGCCGTCTCACGCCACCCACACACGCTCCGCGACGCGAGTCTCGCAGTCTTCGACGGAGCGCAAGGGCCGGCGTCGTAGCTGGCCGCGCCAGCCGCGCACATGAGCTCAGACGGGGCGCCCGGCCCTTCGCCGGCGGGCGCAGGCGGGTTCCTCCTGGGGTCGGCCCGCAAGCCCCCGAAACCGCAGGATGGCTCCGACTCGTCGTCCGCGCCGTCGTGGATGAAGATCACGCCGGCGAAGAAGGTCGTCGAGGAGCTGTCGGACGACTCGTTCGACGCAGCGCCGCCCGCCAAGGCCGCATCGCCGCCCCGCAGGCAGGCCGGCAAGGTGTTCACGCTCGACACGTCCAGCGAGGACGACGAGGTCCTGGCCGCTCGGCCCGCGGCGAAGAAGGTTGGCGCACCGAGCACCGGCAAGGCAAAGAGCTCTGCTCCCGAGGGGGCTGCCAGGAAGGCGGGCGCGAAGCCGCCGGGCCCGCCGAAGGGCAAGGGGAAGGGCGAGGGGGGCAGTGGCAAGGCCGGGCCGGCGGGCGAGGACGGGAAGGTGGCGAGGAGCGGCGCGGAGGTGGAGGTGTGTCTGCCTGACAAGGTGGCACGTGACAAGATACTGGTCGAGGTGCCGGAGGACGCGATGGGCCTGACGGACATGTCCGGCGACGTGGGCGCCGTGGGGAGGTGCGTGGATGTTCCGAGCGCCGCCGCTACGCGCAGTCGCTGCTTGCAACCCTGCCACGTGTCTTGCTCGCAGCGCACGCCTCGCTCGCGCCGCGGCTCGCGGCCGCACCGCAGCGAGTCCTGCGCGGATGCGACGGGCGCGGGCCGCGCGTGTTCGTCCTCGCGCGGCGCAGGCTGCTGACGAGGCCTGGCGCGGACGGGCGTGGCGCGGAGCTGCGCCTGGACCTCAAGGGGATCGAGTACGGCGCCGCGGTGGTCCCGATGGCGACGACGGTGCTCGTGGTCGCGACGGGCGCGCAGGGGGGCGCGGGGAAGGTCGAGGCGCTGTTCAGCGACTTTCTGCAGCTGCGGGAGGAGCGCAACATGTACGCCGAGAAGGAGTGGCGGGAGGGCGGGGACGCGGACTGGACGGACGACGACTCCGAGGGCTATGCCGCAGCGGTGCGCGCCCGGCCGCGCTCCCCCCCGCGTTTGAGATGAACATGCTTTCTCGCAGTCCTTCAGAGGGGGCATGCGACGCCCGGCTGGTTTTGCTGCTCGCCACAGCGTGCCAGAGGCTCCGTGTGCGTCGCTGCATCCTTGCAGGCGGACCCGGACGGCGGCGACGGGGCGAAGAAGGGCAAGAAGGCAAAAGGAAAGGCCAAGCCGCGGGCGGGCGCGGGCGGCAAGGCCAAGCCCGCTGCGCGGAAGAAGGCGACGGGCGCCAAGGGCGGCGTCGCGAAGCGCCAGGGCGGCGGGAAGGGTCGCGGGGCGGGCAAGGGGCGAGGCAAGTAGACGCGTCTGCAGCACGGAGGCACGCACGCGCCGCGTTGCTCGAGACCCTGTGACCGCGCGCCCGGGCAGAGAACTCACAGCGCCGCTACCCGCCGGTCGCCGCCGACACCACCGCGAGCGTCTCCTGTATCTCATGCACGCGCGCCACCAGCTCCGCCGCCAGCTCCCGCCGCGCGTCCCAAGCCGCGGCCAGCTCGTCGGCGGCGCGCTGCTCCGCGGCGAGGTCCTCGCGCAGCTGCGCCATGCGCGCGTCGCCCGCCCCCGCGGCCCCCGCCTCAAGCAGTGCCTCCTCCGCGCGTTGCATGGCCTGCTTCGACTGCGCCGCGGCGTCGCGGTGCGCGGCCAGCCCGCGCAGCTCCTCCTCGATGACGTCCATCTCCTCCATCAGCGCCTCCTCGACGCTCGCGACCTTCGACGCCGAGAGGTGATGCGCGCGAGGGGGACTCTCGTAGCGGTCAGACACTGCCCCCGCGGGCATTCCACGAACGGCCTGCGCTCTGGCGGCCTCCGCGTCGCTCGCCGGGCGCGGTGCAGGCAGGCCGGACCCCGGGGGGGGGCCGGGATGAGCCACAACTTCGACTGAGTCAACAGCTGGGTCTGACTGGTCGTCGCGGCCGCCCATGACCGCGTCGAGCCGCCGCAGGACGCCGCCGAGTAGCTCGAGCGCACGCCGTGACCCGCGCGGCTGGTCTCGCGCCAGGAAGGACGGGGCAGTCGGTGGGCTGCGCTCAAGGTCCGCTGGCAACACGCGCGACAGCCGCGGCGTGCGCGGCTCGCTCGAGCCCCCCGTGGCCGCCGGATGCATGTCTGGGACCTCGTCGGCCGGCAGCGCCTCGACGCTCGCGCGAGGCGTCCACCCCGGCGGCGCGGAGACCGACACCGAGTCCGACGGGGGCTGCGACGCGCCGCCGCTGGCCCGCGGCGTCCAGCCCGGCGGCGACGACCCCACCGACGCCCGCGGAGCCTTCGGCGGCGTGTTCGGCGCGGACGCGGGCGCCGACCCCGCGGCCGCGGCGCCCTCGCTGCCGCCCCGCTCCTCTTCTGTTCGCCCCGCGCCCGGCTCCGGCGCGAACGGCTCCGCGGTCGGATCGAGCTGCGACTCGGACGGAGGTACCACCGCTGCGTCGTCCCCGCCATCGCTGCCGCGCGCAGCCCTCTCGTCGTCGCTCGCGTCCGCCGCCGCCGCCGGTCGCTGAGTCTCACCCGCCTCTGCGGCAGGGGCGCCGTCGCTCTCCCGGCGATCGTCGGCCGCTGCGGACGGGCCGAGATGCGGCATCTCGTGGCCTGCGGCCGCCGCGTCGGCTGCGGCCTCGACGTGTACGTCTGCCCGCGGTGCATGGCGTGGGGCCATGTGGTGGACGACATCCAATCCCGCCCGTGGCTCCGGCAGGGGCGGCAGCGGCGTCGGCGGCGCCCATTCGACCGGCTCTGGGAGCGGGCGCGCCGCCGGCACGCGCGTCACGGTGACAGTTGCGCGGGCGCGCTCCGGGCCCACCGCCTCGCCCCGCGGCGCGCGCACGGGGAGCGCACCGCTGCCCTCGGGCGCGCCGGCGATGCGCTCGAGCCCCGTCGCAAGCAGCATGCGCAGCGCGTGGCCCCGCGCCACCGCCACGTGGTCCCGCACCGCCTGCGCACGCTCCGTCGCCTTCTGCCGCCTGCGCTCGATGTACCACGTCCAGGCCGCCCACGCCCGCCGCTGCATGAGGTACTCCGCGTGCCGCACCGCGAGCCCCTCGCGCCACCGCTCCGCGCGCTGCGAGTCCACCGCGCGCGCCCACGCCCCGAACGCGCTCCTCAGCGCTACGCGGCGATCATGCGTCTCAGCCGCCTCGAACGCCTCGCGCTTCTCGCGCGCGTGCCGCACGTACCACCCGAGCCCCGCGAGCGCGCGCGACGCCAGGCTCACCTCGCGACACTTGCCCGCCAGCATTCCCTCCATGCGCGCCACCGCGCCCTCCCAGTGCACCTGCCGCCACGCCTGCCACGTGCGCAGCAGCTGCGCGTGCTCCAGCACCGGCACCACGCGCGAGAGCGTCGCCGCGCGCACCCGCGCCTTCCGCGACCGCTCGCGCGCCCACCCGCGCCACCACGCCACTGCCGTCGTCAGCAGCCGATGCTCCCTATGCAGCTCCGCGTACTCATCCTTCTCGCGCTCAAGCCGCAGCACGCGCGCCCCGGCACCCCACGCGTCCATCGCGCGCGCCAGCAGGTTCGCGTGGTACACCCCGGCGGCCCCCTCCTCCCGCGCACGCTCGTCCCGCAACGCCGGCACCGCCTCGCGGCGCCAGGCGCGCAGGACGCCCGCGCAGAGCGCGCCGTTGCGGATCAGCGCGATCGCGGCGCCGAAGCGTTCCCGCGCGTCCTCGCGCACCTCCATGTTCTCTCGCAGCGCGGCAAAGCCACGGCGGAGGCGCAAGAGGTAGCAATGGCGGCGGGCGGCGCGGTCCTGCTCGTCGCGGACGACGCGGTACTCCCACCACTCGTGCCACGCGACGACCGCGCGGGCCTTGAGCCACCTGTCGCGCATGGCGAGGGCTTCTCGCTTCTTGTGCACCACTGCGACGCGGGCCTGCAGCGCGGCGATCGCGCACCACGCGAGGCGCTCGCGGCGGTGGCGGTCCGCGCGCGCAGCCATCGCGGCGTCGCGCTGCGCGTCCTCGACCGCGACGCGCCACGCGCGCCACGCGCCGCGCACCCGCACCTCGCGGCACATGTGCCACGCCACGCCCTCCGCGCGCCGCTCCCACACCGCCTCGGCGTGCCCCTGCACCGCACCGAAACGGATCTCTCGCCTCGCGTCATGCACGGCCCGGACCGCGCGCGACTCGCGCGGCGGCGCGAAAGGATGCACGATGACGGGGACGCGCACCTCTTGCCACGCCGCCCATGCGCGCCTCAGCAGCGCGTCGCGCCGCCCGGCGTCCGCGCGGTCCTCGAGCGCGCGTTTCCGCCGCTTGTGCGCCGCGTACGCCCCCAGCGTGCCCAGCACGGCCCCCTGCAGCACCGCGCTCCGCACACGGTCCCCCAGCGCCCTCGCGCGCGCGCGCGCGGCGTCGCGCCACGCCCGCGCGAACTTCCGCCCGATCAATGCCGCCCGCAGCTCGCGCAGCCGCCCCGCCGCCGCCTCCGCCGCCGCACGCGCCCACCGCAGCCGCCCGGCCGCCCCCCTCCACACCTGCAGCGCCCGGTGCGCCCGCTTCAGGTCCGCGAACTCCCCCGCGAGCTTCTCCCCCGCGATCCGCCGCGAACGCATCGCCGGCAGCTCGCACCGCCACGTGTACCACGCCTTGTCCATCAACAGACCATCACGGAAGCCCGCCGCCAGCCGCTGGGCGCGCCGCTTCGCCCGCCTGTACCCGACGTACGACAGCCACGCGGCCGCGGCGCGCTCGAGCAGCCGCTTCGAGTAGTGCTCGAGGGCGCGGTCGGTCCCCGCGCGGTCAACGCGGTTGTCGCGCGCCTCCGCGTGCCACGCGGTGAGGACGCCGCGCAGGACGCGGCGCTCGTGCCAGGCGCGGAGCTCCGCGTAGGCCTGCCGCTTAAGCCGCCCGTGCTGCGCGCGGGTGACCCAGCCGTCGAAGGCCCCGCGTCGGCGCGACCGCCGCAACCGTTCCTGCGGACAGAGGCGGCGCGCGACACCTTGTTTTGTGCGTGGTGCCGCCGCGTCGTGCGCATCCAGGGGCGCTTCTTCGCGAGCGAGAGTGCCGTGCGTTTCGTGCTCGCGGCGCGGCGCGAGGGCGCGCGCGTTTGTACGTCGCGTGGCGGGAACGCCGCGTTCGCCGCGCACCGCGGCGCGCTGCCGCCCGCGTGGCCGCACCTGCAAGATGGCTTCCAGACGCCGCAGCTCCTTGTTCTTGCGGGCCAGCTCGCGCCACGCAGCGAACGCGTCGACCTCGAGAAGGAACTCTTGCTTGGCACCGAGGACCGCAGCGCTGTGGAGCCGCCTCTGCGCGCCCCTGTGGTGCTCAACCCACGCGTTCCATGCTCGTCGCCGTAGTTCCCGGCCGTCGTCGCTGCCCTCCGGCGCCTCCACCGCGTGCGCTCGCGCGCCAGCGGTGCGCGGCGGTGGTTTCGCCTGAGCGCCCGCGCCTTCCTCCGCGCCTGAAACCGCGCTCCGTGCCGTATCGCTGTCTCTCTCCGTTCCGCGGACCAGTCGAACGGCCGTGCCGAGCACGGCGGGCGGCGCGTCCGGCTCATTCCTTGACAGCTCGTCCCCGGCCATCGTGCCGGCCGCCTGTGTGCCGCACGCGCCACACGTCACGTCATGGCCCGCAACGCTGACAAATGCACAGGCCGCCGCGACGCTGCGGGACGAGAACGGCGCCACGGGACAGACAGAGCACAGCTCACGAGCACTGGGCGGGAAAGGCAGCCGCGCCGACGCCCCGCGGATGCCGGCGCCCAACGCGATGCCGGCTCAAAGCTCGATGGAGACGCGAGCCGGGGGGATAGTTCTTCGGCGGCGCGAGGCTCCTGGGCCTCGTCATGCGCGCGGGCACGTTTCCTCCCCCCGTGCTGGCGCGACGAGGCCCCGGCGGGCGCGGCTGGCCTCTGTGGGGCGCGAGGACGCGCTCGCGCCGCGCTCCTGACCCCAGAGGACACCACCTGCAGTCTGCGAGTGTCGTGGCGGCCAATTCACAGATACGGGCGTCAAACGGGCGGCAGGTGCATACAAAGCTAGTTTCCTGCGTGCGGTCCAGGGACCCCGCTTGGAGGCAAGATGGCCCCCCAGATGCGCGGCATCCTCGATGCCAAGGGCCGTGGGCGCAAAGGCCGGGCGGCAATCGACTTCTCCAATCCTCGCGTCGTCGTAGCCTGCGTCCTGATGTGCGCACCCGCACCCCGCACCGCGCGCGTCGCCGCTCCGCTCACGCGCCTCGCCGCGACCTCTCGCGCGACCGAGCTCCTCGCTGCCGCCTCGACAGGCAAATTTGTCGTCTCTCGCGCCCCCGCCGCTGCCTCTCTCCCCCGCATCACGACCGAGCGCGGCGCCGCGCTCCCGCGACCGAGGCCCGGCCCTCGCAAACAGAGCGCTACGCATCTCGCAGCGCCGTCCGCCGGCCGCCCCGCAACCTCTCACCTCTCACGTCCGCGCCCCCACCGCGCTCCCTGCAGCGGCGGCCTCGCGCTGGCCTTCTACGTCGCGGTGGAGTTCATCCGGCACGCGCACATCCACATCCACCCGCTGGCGTTCCTCGCCCTGCCGCCCCTCACCGCGGGCTCCATCGGGCTCCTCCTGCCGCTCTTCATGTACGTTGCCAGCGCCGACGACTTCCGCGACCTCAACCCCCTCTTCCCCACGCACTACGCCTACCTCTTCAAGAAGACGTACCGCGCGCTCCTCAGCAACGAGCGCCTGCGCGCCGAGGGCAAGGACCTCTAGCTGCGCCCCCTGTGACGCCGCAACGCGACCACGATGTCGGTCGTCATCACACGTGCCGAGAGCGCCTCCGCGCGCGCAGCGAGGCGGCTCAGCGGTCGTACGCGCCGCTGCGCACGAGCATCTCGACGCGCCGCCGCAGCTGCGCGCTGAACGCGTCCCAGCCCTCCAGCGCCGCCTCCACCAGCCCCGCAGATCCGATCTCGTCCTCGGGGGTGTCCAGGTCGAGGTCCCCCGCGCGGGCGTACGCGCGGCGCTCGCTCGACTGCGCGCGCTGCAGCTGCGGCCGCGAGTACGGCGCGGCGTCCTCGATGAAGTGCCGCGAGAGCGGCGCCGTCGCGTCCACGCCCGCGCGCACGTAAATCACGCGCGGCGCGACGCGGCGCGTCTCGCTCGCGGACGCGATCGCGCGGTGGATCGTGCTCCCGCGCGGCGGCGGGCACTCGTACTGCGTCAGCGCGTCGGGGGTGTAATACACGATCACTGCTGACAGCGAGTCGATGAGGAAGATGCAGCCCGGGTGGTCGACGAGCGTCTGGCTCGACAGCGCCTCGGCGGGGGACTTGAGCGTGTCGGGCGAGTTCCACACGGAGAGCTCCGGGTACATGGACAGCATGAGCAGGTCTGGCGGGAGACCCCCCCACAGCGCGGCGGTGAACACCACGCCGTCCGCGGCGTCCGGCCCCGCGGCCGCGGCGACCTCCGCGGGCTGCAGGACGGGCGAGCGGATCAGCGCGTACGCCATGCGGATCAGCGGCGACACCGCGGGCACGTCCTCCAGCGACATGTCCAGCGCGCCTGGGTCTGTCGTGCGCACGAGGCCCGCGCTCGCGCCGCGGAAGTTGTTCACGTAGAAGCAGTTCCACGACGCAACGAGGTTCGTCACCCAGTCCGCGAGGAGCTCCTTCGCCTCCGCCGTGCCCTCCTCTGCGGTGCATCGCGACACCAATGGACGCAGGTCGTACAACGCTGCTGCGCCGGCAGGACCGCGCGGCGCCCTGCGTTCCCGCGCGCACAGGCGGATCGCGAGCGGTGCGAGAGCTCGCAGCGGCGTCGTGTCGTGTCGGGCGGCGCACCGTTGACCGCGCGCAGCGCCTTGTGGGTTAGCAGCGAGAGGCAGGCGCCGGTGTGGCAGGAGTAGTAGATCTCCTGCGCCGAGGACGCGACGTCCGCGCGCACCGTCAGGACGCGCACGCGCCGTTGGAGGAGGAACCCGGTGGGCGCGTCCATGTCGCGCGACTCCCGGGCGGTGCTGGTGTCGGTCAGACCGCTGGCCCGCGGGTGGTCCGACTCGCCGCCGTACCGCGGTACGAGCGCGGTGTAGCTGAACGTCATCTGCACTTGACACACAGCACAGCGGCGCGAGCACAATGGGTAGCTCTGCCACGCTCGGCACTACCTGTGCAACAACAAGGGCTCTCCCGCGCCGTTGCCGCGGACGATTCTCGCAACAGCATGCTGCGTGATTGGCCTGCCGCGACTGACGAGGTCCTCGTCGGGTGTGCCGAGCACGTAAGGGGGTAGCAATTCTACCCACCTGGAGGACGGGCGGGCGGACTCCGGTCCGGACGTACGCGAGCAGGCCGTCGGGCGAGGTGAACTCGAGGTCGAACGCGTACGTGTCGATCGAGTCGCATGCCACCACGTGGTGCAGCGCTTCGTGCTGCTCGTCCGTGAACAGCCGCCCGTAGGCGCGGCCGACGGCGAGGTCCGGCGAGCAGCGCAGGCGCAGACGACCGGCGTGCGCGTGCGGCGCGGCGATCCGCCGGAACACGTCGTGCGGGAGCGTGGCCACCTCGATCGGGGGGGGGTAAAGGAGCAGACACCCCCCGCTGTTGGAGGTCAGCGGCTCCAGCGCTTCGAGCCCGAGGTCCGCTTGCGTCGGCGGCGTGACGAAGAGGTCCACGCACACCCCGAGCGCCGCCGCGGCGATCGCGGCGTCCTGGTAGAACGCACGCGACTTGACATCAACACGCCCCCCCCCCACCTCCTCGTCCCCGGCGACGCCGTCGCCCTCGAGGTCCCCGCCGACGTCCCCGCCCCGGTCCATACTCGCCAAGCGCTTCGGCGGCGCCAGCGTCGTCGCCTGTTGCCCGCGGCGGCCACGGGTGCGCACGGCGCCCGCACCGTAGTCGGGCCTGCCCGACACGAACGCGAGCAGGCGCGCACCGGCGTACCCGTACGACTCCGAGCCTTGCGTGCTCGCGCGGCGGTTGCCTGACGCAGCCCCTTCCAGGAAATGAATCAGTGCTGCAGCGCCTGTCGACAGCTGCTGCATCACCGCCTGCAGCGCGCCGCCGAGTCCGCGGTGGCCCTCGTGCGCGTCCTGCAGAGCGTACACGAGGCAGCGTCGGCGTGAGAAGAAAATCCCGCGGGCCGCGCATGTAAGCTGTATTCGGGCACTCCGGGACCCTCTAGCGGCTGAAAGTGCGGTGTGTCTCGAGCAGCCAGCGCAGCAAGGCGCACGCATCGCGGGGGCTTGCCTGGGGGCTGTTGGGGATGTGTTCTGGCTCCAGCCACTCCAGCAGCTCCTGGACACGCTCCCGGCATTGCCCAATGGGGCAGAGCAGGTGCGCCAGCGGCATCGCGTCCTCAAGCGCGACGCGCGTCGGGCCCGCGCCCGCCCGCAGCTCGGCTCGCGAGCTCAGCGGCACGTGCACCGCGACCGGCCGGTCCGGGCCCTGCACAGACACAAAGCACGCCGTGCGCTGCCCCATCGACGCCCGCGCCGTGCGGGAGCGCTCAGCCGGTCAGTGTCATGCGCACGCGCGAGTCAGACAGACAGCGTCCTCGGCGCGCACCTGCAAGTCGTACATCGTCACCCGGCGAGAGAACGTGATCAGTCCAAACAGTGCCGAGTCCTCCATGGCCTCGATCGCCCCGAGCAGGGACGACCTCACCGCCTCCATCTGCCCCCGCGGCGCCGTGGCGTCGACCAGCGCGAGCACGATCGGGCTCCCGACGATCTCGGCGTCCGCGCTCGCCTGCGAACAACAACAAAGCGGTGGCGCGCACCGGGTGGCGATGGCGACGCGCGCACGGACGCGTGCTGCGGACAGCTGCGTGGGTGGTGCGTGCGGTGCGAGCGCGCCGCACCTGGATGCCGTTGCTGTCGTCGACGATGAGCTCGGTGACGCCACTGCGCAGCTCGGGGAGGCGCGCGCGGACGGTGCCGCGGGCGTACCGCGTGTCGAGGCCGCGGTAGTCGTTGAGGTGCTGGCAGAGGGAGCAGATCCAGCCGTAGTGCTCGAAGGCGCACTGGTGGTTGACGTAGGCGTAGCAGCTGGAGCAGCGGGCGACGCTGCTGGTGCGCGGCGCGCGCTCCGACGCGTCGCCCTTCACGTCCGCGAAGGGAGAAACCACGCAGCCCCATGGCAGCCCGCAGTGATTCTTCAGCGTCGCTGCACGCGGAGGCCGAACAGGATGGTGAGGGCAGCGCCCTGCGACCGCTGCCGCGCGAGTGGTGCTGTGCAGACGGGAGCCGGAAGGCTGGCATGTACTGGAGCGGTGCGACACGGTGCCGCGCGCGCCGAGGCGGCAAGGCCGTGCCAGGCCGCCCCCCGACTGCACTGCTCCTGGGCTGACAGTCGGCTTTGCGGCACGGATAAGCCATGTTTGTGAAGATCAACGATGCTACAACCCCCCTCATGGAACACAGAGTCCATTCTGTCCGGCCGGATCCGACCGTCAGGCCTGAGTCAGGCGCAAGGCGCGGTTCTCGGTGGGCGCGTACGTGTGGCCGGAAACTTCTTCACCGTGAACTGCATAGACATCGCGCCCGCCTCCCACTGCCCCCGGCCCCTAGCGCCACTTCACTGCTCCCCGCCGACCGCGCTGGCAGAGCCCATCCCTACTGCAACGGCGCGCAGCGCCCACCCGCCAGCTGTTTGCTTTCCTCCGCTCGCCGCCGCAATGCTCCACCCTAAAAATGTATGCGCTGTGAGCGCTCACAGATCTCAGTGTGTCGCTGCCGCAGCGCTAGATCGCAGATTTCCTCCCGGGTGCCGTCGTGGACTCTGTTGAGTTCCCCCTGCTGTGTCAGGCGCCCCGCCCTTGTCCAAGGACACCAGCAACCCGGCTTGAACGGCTCTGTCCTGCCAGCTGAGTCCGGCCAGTATTCGGGGACGGTTCCGCTCGGGTGCACCGCGCCCCCCAAGTCTGTGTGTGCACGAAGCACCTCACTTCGAGCTGTTCCACGATGGGGGGGGAGTGAGAGGCCTGTGTCTCGGCGGTGGACGGAAGATCACCGCGGGGACCTGGGGCTGCGGCGCTCGCGAGGCGCGCCCCGGTCGGGCGAGTGACTCTGAGGAAAGCTTGCAGAGGGCCGTAGCGCATGACCGGGACAGGGCGGCCGAGAGCAACGACAGCGGTGGAGGGCCCGCACGCGTGAGGGAAGAGTGAGGCAGTCCCGGCGCGAGCCCCGACGGGCTCCGCCGCTGTGGCAGAGCATGACTGCACTGGCGGAGTGTGCTTCGTGCCCCGCAGCGTGTCGCTAGGACCCAAGCAGCCGGGGCACGCCCAGCGCGACATCGGCGCGCTGCCGGCGCTTCCGCATCGTTTCACGGTTCACATATGGCGTGATGATGTTGTCACGCGACGCTACTGCTTGTCGCGTTCCATAGTTTGTTCACGGACAGTCGCGGCGGGCTTGCTCCTGCCTCGTTGCCTTCCCCCTCCCCTCGCACGCACGCATCGCGCGCTCACTGCGCCACCACGGACGCCGCTGGGAGCCCCGACCGCACCAGCGGCACTGCGTTGCCCGCGTCGCAGTAAAGGTCCACGCAGAACCCGGGGCCCTGGAACATCCCCGGCGGCGCGCCCCGCAGCTGCACCCCCCGCAGCTGCACAGCACGCAGCACCAACGGAGCGCCGTGTTGGGTCAGGTCGCGCAGGCGTGCGGGCATGAGACCCGCGCTGCCTGCCCGCGCAGGCGGTTCACTCACCTTGACGCCGCGCCCGATGACGGTGAGGCCCCATATCTCGCTGAGCCGGACGATCGCCGCGATGGTCTCCGGCGTGAGGCTCACGCGCCCGACCAGCCACCCGTGCACGTTACTGGTGCATGGCCAGTTCCTGCAGGGGGGGCACGCGCCGCCGAGTCGGTGGGCGGAATCTGGCGGGCGCGAGGACGCGCGGGGCTGGGGACTGTGGCGGTGGGGGCGGCGCGGCGGCGGATCGCGCGGCGCGGGCGCGTTCCGACGAGCGCGGCGGGTCACGTCGAAGGTGCAGCTGCAGAGGCGGGCGGGGCGCGGGGGCTCACGAGGAGGTGGGTTCGCGCAGAATGGGCGCGCAGGCGCGCATCTCGACGTCGTTGACGTCGTTTCCGGGCGCGAGGCAGCCAGCGCCGGCCTCGGCGCGGCGCGTCTGCTGCTGCTGTGCAGGGACACACAGGGCGGCGCGTTGCCGCTTGTAGGGCGCGGCCATGTCCCCCAGCGCCTCGCCGGGGCGCTTGTTCTCCTTCTCGAGCCACATGCCCTGTTCTCCCGCCAGTACGCGCGCGGAGACGCGTCAGGCGCGCCACGAAACGAAAACGATTATTGAACGATCGCTGCCGCCCACGCACTCCGCTGGACCGCCTCAGACCGCGAGCCCCCGCGAACGCGCGTATTCGACGCCTGGTCTCTGCGACGCGTCTGTTCTGCAGACCACGCGCGCGAACGCGAACGTGGACGTGCACTGCTCTTCGCTGCCAGAGCAAGCCGGCCCCGTGCACTGCGGAACAGTAGGTCGACCAAGCGGCGCCGCCGTGGACGAGCTGCGCGATTGTGCGCCTCCCGCGGCTCGCTGCGCCCCAAGAGCCGCCGCAGCCGCTGCAGCGTCGGACCTGTGCGCCTGCGCAAGAGGCCCCAGCCAGACGTCACGTCAGGGCTTGTCACGCGGCGACGCTGGGCGCGGCGCGCGCAGGACCTTTGCACTATCCACCTGCAGCGTAGAGGGCGGAGCATTTCGGTCCACGCTTGAGCGAGCGCCGCGAGAGGCAACGGAGACCAGTGGCGTCAGGTGCCCGCATTGCTGCGCGCTGTGGGGTCCGCGGCCTGACTGCCGCCGCGCGACCGATCGACCTTGTCAGCTGGGAGGCCTCGGTACGGAGATTCTTCCGTGGCGTCGGCTCTGAGCGGCTGCACAGAGCTTGGTTGTTGCAGGGGGCCTTGCGCCCTCGCCGGCATGGAGGAGGCCGGCATGAGACGTCGCCTCTGCAGCCACTACCTCCTCGGAAGATGCACGTTTGGGTCGCGGTGCCGGTTCTCGCACGGTGCGTGATGCGCGCTCCCAGGACGCTGATGCGTGCTTGCACGGAGGGGCCACGCAGCGGCTCCTGCGCCTGTGTGCACCGTCTCAGCGGGACGAGAGCGCCCACTGGCGGTCGTGCTAGGCCGCGCCCGCGTCGCTGCCGCAAGGAGGTCCGTCGCTTGCGTCTGGCCAAGGTCCCGCCGCGCGGCGTGCGATAACCGCGCGGCTTCCTCCCCGTTCGCCGCGCAGAGAAGCCGCATAGTACGTTCACGAGGGCGTGGCAGGAGGCGCGCGGTCATCCCACGGCGGCGCACGGCCTCAACGGAACCCATGGCCACGCCGGCACGTTGCACGACGGCACCGCGAACGGAGGGCGCGTGCGCGACGCCTGCGTGCACCGCTGGCAAGATACTGATAGGAACAGTCTCAGGCCGCGCGGCCACCTGCGCATCATGTCCTACAACGTGGTACGAGCCCTTTTCCCGGTTGGTTGCCCCAGCACCTCGCGAGCCCGTGCGCGGCAGCGGCCAGCGACTGCCGCTCAGGCTCACGCGCACCGACCACGATCAGACGCGCGCTCAAGCATGCTGCACGCGGCGCCGGAAAGCCTCACGGTGCATCCCCGCCCGCGCCGACGCTCTTTGCAGCTCGGGCGGAGCCTGGCGTACGCGCACCGGTACCTCTACCGCTGCGTGCCGGACGAGTACCTCGAGTGGAGTCACCGCTGGGGCTGCATCCTGCGGGAGCTCGACACCGTCCGTCCTGATGTGGTGCGTGCCCTGCTTGCGCGGCGCGCCACGGCCCCCGGCGCGCAGCGCTAGCGTGCTTCGCGCGCCGTGCGCGGCCGCGAGATGCGCGCCCGCCGCGCGCATCGCTCTCCGTCGCGCCGACATCACTTCGGCCCGTGTGTGTGTGTGTGTGTTTGTTTGCGCAGGTGTGCATGCAGGAGGTCGAGGTGCCGGTGCTGGCGCAGATCCAGGCGGACATGGCGGCGCGCGGGTACGAGGGGCGCTACTCGAAGCGCGCGGACCCGCGCGAGGACGGGTGCGGGACGTTTTGGCGGCGGGACGCGCTGAAGCTGATCGACCAGCGCGCGATTTCGTTCCAGGCGCTCGACCTGCGGGAAAACACGGCGCTGGTGCTCGCGTTCGAGACGCGGGACAGCTGGGGCGGCGCGTCCGGGCACCTGCGCGACCCCGAGCGCCGCGTCCTGGTGGGCAACACGCACGTCCTGTTCAACCCGCGGTCGGGGTGCACGAAGGTCGCGCAGGTCCGCGTCCTGATGAACGCCGTCGCGGCGATGCGCGAGCGGCTCGGCGGCTGCCCGGCGTGCGTGTGCGGCGACTTCAACGCCGCCCCGGGCAGCCCAATCTACCAGTTCTCGCGGGACGGCGAGCTGCGGTGCGCGGCGTACGACCGGCGGCGGATGTCTGGGCAGCTGGAGGGCGCGGCGTGGGGGTGGCCGCGCGGCCTCGGGAAGATCCTGCGGGAGGAGTCGGACGCGGGGGTGTTCAAGGCTGAGGGGGGGGGGGTCATCTCGCTCTCTGCGGCGTCGGGCAACGCGGCGAGCACGTGCGAGCAGGGGCGGGAAGAGCGGACGTCGAGCGATAGCGGGACGTGGGCGGACGAGCAGATTGACCGCGCGTGCGGGTCGCCGGAGGAGGAGGCAGATTTGTTGGGTGCGGGAGGCGTCGGGCGGGGGGTGGCGAGGCACGCGCTCGCGGGGGCACTCGCGAGCACGTACGCAGCGGTGCTGGGCCGCGAGCCGAAGTACACGTCGTGTCACTCGCAGGTGCGCGGTGCACGGCCGCCGGGGATGCGCGTGCGTTGCAACCAGTGCTGCGGAGCTTGACGTGCGAGTGCGTTCCGTGCGCGACGCTGCAGTTCTTCGGAGCGCTGGACTACATGTGGTTCACGAAGGCTGGCGCGGGGGCCGCGGGGCTGACTCCGTTGCGGGTGCTGTTGCCGCCGCCACCAGAGAGCCTCGAGGTCGGGCTGCCTGACGCCAACTGGGGGAGTGACCACTGCAGCATCGCCGCAGACTTCGCGATTGCGGGGGCGCGGGGCAGGCTCTGAGGGCTGTGACGGGACGCTCCGCTGCATCTTTAGTCATGCCACCTTGCGGTGAGGGTGCTTGTGGGTCAGCAAAGTACTACTATAGCGAAGTACAAAGCGAAGTACAAGCGAATGACACAAAGCCAGCGCATCTCAGCGGCATGTCATGGGAGCACAACAAGTCGGGTGGATCCCTTCGACCGGTCAAGGCGCGGCCGTCAGCGACGTAGGTGGAATCCAGCGCACAACCAGTCCAGCCGCGCCCGTGAACGACCCCCGCATTCTGGATTCACGGTCTCGCCGTCCCGCAGGTGTTTGTTAGTAATTCGCCGACCCACAAGGTGTGTGTGCGACAGGCATCTGATTGCTCACATTTTCCATCCTGTTCGCTGTGTGCGCCTCGCCTGCCGCACCATCTCGGTCGCTCAAGCGACCTCGCGGTCGGAGGATGCCTGTAGGTCGGCGAGCAATCAAAACAATGGTGGTCCCACCTCACAGGTCCACGCGGTAGTGTGCCTCAGCGTCATGACGGTACCAACTCGCCTGGCTCTGGTAGTGAGTGCTGGCGATGCAGCGGGGCTGCCACGGGAGGCACGTCGATGATTCACCAGCAACAGCGTGGGCCAAAAGACGCCTAGGGGGAGGCGCGGGGGAGGGCGGTGGGCGTGCCGGGGGTGCGCCTGCAGCAGGACGAGGCGAGCTGCTTCATCATCCGGGTCCGGACGTGCAGGCATGGCAGAAAAGATGCTGTGCAGCCCCCCTTTCCCAAGCGGCTCGATTTAGGGGTGTCGCTCGGCTAGATCGAAGGAAGAAAGCAGGGGCACAAAACGTGCTCGTCGAGCAACAGTAGAGCTGCAAGAGCCCTGTGCGCAAAACGGTTGCTGGGACGACGGGGGCGAACAGGGAGGCGAGATGACATGGAAAGGGGGTGAGGAGCGGGCGGGGGGTTGGAGGGTGAATCCAATGGGTCAAGGTCGGAGGTGGGAGCAGAAAGCAAGGTGGGTGCGCGCTAGTGTACAGCGAGAGGTGTGCCCGCATACGTGTGGCACGTGGGAGGAGCACAGGCGCTGCAGGGTTGTGACGACGGGGAGCGCCGAACAACAACACAGCCGTTCATGCTCGAGCTTGTGTTTGCGGGGGAGTCAGAATCATGGCTGCGGCGGTCGCCCACCCGCATCGCTGCCATTCTGTTGCTGTGACAGCGCGATGATGGCGGCCACCACGCTGTCGTGCTCGGGCGCGCCGGGCTGGGACGCGGGCGGGGGGTGCTGGGCCGGGGAAGCCCGCAGCGCGTGGCGGGCGCGAGTTACAGGTGCCTCCCCGGGCGTGGGTACCTTCCGGCCCCAGGAGGGGAGCGGCGGGGGGGGCGAGCCGTCTGCGGGCCGCTGCTGCGCGTCGATCGCGAGCGGCGGCCGCGACGCGACGTCCACGGGGGCCGAGGGCTTGGGGGCCTGTCTGACGAGGCTGGCAAACTCGGGGGGGATGCGCACGGGCTCCGCGCGCGTCAGGCCGCGCTTCTCCGCCACGTCCTTCAGGCGCGTGTACCAGTGGTTCTTGACCTGGTTGCCCGTGCGCCCGGGGGGCAGTGCGCGCGCGATTTGCGCCCATTTGTTGCCGTGGCGAGCTGCAGGGCGCGGGGGCGGCGGCGCGGACGCGCGGTGAGCGGCCAGGCGGGCGCGGGAGCACACGATCACGGCTGTGAGTCCGTGCGCGGCGGCGCGCGTCTCACCTTGCTCCCTGAGTATGATCTCGTCCTCTTGGGGCGAGAAGGGCGAGCGCCGGAGGCTGGTGTCCAGGTTGTTGGTCCACCGCTGCCGGCACTGCCGGTCCGACCGGGGCTGGAACGACGCGAGCTGCGCCTCCATCTCCTGGTTGAGCACTGCGGCGATCAGCCGCCAGTTCTGCGGGCCGAACCGCCGGATGACGGACAGCAGCGCGTCGTCCTCCTCCTTCGACCACGGGACGCGCCCGCGGTTCTCGACGTACCGCTCGGGCACCTCGAGGCCCGCGCCGTGCGAGGTGCCCGGCGACACCGTGGCGGCCGACGCCGGGGACTCGGTGTTGAGCGCAGCGTGACGCGCTGGGCAGCACGAGGGCGGCGGAGCTGAGCGCGGGAACGCGGGCGCTGGTGCCACACCCGGCGCGGAAGGGGCAAGGCCGGCGGAGCCGACAGCACAGGCCGGGTG